TTGCGAGGCTGTGCAGGGCACGCCTCGATTGATCGTAATTGTGATGGCGTCAAGTCGCGATCACATGATGCCGCTTCTGTTTGTTCTTCTCACGCTCACCTTCGTGTCGTCGAGGTTTCACGTCTGCCACCGCCCTTCTTCATTTCGTCCGCTTTTGATCTTCCGAACCGTTTCCCGTCGTCTGAATTCCACGTAATCTCTCCACACGAACTCCTCGTCCTACCCTTTCTTCATTTCCCTTTCTTGGTTTCTTGTTTTCTTTTGGGTCAGTCACTGCAAATCCAATCACGACACCGCTATATTCAGAATCGCAACACGACCGCAAGCGACGTAAACGCAGACTAGGCCGTCAACACCATGGCTGGTCTTCTCAGTGGACACCTCGTCAATGCCTACGAAGCCTCAGGCTCCAGGATGAACCGTTCGGCGTCGTCTCCGATAGTCACGATGGGCATGAACACAAAGACCCGCTCGTCTGCCCCGTCGCACCAGCAGCCCCAGTCCGCGTCTTCTTCCACACATAACGTTGCTTCCGCCGCCACGTCCCCGCGCCCTGCCGACATGACCATGCACCATGATTTGACCGCGTCTACGTCGATGGCGGGCGACGGCCTAATGTCATTTGACAGCGATATGCATGGCCATGGGAGGTTCTCTACCAGTGACTTCGGTGGTGGGCCCGACGACGGTGGGTTCGCAGGTGGAGGTTTCGGCGGCGGTGAATACGGCGGGGGCGGCCCACCCCCAAACACGCACACATTCTCCGCCTCGACATATGATCGACTCTCTCTCCTGCAAACCAAGCTCAACCAGAAACTAGGCCCAGAATACATCTCAACGCGCCCCGGGCCGTCCGGCGGCCCCAAGCTCACGTACGCTGAGGGGTGGAAGATCATCAACGTGGCCAACGAGGTGTTTGGCTTCTCCGGCTGGAGCTCAAGTATTCGCAGCCTCCAGACTGACTACGTGGACTGGAACGCGGAGACGCGGCGCTGCAGCGCGGGTGTGACATGTGTCATGCGGGTGACGCTGCGGGAAGGAGTGTGGCATGAGGACGTTGGGTATGGCCTGATCGACAATGCCAAGGGGAGAGGCGTCGCGCTGGATAAGGTGAAAAATGTCTAGGCGCTTTGCTTTGCATCTCAACCTTGGCAGTGCAAGAAAGAGGCGGTCACGGACGCGCTCAAACGCACGCTCCGGACGTTTGGGAATCTCACGGGAAACTGCCTGTACGATAAGAATTACACGGCGGAAGTGAACAAGATCAAACCCGTCCCGGTGCGTGTACGCGCATAGATTCATATGGCACCGTCATACTTATCCTGGATTAGGTAAAGTTTGACCAAGATGATCTCTATCGGCCCCCAGTCAGAGTGAAGCCTGAACCACTGCCGCAACCAGTTAAACCGAACGCGACGTCAACCCCAGCAAGGCCGATCCCGGTTCCTCCACAGGCCCAAGCACCGCCGTCCGCACACGCACACGCACGACCACAGGCGCATATACCGGCGCACGGCCAGGGGCAAGCACATACGCCAGTCCAAGCGCAAGCACAAGGACCCGCCCGGGCCCCAGCCAATCCCATGGTTGCCGCCCAAGACGTGAAACCAGAAGACACGACCTACGACGAAGGGTTCGAGTTCGACGATGACGACGAGTTTCTCTCCCGCGTGGATCTCGGCGACGCCGACTTCGGCCGCCCGATTGAGTACGACGAGGGCAACAGTGTGCTGAGCGCCGGTGGTGGTGCCAAAGAAGAGATACCGTCCCCAGTCCCGCCGCAAGTGGCGATGCCCCCGCCCCCCCTGCCACAACCACAACCAGCACATCACGGCCCGATGGGCTTGGGTCGGACGGGATCGGTGGCGCCCCCGCCCAAGTTCAACCGGGAGCGAGCCATAGCCACTCTGAACCAGGCCTCGGCGTCCCGGGTGGGGGACCCCTCCAATTCGACTTCGACTGTGCGGAACACCCCAGCTGTGAAACGCCCGACTTCGGGTGGCCAGTTTACGTTTCCGCCGGGCATGCAGGTGGGCTTCCAGTCCTTGACTATCTCAAAAGAAAACACTGACTAGCGGTGCAGAATCCTCTCAAGCGCGGACCGGAAGCTCTTGCGTGAGTTCTGTCTGTCCATCGACCGTGTCATCCATGCCTGAACCGCAGACCTTGTAGCACCCGAATGCCTCTGGGAACCCTTGCATTAGAAGGACAGGACGCGAAGAGAGTCAGGAGATGAGCGTTTGTGTGATTACAACACCGATACATCATGTCAAGTTCCCACAAGCTATTGAGCTCTAGATAACGGAGTAGATCGAGAACGTCGACACAGAAAGTGAGGAAAGGGTGTGGCAGCAAGCAAGATAGCCAACAGAGGTTTGTGCGGGTGTGGACGCGAGATGTTCGCGCCATGGGTCCCAGAGCCGATGGAAGGGGAAGAGAGAACCGCCCCGGTAATTTGCCGACTCTGTTGTCTGCGAGAGACTTGTCTAAATCTGGTGTATGAGTGCCCGAAAGCTGAGATGCTTGGTGACGGTGAGCTTGCCTGGGTTTGTGGTTGTCGTCAGGGTTAATGGATAAAGGGGCGCAAAGAGCGCTGCTTTCTAATTAGATCCTCCATTACGAGCAGAACAAACCCGTATCGGTGCCTCCCCAGACTGAACAGGCAAGAATTACAGAGACGGGAAACAAAAGTGGACTATACCGGAGTCGAACCGGTGACCTCCCGCAGCACTGTCATGCTAAGCGGACGCGCTACCAACTGCGCTAACAGCCCATGTGTTACGTAGTTCGTTAAAGAGATTCTCGGTCAGAAGTGATTTTACTCATTCTTCACTCCGCTACATATCTTACACATTCCCAGTTATACTAAGTGATACAGATGATATTGATATTAGACTTCACGCACCCCCTACACGTAGGGACCGCCTGACACACCGCCGGGAGCGTTCCCAACTCCTGCTCCACCAGCGGCAGTGCCGCCCACACCACCCAGATGCCGGTGATCAGGATGAGCGCCTAGTGCAACGGCGCGGTCGCGCCTTGCCAGCGCCTCCGCCTCGAGCCGCTCGGCCTCAGAAAGCTCGGCGCTCTGAACTTTATACGCATGGGCTTCCCTGCACTTGGGCGTCACACAACACACATAGACGCGCAAGGAAACTAAACGCACTGTTCTTTCTGGAGTCCCTTCGCCTTAAGCGACTCGCTGCCGACGAGCGAGCCGAGCGCCTTCTCGATCTTGCCGGTCGTCGCGCCGTGCTTGCTGGGGCGGCCCGTGGTGCCCATGCCTGCGGTGTTGTTCATCGCTGTCGGAGGGGCGTTCGGGTCGTTATGCAGGCCGCCCACGCCAGGCGCGCCGGCGTCCATCGGGTGGTGATGGCGTCCGCCGCCGACCTGTAGATGTTGACTGAGCGCTATGCGAGGGTAAGCGCAGAGCCAACGTACCCGTGCACTAGCGTTTCCGTCGTTGTACGCGGTACCGCCAGACATCCCGTCGTCGTAGTACTCGCCGGTCCCAGCTGGGCCGGAGCCTGGCACAGTGCTGTTGTTGTACCCGTCTCTCGCGTCCATATTGCCTTTGCGGTGCTGGTCCCTCCGTAAGGAACGTCACGACCCCAGAAGTAGAAGACTACGCACGAGAGTGTTGTGAGTGTTGTTGTTGTTGTTGTTCGAAGATCCGAAAAGAGGCATGATGAGAGTCGTTGGGTCGTGTGAGTTAGTTGTTGATCGTTAGTTGTGAGCAGCGGAGAGACTCCGACAGTTTATAAAGGGTAGATAGCAGGTGACGTTGCGCAAAAGCATGACGCGTGGTGACGAGTTGAACTCCAAAGTGAATGGACAGAGAGCGGGGCCACTCCACAGCGTTTGATCAGGTGACGGCGGCTGCTTGGCGGATTCGAAACTGACGGAGATATGTATACATCCCCACCAGGGCCACCACTGAACTCACGACGGCTCGGACAGAGGGATTCTAGCTGTCAATGAGAATGGTATTGAGAGAGATCAAGAGCAAACAGTATTTGACGGCATCATTCGATCTTTGACGGAAGTCTGCGAGAGGACTCGCACATCATCGCGGCCCGGGGCCAAAACTTGTTGTTCGAGCGCCTCTACTATGCTCGCTTAGCTACTCTGGACTTTGTACCCGCTGGGTCACTATGAGGCCGAGCACAGAATGCAGTAGCGTCAGCCCACTGCTTTTTTGGAGACCCTTCGCTTTCAGCGCCTGGCGCCCAACCACAGTGCCGAGCGCGTGCTCCATCTTGACCGCCATCGATGCATGCCTTTTGAGCTTGAATCTCGAAGGGAGGGAGCTTAGATTAGATCGATCTTTCGGCTCACGGAATTGACCTCGCCACGCATGTCGCATCGCACCCGGTAACTAGAAAATCCGGAAATCCTATTCAAATGTATGCAATATCTAGGCGGACGCAAGACAGACCTCCCCTACGCCTTCTGAGCGCTCCCTCTACGCACCCTGAATGAATGCCGCTGCACGTACTCCCCCAGGTGAACATCGGACACCAGCACAATGAACCTGCCCATCCGGAGGGCGCTGGCGGCGATCATCCTCCGTTCCGAGCTCGAGCAAGTGGTGCGACCGGCACCATTGACAGCCGCCGCTGGGTTATTGCGTTCGTGTGCCAGTGCGGCCCAGTATCAAATACTCGTTGCTGGACCTCAGGACGGGGAGGAGGATCAATACAGTCCAAGCACTGCCGCATTTTTTCTCGGAATCGTCAATGGCCTCCCTTTGCTTCTTTTTTGGCTATCGTCTGCGAGCCAGATACCCGACATTTGGCTGAGGTCTGAAGTGAGATCGATTTGTGCATGTCGAAGTTCTATCTCTCAGCATCCGTTCGTGCTGGCCGTCGCGCCCTTAGCGCTGCCATCCAACGTCTAATGCATCGGCCCGCACATCCAGAGAATCAGCCCGGAGTAGGTGATCCAGTTCTGCTTGTGACTGCCTATCTTAACCGTCCACATGCAGAGTACGTTCAATGCGAGGCCACTGCTGGTCTAATCGATTCAAGATACATTGGCTGTAGTAGGAGAGCATATACAATACATTCAGTCTATCGCATGGCCAAAAGCGAGACGGAGGATGAGCTGGGTAGCCAGGTCGAAGAACATAAAGGGGGACGCTACGGCATCATGGACGTGCGACCCATCAGGTAGCATCGACCGGGCATACGACCCGGGAGATATAGACTCGTTCTCTGATCCCTCCCGGGGTGCACGATCGAACTTGCCTGCACCGGGGACCGTCGAAGCGAGATACGACTGCTTGCGCGTAAAGTCGATCCAGTAGAATTCAGTGTTCAGCCGCGCCTGATACATGTTGATAGTCATGACGATCTGGGCGGGAGTGAGTCAGCCGGCCCGCTGGAGAAAACGAGACGACGGGAAAGTGCGGCACGTACCACGACTTCCTTGACCCTGGCGCGCGCCTCGATGCAGTAGATATTGGACAGATCCTTCCGTTCCGCCCATTCCATGCCCATCTCGCGCAACAGCCCGTAAATCTCGCTCAGAACCCGCATCGGCTCGCTGGAGCTCCGGATCCCAATATGCCATCGGGCACCCTTCTTGGTGCGTGGCCGATTCGCGCGGCCAGTCGGCGTCATGTCCAGGGGAGGTAGCGAGGTTCCCAGGATAGAGACATTCGACGGCAGGTGCGGGTCGTCGTCCTCATCGTCGTTGACGTCTTCCTCGAACTCGACCTCGAACGGATTATCCTCCAGATCACCGCCGTTCGGGGAGACAGCGTTGGGAGAGATGACGTTCCGAGGCTGACACTGGTGTGAGAAATGGCAAGGCCAGACACAAATGGGTCTTACATCCAACCTCGCCAGTTCGTCGTCTCGCTCCTGCTCGGCAGAGATGGCAACTGCAGAGGGAATGAGACAGAAAAAGCACAAATATGCAGCGGGGGACTCACGATCTTTCCCAACCCGCCTCTTGTCCTGCAGCAACATGTACGCAACCTTAACCTGATTCCCGCGGATGCCGTCATTCCGCCGCAGACTGTGGAGCACCTCCTCGCTGTCGACACCATCCAGCAGCTGCGCGAGCTCGTCGACGACTTCCAAGTCGATCAGGCCCAGACCCTCGACGAACTCGTTGTCCCGTGCCAGCGGGACAGCCGGCGCAGAGACGAGGGAGCTCAGTGTCCCGACGACCGCACCCGGGATAGGCGGCAGCGGCGTGAGATACCTCGGGAGCTTGACCGTGAACCAGGGATGCCTCATGATCTCGGCGACGGTTATTCGCTTGGACGGATCCAGCACGAGCATGGACTTGATGAGATTCTGGGCATTCGGGCTGATGTCCCTCGGTACTTGATACTTGACACCTGCGAGTGGGGTGGTGGTTAGCACGGGCGCAGGCTGCAGACTAGGAAACCAAACATCACCGCACTTTTGATCTTCTCGAACAACGTGGGCATGTCTTCATCCTCGAAGGGCAGCTTGTTACATAGCAAGGTGTACAGGATGATTCCCGAGCTCCAGACATCCGCATCCGGGCCGGCGTACTGGTCCCCTCTGATCACTTCCGGCGCAGCGTAGTTAGGACTGCCGCAGCTCGTCTTCAAAAATTCGCCGTCCCGCGTCTCGCTCGAGAGCCCAAAGTCCCCGATCTTGACGTTCAAGTACTCGTCGAGGAGGATGTTCTCCGGCTTGAGGTCCCGGTGCGCGATGTTCTGCCGGTGTGCATACTCGACGCCGGCCATAATCTGCTGGAAGAACCTGCGCGCTGTGTCCTCCTCGAGCCGCCCATGCCGCGCAATGTAGTCGAACAACTCGCCCTCGGCGTACTCGAGAACAAAGACGATGTCCTCGGGGGTAGTGATGACTTCGTAGCTTGAACAGGCGCGTGAGTACAGCCGCGATGGGAAGCAAGTGCGGAAGGTACAGTTTGATGATATGCGGGTGTCTAAGCATGCGTGTGTATTCGAATTCGCGGCGGACGCGCAGCTTGTTCCCCTCGGTCGCTATCACGGCTCGGGAGAGAAACTTCATCGCAACTCGGTGGCCGGTGACCTTGTGGATCGCCTCTGCGAGGAGTCTCAAATCTGCGAACCGCAACCGAGCGACAATAGCACGCACTTTTGACCTGTCCGAACGTTCCCTCGGCGATGTTGCTGACGATGGTGTACATCCCGAGATCGTTGGGACTGAACTTGACCCCATCGTCGCCATTCGTGTGTTCGTTGGGGAGGCCCGCCATCCGATGGAGCAGGAGGCAGTCTGAGGGCTGTAGTGGGCCAGGTGAAGTGTAATATGTGTACGTAATGTATGTGATGTCTCCCTGTTGTCGTCTGCACTCTGACTCAGCGCGGCGATTAGACAACGACGTTGACCCTCCAGTTCAGCTTCTCCTGCCTTGCCCTGCCAGCTGCTACCTTTCGCTCATCCCATCGTGGTTTAAACGCTCTCTCGAACGTATATTACACTCTTATTGGCCTCATTAGAAGGACCCCGGCTCACGGATCTTGTTAACGCCGTTGCCAAAGTCGGGAATCGTTGCACCAGCTCCACCCGGCCACGCTTGGTTTTCACGATCCAGCTTATTTACATGTGTCACCAAGCACTAGCCGGATCGAATGCTGGTTCCCATCCCCACCGATCCATGCTCGCGCAGCAATGAGTTTCTGCCGGACGCGCCTCGCCTACGAGTCCAGTGCGGCCTAGTCGTTGGACTGAAACGCAGTGCTTGATCCTCGAGCCTGTTTGATGTCGTCGCATATTCCGGAACCTTGGAAAGCTACATGTGCGTCTTTGTGACCTTTCCCATCATGAAGTCCTTCGATGTCTACTGCCATGGAGCTTCCATGCTTCCATGACTCCACTATGTTCCCAGACTAAGTGGTGGCGATATGTTCTTCTACGCGGTCACATGCTCGCTCGCGACCCAAATGCCACAGCTCGATTGATTGATCAAGGTTGAGCTTTGTACGTTGATGATAGCATAGTTACAGGGAGTAGATAAGATAGGGCAAGTATAATTTACACCGGGCACGATATAAACACCCAATACCAGGCCTTATAGCTTGGCCTTGGTCGCGAACTTGATCTCGCCGCGTTTGACTTCCTCTTTCGCCAGCTCGCGAAGCTGCCGGCGGAGGATCTTCCCAGCCGGACTGTTAAGCCATAATCAGAGGGATGGACCAGCAGTAGTGGCAGCCGCATACCTCTTTGGGATGAGATCGATAACAGCAACCCCTCCTCTCAGATACTTATGCTTCGCGACTTTCGTCTGGATCCATTGGGCTACTGCTGCCTCGAAAGCAGCTTTCTCGGCCTTGGATGAAACTTTGGCGGGGTCGGCGGGGACAACGTAAGCCCGCGGGAGCTCTGTGGCCTCGACAGGATCGTCCACGCCGATCACAGCCGCATCGGCTACACCTGGGTGCGAGAGCAGAATGGCTTCAAGCTCGGCGGGCGGGACTTGGAAGCCCTGCAATCGGATTCATCAACGACGGCTAGAAGAAGTAGAGACAGAGACGTACCTTATACTTGATCAACTCCTTTCTACGATCGACGATGTAGAAGAACCCCTCATTGTCCCGGACAGCGACATCGCCGGTCTTGAACCATTTGTCGGGGGTGATGGAGTGCTTAGTCGAAGCCACGTTGTTCAGGTATCCTTTCATGATGGTCTTCCCTCTCAGCCACAGCTCGCCTGGCTGGCCTTCTTCAGCGTCGACCAATCCATCCTCATCTTCGACCAGCCGAGCCTGCAAGTTCGGGAGGAGAGTGCCGCAGCTGCCGATCTTGCGCAGGGAGTCTTGGTACTCCAGCGTATGAGTCGAGGGCGACGTCTCAGTCAGACCGTAACCTGGATGAGATGAGTTCGTCCGCAACTCGACCCAGCCAGACGAACACACGCACCCTGAGTAATCCATAATATCGATCCGGCCTTTCGTTTCCCAAGTAGTCGCTTTCGGACCTGTCGGATTTCAGTGATCATGCACACAGGGCAGTTTTTCGAGCCCACCATCGAAACGAGTTCGCCACCGAGCGGAGCTGCACCAGACAGCATATACTCCAAGGAACTCAGATCGTACCTATCCACAGCTACACGTGTCCATCAGCGATCCGACCTCCGAGATCTCAGAACGGGGCCCAGCTGACCTTCGTGTCTCGCGAGCGTGACTAGAACAGGGGGCACAACGAACGAGTACATGACTCTGTATCGTTCAATGTTGGCGCAGAACAGTTCCGGGTCGAAGCGCTGCATCACGACGACCGGAGTTGCACAGGACAACGAGCCGTTCAGGATATTCGACGCCCCTGCAAGTTCCAGAGGATGAGCAGAGTATTCGAGACTGATCGTAGCACAGACGGACCGAAGATATGATAGAACGGAAGGATCGCGATCATAGGCGTCTGGCCGTCTGGAGGGAGAGGGAAGAACCCTTTGGTCATGTCGACCACGGAAGTCATGTTCTGGTGCGTGGTCTGTCTGCGTGTAAGCACAGATCTTCAAAAAGAAAGAAAAACGCAATCCACCTCGACACCCTAGTAGCAAACGAGAGCTCAGTCTACGTGAAGCAAAGGGCAATGAACGGACGCACCTTGGGCTTCCCCGTAGTCCCTGAACTGTAGCAGAGATACACCGTCTCGTCCCCAAGCCCGTCGAACTTTTCCTCCTTTGCCAGCTTGCCCTTCGCCAAGAGATCCTGCATCCAGACCAGGTTCTTCAAGTTCGCGGGCTTGGGTGCCTGTGGCCCCCCTGCCCAGCTAAGGTCCTGTTGCGGCATGACCACGATCCTCGTGTCCGCCTCCGCCTCGGAGAGCCCCAGCAGCGAGAACATCTCTCGAGCGACGGGCACAGTCTCCTCTGAGCAGACGACGATCTTCGCTCGGCTGTCCTTGTACTGGTGCTCGAGCTCGTGGTGCGTGTACCCGCTATTCGCGAGCGTGCATCGTAGGCCGGCCGCGACGCCTGTGGAGAGAAAAAAACGTCCAGAGCATGAGTCATCGTCGTACACTCAGCGCTGGGGCTGCGCAGTAACGGAAAGCGAAAAATGGAAGGACACGAGGCGAGGGGATAAGCGGCGAAGAACCACCGCTCGTGACGATCCCCCCTTACACTGTATATGATACGCCGTGCCATAGCGGTTGAAAGCGTGAAGACAGCATACACGAACTCACCTCCGTATAGGACGACAGGCCACGCCAACGAGTTCGGAGAAAAGATCAGCAGCGTATCTCCCCTCTTCGCCCCGCACACATGTTTGAGCCCGTACGCGAGCCGTAGCGTGAGATCCTTCAGACCACCTCGCGTCAGCGTCGTTCCTGTCGGGGCGTCGATGAAGGCTTTGAAGGATCCCGGATACCCCCCGACGTCGTCTCCTGAGGCCGTGCGGGATCCCAGGAGGTGCGTGTAGATCGAGGTGTTGACGATGGGGACGGGGGAGTAGCCCGATTCATAGATGCGAGGCGGCGCCATGGATTCTACTCGTGAGCGTGCAGTGACCGAAGGTGGTGGAGGGGGGATGCCGGAGCGAGGACAGAGAGACCCCCAGCCGTTATAAGGAGGAGGTTTCTGAGTGATGTCTCGGAAAACATCCGGCTTTCCGGGGGCTGATGTGCCGGATACACATAAATGGCCCGACTCGATGAATAGCGAGTCCTTGCACAAGCGCGCTTACGACCTTGCGGTGGCCGAACAGCCCGATCGCACAGAAGTTGGCAGTGGAGATTCTTGGACATCTTCTCAGGCTGAGTCTTGTTGCGGTGCATCCGGACTCCACATCATGGATGGTGCCCTCCCTCATGAAGCTCATCCCGAGACAAACGTTTCTTTTCTCTCTGTCGCAGCGCCAAGCAATGACCAAGGATCCGGCAAAATGCGCCCCAGATTCTCCGCAGCGGGGCCCCGCAGTGCACTCAAGCGGCTGATCTGCCTGATCCCGCGGGATCCGGACCGGACGTGTGATCACTTGTCTTGCCGGGGAGGCGCATTCGGCAGTGCCGGTGAAGATGCAAGGTCGGCGAAGAATATAAATTAAGCCGCAGATCCAGTCCAGTACAGTATGATGTCAAAAGCGAGTCGTAGGCTACAGCTTCGCTTGGTTGTGCTCCGCGTTGGCCAAGTCTTTAAGCTCTCTCCGCAGGATCTTACCGGCCGCACTGAAAACAGAACGTCAGGGGAAATTGATTAAGCACACCACATAACATTTACCTCTTTGGTATGATGTCGATCACTCGCACCCCTGTGTAACAACCGCATTCAGAGCTGAGAAGAGCAAGACGCAAGCAGGCACAGACCTCCGCGCAGGAACTTGTGTTTCGCGACTTTGGTCTGCATCCATTTGACAATGTTTTGAGCATACTCTACCTTCTCGGCATCTGATTGGAGAGAATCGGGACTAGCGTGAACGACATATGCCCTAGGATGCCCGGATGAGCACTGATGATGTCGAGAAAGGAAGGGAGAGGCAACACACCGAGGAAGCTCTGTCGCCTCCTTCAAATCTTCGATACCGATAACAGCGACGTCTGCGATGTCAGGATGTGTCAAAAGCACGCTTTCGAGCTCTGCTGGAGGAACTGGCCGCAACTTCGGATAAGCTTCGAGACCGAAAGCCCATGACGGACACAGACCTTGAAAGCCCTTGTACTTGATCAGCTCCTTCTTCCTGTCAACGATATAGTAGAATCCGTCTTCGTCCCGGTAGGCAATGTCTCCCGTCATGAACCAGTCGTCCGGAGCCGTCGTCTCAGCCGTAGCCTTGACGTTGTTCAGGTATCCCTTCATGATCGTCTTGCCTCTGATCCACAATTCGCCGCGCTCTCCAGGTTGGGCATCGCCACCGCCATTCTCCGAGATGATGCGTGCCTCCAGATTCGGCAGGAGAGGGCCAATGCTGCCGGCTTTTGCGTCCGACCGCGCGTCAAAAGGAACGAGATGTGTCGCCGTTGTCGTTTCAGTGAGACCGTAGCCTGTGCAATGCTTCAGTCAAACCATCTACGTGAAGAGATTGCCTGAGCCCACCCTGGCTGATCCAAAGAGTTCCACCAGCTGCCCGCTTCGACAGTAGCCTCTGCTTGACAAGCCTGACGAGGTCTGCACCCAGCGGCGCCGCAGCCGAGACCATGTACTCCAAACTGGAAAGGTCGAACTTATCCACGGCTGGGTGGCGCGCCAGGACGACCAGCATCGGTGGCACAACATAAGCGAAGCTGATGGCATATTGTTGTATGATCCGACAAAAGTTGACTGGATCGAATGCCCCTTGCAGAATGGTGGTCCATCCCAAGGTGAAAGGTATGTGCAGGATTTGCATGAGACCTGCGACAAATCTCATTGGTTGATCGAGGGAATGTTTGCGGTGCGGCATACCATAGATGTGGTACAATGGAAGAATACCCAAAACAGCTTCCTTTCCCACTGAGAGTGGTGGCAGCTGACTTCTCAGGAGATCGGCGAAGACTGTAACGTTCTGGTGCGTAGTCTGTTGTCCATTCAGCTCGGAAAAGTTTCCGATGTCGATCAACGCACCTCCACCCCTTTGGGTTTTCCCGTCGTCCCAGAGCTATAACAAAGAAATACAGTCTCTGTGGCCAGCTTTTCCCCGTCGAATTTCTCCTCCTCGATCAAAGATCCCAGTCCCAACAGATCACCCATCTTCACCAGCGCTGCGGCGTCTTCAGAGACAGATGCCGAGGGTCCGCCTGCCCACGTCAGATCTTGTGTCAGCAAGATTGTCCGTCGGTCGCCCTCTGCCTTGGAAACACCGAGCATCGCAAACATCTCGCGAATAGCAGCCAGCCCCGCCTCGTGCGTCACGACCAGGCCCGCGCCGCTGTCCGTGTACTGGTGCACCAGCTCGCGCGGGAGATACGCGCTGTTAGCCAGCGTACAGCGCAGCCCCGCAGCGACAGCTGGATCACAGGTCAGCTCAGCACCCAAGGGCCATCAGGGCTCGAAATAGCAGGTGACTAACATCCAAATAACACCACTGGCCAGGCCAGCGCGTTGGGGCTGTATATCATCACCACGTCGTCGCGTCGCGCTCCGGCCCTCGTGCGCATCCCAAAGGCAAACTCGAGCGCCAGCTGCCTCAGCTGCACGCGCGTGACAGTCGTGCCGGTGTCCGCATCGATGAACGCGGGCTTCGCGCCGGGGAATCCACCGACATCCCCGGTCCTGGCGTCCAGCGAGAGGATGTGCGTGAACACTGAGGTGCTCACGACAGGGACCGACGGGGCGGGGGAGGTGTAGATGATGCCGCCGCTCGAGGAGGAGGAGGAGTAGAGGGACATGCTTTGTGTCCGTTGCTGGCGGAGCGAAGTGCAGGAACTATGCCGGTGATGGGCGTCGTCGGTCAGGTATTCCCAATACCGGTGCTTTATAACATGCCATCCATCCGCCCTTTGGCGAAACGGCCTATGGAAGCTAGACGGTTACAGCCACCATCTACCATATGGTCCGCATCTGCTTCTTCTGAGTACATGTTATGATGAGACGCGACCACGCCCTGGAGGACCTGATGCATCGAAGGGACCTGAAGAGAATGCAGTCGCAGGACACTGTCCATGCCCTGATTTTGCGCGTCTGTTTAGGAAAGCTCGAGCACAGACACCGTAGCGCGTCGAGAAGGAAACGCTAGCCTGCAGAAGCTTACATAACAAACTGCGATTGATGTTTTGATCATCGTGATGCCCTCCGATTGCGCCCTCGGTTGATCGCACTAATGACGCTCGCTGATAGCACATGCAATTGTGTTTGGATCGGTATCTCTCCTTGGGGTCTAAGTTCCAGCATCTCGGTTCGTCAATCTTGCGCTATGATGTGAGTATGACAAGGACTGGGTTATGCTCGTAGATGGAAGTGATGATATATTTAGGTAAGCACATCCCGTGCTGAGAGCTTGTGACTAAATAGAAATAAATAAATATGTAGATGACTTGAAGTTTTTGGAATGGATGAATCGAGCAAAGATACAGGGAATGGACGGCGTCAAAGAGCAATTCGATGTTTCGGGCATGGCGGATCGTGAGTGATAAGATCGTTCTGTGCGTTCATTCGTTCGGTCTTCAAGGCCGTTGTGGCAGTTGGATAGCGGCGTGTGATTTCATTCACCGATAGTAGATCTTCCCAGCCGTAAATCTCAGAATGAAGGCTGCACCGAGAAAACTGCACCTATCGCGAGTCGGTATAATCCAAATTTCCAGCCATTCGGTGTGGTGCCGAAGAGAACGATGACGCCGAATTGCTAAAACTTGCAAGTGACGAGGAGGCCAAGCTCTAGTGATGTAGCCCGCGCATGAAGGATGATAGATCTAGCACAGGGCCAACTTGTCCCCGACATCGAGCTGAACGTGACCAGATGCGACATGAGCTGATATCAGCACTTTTGACAAACCGCTAACGGAAGTCCGGAGAGCGCACTGGAGATGCTCCCGCAGTTTCTATATGTCACCCACGGCAAGTAAATCATCGGGGGGCAACTCATCGGAGTCAAGAACGCGAGGGTCGCCTTTGAGGCAAATCATAGGCGGGAGATAGAAACACTGTCCCCCGCAGTTCGGTGGCTATGTGCCTCCGGATGAGATCCCTGTGCTCGTTGGCGAGGGAGACATGCGTTGGAACGACGGCGAGATCAAGGGAGACGGCGCGTGCGAACATTGTGCGTGTCTTGCTACGGGGTATGTGCAGAACATCGTCTGGCGTCTCTCATGTCCAGAAAGACTGCCAGTCGTAGACAGCTTGAACCTCCACGGCGGCGGTCTCGTTGTAACCCAGATAGAAGGAGGTAAGAAAAAACGCGCGTTTGATCATACTCGTTGAGTACTTTCATTGGGGTGGAAGTCAACAGGGTTTCCGTCAATTCTCCTAGCCTGGTAATTGGCAAAAACGAGGGAAATCAACACCGGTATTCTCTGTTCAGATCTGAGGATGTCGGGTGGGCGCGTCCACCACGCATTCTCCACAAACGGAGCGCGTGCTGTCCCTCGTTCTCTGCAGGCAGCAAGAAGGACACCATCTAAAAGTAAGAGAAGTTGCGATCTAATCTTTCTGCAAACTCTAATGCTCTGCTTGAGCTCAAGGACCAATATCCAATAATCGATCTATCAAGACGCTAATAATCCTCTATGTTAACCCACAATTGATCCTGCGAATATCAATTGCGGTCCAAAGTCATCACGTGATCGCGATTGCCCATCTAATTCTATCAGTCGCCCATGTCGAAGGCGGGAGCATTTGAGGAGCGGCAGAGCTGTTCGTGCTGCAAAGGCCTACGAAGAAGAATGCAAGATGCTTTTGATGAAGTCGGCAAATGAGTCGACGACTTCATCCGGTGGGCTGATCGTCCGAGCCTCATCCCCGGGTCGGTACTTTCCTGTCCTGACTACGACAACTTTGAGAGGAGAGCGGAAGCAAAAGAACAGGCTGCTTACCGAGCACACGCCACAACCCCAGCTCAATCGCCCCCGCACCCAGATCAGCCTCGACATCATCTCCGATAATGGCGATGCGCCCACTACCCGGCTCCAGACACATGTCACTGATCACCGTCTCAAAGAACGCGCGAGACGGCTTCCCTACGACGGTAGCTTTCGTCCCGGGCCCCGCAGCATGCTCGAGGGCCGCGACGAACGGACCAGGCCCCAGCGCGAGGCCGCCGCCGCCCGCGTGCGATTCGAGGTACCGCCCGGCGTGCGCCGCGATGAGGACCGGCGCCTTTTCCGAGAGCACGGGATGCTCGCGCGCCAGGATGCGGAAGGCCGTGTTGAGGTGCGCGTAGTCGAGCCGCGCGGGGCAGAGTCCGATCACGACCGAGTCGTACGGCACAGCCGCCCCATCGGAGTCATCGTCACTCCCTGCGGCTGTTATCTCGCGCCGCGCGGAGTCGGAGAGGATCATGAATGGTCTGCCTATCCACTGTCAAACGATATCGTGAGGTCAGGAGCGCGGGTCGACGGACCTATCCACGTTCAGGCGCTGCATGGTGCTCTTGACGGCGCCGATACTGGTCCAGACCTCTCGAGACACAGAACCCGCTGCACTCCGCCGCACATCGAATCCGAGCTTCTCAAGACGCGTCGTCACGTCCTCCGTGGACTCCTTGCTGGTGTTGCTGCAAAGCCGGAAAGCGATCCCTGACTTGCGGAGGCGACGAAAAGCATCTACTGCACCTGGAGTTGGGTTGGGTCCAATGTGAAGTGTGCCTGATATGTCGATGAGGACGGCACTGATAGATGGTCGGATGGCCATCGAAGCAAGAGGAGGCCGGATGTGGCTACGTCGTAGGGCACGTGATGATTAGATTAGCTTGATTCAGCTGATGGACTCAAAAGTATTTGAACTTGAGATGAAAACAAATTTTAGCTTGAGCAATGTGGCGGTCTCCTGTATTCCAAAGTTTCTAGAACATTACTAAATAAGCTCAAATAGTCCCGAAGACTCCTTCGGCGACACCAAGTCCTTCAAGAATTGAGTGATCCTAGTTGCACATTCAACATTTCTGATCTAAAATGAACAGAAAAAATCAGAAAATACAGGAGCCCTAGTGGATTTATCTCCGCATTCATCTCGAAACTAGCTCGATCTTGACCGGACCCACTCGGGTCTTGGTATGTACGTCGCAAATGAAGACATGCCTTGCATAATCATCTAGAACGACATCGATGCAATTCCCCGGCGATCAATTGCTTCTCAGCCTCTAGCCAGCAACTCGAAAGAAAATTCAGCCTTCAGCGTTCACACATGCATCTGATCCAGCTGCACAGGCTCCATGGAACAAAAAACAGACCAGTTCGTGCCCAAAGTCATGTGTAACTTCATCTGATTACAGAAACCACCGTTAGAATCCCACTTGTCGACTCATACCAAGGATACTAACGACTTTAAGCTGTGCGTGTGAAACATTTCGACGACGCGTCTAGACTGCTAATGACGTATACAAGTTGCAGTTGGAACCAAACACTTCCCCACGTGATCGCTCCTTCCTACCACGAACCAGCAACTCTAGCAGTAACAATGACCTCAATGTACTGGTACGCTGATCCGCCCCCTCCGGAAAATCGTATATACCTCATCGGACAGATCTCGACTGAGGTGGAGAACAGAGCGACTGTGGCGTGATCGAACTCGATTTAGGCTTCCTGAGCAGATTGATGGTATGCAGCGGGCCGGCGGTTCGCTGGTGGAGCAGAGGAGCAGAAGGCGACGAGCGAATTTCAGGCTTCGCAGGAACGTGCACTCGGGCTTCCGGTGTATGGTCGTGTGTCGTGCTCACATGTATTTCGGCAGGCAGATCGAATACCTCGGACGGCAGAGACTTGCAGAGCGCTTCGAACAGCTTGCGGGAAGCGTCTGCGTCGAAGGTCCCTGTCTTCATGGCCGTCACCAGTGTGACGAGTTTGGTGGAGATGACCGGGATCTGTCGGGATAGAATAAACGCTTCTGTCGAGTTGCCACGGAAGATAGAACAAGCGCACCGATTCGCCGACATTCTCCATCATTTCTGCACACTCTCGGACGTCTCTGCGCATGATCTCTGCTGCTTCCTCGTCCGTCAGAGAGTCCAACTCGCATGCAGATGCCAGGTTCGTAAGGTAGTATCGCACAGGATAGAGGGTGCGGTCGAAGGCCCGGACAGATTCAGCTGCTGTAGCGGAGAACGTCGTCGGCCAAGGTCCACCATGTAATTCGACATGTCCAAACACGATAGTTGGCCGATAGAATGTTCGTGGAGAAACGTCAAGCCCTGTATGCGCGTATTCAGCATTTGTTTCCACCTTCATCTACCGCATTTACCTCTAACACTTGTCGGAAGAAATCTACGCAATTGGCTACATTCTTCAGTGGAGGCTCGTTGAACTCCACGAGGCGTTGCAGGCAGAGGAACACGTGATCGTCTCGGTGCACCGCGCATAGGATGTGGGGGATAGGGTTCCATGGGTCATCTCGGTATTGGTCATGGTTGAGACGGAGTGTGATCAGCAACTCGGGCGAGGACTCATGGAGATATTTGATGAGCATTGAGTCCGTAGCGGCGTCGTGTGATGCGGCGACGGCGACCTGACGGCATCAGTTCTCTCGCGCTAGGACATTTCGAGGATTGGCAGGGTGCGTACCGTGTTCCGGGACTCGCTCAACGGGAAGGGCTCCTCCATCATCAGTTCGTCAATGAGTGACTCGAAATCGCTAGTCGTGCATCGTGTTGAGCCCAGCTGCCACCTGGCTCAGAAGCACAGCACACGCACATGTCATACACGACGGAAGAGTTCTCGGAGGACGAGGAGGACCGCCACGAGACATCGCTGCATGCGGAATCTGGCCGAGAATGCGACACCCCCTGAGTGTGCAGGCTGCGCGTCGGGCCTGGACCAGGCAAGCGCTGCAGCGCATTCTCCTGGGACCAGTCCAGGTCTTCGAGCGTGGCTTCGGAATCACTGCTGTTGTCGGATTCGGAGGAAGAGGACACAAGAGGGCTAGAGACATGTGGCTGGTGCATGGTGGAGTGGAGCGGAAACGAGGTCATGGTTGTCGCGGATAGGGGATTTATGTCAACCGGGCCGCGAGCCCTTGACGTCGGGTACACACGTGACCGTATCGTCGTTCAAGACTTCAGGTTGAGAACTCGAAGTTCCCAAGTTAATTTCAACAAGTCACGCGCGTAGCAGCAGAACAGAAAAAATTAAGAGAAGTCCCTAAACAGTTCTTGGCTGGACGGCTCACTCTTGACTCTACTGTACGAAGGGGCCGGGCGTCATTCTTCAAGCGGATGCCGTGCCCTCATCCTGCACCTTGCCTCTCAAATCCCCACGTGCTCTACTTCTGAATTCGCCTTCCTGCTTGAGCTGACGGGGGAAGAGCGCCATGCCCAGGAAATAGAGCACCCAGAAGACCTGTTACGCGGCGGTCGTATCAGCCCAGAAGATCAGGCAAACACCGGACACTAACCACGACGAGAGCAAGCCAAGCATGTTTGGCAGAGTCGGGCACTTCATGGTTCTCCCCGATGGCGTAGTTCCACTCGGTGTACAGGCCGTAGTGCGCCTAGCAACAGATTAGTCCACCTCGGAAGTATCCGCAAACGCTCTCGCTCACTTGATAGGCGGCCAGTGCCAGGATGGTCAAGCCGAGCAGCACGTGGATGTAGTTCTGCGGCGGGCGGTGGCCTCTGAAGAGACCCGCGCACTTGAAGAAGTGGATGACGATCCCCACGAGCAGCTGGAACACATAGAGCGCAAGCAGAGCGACACCGATCTTCTGGTGCGGGTCATGCACAGTCAAGAACCCAAGCTGCTTGGACAGCTTGTGCCCCTCCGCCCAGCCAGCGAAGATCACGGGACCCGAGATGACGAGCTGCAGGATGGCGTGGCCCCAGAACCAGCTTTTCTCAACCTGTCAGACGGGAGCAGCTGGCAGCAAACAGAAAACACTCGCCGGCCGGTGAAGGTGCGGACGTATCGAGCGAGGAGGACACCGAGAGGTAGGAGGATGAGAAATCCCACCGTGCACAGGATGGCGTGTGTCCGCGCGAGAACCTCCAGCGGAGACAAGGGGTTGCTGATGGCGTTGTCGCGGTGCGCGTTGACTGCGTCCATGGTTGGTGCAGGTAGAGGGAGTGGGCGGGTTAGAGTGGTGTCATCACGCCGTTCCCTGTAACTCTATAACACAGCCCAACGTCCTTGGGAATTGCGCTCCTTATGCGGCGATGTCGAGGAGACGGCATGTCGGATGCAGAGACGCCGGGACAGTGCGTGGGATCGTCCATTAGATGAAGACCGGGACAATGCACTTCGGTGGTCTGGGTATGTGGGCGGGGGACCTTGGCTTGCTCCAGGTCGAGTGATGCGCAAGTTGGATTTCTGGAAGGCAAGTGTCCGCAGGCTTCCTGCGCAACGGGCCTGGAGTTAGTTTCGTATGCTAAAAACGGACAACGGGCGTAGAGATCGTGCCGAGCGAACCGGACAGACCCTGGGCAGCATCACCCCCAAGAAGGAAAAACCGCAGCACAAACCGCAGCAGCGGTTGTCATTCTACATTACTGCATCGCGGCGCGTGTTGCGGCGTCCTACCGCTCATGATCAGTCTGCATCACAAACCATATCGAAGAATGGAGAACGCGCGGAAGAAGCGTGCGGAGAACGACGAAAGATGACAGATGGGACCCAAAATTGGGTTTCCCGGTGGGTTTGAGGAAGCTGGCTGAGAGTGTCAGAGCGGCGTCAGTGCAACGGGAATCACCATCCGCTCGCTACCCTTAGGGTCTGATAAGGAGAAGTTTTCGCCGACGATCTGGGGGTTTGCTCGTTGAAGAACACGACGCCATGTGTCGCACTCGATCGAGTAGGAAGACAATACACGAGTCGTCGCCAGTCATCGCCAATCCTATCTTCGCTTCCGTAGCTGACTCGCCATGACTGAACAAAAGGGCGGCGCCGTGCTGGCGCCATCAGACGTGCGCCGTCACGTGACGACATCACATACCCAAAGCCGCGTTATGTCACAAAGTCTCCTTTCCTTACATTCGACCGCACACATTGACCTACCACCTCTCCCATTTCTCACAGTCAATACGGAAGCCGAGCACCATGGTGGCTTCAAAAAGTCCCAAGGCCGCGAAGGTCGCGCCGCGGTATACAGAACGTACGTCGTTGTGGAGCGTGCGAGTGTGGGGCGCGGTGCTGACTGGCTCGCTCATTCTAGGTGTCATGGGCGCGATGTCCCAAATCCAGCGTGAGACGCACAAACATGCCATCCGCACTGCGAGCATCCACGCGCGCGGTGCGCACTCTCGTCTCCTATTCTTGTACCGATAATTAACGATCGTCATGACGCGTGTAGTCCAGAAGATGGCGCAGGAGCGGAAGGAGAAGCTAGGCCCACATTGGAAGACGTTCGTCACGAAGGCCATCGGCGTCTTGGTGCGTCATTCTTCAGGCCGTCATGTTAATCGAGCCTGAGGACTGTCAGACGGAAGAAGGCATCCTGGAGAAAGATCATGGGGCCTATGCGTTGTCGCTCAGTGGCAAGAAGATGTACGCTGCGTTTCATTACATTGCCTATGCTCGAATCTCATATATCTAGTATTGCTACTGCCCGCCGCGCGCTGGACCTCCCGAGCAACAGCCAAGACATGACGATCGAGCAAGAGGTCGACCTGTGGAAACAGGTGCTCCGCACGCCAATTGCCACACCAACTCGCAAGCGGCTGCGCAACTCGCGTGTGCCCGCAGGGGATGACTCGGACGACGAGCTCGTGGAGTTGCCGTCATCGCCGATCAAGGGTCGTAAGCGTGCGCGGACGTCATCGGCTGCTGCAAGTCACCGACCAGTGCGGGAGCCGACGCGTGAGCCGCCTTCGCCCTTGACGGAGCTAGAGGAAAGTATGGAGAACGTGTTGGTTCCGTGCGTGTCTTTTGCATCACTGGTGGATCTTCCATGCATGCTAATTACAATCTTTTAGTACGCCGGCTACCGCCAGTGCCCGCCTCGTCAATCTCGTTCCTTCATCGACCAGCTGAGCAAACAACCAACACCCGCGCCGACAGAGATGGAATTGCACGATGACATCACCGATGAACCGGCCTACATCGAACTGCCAGCCTCTGCAGATAATTATAGCGCGACCGCAGTGGAGAGCCTGAAGGAGGAACTTGCCAAGGCAGAAAGCGCCGTCGTGGCACTTAGCCGTGAACTGAGAGATCTTCGCGAGCAACGGACGACTCTGGACTCTGAACTGGCCAGGACGAGAAGGCGGGCCGATGCCAATGCGGCTGAGAAAGTCATGCTGGAGGCGCAGCTAGCCGCTGACGTTCCTCGGACCGACGACGCGGATCTCTTGCCCAGATCGCCCATCTTGAGGGCGAGAGAGGTCAGCTTCAGCAAACGATTGCGACTAAAGATGTCCATATTTCACGTTTGGAGGAACGAAACGAATCACTTGCCCAGGATGCCGTCGAGCTGAATGCGAAGCTCGCAGTTTTACGCGACGCTGCCGAAGCTTTGAAGCCTCAAATGGATGCTCTCGATAGTGCCTTGGCTGAACGGATCAGCATCCAAACGGTCTTGGAAGAACAATTGGCTGCAGCAAAGAAGGAAGCCGAGGATATGCGGTTGAAAGTCGGTGTATTCGAGACTTCGACTCGTCAACTCCGGACGGAGATCGAGTCGAAGGCAGCACAACTAAGCGAACGAGAAGCTGAGCTCGGGGGTGAGCTAACTGCGAAGGCCGGAGCGATGTCTGCTTTGGAGAGTCGAAACGCCGAGCTCGCAGCCTCCCTGAATGAGGCTCGCAGCAAGATGATCGAAGCCGAGGCCGCAAGATCCTGTCTGGCTGACCGATTTTCCGAAGCAGAGCTGCGCAACTCGTCCTTCCAGGCCACCATTGACGAGTTGCGTCTGGCTGAAGGCCGAGCGGTGGCAAGCATCGAGCAGCTGTCCGCCGAGTCGGTTAAGCAGCTTGGGATTCGAGACGAAACAGTTGCTGCACTCAAATCTGAGCTCTTGACTGCACAAGAAGCTACGCGCGTGCAAGCGGCCCAAGCAGAAGAGACACTGACAGCTCTGACTCGGCAGCTGGCGCACACGCAAGCCAGCCACGCCGCCCTAGAATCCACGCTGGCCGTGACGAACGAGAAATCACGCTCGGAGCTGGAGGCCGCTTCGGCCAAGTCCGCCGATGTGTCCGCAAAGCTCGAGGAGGCTGTCAAACGTCTAGGCGAGGTGGAGACGCGCTTGCATATCGCCGGGAGGAAGCACACGTCAGAGATCGCTGACAAGGACGTGATCCTGACGACGCTCAATGATACGCTCGTATCGGCTCGGGCAGATGTCCAGGACATGGTCCAGAAGCTTGCGCAGGCAGATCGGGACCGAGGTCAGCTGCATGCTGATGTCGTCCAGATAAAGGGGGATTTGCAAGCCGAGATGGCGAATACACGTGATATCGCGGCGGAGCTGGAGAGCGAGCGCGCGAAGAGGGCGCAGGCCGAGACGTCCTTGAACGAGGTCCGAGAGCTGAGAGAGGCTGATGTTGCGACCATTGGTGCGCTCCAGGACAAGTTCGCCCGGCTCAAGGACGCCCAGATGGAGTTGTGGGTCCAGTTTGAGCTGGCGAGACCGAGTGGCCAGCCGGTGCTGCCCCCCGCGTCGTCGAGCAGCCTTGTGATTTGGTTGCTGCTGATCTGCGCTAGTGTTGATCTATCTTGATCGAATCATGACTTATCTTATTATCCGGATCTTCAGATGCTTACTTACTTGTGTATGTGCCTATTTTCTGCCATAAGTAATTGTAGTTTCCGTGTAGGCCGTCGACACCCGAAGGAACGAATAGAACCAGGTTTTCATTCTGTTCGTACCCGTAGCCAAGTCAGCCCATAGAACACCAAGCTAATCGAGGTCGTCAAGGATCTCGCATTACAATCTCGCATCAATCCTCAGTAGATCGCAACGATCAGGAACCTTCCAGGATTAGCGGGTATGCACGTGACCCGGTAACAACGTGTATGCCACGCGTGAGTGCCACGAGGATCTTGTCCCCGACGTACCCGCCATGGAAGGAAGTTTACTCGTTCTGTGTAGCTAAGACGGGAAAGGATCGACAGGTGGGCAGATGCAAATCGGGTGGTGGTTGCGCTGGACTGTTACTCAGCTGGAGGAGTTCGGGGGAATAAAGAATTGCCGGAAAAGTGGGGGGAACACACGCCTCGCCGCCACATTCGACTCCTGAGTCCGGAGGGAACTATCCGCTCGCTATTTTCGGTGCTAAATATATGTAAGCATGGAGTGGCCAAAGGGAGGTGGCGGTGTTGTGACCGACCGGTAGCGTCCGGGCCGCTCACGTTTTTCACATCATTCACGTCATCCAGGTATCCAGGCTCGCTTGTTTGTTCTTTCGAGAATGTCGTCGTCGTCGATGTCCACGACGGTTGATGTTGGCTGACATCCGATCGTCGACGCGCTATCGGTTCCTTAATTGTCCGTCGTAGATACACGGGTACGGATGGTTAAAGTCTCCAGGGCGACACCAAACTGCCTCCATTCATTCGTTCCCTTTCCCTTCCCTTTCGTTGCCCTCCCTTTCACACTCCTATGGTTTTCCGACTCCCCACGCATCTCGACAACTTCATCCCCCCGCCGTCAACCCAAGTGCAGAGCCAGCTCGGGCGGCCATGGCGCGGCATTCTCACTGTACGGGGGATGAGGGCGTCAGATCCTGGCGGCAACCAGGAGATTCGCGTCACGGCAGTAGAAACTGACGGAGATAGGTTTGTGCTGTCCCCTGACCGTCGATCCATGCCGCATGCTCATTTCCCCTCCCGCAGCCAAGTCGCTGGCTGGCCGACTCAGTTCTTCGCGCACCTCGTGCACGGATCGCCTATTCTTCGTGAGGCGCGCGCCTGGATCCACCAGCACGCCCCGCCCATCGCGACGTTCATGCCCGACCGGATCGCCGACCCGGATGCCAACGTGGTCAACCAGACCACATTCCGTTCTTTGTCCCGCATTCTTTTTGAAAACCAAATTGTTGCCATCGCCGGCTGGGGCAGCAGCAGCACTTTCCCAGGCGGAGGCGTCATTATTATCCCCGCCGAACACTCGAGCGCGTTGCTTGTCGCCGCTCTTTTCTTTGAACAGTTCCCCGACGCGCTTGCCTCTCGTTTACCGCCCACTTCGACGTCCCTCGTCACTCACGCGCCCCACATGCAGCCCCACATTCCTTCATTCATGTCGCCGCAGCCCATGCAGCCCATCTCGCAGTACTCGGTATCGCCGCCGCTCTCCGCTGGTCCGCGACCCGGCTACGGGATGGTGCATTCTGCCCCGAACGTCTCGTATCAACGGCTCGGCAGCCCTAGTCCGGTTGAGCAGCCTATCCGACGCTCCCGGCAGGAACACCACCTGCGTCTGCAGCTGCCGACGTCGCCGATCCAACCACCGAGCTCTTCTCTGTCCTCGTTCGAAACACAGGACGATGCTGGCGCCCAGTCGCCCCATTTTCTTGCCTACCAATCTAACACGACGACGCCGCATTACAACCGCCACCACCACTACCCTAGACCGGAGTGACGCAGGGTATATTACTCCCTGCGCACTCCCGCGAGGCCAGCCACGGGTCCCCCCAACAAAACTCTGCACACAACAAGCACTCAATACCCTCTGGTCTCCTCCACCCACCCTCCCTACAGCCTGCCTAATCCTGTCACTCCGAAAACGCAAACGAACTGAACTGTATTATCACCTCACCCGCTGTGTCCATCCTCCGTTCCACTATGATTCCCCGTGTAGATTACATCTGCCTCTTTCTCCGTGTAGCTTTTTCTCGGTCTGATCGCCCACTGCTGTATTACTAGTTTGGCTCCCGAACTCCTGCTACTTACCTACCCTAGTGCCGATTGTGTTTTTTTACCTGAACTGTCAATAAAAAAAGGATCCTGCAAAATTGATATGTACATGAGTGGCGATTGTTCGACATCAGACCAGACAGGACATTGACGTTGATGGTTGGTGACCATCGCCATTCTACAGACCCCGTCGAGCTCAGAATCCAGCGCGTTGGCTGCATCAGCAACAATCATATGCAGAGGGGAAGGACCGCGCAGACAGAGGGCTTCTTCGCCCGAGTCACAAAGCCAGACTGTCGGGCAGCTGAAGATCCCCACTTGACTACCAACGACGATCCCGATGTCGAAGCGAAGCCCTGGCTGCCAACTCGATAATATAATCGGAAGAGGGGGTGGGAGAGAGAGAGCTTCTCGCTCGCGTGGTAGTAACGTGGCTTGGTGGGTTCGACCCATGGGAAGCGCTTGGCTGTCTCCCCGGGCGGAGGCTTCGAAGAACTCAAACAACAGCATAAACAAGGTTCCGTCACGCATGGCTGGCCTCCGTGGGGATTGGACGGATCATCCGGGCGAGCGGTTCATCGACGTCGTCGGTGACGTCCGTGGCGACGTGCGCGGGGTGCCCAACAGGACGGCTTGGGACGAGACAATAGCGTCGCGTGGTTCGGGACGGTGGGACGGCGTCCGGAGCCTTTAGCGTGGCCCTTGGCGTCCCAGAGTCCCTCCGCGACCAGTGACGTCGCACAATAAAGCCTGGGAACGGGCGCGATATCGTGGCGCAGCGGCGGCGCTTCGCGTGATCAACAAGTACTTCCTGGTAACAGCTGTCTCATCCAGCCCCGATTCGATTCGATGCCTGGCCACTCTGGTACTATGTTTGGACCGCCGCTAGGTATCGGAGCAGATGGCGATTGAATTCGGGCTGGTGCGCAAATCAAGCCGGTGGAGATAGAGGCGAAAGGGCGCGAAGAGTGCTTGGATCCAGGTTACGAAGAAGTGGTCGTTGCAGGATCCGCGTCTTCATCCGAATCGTTCTCGCCGGCTACGCAGGTCTCTTCGAGGCCGCCATTGCAACTGCGGCCGCGGCCTACGTAATGAATCCGTCAGATGATCTTTAAATTCCTCCGGAATTATTTGCATGACGGAGCGGTAGGTATGGGATGGACCCAGAATGTTCACAACAGAAAGTGTCAAGATGCACTTCCAAGTTCGAAGGGATTCGCGCAAGGGCTCCTCACGTGCTCAGGTAAAGTAGATCACACGGCTTTACATAGCCACGTCCTGCCTACATTGGCAATTGTCCAAAAGCATCGGTTTCCTGTTTACCACTTTAGGCTTAGCATTCACCACGCGCAATGACCCCCATCGACTCGGATGCTTAGCACGACAAAAGAGACGACACGTCAGTAATCAGATATCTCCGCCCTATATGGAGAAAGCACGCACTCGCTCCCGGTACAGAAGCTGGACGCATCACTCGCCAGCCAGAGCGCGACGCCGCGCAACTCGTCCGATCTGCCGAGCCGGCCCAAGGGATTGAGCCCCGCCCACTTCGCATCGAGCCCGGGCTGCTTATCGAGGAACTCGCGTGTCATCCTGTGCGGCTGCAATGAGTATCGGGCCAACGGGTCGAAGATGGGCTGATCGCAACTTGGTGATGATGTGCCCCGGGCTGATAGTGTTCACACGTATACCCTTCGGCGCGAGCTCACATGCCATGGAGCGTCCCATCTGGAGGACGGCCGATTTGCTGGTGTTGTATGCGACCCAGTGGTGATCCTGTGGGAAGCCGTCCCGGTCAATGCGGGTGCTCGTTCTGGTTCAAGGTGGCGTATCCTCACTCTGTTTGTGATGGTCCCGCTCATTGAAGCAATGAGGATGATGCTGCCCTGAGTCCCGAGCTTCTCCATCTGTCTCCCCACAGCCTGGGCCGCGAAAAGGACACCCGAGACGTTCACGTCCAGAACCTGTCCCCCACTTGAGCTTACAGTGTCTACAACCAAACGCCACCCACTCTGCGAAAGTCGTCAGCCTCGTACTCCAAGCACTCGGCGCCGTGCAGGATCCCAGCGCCGGCGACGCAGATGTCGATGCGGCCCTCTTTCCTGACGATTTCCTCGACGAGAGCCCACATCCCTTTCTGGTCCGTCACGTCGCCGCTGACGTATTCGAGCCGCCCCACCCCGGGCATCGCAGCGGCGCTCTCCTGGACGGTGCGCCAGTCTGCGTCCGGTGCAGCAGGGATGTCGAGGCAGTACACGGCCGCGCCTGCCTCCGCCAGCGCCAAGGCCATCTCGAGGCCAATGCCACGGTGCGCGCCGGTGATGAGCGCCACGCGGTTGGAGAGCGAGAAGAGCGAGAGCGCAGTGGGGAGGGCAGGGGCCCCTGCCAGAGCAGATTCGACGCCGGGTCTCAGAGCCATAGGTTCGGTATTGTGAACGGGAGGGCCATGGAGGTGGAGTTATATATGCGCGGGTGGACTCGTGGGGATGAATTGCGGATGACGTCCGAGTTGCTCTCAGCTGACGGGAGTCAGGGGATCTCTTAGCTCCCTCTTACTCACGCATTCAAGTGTTGGATGCCACGCGAAGTCACTGTTCATCGACTGCGTATAGAGACTATCCAAAGATATTGAAAGGACCTTGATGGATTTGTACTGATGTAAGGTGAAGGCTTTGTGTCATCAACTCGAGAAAGCACACACTTTTGAAGTAACAAACCACTTACATTTTGCGGGTGCGCATCAACTCCGTCTTCACCGGACAGAACGAAAGACACATTCACGCTCTGCGTCTCGACTGCTTTCAATGACCCTCTGGTATAGTTCCTCATGACGATCTCATCTTGATTGCTTGAGCGGAGAGTTGCCGATCGAAAATGAAACGACCGTGGGCGAGAATGAGCCACATCGAACACAAGTGAGTAGCCAACCGGGCTCTAGAGCTCCGATGCCCAGACGACAGTGAGGCTGTCAGAGACGGATGCGATGCGGTTGTCCGTGCATCATCCTGAGCAGACGGAGTAGATCCTTGACTTCAGTCAGCTTTCAGCAGACACTGATGACAGCTGGAGGAAGAGCCCGAGTAGCTTGATAACAACAGTTCAGGACGAGTGGAAGATTAGGACCACAATCGGACGAATGGGGCCGGTCTGTGCAGGGGACGAACCTATCACGACGACCGGATGGTCCAGAAGTGGTGTCTTCGCATGAGAAAATGAAACTCCGGGGAGTATCCCACTACTGAACAGCAAATATGAGACGCTTTTTCGGCCCGTATGTTCGGCTGCGAGACTCGAATTTGTGTGCCATTCGAGATTGACTTCGACCAGAATCTTGACCTGAGGCCACGGAGGATCTAGCTTTGATTCCACGTCGTGCTCCGTTGATAGTCCATACGCTGGCTGGCGATAATGAGTAGTATTGATATCTCCCGCCCCGAAATGGAGATACCACGCAATGGGTTAGTTCTTTCGTCTAAAAACGACGATGTGGGTTGATCATGTCTTGGGTCAGGAGACGGAGTTCCAACTTCAGGGCTGGGTGAAGGTAGTAAGTGTGAAGACGGCGAGTATGACTGATCAGTGGGGACCGTTGGGGCGATACAAGAGTTGCTACTAGCCCGTGATTCGTAGGAACCAGTTTTCAATCGCAGCAACTAACAACGCCGTCCCGGCGAGTATCTCGACTGAGACATCATTCGGAGTGCACCGCATCAGGCCAACAAAAATATCCCCGGTATACTTCGCTCCTCCTGCAGCTACTAGGGCCTAAGTGGCACTGACTTCCGCATTTGAGAAGGTGATTTCGAAGGCGACGGCTTGCGAGGCCGAGAATCGCTGTCCGCGAAGGACTGATTGTGGTCCCAGCACTTCTGCAGACGGGTGGCTTGGGTGAGCTGAACATCGGCCATTCTTCAAGTGGCCGACCGACCTGGAAGCGGACTTGGAAGAGGATGATTTCGGCTTTCTCGTCCGATCAGGATGATACCATCCCTTGCATTATGGACCGAATGCTACCGATCACTCACCAATTGTTGATGACACACTTGGCTTATGGACTCGTACTCCATGCACAGCGCGACACCGTGTTCCCCGACGCGGCTGCAATCGTGCGGGCCCGCGGGAGATAATCGACGGAGTTCATCGCCGTATGCTGAGACGCAGACTCGATCGAAGCTCGACTTCAAGTGTGTCCGCGGGCTCGACGTGACGGCTTCTCCTTCCGCGATAAGCTACCAAGGCCTACGCGTCCACTGGTTTGTATAATCGCCTCTCTAGCTCCTCCGCCCCCATTCTTCTACCTTCTGTTTTGCTGGGCTCATCCCGAGCCATCTCGCCAGAGCTGATCTTCCGGGCGGTGGGGACATGTAGCACTGAATACGACTGCTTCGGCTTAGCGACGGTGCCGCCGATCCCTTTCCTCGCTAGGGCGTCTGTTTGCCGGGTGTGCCATCTCGGTCTTGCAGAGCTCTCCAAATCAGGACTTCCCTGGGTCAATTTCGGGTATGGCCTCCGCGTTCGAGGAACGTGAGCGCACAATGATAGCATGCTGCTTTCGCTCCCGCTTCTGCACTTTTTCCGAACGGTGCACGCCGTCTCCGTCTCTGCCCGCACGCGCTACTCCACTCAGGCCACGGTCCTGCAGCTCGCGCACACTCGACGCCGGATCTGCGCAGCGATGTCAATCAAGTCTCTGCTCCCTCATCCTTGGTTACTGTAGCAGGATTGTCGTCAGTTCTTCCTTTTCTTCAGCGCGGAAGTATTTGGCTTCTCATCGTAGCACGAAATGGACTGTCTTTCTACCACACTCTGCACCTGGAGAGGACGAACGAAGGGCTCTATCTCCCGGCCTCCCTTCAACGGGGCAGGAATTTGAAAGCTTGACGCTCAGTTTAGATCGTTCGTGTCTGCAGCCGATTCCTGCTTTGCGCGATTACATTATCATTGAATAGTCACTGGAGCGTGGGATTCCAAATGGAGCTTGGGCCGTGATGGTGAGCAGGAGAACCCTCCTTGCTGTATCGGGTTCCACTGGCTTATCCAATACTCGAGCAGACATGTCTGCTAAAAGATGGTGGCTTGCCGCGCTGCTTTACCATGCTTCTTCAGCGTTATACCCGTCAGCTACATGCGCTGTGTGGAGCGAATGGCGAGACAGTGCGAATTGTTCGAACGTTCATTTCCAAGTTGACAGTGAGGTGACAGTCCTGCTAGTCTCTTTACGCCGGCTCGGTGGGATTGAGGACCGTCTGCTCCAGTGGCCGCTGCATCGGCTCATACAGTTTTCGTTCTTTGATGCGAGGAGAGATGTCCGCCAATGGGCAACGTGCAAATACGTTAGGTGGTAGTCGGGCAGATCACGGTACAACCGTTGTTAGGACCCTGCGAGGCTCTAGGCTGTGGAACAGATCCCGTGGGTGCAAATGCCGGACCGCACTGAAGATTGTGGGCAGGCACGATAGGGCACCCCTAGTCTTTTTCCGCTTCTTATTTCAGCTCCTTGTCCACACTTTTATTGCTTTCATCCCAGGGGTCCCATCCAAGTGTCTCCTTTCGCGCCAGAACCCCTTTCTTCCGTACTCCTCGTTATTCTCGCTCATGGTGCCCTGACACGCGGATGGAACACATCTTTGCCCGCTTTCGCAGAGGGAGAGCCAAGAGTGATTCGGCCGCAGTGCAGTCGGGCTTGCCCCTCAACAATCTCGCAAGCACCGTGTCGTCGCACTGCCAGCAGAGGGCCGAGCCATTGTTGGAACGAAGGATTCATCCGGATTTAGATGCGCTCGTGGCAAGCTGGACACATTGCGCAGATTCAGAGGGTGTCCACGAGTCTGGGACTGGTCCGACAGAAGCAACCAGTGCGACAGAGATAACGACGGCGCTGAGACCGAGTGCGAGACGGCATTCCATCAGTGGAACAACTCCTGTGATACGACGGCCGGATGCAGACGACGAGCCTGCTGGTCCATCCATTATACCCGTTTCGTTCGCAGGGCGAACCCAGTCCCGCTTGTCGCGCATTACCAGCCGCACCAGCACAACTACAGATGACGCACGGTCTCCTTCAGCTGCAGATTGGTCAACGTTCGGTCGCGATGGGGGGAGGAGGGTGCTGCGCGTACCAATGGAGGAGTTCGGGGTGGGGCGTGCGTCTCTTAGTCTTAGCCAGAGCGAAACATCCAACTCTCAATGGTTCTCCCATTCTCGGCCGCAAACACCGGCGACACCTTCGACCGCGTCACATCAAAGGACAGAATCGGTGCCGGAGTCCCCACAATATCCCTCGTTCCGCTTCACCTTCGGCTCAGATGAGGATTCGAAGAGCGCACGGAGCGCGTCCCCGGCGTCGAATTCACCAAGGGCAGCGAGTGGCTTGGCTTTGCCTGAGCAACCGGGAAGAATCGAAAGCCGCCCGAGTTCTCCTAGCTCACAGGCCGTTCTTGACAAGAGTGTCTGGCTCCAACGGCGCGTCCAGAGAAGGAACAGCAAGGATCGAGCAAGTGTGCAAGACATATTCGATTTTCCCGCCTCGTCGCGGAGGCCAGGGCAATTCAGAAGACACAGCCATGATTCGCATCCCAGCCCATTGCGCGCCGCGTTGAAGAGAACAGAGGAGTTGTATCTGGGGTTGGAGAATCTTGCTGATGACAGTGTTTCGGAAGGCGGTAATAAACGTGACAGTGAAGCGGTCACTAATCTTGATCATGATTTTGATGCACGCGATAACCTCGTGGTGCGTGCCTTTGTTCTTCCATCTCCATCCTCCTCTCACTCTTTCACTCATTTCCTGCTTCATTCGTTTAGGACCCTTCTTCCTCCCTCTCGCCGCGCATTTTCACTGGTGCGTGGGCTTCAAAGGGAGATTCAATAGGATCCTCACCGTATAATTCTCACACAGAGTCTTCCCACTCATCCTTACCTACCCCACACTCCCTTGAACCCTCGACATCGGCCATGGACCCGACTAAAGTCTATCATGCTCCCCGCTTTGCTCAGCCGCACAAACACGCCTTGAAGTCCGCCCGATCCCGCGCAGCAAGCGAGGGATCGGGAATCGTTCTCCGGCCTCGCCCTCCTACTCGATCAATCTCCGAAGTGGCAGCGACTACCAAGGACAAGCGGAAAGCTCGTATCTCTGACAGCGAAAACACCCCTCCTCTATCTATTGCTGCGACGAACCGCCGGACCCGCGGTAAGCCAATTCTGAGGTGTCTTGCTCTTTGCGGGGAACTTACTTCCAAACGTGGCAGTCACCCCCACTCTCTCACACTCACGCTCCGCATCATCATCCCAAGCTCCTTCATCCTACACCCCCCAGCAGCAGCGCACCACTAGACTCCGCCCTGCCTCCGACTCCCCGCCCTCTCCGCTGTCCACCACAAGCGACTCCGCCACACCAGAATCCACCCCGCCCCGCAGGTCCAAGTCGACCCGCAGCTCGCCCGCATCCGTCAGGCAAACGTCCCGCGCCACATCCCATATGTCGCAGACGTCCCTGCCCATCTCCGCGCTCGTCTCCCCGCACGCACCGTCGATCGCGCGCTCCGCGGGGACAAACTACCACATGCGCGATCCGCGCAAAGCGCCCCGGGTGCAGCCGACGGGCTGGGCGCCTATTTGGGGAACGAGCCCCGCGCACGCGTGGCTGTTCTTTCTCGGGTTTGTTGTCTTCCCGCTGTGGTGGATTGCGGGGCTCCTCGTTCCCGTGCCGAGGACACGCAAGCTGGATGTCGAGGAGAAGGCCGGGCGCGCGGTCGTCCTGGACGATCCTCAGATAGAATCCGGTGCGTCGCGATCTTGCATTTAGTGAGCGAAGAGCGCTGAATCCGGACGTATAGATGCCCTTTCGTGGCGGAAGCGGTGTCGGATCATGGCAGGAGTGTCCTTGGTCACTTACATCCCGTTCATCGTTCTCCTCGTCGTTTTCTTGACCCGGTCGTAGGACCGCCATCCCTGTCCTTTCCTGATATCCACAGCCCCAACTCTACGGGCGACGCGAATTGTTGTTGTACTTGGCTGTAAATGTCCCCGCCGTCCTCTACGTCGATGGGATCTGTACTATCTGATTCCACGGCACTGGTGCACGCATTCGTGGTCGTCTGACGCATACTTCACATTGTACCATTAGTAACTAGTCAGAAATATGTATAAGTTAAATGGAAGATCTCCGGTAAACGCATCGTCTTGTTTCGCTTACGAGCTGCGCGAGGGACGGCCTGCGAGAAACCCATGTCCTGAGCTGACACGGTCACGTGGGAAGGTAGTATCGTGGGCAAACGCGTGGTAGTCTTGGAAATCGGACTGCTGAACTTTATCAGGACCATTTGAAGCTCAGAAACCATCGATAGATCCGTCCGAGGACTTTGGCTCTGGCGCTGTTTCTCGGAGGGTGTAGACTATGCGAACTTTGTTACATAGATGGGGAGATTGTGTCGCCTGAGACCAAGCCGAGGACAGTTTCTAGGAAGTGCCTCATAACTACATCACGAATTCTGGAAGCGGGACACCCTGGTCCCGCAGGCGTTGATGAAGGTGGCTGGTTCAAGCACCAGAGTACTTTCTATCACGGCTATTGATGGATATAAGTACTACGGGATCATCCGGAAACGCGCGTGACCTTGTCACAGTGTCATTCTGGGTCACAGGTGTCTACTGCCTTCTTTCTTGACCACTACCAGTGACCACAACATCCATCGTCGTTAATGGTTGCTGACCAGGGAAGAGATGTTTTTTCGCGAAATCTGTATCAGAATCGCAAATATGCTCGTACATGACATTGCACCTCGTGAATCGCCAGCCAGGAAGTGATATAGTGCTCTTTGTGCCTCAAGATCGACTGTCAACCTTTCGTGTGAATCCGCCACCCGCTCGCCCAAATTATCAACACGACTTCAAATCACAAGCTGCATGCTGGCCTATTTGTCTCCAAATGCCTTGTCCACTGCGACCGCCGTCTCGAATGTCCAGCAGGGCCGGGTGAAAGTAGAAACGTGTGACGCACGCTCACGTGTTAGTGTGACCTAGTTCATAATTAGCGACTGCTGCCAGCAATTTTGCTTCCGCTCACTCGCGCGACGCGACGAGCCTCTGACCACCGCCAACCCATGCCACCACCAACCGGGCTCTCAAAGACGCGCGTGGCCCAGTGGCGATTGACCGTCGATCTGCAAGACGACGCTGCCGGAGAGGTCTCGTTGCCTGTGCTGCACCACACGAATGCGTCGCGCGTGACGAGGCTGGTGGGCGACGCCAAGAGGTTCCTGGTCGTCTGCTTCTCGAAGAAATCGAAAGATCGCTTCATCAAAGAGTGGCTAGAGGCTAATACTCGGGACGAGTCGGAGATCTTGTTGCAGGACCAGGAAGTGTATGTTTCCAGGCTTGGTATCGACCGGATTGAGCCGTTCTGACGAGTGCGCTGACAGATACAAGTACTTTGGGTACACCGAGAACAATCTCAAATCCAGCCAAGTGCTGTACTTTCGAGAAGGCTCGGACTTCACCGTCGCCTCTTTGCTGGAAAGCCTGGGCCAGGTCAGGGCGGTCTATGACAAGGATGGACCTGGCAAATTCTGTGCCCGTCTCGGGCTGTCTTTCTCTTCTACTGTACCGTCGATCAATGTACGTACTTTGGCTTCTCAGCTTACTCTCTCTTAGCCTCATATCCTTCCGTGCAGATCCTTCCAGAAGAGCGATGCGAACTACCCGACCTCAGAGCTGACGACGGCTCGCTCACCACAGACGGGGTCGGGCTCGTTCCCCAGTCATTCGCATCAGAGGTCACCGCTATACTCGATATCCCCCAGGACACGTCCGGTACGTGTGCCCTCGTCCCTGTAGAACACACGTGCTAAGAAGGCTACTGTAGCATGGCAAATCCGCCTCGGTGGCATCAAGGGCATGGTCACTGTCATCCCTGACGACCTGTTCCACCGGCTTTGCGGCGGTGTGACGGGCAAGAAACTGGTGTACCGCCCGTCGATGCTCAAGTATTCAGGCGGCCCCAATATGCTTGAGATTCAGAATGTATCCAAGGCAGCCAAAGCCGGACGGCTCAACAAGCAGTTTATTCTGCAACTACTGACCCGTGGGATCCGGCTCGAAGTGCGTTACACTTGACATCTAGAGCGAGAGAGAGGTCTGATGTGCCTGCTGCAGGTCTTCGAGGACCTGCTTCGTCTCCAGATTGAGCAGATCGACGATATCCTTACGAATCGTGAGCGGGCGCTCGAATGCGTCGAGGGCGACCTGGATTCGGACGGGGCAGCTTTCTTCCAGGACTGTAAGCCGTATCTCGCATGCTGGCATCGATTGCATATGACCTGAATGCAGTGTACGAGATGCTCCTCGCCGGATTCGATGCCACAGAGCCCTACGTTGCAACGCAGCTTCAGCGGTTCCGAAAGCACTTTCTCGATAGTCTGCGGAACAAACTGAACATCTCAGTCAAGGTGCGGCTCGTACCGCCACTGCCCTAACACCCCACCTCTCACGAAGCGCAGGGCTCGTATAATCTGTACGGCGTGGCCGATCCGAGCGACGTCCTCAAGGAAGGCGAGGTGTACGTCAATCTGCCGAGCAAGGGCGGCGTGCAGGTCGGCCCTGTCGCTGTCTTGCGGAGTCCTGCGTACGATCCCAACGGGGTGCGAGTGCTGGTGGCCGTGGACAGGCCCGAGTTGCGGTTCCTGACGAACTGCGTTGGTGCGTCCGTCCCAGGGACCTGCAGTTCGATATGTTTGAGTGCCCTGACTGGTGGCTAGTGTTCTGCACGGGTGGATCGCACAGCGAGACCGATCGGATGGGCGGAGGGTAGAGACTTTGCAGCCCTGCAGGAGCTGCTGTATCACTGATCTGCGACAGGGATCTGGACGGGGACATGTTCTTCACCATCTTCGATCAATCACTCATCCCCAGTGCGCGCGACTTTCCTGATCCCGCGCCCAAGCAGCAGCACGCGCCGGCCAGCGCATCCGTCACCATCGGTGGGCGTACACACACCGCGGCGGGGAAGAAGCAGTTCAAGGACCTGCGGGCCGACGCGGTCAGGACATTCGTCGATCTGCACGGGAACATGCTGGTCGGACAGATCGACAAGGAGTGGATGGCGAACGTCGTGCGGTCGCCCGAGCTGGCGGACTCGGACTCGTGTCGGAGGTTGTTGCCGATGATGGAGACTGCTTTGGTGGGCGCATCGGCCTGCGCGCTCGACGTTTCTGACTGGGTTGACCGACCCACAGGACCTGGTGAAGAGCGGTGGGAGCCTGGCCGGACTGAAAACCGACCTCAATATGTTTAGGTTGCGGAACAAGCCGCCAACGCAGGTTCCCGGCTGGGAGGACCCTCTACTGCTGCTCAGCCGGCTGGTTCCTATAGCAGAAGCACCGGCCAGCACGTTTGTGTGCGACCCGCAGCTGGTGCTCCTGAATTCGACATCGGAGCAGGCGTGGAGCGAGTCGTGTGCGGAGGCGAGGAAGATCATGAGGCAGTACAACCAGTCGCTGCAAGCCGCCATCCAGGCTGACAAGGATGCGAGTCAGTGCCGGTGGTCTTTCTTTCTTGCGGTCGGCGTCTCTGACGGTGTTGCAGAGGAGGCTGGATGGGATGAAGACATGAAACGCGCTGATGTGCTGAAGCAGGAGATATTGGCCAGATATTTTCCGATGCGTGAGTGCTGGGTCTTGCTTTGAGGCAGCTGCATTACTGAACATATCTTTCAGCGATGGCGAATGTACTCGAAGATACACCTAGGTACCTGCTTCAAGCTTCCGTGTGGTGAGTCGTAGGTTCATCGTCCAGAGCTCGATCGCTTATGTCAAGGGCGGCTAGGTATTATGTCGGATACCAGCATGAGAAACCCTCCTTTGCCTGGCTTGCTGGACGGTGGCTTTGTCACCTCAAAACAGGTGCGTCTGTCCGATTTCGGCTATGGCATAGACAAGCTCACTGGGGCTCAGTCCACAGCGGAACTTTTCCTATATCGGTTGGCCGACAAGCCCTTCCTCTGTCAGGATCCAATACTGCTGTCCCAACAGCCATGGCAGTCCCGGTTTCGTATCCGTCTTCCAGTCGTCCTCGGGCCACTACCCGACGCCTGGCTCGAGAGAATACGGATGAAACCCTCGTCGACCTAGATACCGCATCCGGGCCGATGCCCGTGTCACCCAAGCCTCGCCATCCTACACGCAACCCATTCGTGGAGTCGCCCGTCAGCGTCTCTGCGCCACTCGCTGCAGCGCCCGCTCCTTTCTCCGACGCGCGCGTGACGCTTCGGAAACACAAACCAACCCGTGACCCTCCGCGTGAGCAGCGTCCCCCGCCCGCAGAGAGCGCATCATGTGCCCCACCGCGTCGGACCCGGCTCCCGGCTGACCATACGTGTCGCTTCGAGATCCAGTCGCCGACGAAGCGGCGTGTGTGCCGCTGCGGTGCGATCTTGCACGGCAGCGAGAGTGTGTTCTGACCCGCCTTTCGATTCTGAATACCCGAGAGCTGTACATATCGACTGGACTGACGCTGAGTATCTTGTTGCGCTAGTATTGTATTTACCTGCTAATGGAAGTAGATAGATGTACGAGATCTGTATATACTGTATGTGTGTAGTGCCACTTTCTTGAGATTCGAATGCAGAAGAGAGCGTACCGGGTGCTCGACAGCAGCCGCGCCCTCGGCCATCTCGGTCGACGGCCCATGGAGAGCGGAGGGTGCAGGCCCGGAGGGAGATGGCGGCTCAGCACAGCACCGCAAGATGCGTACACATCCGGTCCCATGGAGCGCAGCGGATCCGGGATCCCCAGGTTGCGTGATGCCCATCGCTCATCGTGACGGGCACTGGGATTGCCATCGACGTCGAGGTACTTACGGCGCTCAATGAATCCAGGTACCGAGGACATACATCATCCATCATCTGATCGTCGTGGGAGTAGGAGGACGTGGGGGTTGATTGGACGCTGCGACACGTCTCTGCGGAGTCTGGGCTACGGGTCTGCTGCCTCCAGGCGACTGGGCGCCCGGTCCGAGCAACGCCGGGGCAATTTGTCGCTACTCGTGAACGGGACATGTCTGTCCGCTCGACGGACGAGCGGCGGTGATGGGGACGGCGGGGACAGCAGACCAGCAGGCGTCGATGTCCAGAGGGCGAAATCGAAAGCTGCCTGAGGGACTCTCGAGTCGATCTCACCTTCTCGGAGGCATTGTGCCAGAGAACTCGAGCGGCTCGGGCGAAGCCGAAACGCGCGTGAGCGTGCTGACGAGACACATCAAGTTCACGAAGCAGGGGAATCAACGAGCAACCGCGACTCAACGCCCATCACTCTGCGATGATTCATCCCGCTGGATACCCCTAGACTGCTACTCTGTGGCAGAGATGGAGGCCTTCCATGACAATTATCCCAACGCTGCAGTCCCCGAGCGTCTCCGGCGCTGTTTAATCTATTCCTAAGCTGCCCTGACGAGTCATGGAGGAGTTTGACCTGGAAACACAGTGCGACCGCCTAGGACGCAAGTGGGGAATCTGTGCCATCGGGTCGTCTAGCAGCCACAGCTGGAGATGGTCCCTCCGCGATGCTACTGGGCTCTGCTCTCCGTTGTTATGATGCGTGCACGGTACTATAAGTACGACGCTAGTCGTGCTCTGGAAAGCACAACCCGCAAAAACACTCTCAACTCCATTCAACAAAAGAACCTACTCACCAAATACTATGTCGCAGCAACTGAACTGGGCTCCGAAGAGGCATCAGCTGAATAAAGGCAAGGCCTGCTTGAACTGCAGGTTCGTCTGACTTGCCCGCCGTGGCAGCATGTCTCGTTAACCGCATGTCCTCCTCAAGACGGCGGAAAGTTGTATGTGGCTAAATATCCTGACTCGTCAATATACTCAGAGTTGCAAACTCAGAAATGCGACGCCAAGAAACCGATCTGCTCTCCGTGCGAGCGCTTCACCGGAGGTGGATGCGTTGACTGCGAGTACTCCGATTCCGGCATGGCCCAGTCTCAGATACTTGAAGGTGCCGAGTCTTTGCATCTCCTCCAAGTTGAACGGACGCTCAACGACATCTCGCAGAACAAATCACCATCGTCCAATCCAGGATTCGCGAGCTCGAGCAGCCGCATGCGATGAATCGCTCGGTGATCTTGCAGAATCCTTTTGGGCCGGACTACGTTCAACACATGTTTGGTGAATCGAGCCGTGGAATTTCCTTCGCAAATCGGTCTAACAACCAACAGAGGACCCGTCCGATTTTTTCGCCGCCGCTGGGCCTGCTACTTCTCGCATTCCGTATGAGCTGCTGTGTGTCCTTTTGCCATTTCGGATTTTCATCCAATCATAACCACATGATTTTTCAGCGTAAAAACATTTTTGGCGCACGCCAAAGCTCTCGGCTTTTTCCTGCACACCGGGCTCTTCGACCCCATGTCCGCAGGAGCGGCTCCCGAGCAGCTCATCAACCCGGCTCTCCTGAACGCCATCTCCCTGTGGGGCTGTGTACTGCTCTCTACCGCCGACCCGGCCCTCGAGTCGACGATCCTGGCCGCAGCTCTGCACGCCACGTCGATGGGGCTCGCGAATGCGCACCGCCCCGGCGCCATCCTGCAGACGCTGCAGGCCTCGCTGCTGCTCGCGCAGTACTTTTTCCACGGCGCGCGGCTGCTCGAGGCGCGCTACCACGCGATCGCCGCGCTGTCCATCGTGCTCGGCGCGGACTTCCACAAGATCCGCTCCGGCGCGGGGTCGCGCCACGGCGGGCATGGGTCGCCGTCGGAGATCGCGCCCGCGGTGACGCTGCTCGAGGAGGGCGAGCGGATCAACGCGTTTTGGGCCGTGCTGACCCTGAACTGCTGTCTGTTCGCGGTGGCGCATCCGATGTCGGGGTCCAGCGTGGACTACGGGATGGTGGACGTTCCGTGGCCGCTGGATATCGAGCTGTACGAGCGGGTGCGTGCGGTTGGGTCTTCCTGCTGTTGTTTTTCATGTGGTTAATGTGCATTTCAAGGACTCGCGGTTTCTGCCGCTGCAGAGCAGCCGAACCATCGAGAGCTTCCTGGCGAATCGCGCAGACCAGGGCCGCTCAGTGCTGGCGCTCCGGGCCAAGGCGGCCGTTCTCTTCGAGCAGGCGTCGCTGCTCTCTTCGCAGGCCACAGATCACGCCCAGTTATCTGCAAAGCATATCGCTCTGAACGCCGCGATCGAGATGTTCAAGCAGACGCTGGGGGCCAACCAGCATCCGGGCCTGCTTATCGCCCATGTGCTATCCCATGCGTCGACGCTGCTGTTGCATAGGCCCTTTGTGGGTAGCTACGACGAGTCGCGGCAAAGCATGCTGCGTGCTGCTCGCGTGATCGTCGATATCACACGCAGCCAGAATTGGACGGCGTTGGGGTACATCGATCCGGTGTTTGGTGTAAGCTCCATCTAAATTCGAATTGGACGTCCCTGACACATTTCCGTCAGACCATCTGGGCCCTGACACTCGATTTCCTGGGAGGAGAAATCTCTCGCCTAAAGTACCGAGGCAGTCCCGGCAGTGCCCAGATGTTACGGCAATTCAACGAAGCCGGCCAGAATGTCCTATCTGCCATGACTACTGCGGCGTCGCGATGTAAGATGATCGGTGAGTTGTGTAGTCACCCGAGTGGGAATCTCGTTGACCGAGTCGCCGTCCGTTTTTTTCTAGAGGTGCAAATCGAGTCGACTATGAATCAGTTTCTCGGCGCTACCAACGCCATAGCTTAATCGAACAGTACTGTATACAAATGATATTTTCTCCCACTGCGCTCGACGGTACCTCATGCCGGAGGATGGACAACCTTACTCCACTATCCTCTTCATTTTTCATTACTTTTAGCGGTCATCTCTAGAATACTTTAATCGACTCTACTTTCTCTTTCACTCAGAATCCCGTGTCAATCCCTCTAGTGAGTGACTGGCAGGCGGCATGAGGCCTTAGATTTGATAATTATCCGATATGCAAGTTGAACATGTGCACGTGATCCCTCACTCTTAGGCACACGTCTCTGGACTACCATCAGCTGCAGGATACGGCACCTCACCGGATATCATTTTAGACAACCGCCTTGCAAGATTTCGGACTCAATTGGCTCGCCAACGATTTATGCTGTGCAAAAATGGATTGTCTCATAGATAGCAAGCAGTCTGTTTCTTTTTTTACTTGGATCACAACTCAAGCCGTGATTTCAATAACAAGAAAAATGGAAGGAAGGTGCGATCGGCCCACTCCCTTGCCATCCATATTTGTCTTCCGGAGAACGTACAGATCCAATGTCTGAGATAGAATCAAAAAATATCCGCAGCCCGGATCTCCTTACCTTACGGAACGAAACATGAATAAGCCCGCTCTCGGAGAAAAACTAGGTAATAGCTAACTGTCATATCCGCTGAGACAACATCTGTGGCTATGCATCGGCGGCATCGTGAATCCAGAGAGGTCAGCAGCAGAAGGATCCTAAACCATCGTCCTCTCCGATCCAAGGGCCCAAAATGCGCTGCTCGGGTTCGTGTAGCCCCGAATTTGAAAAGACAGACATCGGCGGTAAGATGACCGAGAAACCCAAAAAAACGATCGCGCTTAGTCATCGATCATCATCCGCGTGCGCCGTTTTTCACTTGCTCTCTTCTGCGTCTGTCTGCGTCCGTCCTCGATTCTGTCGGCCGCCCCTATCTGCTGCTTTTCACGCCCTCTTGGACTGACTGACCGAAAAGGATGCTCGACGAAGAACGAGAGCGAGAGCGCGATCGAGACCAGGACAGAGAGAGGGAGGGCGATACGCGCGGCGGCGGCGGCGGGAAGAAGTCTGGCGGTGGAGGTGGTGGTGGTGCGGGATCGAAGTGTACGTTCGTTTTCTTGTCGAATTTACCCCTGCGCACCCAATCATCTGCGCTGCACTCCCCCCATCTGTCCACGCACACACTGGCAGGCACCATGCTAACTACCTCCGCAGCGTCGTCCAAAGACCTTTCGCATGTCCCCTGCAAATTCTTCAAAGTCGGATCCTGTACAGCTGGATCTGCATGCCCCTTCTCGCACACCGCCATTGAGCCCGGTGCAACAAAGGACACCTGTGCGTGGTTCGTCAAGGGGAACTGCAAGTTCGGACACAAGTGTGCGTTGGCGCACATCTTGCCTGGACAGAGCATGAGCATGGATCGGCGGAACAAGAAGGCTGCCCAGGTCCAGGCTGCTGCTGCGGGTGGCGGGCGTCGCGACGGCGGAGAGAAGGGGGGCAGGGACCGGGACAGGGACCGGGCGAAACGAGGCGGAGCAGGCGGGGACAGCGGGCTTAATGCACGTACCCCGGCTCGCCGGCCCCCCATGAGCCTACAGCTGAAGGCGACGATATCACCATCGGCGCCGGCGCCTCCGTTGAAAGATACGGATTTTGCCTCGTTCAGCGATGTGCTCGACGAGCTGCCCAGTGCACCGGCGCGCAACAAGTCGCCCGACTCGCCGCCCGTGACCACGGCCGTGACGACGCCCAAGGAGGAAGAGGAAGCCAAAGTGCTGGACTTCAAGGAGCAGGTCATGAGCATGATGTCGATTCCTGTCTCTGCGCCCCGGAGACCGAGCACGACGACGCCACCTGCCAAGGACTTCGGGCCGATCGGGTCGCCACCGACGAATGCGGGTGCGACACCCCCGCAAAAGAACGGGTTCTTGTCGACGTCGCCGTTCTCAGCGCCTGGGTCCCAGACGATCTTCCACCTAGGAGACAAAGCAAAGGGGATGCCCTCCAGTCTGGGCACTGGTATCACTGGCGCATGGGGTGCACCGCCTCCGCCAAAGCAGACTGCGACGAGACCCCCGACGACGACGTCCCTGCTGTCTGCTGCACGTGATATTCAACGTAATACGAGCAACAACGCGGACGATGGGGATGATAGCATGGAGGAATTCGTGCCCTCATCGCTTTCTGAATTGTTGACACCCGAGGAGCGTAGCCGACGGATGTCGCGTGCCAATTCGGGGCAGGGATACGAGCTGAGCTCGTCTCCCGGTCGTCAAGGTCTCGGGCTGCCTCTGCCGAGCGGAGCTGCAGGCCATCGCTACTCACGTTCGGTGCCAGCCCCGTCCTTCTTGGGCGGCGATCTCAAATCCATCTGGTCCGAGCAAGCCAGCGGGTCCCCCGTCGTTCCCTCTGGCCTGGCTTCGTCGCCCCGATTCTCCTCATCGTACTCGTCCACTGGTGGTGGTGGCTTGACTGGATCTTACGCAGAGGATCCGGCATCGCTGATGCGACTGCCGACTCTCTCACCGAGCAACGCCAGTGCGGCGTTTTTACCCGGCATGCACCACTACATGTCACGCAACAAGAGCAACTCCGGCCTCGCGTCGAATGCAGCGATGCAGCAGGGCCCGCCAGGACTCGCGCATTACCTCCAATCCGGCCCCTCTGCTTATGTCCGCCCGAATCCTTTCGACCTCACGCAGCAGCAGTCACGCGTCGAGCAGCCGGATGCCGGGCTCATGTCTCCGAACGCTCGGGCGCTGCAGGCCCACGCGCCAGGACAGAGTCTCCCGCAAGGTCTTGCGGCGGGTTACTCGCGGATCCACGCACTGCCGCCTCTGAGCGCGGGCTCGCCTTCGCCGGCTGCGGCCGCGTTCGGCACGTCGCCAAACAGGGACTGGGCGACCATGAGCACCGGCAGCGTCAGCGGGAGTCCCGGCTTCCTGAGCTACATGGCGCCGCAGAAGGAGACGTTGCCGTTCTCGTACTCCGCTGCCGTTGCGAGCCGGGCGGCGGGTGGCGCCGGGGCCGCTGGCGGACCGTCTGGACGGAATGTGTCCATCAGCAGCCCGCTTGCGAGACCTGTTGCGACGGCCAACCAGGTCGACGATCTGTTTGTGCTCGACGATTGATAGTGATAAGTAATATTTCATCTCGCCTCTCCTCTTGCTTGTTGTGTCTGTCTCATCTGTTACTTACCAACGCACGGACTGCCGTGTTAGCACTTGTCATGACAATCTACACCACACCAAAAGTTGTTTTCTCGTTCTCCTATCTATAATCCATCACGGCCCAACTTGTAGCTATATAAATATCTCTGTAAGTACATATGTACAAGTGAACATAATTCTTACTGAGCAAATCAAGGCTTTTCGGATACCCATTATTAGTATGCACATACTTCTTTCCTACAAAGCCGCCATTGGCACTGATGGTATATAACATCTGATTATGGTATTATACAGCCTCGCTCTGCAGCTCGAAGGGTGCGGACGGGTTGTCCGGGCGTGTGATCTCATCGTAGATGAGGACTGCAGACAGGAAGTCAGGGACCAGGTACAATAGAAGGAACAGAAGCACCGACCCTTCAAGTCCTCCTTGCTCACTTGATCTCCATTGTCAAAGTCGAAGAAAGACGGCGGTATCGGGTCCGCTGTGGGCTCATCGGCAGGATCGTGGTACGGCTAGAAAGAAGAACATTAGGGCCGGTGTTCCTGGTAGGGCAGGACATCTGCGCACGGAGAGATAGGGATGCGCCAGCGCATCTTCGACTTCTATCCGCCGTTTTGGAGAGAACGTGAGTAGCTTCTCCATCAGATCTATGGCCTGCTTGCAGTGAGCACATGGTGTCGCCGCCGCTATGGTCCCGGCACGTACATCTGGATTCGCTTTCGGGAACAACGTCGACAGTGGCCGTTTCTTACGGAACGGCAGAGCTCGGATGTATTCTCGACTGCCGGATCGCGTTTGCTGGATGACTTTGGCAGAAATGACTGCGCAACGCACCTTCGCTGGCTCGAGATGGCGTAGAAATCGTCGATTGAGGGCGTGCCGAGAACGTCAAGGATAATGCTTAGCTGGTCGTGATCTGCGACGATCGTGTGAGGAACACAGAAAGTGACAATGAAGAGTGGCAACGGTACGTACAGTCGCGACCAGGGAAGAGTGGTTTCCCCGACAACATCTCCGCGAGCACACATCCTACAGACCACATATCGATGGCACGGGTGTACTCTTTGAACGTCAGCATGACCTCCGGGGCACGGTACCATCTGCGGTCGATGAGCAAGGATCGAGAACGAGCAGGGGAGAGAGAGGGATACACGCCTCGTGGCAACGTATTCCGTCATGAAGGTGCTGCTGTCGTTAGCGACGTTGGGCGGTGGCCGGGCAGACCGTGCGAGACCGAAGTCACACAGCTGGAGTTATCGTGAGTGAGGCCTCGAAGCCTCCCACGCTGCGGTGCGGGTGCAATGGCACGACGCACCTTCAGATCGCAGTTGGCATTGAGGAGCAAATTAGAGGGTTTCAGGTCTCGGTGGAGCACATCCGCGCTGTGCAGGGCTTTCAGCGCCCGGAGCGTCTGTCGTCCTTGGGTCAGTAGTCGCAAATGAGGTTGGGGACGCCCACACACTTGATAGATGAAATACTGGCAATGGTCGTCTGAGAGCTCCTGGGTGCGGATGACCCGATGGAGGTCTGTTTCCATGAGCTCCTGGACGAGATAGACCTCATTGAACTGCTCGATAGAGGGCGGCCTGAGGATGTCGAGAATAGCGATGATGTTCTCGTGGTGAAAGTGGCGGAGGAGCTTGATCTCGCGCAGTGTGCGGAGACAAAACATGGAGTGGTCGAAGGGTGTGATGCGCTTTATCGCGACCTTGCGCTGGGTGGGCACATGGACTGCGCTGACGACGACGCCGTACGCGCCCTCCCCGATGGCATCCGCGACTTGGTACGAGGACCCGACGGTGAATTCACGAGAGTTCATGATCAAGCCAAACAAACAACGCCATCACCCCCACTTGTCCTTTCACCATGAAGCTCGTCCGCTTTCTCATGAAACTCAACAATGAGACCGTCACGATAGAGCTCAAGAATGGATCAGTGGTGCATGGGACGATAACAGGTGTGCAAGGCCCGCTCCCCCTAGGGCGACGAAAAAAATTCTGACCACGCACGCTCGCATGGCAGGTGTGGATGTCCAGATGAACACGCATCTCAAGACCGTGAAAATAACGGCGCGCAATCGCGACCCGACGTCGCTGGACTCGCTCTCCATTCGCGGGAACAACATCCGCTACTTCATCTTGCCTGATGCCCTCCCACTGGACACGGTGCGCACCCCAGCGCTTTTTTCACGTGTCACAGACTGACGCCGGATAGCTTCTCGTGGACGATGCACCGAAGCCGAAGAGCAGGAAGAAGGAGCTCGATGCGGCGCGTGGACGCGGCAGGGGGCGTGGTGGAGATCGCGGGCGCGGTGGGCGAGGACGCGGTGGAGGAGGACGCGGTCGTGGGCGAGGCTTCTAAGCCATAATGCTCAGAACTCCCGTATTCGATCGTGCGCGTCGCCGAAACTCGTCGTCCCGACAGACTCTGCGATGATGGAGATGCGTTTATCAGGGCAGTTATGACCCAAAAAGACGTTACGTCCGTGTATCATCTCTGTTGTGTCATTCAATTTTACTTCTTTCTTGTACGCTGGGCGAAGTGCATGCCTCTGGCTTCGCGTCTGTATCCTCGTGGCCCCTCGCATCAGTACACTGCGCTGCATCTTTTCAGTGTCCATCCAGCTTTGTGCTAGTCTCATCCTCTCGCATCTCTCTCAGCGTCTTTCTGCGTGGACATCGGTCACTGCGACTCCATCGGTTCCGCCGCGATTATGTTCGATGCCTGACACGCCTTCCTAGCTGAAAATCAGAACAGTCGTCTTTCGTTGGAACAGCACACGTAGAGACTGAGCTCCGTCTCAACTGGAGGCGGGCTGAGCGGATGACAAGATTACCAGCTGACCAAAATTTAGAAAAGGCCATGTCACTCGTCCAGATCCTCAAATGACATCGCGCAATAGACAAGATCCCTTCGAGATGTGCAAGCCTGACGAGAAGTGTGTATGTTGTTGAGGTATCGCGGCCGCTCCAGACATTGACTTCGATGAGTGTAACCAAGTGACCATGGTGTTGCTCGCCTGACGATGACATCCTTCGGCCCTCGGCGCACTGCCTGCACAATCTGTGTATGTAGTGGCAAGTACCTGTTTCCTACTTTCCTGGGTTGCTTGGGAATGAAGCAGCTGTACTTTGTAGTCTTTATGCATATGCGACTTCCCAGATCATGAATCGTCATTTTGCGTCCTCTACTTAGAGCTAGCCCATGCAACTGACCATGCATAAGTTGGAATTAGCTTGTAGCAAGATCAGAAGCTCAGTTAGATAATCGATCCAGCCAAGCAGTCCCATGTCATGTGCCCACCTACATACGTTCCCGTTCTCCCCATGCCCGCCGCCACCAAGCTCCCACCCGCGCTCTCCAGATTCTACGACTCGATACCAGACGCGCCCGGGGTCGACGTCGCCCAGATCCGAGGCAACGCCCCGGCCAGCGCCAAACGCGTCAACGCCAATCTGCTCGCGTACTTCACCAGCGGTAGCGGGCCCGGGTCGAAGATCGACGCGCCGTTCGCGAAGGCGGTGGGCGGCCAGCTGCGGCTCGCCCAGGTGGATGTGTTCCGGGACGTGTTCGAGGACGGGGAGAACGTCAGGTGCAGAGTCGTCGTGGAAGTCGAGGTGTCGGAGAGTAGGTCCTAGAGCGGTCACAGTCCGCACGTTCGCTGACGGATATTCGCCTCTATGCAGACATGTGCAATCTATATGGGACGATGCATGGCGGTTGCGCTGCATACGTCGTTGACAAGTAAGATTTCCGCCGCCCATTGTGCCGTTACAGTGCGACCCACTGATAGTGGGCAAGTGTGACGTTGTCTGCGACTATCGGCCTCGGGCTCTCCCAGGACTTTGATGGCACAGGCGTCTCTCAGTCGATGAACATCCGGTGGTTCGCCCCCGCTCATCTGTACTTGCGCCCATTCTGTCCACCGGCTCGGACTAACCACGTCGCTAGAGGCTCGGCGATACAGATCACGGCCGAGGCAGTTTACGCGGATAAACGACTGCGTCTGGCGCAGGCAGAGGTGAGGTCTTTCTCCCGGTGCATTTGATCCTCCTGCTGAGTGCGCTGTCCAGATCCGCAAGAAAAAGACGGGACAGCTGTTGGTCTCTGGTGATCACGCATTACTGAATGCTGGTCCATCTTCCAAGCTATGAACTGTTCTGGGTCAGTGCTGATGAATCTGAGATACAATGTGCTCCAATACGGACCCAATACAACTCTCGTTGCACTAGCCACTAACCTGTCCTCGTCATGGCAGCCGGTTGCCCGATGGCGTGCGCTCTTGATCCGCCCACAATTTTCCAGCACGCCTCGAGTCGACAACACCGGTTGGACTCATGTGCAGGAACAGGAACCGAAGCGGCCACTCGTTCTCCGGCACGATCACATCGAAGCATCCACGTAGATCACATCCTGCATTGTGCCCGAAGGGCCAGAGTCGCTTAGCGAGGTGCCGGTGCGGAAAGGTTTCGAGTCAAACGATTGCGTCCTGAAGGAATATTTGAGTGTTCCAATTGCCGAGGCATAGCTACCTTCGCGTGCTGCGGGAAGGTCGTCAGGGCTCGACACGCAGCGTACTGGCCAGCGAGAGTAAGGGGTCACCGTATCTTTGCTCACGACATCTCATAGACCGTCTAGAAGAAAAGTTGACCAGGGCGACTGAATTTTTGCGGGACGGGGAGACGGACGTATAAGGGTCGGCCGCGCGAAAACAATTGGGAAAGAGGCGTCGACCTCAGTGACCACTGCAACCCCCATAAGTTGCGAGTGGGAAGTTCCTAATGTGCGCCGACTTGAACGCTATTAGGCCAGCATGCTATTCCAGCCAGAACGTTTGCTTCGGTCTGCCACTCTATTGCAAGAACAGCTGAATTGCATCCCGATTCCCATACGGCCAGAAATCTGCGCTAGACCTTGGACAACTCTCGATCCTCCGCATCGTCGTCTGCTGAACTGCAGTAGGCATGCCGACTATGTTCTCGTGCAAAGACCGACTAGCCGCCCTCGCGCGCTCGATATCTACTGCTTCGCGGGCTTTGTGCTGGAGACGGATATTAGAAGGGGCTGATGCAAGCGCTAGCCTTCCGTGACATTCGGCAAGCATAGAGAAGTCTGGGGCCTTGTCCCCATTTTGAAGCAGGCGGTTCTAGGTGGCTCGATGCGAGTCGTACGAAAATGCCTCCCATCTCGTCTGAAAGAGCGAGTACGTCAAGCTTCATGGTTCTGGATTGAGATGATCGAGGCCTAGAAGAAATGGGGTGGTGTACTTAAATGTAGGAAGATATTTCACTCATGTGCAACTGCGTCATGGAGAGCCCCACGGTCTGATCAACCCAATCAGCGGCCCCCTTGATCTCACTCACTCACGATCATGTCGCAACCACTGAAATTATTACTGACTGTTTCGTAGCTGAGTAGGCTTGCAGAGCCCTTTCAATCCTCCAATATGTTAGCCGCATACACACCCACACCGTGCCACACAGACAGTCATACCGGGCCCCCGTCCTTCTGCACCACAAGTACGACCGACTGCTTGCCACCACCACCAGCCACCGCGAACCGTCCGTCGCTCGGTCTCGTCGTCGGGCTCAGCGCGCTGTCCTCAGCGGCGCCTATCCCCGAGCCCGGTCCAGGCGAGCAGCTACCATCCGGAGTTGATGAAGGAGCTCGATTGATCTTTGAAAACATCTGAAACCTGCTATGGACATCATGTACTTGAGATTATTGGCGTGATACTGTATGTATTCCAGTCGTTTATATCTCTAGCCTCGAGAGGCAATGACAATTACATGTACATACACTTGAACATACAACTCTAATCGCACGTCTAGAGTCACTCCATCGCATACTGACTCTCCTCCCTCCGAGTCGCCGCGAAATGCGGGAGCATCCGCTCTACATCCTTCCACCGCCAATGCTGCGTGATCATGTGTCGCGTGAGCTGGTTGGGATTGTCCCTGACGCTGTTGTCCTTGCCGTCCCGGTGCGTCTTGATGTCCTGCAGCGCGGGGAACAGCCGGGACAGGTAACGCGCCACGGCAAGCGCGTCCGCGATGTCCGAGTTCTGCACATGGAGCGCCGCCAGGCGCGTTTGGCGGACGCGTTTCGCAGAGGGCAGGACATCCGGCACCGCCGCAGTCGCGTAGACGGTGATCTGCAGGCTCGCAAGGTGCGGGCATTGTGCGGCGAGGTGCTCGAGGGACGCCAGGCTGGGCGCCGCGCCGCCGGGCATGGCGGTGGTCGCGAGCGACAGTGTATGCAGCAGCGGCCACGCCCGGGAAAGCTCCCGCACATCGTCGTTGTCCAGCGCCCAGCCCGCGCTAGACAGGAGCTCGACGTGTGCCAGGTTCCTGAACGCGAGCAGCGGGCGGATGGCGGGCGCACCGACCCGCGCCGGGCCCCCGCTGCCGGCGGCGTGGAGGACGAGCGTACGCAGGGAGGTGGGGTGGCAGGCGCTGGCGACGGCGGCGAACAGCCGCTCGAGCTCGGGATTCGAGACGACACCGGCGGTGGTGATGGACACGCGCTGGTACGGCGCGTGTGTGGACAGCCGCAGGAAGGCGAGCGCCGTGAGGATGTCCCCCCGGCGGATCACGAGCTCGAGTAGGCGGGGAAAGAACTTGGCGCCTCTCGATTTCTTTACCGCCTGAAACTCGACGGGCAGGTCGACAACGGAGAGGGTCCGCAGCGAGTCGAGTCGGCCGATGTGCTGCAGCGACGCGATGTCGGGGCAGCCCATGATGACCTTCTCCAGGCTGTCCATGCGGCGGAGGACGGACGACACGGCTGCGTCGATATGCGGAGGCCGCGGGAATATCCTTCCATTGGTGTAAACCTGGAGGAAGGCGAGCTGCGGCGCGATAGAGGGCACGGCGGAGAGATGGGTCATCAGAAGTTTGTCCTCTTGCCGCTCCGTCTGAATGCCCACGAACAGCGTCCGCAGCGTCGGTGCCAGGAGCATCCCGAGACAGGCAGCTGCATGTGGGTACTCCCGCGAGTGCAGAACGCGCAGTTTCGGGAACAAGCCGCCTGAAGGTACACCCGCAGCGAGTTGGTTGAAGAAGTGGGCGCCAGCGACGGACAAGGCGGGATCCGAGCTCTCGTTGACGTAGAGCACACGAACCCGGGCTGCGTAGGCCTCCAAGCGGCTCCAGTCGCTAGCAAATATGGGCCGGGCCCAGCGCTGTCGGTGGAGTGTCAGACCGCCGTGCAATGAACAGAGTTCGCTATTCAAGCTCACTCACTGCGTGCGACACACCCGCCTCGTCCAGATCCATCGCAAAACAGTCACCCGGGAGACACGACAGGAGCGGGGTCAGCGCGATCTGCTTCACCCACAGCGCGTCCAGAGTAGGGTTGACGAAGAAGCGGCACGTTTGAGCCAGCGCCGCGAGTGCACTGGTGTTGGCGGCGTCGAGGGTGGGGAGGTGCTCGTTCGTCGGCCGGAAGTGCGCGCATATCAGCTCGACGATTTCGAGAATCGAGAGGCACCGGTGCATATCGCGGCGGTCCTGGTGGTCAGAGAACAAGAGGGATTATGTGACTGGACCTCGGACGCGGACTCTGATTAAGAATGTCACGTTTGGAATGGGTTACCGTCCATGCAAGAGGTCCAATCAAGCGTGCGCCGCTGACATGAGAACAACGCGATGTTTTTGGGAAGGATCCTGCTTTGGCTTATGTTGCGGGATGCGCCATTACTCGACTCCCAGAGAGAGGTTGTGTCGAAATGCATCTTATCAACGTGAGAAGATTGATTTCCTGGGGCAATGGTAGAATCAAAGCGCATCATCCGGAAGGAATTCCAACATATCCAGGAAAAAAAGGAAACCACGAAACCCATCGATTTCCTTCCTGATGCCATTCCTGATGCCAATATGAGAAGGTGCTGGCGCTCATGAGAAGAAGGGCCTACTGTATCGCTCGTCTGTCAGTCGTCCAGGCGTCCCTCTCCTAGCGGTAAGCTTAACTGGTGCCTCGTGACGAATTGTGCGCAGTGTGAGTGCCCTATGGTATATGCCCTCCCGAGCGCCGTGAAAATCGTGGGCAAAAAGGTTTGTCAAAACCGTCGTGGTTGTACAAGTGTGATTCGTAGAGTCGCATGACTCATCTGAGACATCGAACAACAAATTACAGCATCAGATCAGATCAGATTCCTCGAAGTTCCACGTGACCGTTCTCAGCCGAGTCGCCCACGCATCTCAAGTTTCTCAACGTATACATCCCCATCCCCTCCGGAATAAGCAGTCCCCTCGCACTCGGGGATCCCGGAACGCAGCCGTACCGGAGAGAGCACATGGCCTGGGACGCAAAACGTCCACGCTCGACGCCACGACTGCTTCCCAAGGAAGGGGCGTTCCCACAGACGACATCAGCGCCAGTGAGGGTGAGAAGCAGGGTCGATGGATGTGCTTATCAGTGGAGGTGCGAGGGAATGCACTTATATCCGTCTGCCTCCCACCCGGCCTCCTTCTTCTCCTTCTTCCCCACCCGTACACCAGTGTGATGATGCATTATTCATCGCGCGGCAGATACTGGGTGCTCGTGCTCCTCGCCGCCCTGCTCGCGTTTAGCGCACTGTCCGCCGCTGACAAATCCCCGCCCAAGTTCCCCGATCTGTACGAAGCGTCGGTGCTGGAGCTGCAGGCGGGCCTAGACGCGGGGCATTTCTCCAGCGTCGATCTCGTCAAGGTGCGATCCCTTCCGCGCAGTCGCTCTGCGCGCGCGCGACGCCAACGCTGACCCGCGCGACCCCCCAAACTCAGGCGTACTTCGCACGCATCGCGGAGGTGAACCTCCAGGGCCCCGCGCTGCGCGCCGTGATCGAGACGAATCCGTTCGCGATCGAGCAGGCCCGGGCGCTGGATGCGGAGCGGCGGAAGACGGGGAAGCGCAGCGCCCTGCATGGGATCCCGGTCCTCGTCAAGGTGCGTGTCGTTTTTCTCGACTGTGGGAGCCGGAAACCGATGTAGTATCGACGTGCACGCAGGACAACATCGCCACACTGGCTAGCGAGGGTGCGCTCCGGGGGGATGTCATTCCCTTTTTGCATGCTGATCTTTCGGAAGGAATGAACACCACTGCGGGTTCCTTTAGTTTGCTCGGCTCGATCGTGCCGGATGATGCCGGCGTCGTGAAGAAACTGAGAAAAGCGGGTGCCATCATCCTCGGTACGCGTGTGTCCGTGAATTCAAGTAGAACTCCCGACACTGAACATGTTCTCAGGAAAAGCCAATCTGTCCGAATGGGCGCACTTCCGCGGGAACGTCGCCTCGGGCTGGTCGGGCCGCGGCGGGCAGGCCACGAACGCCTACTTCCCCAAAGCCGATCCGTGCGGGTCGTCGTCCGGCTCCGGCATCGCTGCCTCGATCGGGCTCGCGGCGGTCACGCTCGGTAGCGAGACGGACGGCAGCATCACGTGTCCGTCGAGCAACAACAACCTCGCTGGGATCAAGCCGACCGTGGGGCTGACGTCCCGCGCTGGAGGTGCGGCGCTGATTTCGAGGGCTGTGGTGGTTCTGTCCTCATCCCATGCCATGCAGTGATCCCCATCTCCGAGCACCAGGATACAGTCGGCCCGATGACGCGCTCCCTGACCGACGCCGCGATCGTGCTGTCGGTCATCGCCGGGAGAGACGCGAACGACAACTTCACGCTCGCGCAGCCGGCGGTCGTGCCGGACTTCACCAAGGCGCTGAACGCCCATGCGCTGCGGGGGAAGCGCATCGGGGTGCCACGGAGGGTGTTCCTCAACGACAGCATCACCGGCAACGATCCCTCGATCAACGTCGCGTTCGAGGAGGCGCTAAAGACGATCCGCGCGTTGGGTGCGACGGTGGTGGATCCCGCGGATCTGCCCTCCGCGGAGGAGTTTGTGACGAGCAACAACGAGACGCTCGTGTTGAATGTCGACTTCAAGGTGCGGTTGGGGTGTCGTGTGCCCTCCCTGCTCGTGGTTGAGTGAAAAAAAAACATCAGATCCAACTGAACAAGTGGTTCGCGTCTCTCCTGAAAAACCCCTCCGGCGTGCGCAGCCTCGCCGATCTCATCGCGTTCGACGATGCCAATCCGACGCTCGAGGAGCCCGCGGGGTTCGAGGACCAGTCCCAGCACGTGTCCCTCCTTTGCTCCATGCTGAACTCGCACTGATTGGGTGGGGTACCCAGGCTGATCGCAGCGCAGGCCACGGCCGGCTTCGACGCGGCTTTCTTTGCCGCGCTGGCGGCGGACCACGATCTGGGCAGCACGCGCGGCATCGACTTTGCGCTGAAAAAGTTCAACCTTGATGCGCTCGTCCTCCCCGCGCCCGGATTCACTACCGCGCCCCCCGGTGAGTGGCTGAGATTGTCTGAAACGCTGATCGTTCGGTATAATGATATCCTGCCCAGCCGTGGTGGGCTACCCGATCGTCACCGTCCCGCTCGGCTTCTTCCCAGAGAATGTCACGTGAGTGTTCAACCTCTGCATCGACTGCGAAACTATTAGTGACTGACTAACTCGGCGGCAGCATCGGCTCTGCGGGCCCCGAAACGCTGTACCCCGCGCCCGGCGTGCCGTTCGGCTTGTCGTTCCTCGGGACGGCGTTTTCCGAGTTCGAGCTGATTGGGCTCGCGTTCGCGTACGAGCAGAAGACGCAGACGCGGCTCAAGCGCAAGGCGTTTGCGGCGGCTGTTCCGAAGACGCAGTTGGCGGATATCGTGGGCGCGTGAGTTGTGTGGTCATTGTTTGTGTTTGTGTTGTGTGTCTGTCTGTGCCGTGTTCTGCTTGGCTGCTATGAACCTTTGGGCTTTCAGTCACGGTTTATGATGCGGTGCGGCGTTTGTTAGAATGTTAGAGGGAGGTGAGTTTGATGGAGCATGAATCGAGGAGCCAGACGACATTGTATGTATGTGGATCATCGCATACCTGTCTGTGCTATTCCAACCGTGCGAAATCAGAACTTGAGTGATGGGACGTTCGAAATCAGGACGGTAGTTGCATCAAACATACTGACGATTTCCGATAGCTGAAGACTGAGACCACCGTTGCAGCGTCTTGCAATTAACACAGCCGGGAGGTGATACGGATAGCGGTTATCTCCACATGTCATAATCTCGGGATCACACTCTCCCGCAATCAGTTTCAGTCTTCAGCGCAAAATACAACAGACAGTCGCGTTGGGACCAAGATCCGCCCGCCCGCCATCCATCCATCTCTCTATCTTGACTCTCTGACACGACGCGATGCCAGCCACTACCGCTACACCACCGCCGGCGCTGGAGGCGTTATACAGCACGGTCCCCGACGCACCGGGCGTCGAATTTGCGCTCATCGAGGGCACCGCGCCGTCCGCCGCGAAGCGCCTCAGCGCGAACCTGCTCGCGCACTTTGTGGACACGCCCAGGCCGGGGACGGAGCCCGCAGCGTCGACCTTCGGGAGCGAGGTTGGGCGCGCGTTCCGCATGACGCGCGTGGATCTGTTCGAGGACCCGGCGGGGCAAGGAGGGTCCGACACGCGGAGTCGTGTGCGTGTGGTCGTCGAGATGCCCGTGGCAAGCAGTGCGGTGTCGTCCCCGATTTCCGCGCTACGCAGTACGCTGTAACCCTAACCCCGGGTGCAGATATGTGCAATCTGTACGGGACGCTGCACGGCGGCTGCGCCGCGTACATCATCGATCTGTGCGTCCGGGCCCTCGTCGGCGTGCATCTAACCATAACGACAGCGGCTCTCCAGCGTGACGCTCTCCGCGACGCTGGCGCTCGGCATCGCCGGCGGGTTCGATGGCCGCGGCGTCTCGAACACGATGAACCTGCGCTGGCACGGCGCTGCCCCGCTGTGCGTCGTCGCGACTCCCCTTGCGCGTTATCTCTGACCCAGACACCTACCAACACAGCGGCTCCGTGATAGAGATTGTCGCCGACGGCGTGCACGCTGACAAACGCACGCGGATGGCTCAGGCGCAGGTGCGCGTCCTCCGCCTCATTTTGGACCCGCGCTGATGGATCGCTGTCTGGTGTGATTTTTATCGGTAGATTCGAGACAAGCGGACGGGGAAGCTGCTGGTCTCTGGCGAGCAGGTGTTCCTCAACGCGGGCCCGGCAGCCAGGCTCTGAGTCCGTCGGCGGCCCACCCGACATTAGAAATAGACACTAGAGACTCTAAAACCGTGCGCACAGTTCTCTGTTGCTTTCCGGATGCTTACCATATTGTAGGGCTACAGGGCCAGTATCCTACATCCTGCCGATATTTTCTTGGCTCATCGTAGAGACTCTGAACTGTCCACCAGCGACAATAGCATTCCCCGTGATCAGGGTCCAGTAGACGTTCAGTGTGCTCCGCTGGAACTGTTCAAACTAGTTCAGCATTTTTGGTCCACCCCCCCAAACTCTCAAATGAACTTTGGCTTGGGTAGGGGGACCTGGTTACTTAAACCCGAACTCTGAACTTGAGTTTGGTTTAGTTTGGTTCAGGTTTGAACGATGAGATTCATTACTTCGAATGCTCCAAGAAAGAAAAAGACGTCAACTGTGTTTTGCCGGTCCGGATGATGCGCTCGAATTCTACGCATTGTCCAGTAACACTGCGGGGGGACTTATTTTGTTTTCCGTGGAAAACGCGTGACAATCTAGAAGTCCGATTTTCACCGTTCTGTTTTCAGACAATATATATAGAAAATAGATGATTTTTATTTTTTCACTGAAAACAGATTAAAACTACTAGAAGAATCTGTTGATTCCGGCCCCAATTTGCATTCCTGGCCTTGCAAAATGCTACTCACATGCAAATTGGGGCCGGAATCAACAGATTCTTCTAGTAGTTTTAATCTGTTTTCAGTGAAAAAATAAAAATCATCTGTTTTCTATATATATATTGTCTGAAAACAGGATGGTGAAAATCAGACTTCTAGATTGTCACGCGTTTTCCACAGAAAACAAAATAAGTCCCCCCGCAGTGTAAGTAAATCGATCTTTCAGTTCTCACCTTGATAAACAATATGCCTCTTGACTCCCCCTGTGTCTAGGACTCGAACACCGGTGCATGCCGCAACACAAAAGAAATTAGAACTGTACACAACAACATGGTGTTGCTGCCCTTCTCAGCTGCTGCGCGCTAACCTGAACTCCCTGCAGGGGGGGACCCTTTTCACACGTGACATCCTTGATCAGAATCCGTGTTCCAGCCTAGTCACATAAGTAATCCCTCTCAATCTCTAACCACACGAGCCGCTGCGACATGCACCAGTGTCTATTGATTCCTGAAACCGTGCAGCTGATATGCGCACACTTCCGGCCGACGAACAAGCACCTCCCCACCCTCGATGCGGCGAACACCAGTACACTCGCGGCGCTGGCTCAGACGTGCCGCTATTTCGCCAATCCGGCCCTGGACGCGCTGTGGGTGAAGCAGATCGCGCTGACCCCGCTCCTTTGTTGTCTCCCGGGCGACTGTTTTGCGATAGATTTGGACGAAGCGGGTGTGTCTCATGGGGTGCGTTTGAACAGCAGGCTGCGCACATCGCGCGGATATCGGAGACTGACTGGGGTCACTTGACAGCGCTGGGCCCGGCCCATTTTTGCTGGTGATTGGAGTCGTCTGGATTTCTACGCAGCCCGGGTTCGTGTGCTCAACCTTGACGAGAGCTCGGATGCTGCCTTTTCCGCTGCTAGCGCCAACTTTTTCAACCAGCTTGCTGCGGGCGCGCCCTCGGGCGGATTGTTCCCGAAACTGCGCGTTCTGTACTCGCGGAAGTACCCACACGTGGCTTCTTGTCTCCGGATGTTTCTGGCGCCCACTCTGCGGACGCTGCGCGTCGACGCTAAGACCGAGCGGGAGCACAGACTTATGATGACTCATCTCTCCACATTGCCCTCGGCCGCACCTCAGCTCACGTCCCTCCTGGTGTACACCGGCGAAAAGATTTTCCCGAGGCCTCCGCATTGCGATGCCGCCGTATCATCCATCCTCCGCCGCATGCACAGTCTAGAGAAGGTCACCATGGGCTGTCCCGACATCGCGTCGCTGCAGCACATCGGCCGACTCGACTCGCTGCGGACCCTCTCCGTTGTCGACCTGCCCGTTGAGTTTCAGGCGGTAGAGAAATCGAAAGGTGCCAAGCTCTTTCCCCGTCTGCTCGAGCTGGTGATCCGCCGGGGCGACATCCTCACGGCGCTCGCCTTCCTGCGGCTGTCCACACACGCGCCGTACCGGCGCATCTCCATCACCACCGCCGGTGTCGTCTCGAATCCCGAGCTCGAGCGGCTGTTCGCCGCCGTCGCCAGCGCCTGCCGTCCCACCTCCCTGCGCACGCTCGTCCTCCACGCCGCCGGCAGCGACGGCTCGGCGCGGCTCGGTGCATCCGCCATCCGCCCACTGCTCGCGTTCAGGAACCTGGCGCACGTCGAGCTCCTCTCGAGCGCGGGCTGGGCGCTGGATGGCGACGCGGTGCGGGAGCTCGCTTGTGCGTGGCCGTTGCTGCGCACGCTGTCGCTCGAGACCACCGCTATGCCCGGCGGCGCGGCGCCTTGCCTGTCTTCCCTCGAGCACCTCGCCGCGCACTGCCCGCACCTTGCGAGCCTGAAGATCACCGTCGACGCGACTGTGGCGGTGCCGGATGTCCTGCCGTGCGCGAAACGCGTCCGCCAGACGCGCCTGGCGGCGCTCCACGTGCAGAACTCGGACATCGCGGACGCGCTCGCGGTGACGCGTTACCTGTCGCGGCTGTTCCCCGCGCTGCAGGATATCAAGACGCACCGGGACGGCAAGGACAACAGCGTCAGGGACAACCCCAACCAGCTCACGCGAGACATGATCACGCAGCATTGGCGGTGGAAGGATGTAGAGCGGATGCTCCCGCATTTCGCGGCGACTCGGAGGGAGGAGAGTCAGTATGCGATGGAGAGACTCTAGACGTGCGATTGGGGCTGTAGGTTCAAGTGTATGTAGTACATGTAATTGCGATTGCCTTTCAGGGCTAGAAATAGAACATATTTAGATAAACGACTGGAATACATATCACATCATAATAATCTCAAGTACATGTCCAGAGCAGGTTTCAGCTGTTTTGAAAGATCAATCGAGCTCCTTCATCAGCTCCGGATGGTAGCTGCCCGCCTCGCTTTGCGTCAGAAGGCTGATCTCCTCGAGGGAAGACGACAGGGGAAGGTAGGCCGGGTCGACATCTTTCATCGGCACGGGCGGGCTCTGCGATGGAATTCCAGTCAATACCAGCGGCTGCATCGGAGATCTGAGACAGCGCACCGTGCCAGGCCGCCACGACTCGGCACTTCCCTCCCCGAGCCCCTGACCCTCCTCTCCCTCGTCGTCGTCGAGCCCGCGGGGGCCCTTCTTCCCCTTGCGCAGGGAGAAGTAGCTGATAGGGGGGCCGCCTCCGGCGATGGGTCCTGATGCCGAGGGTCCGAAGCCTGGGGCGGGGGCGGGATCTGGAAGTGGAAGCGGTTCGGGGATGGGCGCGGCCGAAGACAGCGCGCTGAGCCCGACGACGAGACCGAGCGACAAACGGTTCGCGGTAGCTCGCATTGGGCAGTACTAGGGTGGGGGCGCTGTGGTGGGGGAGCCCAAGGACAGCGAGTGGTTGATTGGTTGATTGGGCGTGTATGCGGCGGGAAAGGGTTGAACTGGACTTGGACTAGTATATATATGGACGCGGAAGCGCGAAATGGAGCGAATAAGACACCGCTCGATCACGCTACTGCGCGCGCGGCTAACGTATGCTAGGGAATGTATATGTAAGATGTATGTCTTCTACACAGGAGTGTGCTCTGAGACGGGGCAGTGGTATGTATGTTATGTGCAAAAAGATCAGGCCTCGTCAGAAATCAAGGCAATGGATCGTTCTGAGCGCGGCTTGATGATGCAGTCAAACGGTTTGGTATGGCTGCGCATATTCAGGGACTTTGCATCAGCGAGAACTCAGGTGAACACGGACCTGATAGTGCCCTGCAAGTTCTTGTGCACCGGGAGCTCTCCGGGAGCCCGCTCGATGCTGAACGTGGCGAGGACGCAGACGACGGTGTGGAACAGGCTCAGTTCGGCCAGCTCGCGGCCCGGGCAGATGCGGCGGCCCCAGCCAAACGACGCCACCCGCGGGTCCTGCTGCGGGTTTTCGCCCAGAAAGCGGGTGGGGTCGAAGGTCTCGGGCGACGGGTACACCGCGGGATCGTGCATCATCTGCCTGCATCATCCGATCAGCAGTGAGTGATGCGCAATCAGATCCTGATTAGGCAGGCGCGCACCAGATGTTTGTGATGATGATCGTCCCCTTGGGAATCAAGTACCCGTCCACGACCGCGTCGTCGATAGCGCAGTGCGGCACGCCGAGCGGCGCGATGCTGTGCCACCGGAGCAGCTCGCTGACGACGGCACGGATGTACGGCAGCTGCTCCTTGTCCTCGTACGTCGGCAAGCGCGCGTCGCCGATCACAGCGTCGATCTCGGCCTGCGCGGCAGTCTGCACCTCTGTGGAGGGGGCGATATCTGAGTCTCTGGGGGCGGGCCCTGCGCGGGGGGCGGGGGGACAAACGCACCGGGGAACTGGACCATGGCGAGGAAGAAGGCGTACAGGTCAGCGGCAGTCGTGTCCGCACCGCCTAGCAGCACCCGCGCACTACGCTCAGATTCCACATCTCGCAGAGGGAGAAGACACACGCACCGCCGTAGAGGGAGCTCGCAGTGTACTTGATGTCGGCAATGTCCTGCGGGCCGAGCTCCTTACCGTCCCCATCGCCTTCAAGCAGACTCGACACGAACGAGACCGGGGCCGTTCCCGCGTGCTGTTCCAATCCAAGATCTTTCCAGACGCGCACCAACGCAGGAAGGAAGGGGACGCACCACCTGATCGGCGGCGAACTTGTACGGGATCTCCACCATGTCCGTGGTCGACTTGGCGTACACCTTCGCCAGGCGCTTGAACGGCGCGAGAAACTCGGGGATATAGAGCAGACTCGGGAAGACGTCGACGAGGAACGCGCCGGGCGCGGTCGCGAGGTTGAAGTTGTCGTTCGCGTGCTCGATCAGCGCCACGAATGGGTCCTCGCCCTCCTCGGCGACGTCGATGCCGTACGTGATGCGCAGGATGATCGAGCCGATGTGCCTGCAAACGCGTGAGGATGGGGGAGCGGAACGGCATCCCCGACGCACATCCTGATCTTCGCGTCGATCTTGTCCGACTCTGGGTTGGTCAGCAGCCGCTTCAGCAGTTTGTGCGTCTGCTGCTCCGTCATGGAGATGAACTGCTTGCTAAACAAGGGGTGAGGCTGACAATTGCGAACCGCGGACCGAGACTACCAACACTTGCGGCATGCCGACCAGTTTCGCAAAGTGTTTGCGGTACACCCGGAAGCGCGGGCCATATCTGCAAGGAAGCAAGTAAGGCCCACAATTCTGCAAGCTCAGGAGGAGGACTGACGGAGAAAGAACGAGCGTCTTGTTATACCCCACCAACTCCCCCGCCATCGGCAATCTCGGACGCGTGTTGAACACGGATCCCTTTGCGTCCAGCGCGTTCATTGCCTCCACCGTGTTCACGACGACGATGGGCTGGCCGAGCAATTTGACGGAGCACAGGCCCCCTGAGCGCATCAGCCATCAGCAAAAGAACCGCCAAGCGCCAAGCGCGAAGGACCGGGAGCCCCTCACCGAACTGGGCGCCCCATTTCGCGAACGTCAGCCACTCCTCCGTCGCCGGCATGTCGAGCACGTTCTGCGGCCCCACCGGTCAGCGGGCAGCGGGCAGCGCGGAGGCGGCGGGGGACGTACGCCGATGATGGGCAGCCCACGCGGGCCCGGGGGCAGAGGCGCGGCGGGCGATTTCCGCAGATACTGGCGCGCGAGGACAAGAGAGATGATGCCCGCCGCGACGGGCGCGACGAGTGCGCTGAGAGACGACATTTACAAATAGGTTAGAGCGAGAGACGATGGGTGGGTAGGTGGGGACTGGGAAGGAAGGAAGGAAGGACACAGGGATTGAGGAACGTCGACGCGCGCCGGCCGGGCCCTCGTCATATGCTGAAAACGATCTGGGTTCGGGATGGAATATCGTTTGATATCCGTGGGTCCCATCTTTCTTCCCACGTCAGCCGCGCCAAAGTAAACCCAGTTGGAATTTCTTTCCCATGGATCATGACGGCGTCCAGGCTATCCGGGAAATCCCCTTCCGCGCCACACGTGTACGCCCCGGAAACATAGGGTATCCAACGCGTTTCATATCCTGGCGTAGTTCCGTATTCTCTGCTCGCTATGGCGACCCAGTGAGGGGCTTTTTGGGAAGTCCTCGGCTGCGGCTTGACGTTGTTTCCCGAATTACTGATGGTTATATTTTGGGTCGGTGACAGAATCACAAGATACTTGAGATCTTCCAAGATAGAAGGTCTGATCACATAAATCCGGGCGCTTTATGAAGCATGCAAGAACCCAGGGCTAGATTCGACGGGGGACGCCGTGGAATTCGTGCTTTTTTGAAATTGGGAGGTGGGAGAGCGATTCGAAGGACGGGCGCCGTAATCTGTTCAAGTGGCTCTGAGACCCTGTAAGTATACTTACTCTTAGCCAGCCGAACTCCCATCAATCCCTAGGCGTTCGTCCCTCCACAACTCGGCCATCCACGTGCCACGCACACTCATAAGCGAAATTCGAATCAGAGCTCTGCCCCGGCTGTCTCCCCACCCCATCCTTCACTTACTCTCTTTCTCCCACCCACCCACCCACCGACCATGGCTGCGACTCTGGATCCTGGCACGGCGCTGGACAACACGTACGTCGGGCCGACGCCGCCGCGGCCCGAGTCTGACTGCGCACACACAGGATGGGCGCCATGCTCCTGGGAGTCATCGTCAGCGCGATTTTGTACGGGATCAGTCTGCTGCAGGTGCTGTTCTACTTCACCCGTGCGTTCCGTCGCGTCTCGGCTTGTCTTGTGCGTGCTAACGCGTCGGCCGGGGGTGTATAGGATATGAGCGGGACCCGAGGTGGTTGAAGACGCTGGTGCGCTCTGCGGGCAGTTTGTTTGTGGGGTAGCGGCTCACGGCGCGGCAGGTCGCTTTGACTGTGATCCTGGACAGTCTGCATCTCGCGTTCGTAGTGCACACGGGTAGGATATCCCGACGCTCATCTTCCCCCCATGTGCTCAGTCCGGCCAGTGTACCACTACTTGATCACCGACTACTACAACCATAACTCGCTTGGGATCATGATCTGGTGCGTGTGGAGATGCGTTGTTGTGTTTGTGCTGCGCTCATCTCTCACAGGAGCGTCTCCGTGAGTCGCCGGGTGGTCCAACCTTTGCGTGATCTGACTGTTCTGTGGCACAGCTGGAGGCATTACCTACGGTGAGTGATCGAGCGAGATACCTATCCTCCCGCGGGATTGTATTGACGAGCGTGTGGAGGGTGTTACAGGCGGACTGGTTCAAGCGTGAATACATCATCCCAGATGCGCGGATCACTGATACTGAACTCCTGCATCAGATTCTACGCGTTCCGGGTCTGGAAAAGTGGGGCTGCTTTCTGCCAGTCGGGCTGAATTGTGCGGTGTGCTGAGCTGTTTGTGATAGTGAGCCACCGCAACTACATTCTCACGGGATCCATCGTTCTCTTGGTGTTGGCAACCGCAGGTGAGCGCGCGCTTTCTCCTATCGTGTCCCACGGCTATGTGCTAATTCGCCCCGCCCAGCCAGTGGTACGGCGTGGGTCGTTCTCGCGTACGTCGCCCTCTGTCTTACGCTTGTGGCGGCGGCCTGATGATGCCGCGGAGATTAGTTTGCAGGCAGGAACATACGAGCATCTGCTGAGAATCACGGTACGCTGTCGGCTTTCCATCCGACGGAGATCCACCAACCCCTGATCGTGCTTACTCAGCCGCTGACGATTGCGATCAATGCGCTATCAACCACCGCCGACATTATTATCACTTCGACGTTGTGCTATATGCTGGCGAAAACGCGACCGACGTCCTTGCAGTGAGTGGATTTGTCCTTTCTCGTCTCCGGTGGCGCTGCAGGGTCTGATGCCGGACCCAGAACGGAGTCAGTTGTGAATCGATTGGTGAGTTATTTCGGGCGAGCGAAACCGAACCCGCGAAGCTCATGTGCTGTTGCACACAGATCCTGTTTACCATCAATACAGGCTTGTGAGTCGGCTGTTGTTTCCTGTCTCCCCGGACCCCGTCGTGCTCACAGTGTTGTCAGGCTGACCAGGTTCGAGATATTCTCGCGACGTGGACAACCGTACCTTCTGACCCTCCACTTCCCCGAAGCTTTTGTGCTGTTCTGTCTCTGATATTCGTGCGTGACATTCGCTCTCGTGAGACGATGACTGACGCGGATGCAGTTGATCGTCTCCCCACGGACATTGATCTACGCCGCCTTCTACTTCTGCATCGGACGCCGTGCGTGACTCGACACATGGCATTCAACCTAGCGCGCAGAAATAGCTAATCGTATCCCATCCAGTGTACTCGAACGCGCTGCTCGCAAGTCTCAACGCGCGGGCCGTGATCCGGGGACGCATCAATGATGTGGACAACAACTTCCGGATCAAGACGGACGGCAGCGGGCCGCGCAGCGCGACGCAGCTGTCGATGGACGTCTTTGCGCGGCAGGACGAGTCCGCGGCGGGGGACATGAACATCGCGGTGCGCGTGCAGCGCGAGACCAAGTCGTTCATGGACGACGACTCGTTCAAGAAGGGCACGTTCGCCAAGCGCGAGCCGACGCCGGTGGGTCGCCGTGCGGCGCAGACGGTCCTCGATATATCCTGATTCCGTGCGCAGGAGATGCCGAGGAATCATTCGGACGGTGCATGAATCGTGCAGGGATGGATGGATCGATGGGATGCGCCGAGCACTGACATTATTACTACACTTACTCGCCCACGCCGCTCCCTCCCCCGACCGTCGTTAAAAGCCGAGCGCCACAGCAGCTGTATATTTGCTGGGCGCCGGCGCGCATACTTACTGTTATTGACTCATCTACATATTCACTCGCTACATCGTCACCAGTGGATCGTCTTCGTGTATTAATTAGATATGGATATGGAGCCTGCGCGTGCCGGTCGGAGTTCTGCCCTCTTCTGCGTCGCAGTAATTTGGGCTGTCGGGGAGAACCTCGGCGGCCCCCGATGGGCTTTCGTTGTATTAATTGGATATGGATATGGAACCTGTGCGCGCCAGTCGGAGTTCTGCCCAGAGATTATGAACCTTGCCTCGAAAAAAAAACTAAGTCTTACTCAGCTCCCCGGCCCTCGTTACGCGCAGCCATGGCCAAGCGAGTGTCCGGTAGATGTGTTTTCCCAGGTACTTGTGCCCACACGAAATAGGGATGATTCTTCTCTCCGTTCCAAATTCCCGTCGCCCCCTCCTCGCCGAGTGACGTTTGACATACATAAAACTGCTCCATCCTTCTTTTTCTTGCGTTGAACTTCGAAGCCCGAAGCGCCCGGCAAAATACTTGATTGCACTGATCTTGCCTGGAAATCCGTGCCGCCGCGGCCGGGGACACCCGGATGCGTATAAACTCGGGGGATGGCCGGTCAGTTACGTATCCAGTCGGAGACGGGGGGGTACTTAGTGCATGATGTCCGTCCGTTCGTCTGCGATGCACGCGGTGAGTCGACGGAGGCCGCAGCGCTGCGCACATAAGCGGCTCGAGTTCCGGTCATTTATGGCTCGTTCCGTCGCACGGCGGGCGCGATCCCACCGGAGACGGGTCCACCCGATAATTGGTGGTGTGGTCGACCCGTGGTGGCGGAGTGCGGGGATGGGCCGTTTCTGTATCCGTCAGTTGGCCGACGCGGGAGCGCAGCTCTGTGCAAGCAGTACTTTCGAATCTCGGTGAGTCGGTTATAGTCTCTCCCTCGCACACCTGGTCGGAGTGTCTCCCGCGGGGGCGATTCTACCGGAAGTGCTGCTGTAAGGATTCATCCGTTTCGAGACCGGGCTCGATATTCGGATACGGTAACATCACTTGAAGCTGATGGAATTTCAGTGAGATAGCTTGAACGCAACGCGAGAGAAGGCTTTGATTGGAATCAGAGGAAACGGATTATCCTGATCAACCCTGAATCGTGACGTCTCGCATAGCTACTGTTCTGCTGTTGGCCTCAAACAACAAGCGACCGCCATTGGCCTCGAGCAACAAGCGACCGTAGAAGAAATTCGGGTAGACTGCATTTGGTATCCAAGCGGGCTGAAAATGGGTCGTCCGTCTCTGATGGGATCAGGCATATTCGTCTCCACACTTCCACTCCAGCTGGGAGTCGAAGCGGCTGGATCCAACGAGGAAATCGGAAAACTCGCGGGAGCCTTCTTCGCCCGCCCGCGATGATCTCCAGAAGCGCTCTCCGTCTCTTCCACCGGTGTTTTCGTGCGACGAACAGCAGACCTACAATGACGCTAAACAGGGAATTTGAACCCGGCATACTCGCGGGAGCCTCGCCTGCCCGCCCGTGATGATCTCCAGAAGCATTCTCCGTCTCTTCCACCGGTGTTTCCGTGCGACGAACAGCAGACCTATATACGAACTTGCGAGCTAAACAGGGAATTTGAACTTGATGCCACACACACCCACGACAGGGCACGTCTTTCCCTCGCGCAACTCGCCGGAGTATCGCCCGCGGGGGACGATCCCACCGGAAATGCTGTAAGGTTCCTCCACACCCCGGGGACAGACACCATCGTCGGACCTGTCAGCGCCGTGTCCCCTGTTGTCTCGCATCGGCTAGTATGACCTACTTACTGTCTCCGAGATCTCAGCACTTGGGACTCCCAGGCAGCTGCCAGGTGTCACTTACTTTACTGTGCCGGTGCGAGATTCTGAGGGGGTAAGTTTATGGATGAGCCCTGCTTAGCTCAGATGGAAGCGCTGCAAGTTCATGGATGGGTTGTATACGGTCACGTGGTATGACGCAACCAGTCTCGTGAAACGGGCTGTACGTCAACGCTGCGGGACACGACGTACAACCACGACGTCCAGCGCCATGGGCAGACTCTCTAACATCTCTCTTCCCGTGTGGATGCGCGACGAGCACACACTCACGGACGAGCAGGTGCAGATGTACGCGATGGAGAAGCTGATGAGCTTTCGTTGGATCTCCAAACTCTTTGCAACTTGCGCACCGGGCGGCCTGTCTTTCAAGGATCTGGCGCCCAAAGAGGTGTCGGATTATTGCTCGGAAGTTGGTGTGTCGTGCCGCTCATCTGTTAGCAGTCCCACTGAAGTATCTCCAAAGGCCAATTTGCGGAGGTGGCTTACAGCGCCATCCCCCTCGAATTCATCTTCGAGAATCTCGATGCTCTCATGGAACCAACCTTTCCGCTGGATAAATACACAGCTCTCCGTGGGTCGCACCTGGTAGCGTCTTTCTTCGGGCAGACAGCACATCTGCAGGGATACAGCGCATATCGTCCGGAAACCAAGCAGCTGATCCTCACTTTCCAGGGCACAGCCAGCCCCCACCAGGCCCTCTACGATCTCCAGCTCGTGATGCATGAGCATCCGTCGCAGCACGGCAGAGTGCATGCCGGGTTCTGGAAGCTGTATCAGGGGGCGAAGCAGCCTGCGTTGGACGCCCTGCGCAAGGGCCTGGCCGAGCACGACGTCGAGGAGGTCGTGGTGACCGGCCACAGCATGGGTGCCGCCCTCTCCCAGCTGTTCCTCGTCGATCTCCTGCGCGATGAGAGCCTCGCCCCGATCGGCCGCATCCCGATCCGCCTGGTCGGCTTCGGCAGCCCGCGGTCCGGCACGCACGCCCTCGTCGGGTTCTGGAATGCGCTTGTTTCCGAGCGCCGCGGGAGGCACGGGCGCGAGTCTATCGTCGAGTACGCCGTGAAGATATACAACGACGGGATACCCGCCCTCCCGCCGCTGGCTCTTGGCTACCGGCATTTCGCGCGGGCCCCGTACTACTTTGTGCAAGGGCGCCTCTACCGCGTTCCCGAGGCGCTGGCAGAGTATGCCCTCTTTAACGTTGATTTGAGCGAGGACGCGGTCGAGCCTCCGTTGCATCCGCGCGGTGGACACAACTACTACAACGGGCGGGACATGGAACGCTTTGCTCGGCGTATCGGCTATCTGGACAGGGCGATGAAGGAGGTGGGAGACTGGAGAGAGAGATATAGAGAGCAGGTGGCCAAGCACGAGGATGCTGGAGGCTTGAATTCCGTATCGTAACTATATTCCTTGTACTTGTCTTGTTGTAATTGTTGTAATGGTAATAATGTATCCAGTAGGCGACGCACTCTGCAAGCACGGCTGATTAATTGCAATGCAACCATTGAAATGGAAGAGAAGGCTTTCAATCGAAAGTCCAGATGCCTTGAAGTGGATTTAAACCAACCTCTGATCAGCCCCAAGTGTCTACGAGCGATGAATCACAGGGATCCCCCTTCTCGTATTCCAGGAGAATTTTTCTTCACGCATTAGTAGATGCCTCACTTAAAGAGCTTAATTATGGGGGAATAACGAAGAAGATTATTGCAGTTTGCATATGAGTTGGCACAGCCTGTGATCGCATCGTTTCTTGACTTCTGAGCTCGAACATTGTGTAAATCGTAGCACACTCAATTCTTCACCAATCTTCTCGAACTTGGCACCTAAAATCACCGTTTGACAAGAAGTTTTTTATGGTATAGATAAATGTAGAAAATGCTCTGTTTGTATTATAACGCTCTGCGCATCGCACTGAGATGCATCTCATTTTTTTAAGACGCTGAAAAGGCCTATTTCGGTGATCGAAGACATGCATTGTATGATAAACTCCAATATTATGGTTCTTTGAGGTTCCTGGAGGATGCAGATTTTTTCCGCAGCCATGAACAGCACTTCAAGGTCAATACCATTCATTGAGCAGGTTGGATATCGAGCATAAAAAATCTCCAATCTTCGAGAGTTCTCCCAAGGCTTGATAGGACACTCTCTCATACCCTGGCTGTTTCCGATCATCCGAATTCAACTCTTCAGCACCACTAAAAAATGAGAGGCATTCCAATGGAACATGGAAAGACCCTCTCATTTTTATGAAACATTTTCTACATTCATCTAAACCATAAAAAAACTTCTTGTCAAACGGTGATTTTAGGTTCTGAGTTTGAGAAGAATGGTGAAGAATTGAATGTGCTACGATTTACACCATGTTCGAGCTCAGAAGTGCAAGAAACGATGCGATCACAGGCTGTGCCAACTCATATGCAAGCTGCAATAATTGCAATGCAACCATTGAAATGGAAGAGAAGGCTTTCAATTGAAAGTCCAGATGCCTTGAAGTAGACTTGAATTTTAAACCATCCTCTGATTAGCCACCAGTGTCTACGAGTGATGATTCAAAAGGATCACCTTTCTGGTCTTTCAGCTGCATTTTTTGCCTATGAATAGATACATCACTTAAAGAGCTTAATTATGAGGGAATAGCGAGGAATTCGACAGTTGATCTCTCCGAACAGGACGAACCGATAAGCATCAGACAGTGCACGTGCGGACAGCCATCTGATGCTGACGAATCACATCTCGCCGCCCCCGACGCCGGAACATCGATGACGGCAACCCCGCTGAGCGCCCAAGAAGTCCAAGCGCACATGGACTCGCTGTCCGAGAGGGAGATCACCGACGCGACGCAGGTGTCCGAGTTCTCCGGCGCCTCCTTCGACGAGGCGCTGCGCGTGCTGCGGCAGGCGCGCGGCGACGTGCAGGCCGCGATACACACGCTGCTGCAGGAGCCCGGGGGGCCGCCGGCGGAGGCGGAGGGCGACGAGATCCGCGAGCTGCGTGCGATCTGGGCGAAGACGGCTCCGCAGCCCCGCGAGGGCGGGGACGCGGAGGAGGACGAGCTGGCGCGCGCGATGCGCGAGTCTGAGTCGGCGTTCCGCGCGACGAATCGGTCCCCGGATCCGGGCATGCAGATGGTGCTGGCGCGTGCGACGACGCCCACGGCGGTGACGGCGGTGAAGCCCTCTGCGGACGACGAGTATGCGGCTGCTTTGCGGGCGAGCTACGAGGACGCGGCGATGGCGGACGAGACCGATGATGCGAAGATTGGTGTTCGGGAAGACGGGAGGTGCGGGGCTTCATGCTGTTGCGTCTTTATCCCTTGCCGATGTTCACCAGGCCAATCGCGTTGCGGAGCGACTCTCCTGATCTCGCCTACGCTGCTTTGGTCATCCAAGCGCTCTTCCATATCCCGCAAGTGCGGCACAAGCTGTCTCTACTCCAACTGCCCCCCAATGCTACTGAAAACGACAGCAAGAGTACTTGCTCTGCCTCTTCCGCTTCTTTCGCTGACCACGTCTCGCAGACTATGCGGTGTGGAAGCTCGTGGAGATGTTCACGTACCTGGACCTGGCGCAGGTCTCCGCGCTCATTGACGAAGAACTGCTCGCCATCTGGCGCGCGGCGCGACTGACGCGGGATGTGTCTGTCGAGGAGCTCTCTAAAGGTCAGCTCTGTGTTTCCTACTAGCTACTCGAAGTGACGTCAGACAGTGCTTCTGGACAAGATCGTCAAGGTCGTCCAAGCCGAGCTGGAGGCCCAGAAACTGGATGATAGATCGTGCGTGGACGGCGTGCTGATTGCACATGCGCTCAAAGTTGACACCTCTTCCCAAGGGCCGCGCGTCTGTTCCACTTCACGTACGGCCACGTACGCGTCCCCAGCACCGGAGAACCCGAATACAGCGCCAACGAAGGCGACGACGGCCACATCGTCAGCGTGTCCACCACTCCGCATCTGGCAGCCAACAATCTGGTCGGGCGTCTTGCTGACACGCTGAACGACCTCTCCGACGGAGAATCGACGCACCAGGTGATCGTGCAGCCGTCGGAAGTCGTCACCTTCCAGATCAACTTTCCTCCGGCCGCGGCGTCGTCGTCCGGTGGGGCGGAGCCGCAGCCGCTGGTGTACCCGAAGACGATGTATCTAGACGAGTTCCTGGCCGTGAATCTCAAGCTGGCGAACGACACGCGCAAGGCGGAGAAGCAGGTTAGGAGGGAGATCGAGCAGATAGAGGCTGAGAGGAGGAGGATAACGCGGTTCGAGGTGTGTGGATGTTGTCTCTCACTCTGCGAGCGTGGGGAATGACCTGGACGAGGACGACGATGCGTTGGAGAATCTGCGCGGGGCGATCGACTTCTACGAACAGGTCGCTCGACCAAAAGGGCCCGGCGACGCCGAACGGTATGCTGGTGTCGCCAAGAAACTTGGTGAAGCGTTGGGCAAATTGGAAGCGGCTGTCCAAGGTGCCACTCTCGCGTCCTTCGTGCTGAGTGTTCACTCATCGTCAATCAGTCTTTGATGCGAAGCTCACCGAGCTGAAACACGAACTGGAAGAGATCGTCCACAATGACGATCTGAGAAAACATCCTGTGGGTCGGCGGTCCATCTGTTCCTCTCTGCATTCTGATGGTCTCTGTGCAGTACGACCTGCGTGCTGTGCTGGTCCACGACGGTCTTCCCGGCCGTCGGCATTCCTACTCCTACGTGCATTCGCGCGGAACATGGTGGAAGACGACGGATGCCGAGGTCACTGAGGTCTCCGAGGACGCTGTGATCTCGGATCCGACTGGTCTGCATCTGGGCGCTGGCCCTTACATGCTTTTCTACAGCAGGCGCTTGACTGAGGAAGAGGAGAATGTCGCTCTCAGCTGGCCTGGTCCGATCGTGGTCAGTGGCGGGCGCATCCTGTTCCGTTAGATCCCCCCGCTCACTGGCGCATTCCAGACCGACGTGCAGTCGAACAACGAAAGATTTCTGGAGTCGCAGATAGCGAAGACACAGATACGAATGGATTCGATTGATTAGCGTGCAGATGTGTATAGTGGTTTTGTCATCTGAACGCCCTTGTAATTTCGTGTACCCAATGTGGACACTAGCTGGCTACGTCCACGCTTGTATGTATGTATGAGATCTTCGTCTGTGCTGTAGTCTATTATGAAATATTGCTCGAGGTCTGCGTTAAGCTTGGGTAATCGACATTCAGGGATACAGTAGTCGAAGACGATGATGAACAGGGGCTCACAGTAAATTTAGCTCGCCATCACGTGTGCTCCTGTATCTAAAATGGGAAGAAAGTGATTATGCCGCAATGCCGAATTTGCCGAGGACCGGCATCCCAGAATGTGGTCTTCTTCCCTCTTTCGCCGTGGTCTATAAATGACATCGCTCCACAAAGCACGGGGCTGCACGAGACGTCTCTCACGTCGTCATTTTCGCCTTCACTTTCTCCAAGCTGGTTACTAGGCCGCCTCAGCAGCCACTCCGTCGGCCTCCCCCCACCACGATGCACCGCGCACAAACCCTGCTCCTCTCGCTCTCGCTGCTCTCCTCGCACGCGCTCGCACAGGACCGCACCTCCGAGTCCGGCGAAGCCGCAATCAGCGATCCCGTCGTCGAGTGCAGCCCGTACTCCTACGCCCCGGTCACCAACGCCCTCGCGCAGTTCCCCACGGTGTGGAGCCTCGCGACCGCGCTGCTCCCGAGCGACACCGAGGGCCAGACCCTGTTCAAGTCGATCAACAGCAGCATTCCGCCGTTCCCGCCGCAGGGCACGAGTCTCGGCGACTTCAGCGCGTTCACGCCGGGGTACAACGTGAGCGACCCGGATTGCTGGTGGACGTTCCACCAGTGCGTGACGCCCAAGTGGCCCGGGCTCCCGCCAGACATCGCGAACGTTCCGGAGGTGTGTGGTGCTTTGTGTTTCGTCTTCTGTTGACATCGTGGGTTGACATGCCACCGTTCTGTCCAGCCCAAGACGCTCGGGTATGGATTCGACGATGGGCCCAACTGCTCGCACAATGCGTTTTACGACTACCTGACGCAGCAGAACCAGAAAGCGAGTACGTGCTTTGTCCTCATGCAGACCCTCCACCACGGGCTGATGCCGGCTGCAGCGATGTTCTATATCGGCTCGAACGTGATGAACCACCCGCTAGAGGCGCAGCGCGCAGTCGCCGATGGGCACCAGATCTGCGTCCGTGAGTCCGATGGCGATCGCGGTCGTTCCCACCTCGTTGCTAACAACCTGCGCTTTTCTGCTCTTTTTTTCAGACACGTGGTCGCACCACTACATGACGTCCTTCACGAACGAAGGTGCATTCGCAGAGCTGTGGTACGCGCTCAAGGCCATCAAGCTGGTCACTGGCGTCACACCACTATGCTGGAGGGTAAGCTGCTCGTCCTGCCTGGGTTCATCGCACTCACGGATGACCTGCAGCCGCCGTTCGGTGACGTGGACGACCGCATCCGGTTCATCGCCAAGGCACTCAACCTGACCACGATTATCTGGCAACGGGACTCGTTTGACTGGGAGGTGTGTGTCTCAGCATCCGCACTGGTAACTGAAGGACTGACGTGGCGGCAGAATGGGCAGAACGGGATCACGAACACGACGGTGCAGGGCAACTACGATTCGCTCATCTCCGACGTGCAGAACGGGAAGTACGACACCGCGGGCGCGATCATGCTCACGCATGAGCTGAACAACTATACCATGCAAATCGCGGTGGACAACTACCCGGCTCTGTCCAAGGCGTTTTCTGTGGGTGTTTTCGACGTTGTTTCGCACTATTCCTGTATTGAGATCTTGACAGCATATTGTGCCGATCGCTGTTGCGATGAATGAGAGCAACCCCTACGCGGAGAAGAACATCACGTTCCAGACCTTCCAGCAATGTCAGTGCCGTTGCTGCCGTGTTGTCTCATGCCTAATCCGATCTCTTAGACATCTCGAACCAATCTGCGTCGGCGTCTGCATCTCCGTCAGGCTCTGCGGGCTCTGGTACGGGCTCAGCTGGGGCTGCACAAGCGACGGGCGGAAAGAGCGATGCTGTGGTGACTCGGGTTCCTGTCTCTGTGGCGCTGCTCGTTGCCTTGTTCGCTGCCGCAGCTTTGATCTGATTCTAACCTCAAAACCGCCCGTCTCAGGGAGATGCTTGGCTACTCAGATTTCTCTGCTACAGAGAAATCGTTGGACTGCATGTACTTACGCTCTGTACCCGTGCTGTAGCCATGGACTCGGACCCTACTATGCATACCTTGCTTCTGACACTTTGTCTTGACAACATTCTTTGACTGCAATTGATTGGACAAGCCCTTCGCTTGTCCCGCCGACTGCCGCTATTCTTCGCTTCGCCCATCATCCATCATCCCTCAGGTCCAAGCTTCAAGCAGTTTTGGCCGCTCTCTATCCAAAGTGGCGCCTTGTAGGGTCCGCGGGCGGCTCGATCCACACGCCGCTTACACCATAGCGTGATATGAAGCCAGTAGCATCCCCGTTAGCTCCACAGCCGAGGAAGGAGGGTGGATTTAAAAGGCCCTTGGATAGTACATCTGAGTCTTCACCAGAACGATGACCTCCATGGTGAGCTCGCGCGACACTATGGTCCCGGAGTCCCCGCCGCAATCGCCCGGCTCCGCGACGCAGAGCAAGATCGTGCCCCCTGACCACCCGTTTCGGACTCTCGTTCTCTGCTTCGATGGTCTGGCCCATCCGCTCCCCCGTTCGCTCACGAGCTTGCCTGACTGACTGACAGGGACCGGGGACCAGTTCGACTCGGACAACTCGAACATCGTGCAGCTCTTCTCGATGCTGCCCAAGGGCGACCGCGAGCGCCAGATGGTGTACTACCAGGCGGGCATCGGGACGTACACGACGCCCGAGATCGCGACCCCGATGATGTCGCGGTTCTCCAAGCTCCTGGACGAGATGATCGCGTGGAACCTGCATTCGCATGTGATGGGTACGAGAGCCGCGCCGCGCTACACACTGAACGGGATGCATCTGCTGACTTGACTCCCCTTTTTGCGCTGACAAGGTGGCTACGAGTTTCTCATGCAAAACTGTATGTATCGTATCGCATCCGACTGGTTTTCTCGCTCGGCTCAAGCGGAGCATAGACAGCGCTGGCGATCGTATCTGCATCTTTGGCTTCTCTCGCGGTGCCTACACTGCGCGCAGGTGTGTCTGGTCCGCTGCCGTGGATCTTCACCCCTGATTTCATGAGCGCAGTTTGGCCGGGATGCTCCATAAAGTACCTTCATCGCGTTACATAACAGGGACCCTGATCTCGAGAGCTAAGCCCCTTCTAGGTTGGCCTTCTCCCGGCGTGCAATCACCAGCAGATCCCGTTTGCGTACAAGATGTACACAACGACCGACGTCAAGGGCTGGAAGCAATCCAATGCATTCAAAAAGGTGATTACGATGACGCTCGGGCCCGGCTCAACTGAAGCTGATGTGCATTCCAGGCCTTCTCGATTGACGTGGACATCGAATTTATCGGCGTTTGGGACACCGTCAGCTCCGTCGGTCTCATCCCCCGCCGGTGAGTTTCTCCTCGCATCCCTCTCGTCATCTGGACTGACACGACATTCTTAATGAAGCCTGCCGTTCACGACTTCCAACACCATCGTCCGCACCTTCCGGCACGCCGTCTCGCTCGACGAGCGCCGGGCGAAGTTCAAGCCGAACTTGTGGAACCGGCCGAACGACCACGAGCGTCTGCTCAGTGTGACCGACCAGCAGATCGAGCGCCACCGCCACGGCGGCGGCAACCACGCGCACCCGCATGCGAATCGCGGCGGGATGCGCCAGCAGATGCGGATCGAGCGGCATTTCTCGCAGGACAGGCCGGATGAGACGGACATCGACGAGGTCTGGTTTGCCGGGTGTCATTGCGGTGCGTCTGAGCCTCGAGCCGGTCACCGCCCGCCCCTGATCGCCTGCCAGATGTCGGCGGCGGCTCGGTCGACAACGAGACCACGACGAATTTGGCGCGGATTCCGCTGCGCTGGATGGTCCGGGAATGCTTCAAGACAAACAGCGGGATCTTGTTCGACGCGGACGGACTGCGCAGTATCGGCTTGGATCCGGATTGCTTGTACCCCATCGTGCAGCCCCGCCCAGCGCCGCTCCCTCTGGACGGCGCCAAGATCCAGTCGATCCCGCGTTCCGTTGCGCACGCGCATGAGCCCGAGCAGCCAGCGCGCGACGGAGCACTCGCCGTGAAGTCCGAGGAGGAGCTGGATCGCGCAGACGCGCTCGCGCCGATCTACGACCAGCTGTCGCTCAAGTGGTTCTGGTGGCTGCTCGAGCTGCTGCCGCTCCGGCAACACTACCAGCGCGACAACGAAACGGTGTGGGCGACGAGCTTCGGGATGAATCTGGGCCAGGGACGGCATGTGCCGAAACAGGCGAAAAATGGGGTCAGGGTCCATCGCAGTGTGAAGATGCGGATGGAGGCCGGAGGAGGGAGTTATACTCCTCATGCGAAACTGGATCTCGATCGGGTTACCTGGGTCGACTGAAGCGTTTTACACCCGGGAGGAAAGAGCTTGCTGAGAACATTGTACTTGTAACCTAGCTCATGATCTCTACAAATCTCGCAGTACATTTCCTGTTTCATGTGATTAGTCAGTCGTAAATGGCACCACGCCTATCATCACCGATGGTCAACGGATCACAACCACCCAATTATCAATTATCAAGCCCGTTTCTCATCAGACGGGCTTGGGTAATCCGCTGAGCTACGCAGAAATGGTAGTGTTGCTTATGAATGATGACCACCTCTGTATATCATGTATAGATTTCCCGTTCGTTTCTCATCCAACTTGAACATGTCCTCAGCAACCATAACCTCTCGTTTCAGAGCTCCCCGGCGCACAGTCGTAGCCTGCAGGCACTGCCGCCAGCGCAAAGTCCGGGTGCGTTGGCTCTATCATCTAGCGCCGAGCTGATTTTGACTTGAGTCGACGCTCTCGTCCAGTGCAGCCCTTCCGATGCGCAGTGCCAATCAATGTCGAGTATTTCATCCACCTGTCGACGGTGCACCGAGAAGGGGCTGGTGTGTGAATACAACACGAGCACGGTGCTCAACGAAAGCGTCGACTTGGATTATCTCCGGTGGTCGCTGACGCGTACTGTGCCCAGCGCCATCACGGTCCCTCCCGCCACTTCACTGGATGACGTTTCACCCAGCCGGTCCTGGAACAACTGGGAACAAATTTCGATGCTACCAGGTGGTAGGACGGGGGAACTCGGATGCGGTCGTTTGCCATACACGCTCGCTCCACCGGCAGATTTCCGTCCCCGCTATGCGTCCAGGCCATATCCCGACCTCGCGCTCCACTGGGATCCTTATCAGGACCAGTCGCCGCAGGTGTCATGCTCGTACGATTGGGTGGAGGGACCCCCGCAAGCAAAGCCGCTGGAGATCAAAACTCAGGTCGCACGGACAAGCTCAAGTTCAACCTCAATCGGCGCACGTGACCGCGTTTTGTGGTGAGTACCCAGTTCCGTCATTGGCAGACTTGCAAATGATACAGTTGTTCTCCATTGAGTCCTAATTTCTGAGCCTGCATCATAATAACGGTGCAAAAATCGACTTGTTGCGAACCCAGTCCTCGTCTTGGCCGTGTTGTAGATACTCGAGGCCCGTTCTGACAGCTCTGAACGTTTCTTCCGCTGTGCTCCCCCAACCGTACCGAGTCGTGATCGTCAGAAGATGCTGAGACACGTTAGTATGCCAGGAGTTGAGAATCATCGACGAAGTTAGCTCACCGCCCCCAAGTGTCTCGCGGCCACGGTCGCTCTGTTCTCCCCATCTACCCCACGGTTCACGGTATATGCTCCCGCATACGCCGTCAAAAACGCGTCGATCAGCATCCGTGCCGAGTCCTGGGCAACCGAGCCCTCGTCAGCGAAGAGGACCACCGCGAACATCTCAGCGCAGAACTGCGCTACATCGAGCGCCGCGACGCCGGGCTTGACGAGCTCCCAGTCGACGACGGTGATGCGGTCGACCTGCGCGCCGGCCAGCAGCACCATGATGTTGCCGGTCCAGAAGTCGCCCATCGTGAGCGTTTCGCGGGCGCGGTGGATCTGGTCCGTGCGCTTCTCGACGAGGGCGCGCAGGTTCGCGAGATCGGAGGCGGAGACGGGCTCCGGGAGGAGCGCCACGGCGGGGACTTCGGTGGTCGTGAGCGTCGGGAGGATCATCCCGTACGTTATCCAGCTGGTGATCCTCTGGATCCGTCGGTCAGATTCGGCCGGAGAGAGGGGGGCATGGGGCACTCGCCTTGCCCAGGTCGTTGCCCGCGAACTCATCCATCGCCGCGTCGTTCCCGCTCCCCCACGAGTGGAGGCGGCCGAGGAACTGCCCGATCGCGGACCCGATGTCGCGTGCCAGCGAGGCAGGAGGTGGATTCGCCGAGAGGAACAGGCTTTTCAGTGTCGTTGATTCAGTCCCCGCGTCGTCCATGATGATGACGTGCTTTTCCTCGTCGAAGAGGTGGACGGCGGGGACGCGCGCCGGAAGGGACGCGACATTGGCGCTGACTTGCCGTAGAGCGCGCGCCTCGAAGGTCTTGCCAAGGAGTGAGTCCCCCGCCCGTGCGCGACGCGACAACCGTCGCCGCCTCCGAGGTAGCACGCACCTGGCGCGCCAGATCCAGTGAGAACTGCGGATTCGTCGCGGAATACGGCTTCGAGTGTTTCATGACCACCGTCGCGCGGCCGTCAAGCGGGGTCTGCAGAAAGAGGCGGTAGGTGAAATTTCCGTGCCCTCCCGCGAGGACGTGCACATCCGCGGCCTTGAAGTGGGTGGGCTCCAGGTAAGCCTTGACGCCCGAGATCGTGGTGAGATCGTGCTCTTCGCTGGACATTTGGCTGGATTCTAAGACGTGCTGTTGAATCAGAAGGACGATTGTGAGGGAGTATGTAGCGGTTCCAGGAATCAAAGCGTTCAATCTGAGTCGGTGCAAGTCAGATTAATGATGATCCGCGTGATGAACCGAGCCGGGACCCGCTCTCAACTTAATTCTCAGGTCACAGTCAAGCGTTATGTATCGAGGCGGACTCTGCTCCAAATTTCCTCTTCAGCGAGTATCTCTACGGGACCGCATGCGATTCGGAGGAAGTTGAGTTGGATTATGCCAACATTCAGTTTGCTCCTAGCTTTGGTCCTCCGCCGGTGGATTTGAGGCACCGGTCAAGCCTCAACAGCTCCAATGATTGCTCATAGGACTCTGGAGTGATCTAGAACAGTCAGTCGACAGCTTGCGCCTGTTGAGGCTTATCGTTTTGCTACAGGGCCTTCAATTGCAGCCGTCGTCATCGCATGCAACTTGATTAATTCAAATCATCGTCGACACTTCCCAAGATTTGGCATGGAGATCCAGGAGCAGATTTGTTCCTGAATAGTCTGGAGATCTCGCAACTTGGCATCTGAGGAAGGTAACGATCCTAGTCCGACTCTTTGATTTCACGGCTTCACTTCACGCGAGTGTCGCAAAAATCTGAATTGGCATATCTGTTATGGTCAGCGCTGATAGGTAGGGCTCAGGCCTTCAGCCTGATGACTGGCTGATCTCCGTAGGAAAGGTTGAATCAGTCGTCATCAGACGGTGATCAGACGTTGATCAGGGAATGGTCAGCAACGCATCAGGTGAGTATCGGACGTCAGTCAGGCGGGAATCAGCGGTTGATCAGAAAACTACCAGGCCCTGGTTTCAGCGGTGAAGACAAAAGGAGAACAGGCTTTCTTCCTTGCTCCATCTTCACTTTTTTACATTCACGTTTGGCACTGCATTTGAACAGGGTATCGCTTCACTTTCACTTGGATATTCAATTAATTTAATTAATTAATGTCACACTGTTATTCAGCCTTAATGATAAGGATTTCACTCGATTTACTTCACAGTGGGAATCGAACGCGAGAACATGAACTACTAGACCAATACAGACCACTACACTATGTAGGCGCGTGTTGCACTGTGTGCTCCAGTGCTAAGTGTCGTCGGAGACTTAACACAGCCACTTGCATCATGATGACGCAAACCAGAACGACCCTTCCACTCGCAGCTCGCAGCGTACCAGCATCTTTCTACACAGGACTGTGAAGTTCAACATATCTCTCGACATCTTCCCAACAATATTGCCATTGGAACTTTGCGGTCTGCGCATCGCAACAAGCCGAGACCATATCCTCTGAGGTCCACCTTCGACGCTCAGCTGCAAGGACTCGGATACATTGGCAAGCGTCGCCATCAACGCAAACAAGCGGGCCGCCGGATGCATGTACAATGGGTATCACTCCAGCCGCCTGGCCCTGTGCGTCAGCGCTGCTGACCAAAGCGAAAGAGAAGAGAGAGAAGGCGACGTACCATGAACTCCATAACATTGATCCTGAAGTGTTCATCCAGCACGACCCAGCCAAGCGAGCACCTGCGAGTACGGTGCGTTCAGCACGAATTGCACATGGTTCTGTCCAGAATAGGCATCTGCCGATCATGACCGGCTGCACGCCCCGCGCAGCGTACTCCGGGCGGTTCTGCAGCAGTGAATGCAATGCGCGGAGCTGCATCGGAATCACGCGCTCCCTCCCCGGAGACTTATTATACCGGCTTGTCAACCAGGCTTGTGCCCCATGTCGGAGTTTAAAATTAGCGGGCCGGGCTTGGCTTGTGTGATGGGGGCGTGGGCGTAGCTTGTGCACAGATCTGATCAATGATATCGTCGCTGCTCATCGCGTCAGCCCCGCGCTCACGTCGGACGTGCTATTTAATGGTCGTAGTACATCGTCCTTCATTCTAAATGTATATATTAGCTGCATTATGCTTCGGACGCCTCAATTGTCACCACCATCAAGCACGAGTAGCCCGTGCTCAGTGATAGCTCACCGCCTCTTCGTTGTGCCTTGCCACCCCTTTGCCCGGGACCGTCCCCGCGCTTTCTTTGCGCTTTACTCGCGCTCACCATCAGAGATCGCTTTCTCCAGCCTCCGCTTGTGCCGCTGTCTCCTCTTGGCCGGGATCAGTGCGTACGTCGGCGCCTCGCCTCGAATGCGAGATCAGCGGTAGCTCACCACCTCTTTGCTGTGCTTTGCCGCCCCCTTGCCCGGGACTGTCCCCGCACTTTCTTTGCGCTTTGCTCACGCTCACCGTCGGAGATTGCTTTCCAGGTTCCGCTTGTTCCGCTGTCTCCTCATGATTGGGATCAGTGCTTACATTGGTGCCTCGCCTCCAGTGCGGTGGTAGACCGGGATATGGATGTGGGGTCGTATCCGCAGTGCTCCGTGAAGAAGCGTCAGAGGCTCGAACGTTCTGAGACGCGTCCGAAAATGCCACTCACATTTTGTACAACCCGTGGAGTTCCGGGGTTTGTCGAGACTCGAAACCAATCAATAGCTAACACCCAAAACAGAGCCTGAGGAGTTCCGAGGCGCGTTCGAAAATTCGACCGACCTCTTTCACCGCCCGTGGATTTCCGAGGCGCGTCAAAATCGAACCAGGATCGGAAAAATATGGACCTGAGTAATGAGAATGTAAGAATGAGAACTTGTATTATTCTGTAAGCTACCTCTTGTATATATACTAAATATCTGTATTTATCTAGAAGGTCGTGGAACAAGCAGGAGGGCGGTAGTGAGATAAGTAATGACAAGTAATTGCCAATTACTTATCATTACTAGTAAGATATGCGATCGCCAACACTGAGCATGCCTTCTAAACATACCACCTGTGCCACTCACATATTCCAAAGTTTTTAAGCATTCATGAGCGCAGAGCGTTGCGGGAATGATGATGGTGCTGTACAATCATAAGACTTTCACTCATAGGCACTGACTTCGAAACTACTTCGAATCGCAAGCACCTTGTTGCATATCACAGGCACCGACCAGCTCAATACACTTCTGCAAAAAAGCCCGACAGTCCGTGATGCGTTTGAGCCTCTCTGTGATGCGCAGGTCGAGAAAAGAGTACTTGGCGGCGTATCTCTATGTAAAATATGATTAGACCATCTTTAGCGCTGTCGATCAGCATGTACATGAGCCCTATCTATCGTAGAGTACAACGTATAGCTCATAAATACCGCAGATAGCCTCTGATTACGCTTTAAACTATGGGAGACAAGCCGATTTGTCGGGCATGACAAGCCGACAAATTGGCTTGCAAGCCTGATGGCATCAGCTGCCAGCCAAATCCACGCCCATCAGTAAAAAAGCCGTTTTGCGCAGGCGCAAGCCGTTTCGTCATGCCCGAAACGTCGGTCTCGCGGCGGGCCCGAACGGGGGTACGCGAGCACGATGTCGACGTGCCGATTCGTCCAGCCCTAGTTGACCAGCACGGCACTCACGCGGCGCAGCGTGAGCGCGTAAAGCAGCATGAACGCGTGATAGTACGCGCGCTTTGAAGAATCCGAGTGAACGTGTATTGAACACGAACAACGACCTCGTCGCCCTCTGAAGCGTCGACTTCCTGTTGAAGATCGCTCCAACCAATCTTGATTCTCACTGGGTTTTCGGTGCGCCATGGGACTACGGGGACAGTTGAGCTCTGATAGGCTGAAAAAATACAGAGAATGACGAGCTTTTCCGTAACTTCGATGTCCAACTCCGCTAATTCCTCGCCAACAAGTTTCCTGAGATGTACATGAGTGCGGAACTGTCTTTCAAGGCGAGTCCTTCGTCCACGATCGAGATTTGGGTAACTGATAGCAAAACTCAGGTCGAGAAATCCATTATCTGGTCGACACAGTTGATGCGGACATATTTTACGCTCTCTGAATGCGGTACAACATATATGTCATTGATCCGTAGCATTTCCCAAAGACATAGCCTTATTACAACTTATAATACCTGATCCCAAACTGACCAGAGGCTGACTCCCGTCTGAGCATTCCTGACAAGATCTTACCGGCCTGACCACCGCCTGAGGATATGTGGTCAGGGTCTGACAACAAGCCGTCAGTTCAAATCAGCCGCATATCGGTCCGTCAGGACTGATCATAAATTAAACATTTTTGCGACAAGGGATTGGCTTCAGAACTAGGGATCTGGCAGATGATCAGCATTGGGCTCCAACCTAACCAGGGCAGTGGAAGGGCAGTGTATCACAGAACTCTTCTCGTACGAGGACACTGTCCTTACGGAATCGAGCGTCGAGAGCGTTGTAGTTGATCTGGAATCGAGAAAACAAGCGCTCGTGCTTTTGTTTCGACAGCGTTCCCTGCAAAAGACCTTAAGCGATACGATCGCTGTTGCAATGGACACTGAGAGCTCACCTTCAGCACAGAATGGGCCTGGGTGGTGCTCTCTCCGCCCCGTTGGACCCAGAAGGCGGTATTTTACAGATTGTTGATGTGCGCTGAGTGTGGCGCCCTCCACAGCCTCGACCGTAAGTTACTCCCTGTCTGTTTGCCGCCACGAAAAGTAGTCTCTGATCTGGGCTTCGCTGGGATACAGAACGATTCTGCCATCGAACGATGGGAGATATTTTAGTAGTGTGTCTGGAAAGTATGTCGTCCAGTGGAACACGTAGGGCGAGGTGAAGAACGAGGCGAGCGTCGAGAGTATCTTGGCTTGTCTCCGTTTTTACAACGAGCCTGACTTTCTGAGCAGGAAGCCAGCGCCGAAGTGCCAGAATTGAGATATCAGGACTGGGTATTTGCGCCCACCTCATCTCATCCGATTCGCCGAATGAGAGGACAATGCCAACGTGCTGATCCATGAGATCGCGAGCAGCATGATCCATGAGTTTCAGAGGTCATGCATCGTTCGGTTTCGTGAAACCGTGTTCGTCTGAGAAACTGGCGCAGCTCGAGTGAGAGCAGAAGTGGTGTCCTGAGCACTGCCATACCGATGAAAAGAGTGCCCGTCGAGTCTGAGCACCCTGTAGTTCCTAGGTAGTAGAGGATCAGGAAGCTCAAGGTTCCGCACATGGGGGAATTTAGATCTAGCCATGATTGTCGAGAACAACTGGCAGATTATCTTATCACCAAATCAATGACACGTGATGCGACTTGAAACACCAAGTCCCAACCTTCTCACAACTGCCCACCATGTAACCCAATCTGACACAATCTCGCTGGAACTCTGGACCGCATGTATTAATCGCTCCGGCTACACATCGTGAACGCCGGTTGAAGGGCTCGGATGCCGGTAGTCATAAGCACGAACAAAATTCGTGGCAGTCCCCGCACTAGGGGCGCTGCGTTCTGACGTTCTGTTCTGTGCAGCAACGACGACGTCAAGATCCACCACTGATGCATACCTTGCGTGTCTGCGTCTGGCTATACTATCTGACTCGTGTCGCCTGGTCAAAAGCCCCGACACCTCTGATTCACCGGTGAAAGCAGGGGCTCGAGAGTCCGCACAACTCTCCGTCTGGGTCAAGTGTAAGAACACGGCAATGGCAGCAGACGGACGAAACAAGCCGCAATCCTTGAATCACTCTGGTAACCAGAAGCCTCGCCTGCCAGGATACCGAGAACTCGACGACACGGGGATTGTATCATATCAATCAATGTTGTTCGCACACGAAGCAGCAGCTACTCTGTAGTTGAGCGCCGGTGAGACAACTCTTTGAGTCTAGCAGAGCAACCGACTGCGCGTGGCACTGGCTCAATCGCTCGATCTGACGGCCAGCGCGACGTAATAGATGAGGGGATGACGCATGTTGATCGACCCGGTGCATATCTGGAGAATGAGCGCAGCGCAGCGCTGATCATACAAGACGGCCGAAAGTCTGGCCGTTTCGAGGGGCACGTCCGGTCGCTTGGTTCATCGAGTAAATTAACAGCTCTCGCCCGTCTTGCGAGGCACACGAGAGGGCTGTAGATCACCGGGGATATCGACAAACTTTCGCCATCTCGCTAGATTCCGTTATCAAGCATCCGTTGTCTAGTCGCTCCCATTCCGGCTGTTCTGGGTCTAACTGTGCAACGAACGGTGATAGCATCTGCGCCAGGACGCCCAGTCTGTTCCTCTGCTTGCTCAGATCTTGACGGTCACCTAGCCCGGTCCTTGTTCCGGCAGATCGTCTAACGACCATCGGCGAAATGAAATGGGATCTGCCGGGCCAATGTCGAGAGAAGATGGTGCTCGACTGGGTATTTCCCCGGGGCGGGGCTCAGGGACGAGCTATGTATGGTCTGCACCCCCATGGGCTGCTCGATCCGGATGGCAGGCGCTGGCAGATACATCGACGGTTCCTGATTTATATAGGGCGTGGAGGGTCTGCTGCGCTCGATGGCGTCGCAATCGTACTACGTCGAGTATCCAGCGTCCCCCGACCGCGAGTTCGCGTGCCACCTCTGCGCGCTGTCGTTCGACCGGAACCACGATCTGAAGCGGCACATCGAGACGCACAGCGGCGAGCGGCCGTTCGTGTGCGAGCGGGGCTGCGGCAAGTCGTTCACGCGCAAGGACGCGCTGAAACGTCACCAGGCGCGTGGGCGCGCGCGCGCTGCTGCTGCTGCTGCTGCATAGATACATACTGACATCAGATCGCTTCTCGCACAGACGACATTCCCGTTCTGTCCACCGGACCCGAGTGCGAAACCGAAGCCGAAACCGAGGCCGGTCTCGTCAGCAGCGTCGTACCAGCACCAGCACCAGCACCAGCACCAGAGCTACTATGGCTCGGCAGGACCGAGCTCTCCCCAGGCGGCGGCAGCGGTGGCGGGATACCCGGCGAGCCCGACCTCGCCGGCGCCCTACGCAGCACCCTACGGGTACGGGCCTCCAGCGAGCTCGCACTGGCCCTCGTCAGACCCACAGCAGCAGCAGTACGGCGGAATGAGCTACCCGGGATCATCGTACATCGCACCACCACCACCGATGCACGGCGGAGAGTATCCGTCGTCGCCGACACGGGCGTTCCCGTGCGACGAGTGCGCGCTGTCGTTCGACCGCAACCACGATCTGAAGCGACACAAGATGACGCATGCGGGCGAGCGCCCGTTCGAGTGCCACGGATGCGGCAAGACGTTCTCGCGGAAGGACGCGCTGAAGCGACATCAGGTGGGCTGCGCGTCATTTCTGCGGGGTGTGCGCGAGACTGAGCAAGCGCCCAGACGACCAAGGAATGCGGGATGCAGTGATCGAACGAACATTTTCTTCCTTTTAGTGTCACAGTAAATTTAATACATCCATCACATTCATTTTGTATTCAAAGGCAATATGGCGAGTCAACATAGTCGTCAGTCGTATCGTACCATGCTATCTATCGACACCAAGCCTCCATATTAATGAGAAACTATTACGGTAGCGATGCGCGAGGCATCGCAAAGAAGATGGGCAGAATAAGGATGAGGTTGAAGCTGATGGTATGCTGGGTAAATAGGGTGCAGGAGGATAGCGCATCGTCAAGCGAAGGGTAGCAGTCGTATATCGGACGTCTGTTGTACAAGTCACGGGCAGGTCTAGAGTGTATTGTGGACGATCGTCGGCGGGATCTATGCCGGGGTCCGCGACGGGTTGCGCGCAAGCGTGGCACCCGTGCGCTGCGCCTGGATCGAGCTGAAGCGCTGGAGCTCCTCGGGCTTGATCGACAGCTTCTGGCCAAAGCCAACCTTGCGGGCAGCACGCTTGATGAAGCTGACACGGTTGGAGTACAAGCTCTCGTGGAGAGACGCCGCACGGGACTGGGTCCTCGTCATCGGAACACCGTCGGTGGAGGCGGCAACAACAGCAGCAGCAGCCTCGCGGCGCTCCCGCAGGTGCTTGATGACGGTCGCCTTCATCGCGAACTTGATCCAGTCCAGAGGCACGAACCAGAGGATGTCCTGCAAACATCGTTCAGCAAAAAAGACCAACGCGCACACAGGCAGACACGCGACTCACCCAGATCCACACGATACCGATCCAACCACCGCTGACACCCTGGATCTGAGTGAAGCCCCAGTTGGCGTACACCGCAATGATACTCGAGATCAGCTGGGCAATGCAGAACGCGCAGAACAGAGCCGTCGACGGACGCTCCATGAAGAAGAAGCTGTGCGACCGAGTGACGAAGATGAGCGCCTGCGAGATGATGGCCACCTGCAGGTAGACAACCATGTGCAGCTGACGGTCGTTGTGCTGCACAGGGAAAGTCTCAAGGCTGACACCGAACTTGTCCTGGAAGAAGGTCGTCTCGAGGATGATGATCACAAACGCAACACTGGAAAGGTATCCGTCAGAACACAGCGGACCGCCACAGACGCGGGACAACAACTCACGTGGACATGGTCAGGTACAATCCGTAAGCCACAGCGTACGAGAAAATCTCGGTCAAGTCCCAAGAGTCCGGAGTGTTGCTCGGCAGCACACGGTCAACAGACAGGGTCATGATCGTTCCGTCGTTGAGAAGCGCGATGATCAGAATCATGAACGGCGGGAAGTCGAACTTGTACGCAAAGGCCAGAATGGCGAAGCAGACCACGATACGGATCGTCACAGCGCAGGCATAGATCGAGTAGTTGCGCATACGCTGGAAGATGACACGGGAGCCGCGGATGGCGTGCACGATGGTGGAAAGACCGGGCTCGGTAAGCACAATGTCGGCAGCACCACGAGCAGCGTCAGTGGCACCCTCGACAGCGATACCAACGTTGGCACGGGAAAGAGCGGGAGCGTCGTTGGCACCGTCACCGGTCATGGCGCAAAGGTGGCCGAGACCCTGGAGACGCTTCACAATCTCGTACTTGTGCTCGGGGAAGACACTGCCAACGTCGTCAACATCGCCAACAGGAATACGCGACCCTTGCAAACGCACCCAGCGAAACCGTCCGCATCCATGATCATCTCATCCAGAGTCGCGTGTTTGCCACCGGGCGTGGGTCCGTCCTTGAGAACCTTGGCAGGGTACATGTGATCACCGAGACCGAGACGACGTCCAGTTTCCTTAGCAATAGCGAGCTGCACACAAATAAGCCGATGATCGACAGCAGCCTAGGGGTTGCCGTACCTGATCACCAGTAACCATCTTGACCTTCACACCGAGAGCCATCGCATCGTCGATGGTCTGCTTGGTATCATCACGGGGAGGATCAAAGATGGCCAGAAGACCGATGAGTTCGAAACTGTTAAGATCGTTGAGCAAAAGCCAGCGCGAGCCGGACTCAAACTGCGCACCCGTTACCCTCAGCCTCGTGGTCGGTGCTCTCAAGCTCCTCGAAGGCGACAGCCAAAGAACGCAGTCCACGGGTAGCAAACTCCTCGACGTCTTTCTCGAGCTTGGCCTCGAGCTCCTCAGTCTTGTTGCGGGTGCAAAGCTCAATGATGGCGCCAGTCATGCCCTTGGTGACACGCTTCAGCTTGCCTAGCACACACGTCAACTGCGTTTCAACCGTAACGAGCCTTCAGAAACATACCAGTCGCTTCCTCACGGTAGGTGATCTCGGTACGCTTGTCAACGGGGTTGAACGGCTTGAAGTCCAAGAGCTTGATCCCAGCCCGAGCGCGCTCAGTACCGACAGAGGCAACAACACAGGTGTCGATGGCATCCTGGTTCTCAGTGCGAGACGCGTAGGCAGCCAGAAGGATAACGTCGTCGGCAGAGAAAGACCTGGAAGACGTCAGCCAGGGCTCAAGAAAAGCGGCAACCAGCTGACGAGTAAGTAACCAGGGTCTGGCGATCAATGGTGAGCTTGTTGGTGGTCAAAGTACCAGTCTTGTCAGAACACAGAATGGTGACGCCGGCAAGTTCCTGTGCAGGATGTCAGACCGTGTGATAAGACCTCGCGCGAGATGAACGGACCTCGATGGCAGTGATACGGGTGACGATGGCCTTGTAGCTGGCAAGCTGTTGCGCACCGACGGCCAGGGTGACAGACAACACGGTAGGCATGGCGATAGGGATACCACCAATGAGCAACACAAGGATGTTGTTGAGACCTAAACGTGACGCTTCGGTACGCTTGCCGGAAGGCAGCAGTAATGCACATACCACGACGGTAAGAGTAACGGAATCCAGCATAGAGAACCAGGATCTCCGCCAAGACGAAGATACCAATGACAACGAGACAGAACGATCCAATTTGGGCGAGAATCTTCTGCAAGTGACCAGTGGTGTCGTCGTCCTGTCCGACAAGGGAGGCAGCGCGACCGAAGAAAGTGTTGGCACCGGTGGAGATCACCACACCCTCGGCTTCACCGTTCTTGCAAGTGGAACCCCTGAAGGTACTGAGAACGACAGCGAACATCCCGTGCGAATTCCACTCACGAGAAACATTGATCTCCGAGCTTCTTGGACTGGGGCAGGGATTCACCAGTCAAGGCGGCCTGGTCGATGGACACGTTGATGGCCTCGGTGAGACGGCAGTCGGCGGGAACGATGTCACCAATCTTGAATGAAACCATGTCACCGGGGACGAGGTCGGCGGACTCGATTTCGGACCAAGAACCTCCACGCTTGCACTTGGCCTTGGGGGCGAGCGAATCCATGAGAGCCTTGACCGCGTTACCCGCACCACGCTCTTCGTAGAAACCGATGGACGAGTTGATGAGGAGTAGCAGGACGATACCGACGAAATCCTGCCAGTCGGGAGGCTGGCCTTGACCGTTGGACAGAGCGATGGCAACCAAAGCGGCGGCTTCCATCACCCAGGAGAGCGGGTTCCACATGAAAGAAAGGAACTGTGGTGGGAAAAAGACACCAGATGAGTACCCTGACGACCGCGTGAGCGAAGCACAAGACACACCTGCAGGAAAGGGTTCTGCTCCTCCGACTCGAGCTTGTTGGGACCGAAAAGCTCCAAACGGCGGGTAGCCTCGTCCTGGCTCAGACCATTCTCGTCGCACTGCAACAGCTTGAAGACGTCGTCAATGACGATCGTCTCCAGGTCGACCTTCTCCTTGTCGTAGAGATCCTCTGCCTTCAACTCGATGGTGCTCATGTCTACCAGGGCGTGCGTAGCCTTCACTTCGTCATGGCCGAACTCCTTGTACTCTCGCTTGGCAGGCGCGGATTCGGCTGGCGAAGGCTCGCCGCCGGGGACCTTTTCAGAGTCGGACATGGGAGAAGATGAGGGGGGAGGGGAGCTGAAGGATCAGTCACCACAAGGAATCCTGTTTGGTTTTATTCCCATCGGTCAGTATCGGCTGCCAAACACGAATCAACATCTCGGCAAAGCGTTGATGCGTCCGGAACGGCATCATTGCTTCCCACCGGATCGCTGCATTTTGATTCTGTGGAGCGGTTCACGGTTCTTGTTAGTTCCTGCTTGAAGAAGGGTATCCCGGCATCCCCGTTGCACCTCCATGTGACCTTTCATATAGCACCTTGAAAACCACCCACAGAACAACACATGCACTTTCACAGCAGTAGAGCTGAAAATCAAATGATCTCTGCCTCGTTTCTTCACCATCAATTTTCCCAAAATGGTGGGGGCCAGGTATGGATGGGTTAACATTTGTTGATGTTGGCTGAAAGGATGGTTTGTAGCCAGACAGAAACTCCAGGTGGAGGTGGGCCGGAGCCTTAGCTGACAACACAATATGGACATCATGTGACAATCAACAAGAAATAATGTTGAAAAGAGAAGTGAATTCAAAGACTGGAGAATATAACCAAGTAGCTACAGTATTTATACCCAAATCCAGTCTGAGTCATATCTACAACAAATGAGTCATAAGGCTATGTACCGCATGGAGCACTGGTCATGGGTTGTAGTAGAACCTTCCGGAGCATATGTTGTGCAGCCTTGAATCAATAAAGATGATCCCCTGGACCCCTAGCCCGGACTGTCAGATGCCGTGATCCGTGATAAGATTACCCGCGCCGGGATAAGATAAGATCGTCGGTGATAAGATGAAAAAGTGGCCGAACTATGACATTACCCCCTCTCTAGGGTCGATGTCCTCATTGACTGGGCCAATGGGTGTGAAGACATTTTTGTAAGGGTTGAAGAGTTGTTGTTGGGGATATGGAAGGTGCTTGTCTTTGGGTTTGTAGCAATGGATGAGATAGTCCCAATGTCCGGCTTCAAGCGTTGGCAGGAGGCAAATGTGTGTGTCTGGGTTGGATTGTTTCCTCTGCCAATCTCTCAGGACCTTCTTTGTGTGGGTAAGATGACATGATGGTTCCCATGTACTTTCACTATGTGGCCATCCCTTCCATTTGACCAAGTACTGCTTCCCTTGGCCAACATTCCGTTCCTTCACAATTTCTTTGACTTCCCACTCTTCTGCTCCTCCGATCATCTTGGCTATGGGCCTCTTCTATCAGCAATGGGGGGGGGGGGGGGTGGTTTGTGATAGGGTGTCAGCAGCAACTCATTGAACACTGGGTGTCTTCGGTCCGTGTCTGGCAAATCCAGCTTCCATGTGGCTGCTCCAATCTTCTCCAATAGCTTGTATGGTTCCAATCTCTTGTTGCTCATCTTCTTCAATGGTCTATCCGTCTCGATATTGTTCCCTTCTACGTACACCTTCATCCCGACCTTCAACTCCAGTGAAATGCTGAGGGCGCGCTCACAGGTGAATCTACTATGAAGTAAACCCAGATATAAACATGTTCACACTCCTTGTAAGGGCAACTCCTGCCAGCCCGAAGGAAGAGAGCACACAGCACACAACAACCTCACATGAGTCTGAGCACAGAGGGGGATCCTTAGAGACTATCAAATACAAGGGAGGTATACTACTCACTTGAGCACAGAGGGGGATCCTTAGAGAACGGTTCAAGGATCCATGTGCCCAGGTGTCACACTATATAGTCAGCTATGACAAGTGACTGATGATGATGGGATATCACTGCCATGGAACAATGGCAGATGACAAGCAGACAATGACAAACCCAGATAAGATAGTGAGTGGCTCAGAGGGGCCAGTGATGGCCAGCTCCTGAGGCACCAACAGTAGAAGGCCACACTGGAGGAGCCCAGTGGCCAGGCCAGTGCTGGGCCAGCCAGTGGAGACATCAGAGGCAAGGACCAATGCCCGACTGGGCAGAGGGGTGGTGCAGATGAGCGCAAAGGCATCTGGTATGAGCCTGTACGGCAGTAGACCACATCCACGGGAAGAAGGCCAAAGTAGAGGGGGAGGAGTGCGTATGGCAGTAGCACTCCCTGGTGCAAGGAATTGGGCTTGGCTAGACCTCTTGCGGGGATTTGAGGGAGATGGCCGGGGGAAGGAGGAAGAGGGTGGATGTCGGCATGAATGGAGATGAGGATTGGAGGAGGAGGAGGAGGCTGGGTGATCAACAGGTGAGCAGGCACGGATTGGCAGAGAGGGCGCAGTGGGTCACGTGCATGGTCACGTGCTCAAGGAGCGCGGCCTCCCCTGACATAATGCATGATCCAACCACTGATGTTCTCGGTGTTGTGGGTGTTACAAGCCACAATGGGTTGCGGAAGTTCTTGGATATCCAGTTTCTCTGCCCGTGCATAGTTGGTATCAATGCAACAGGTACTGCAACCACTATTGAGCAGCGCCTTGACTCCGCACATCTTTCCTGAGTCCAGGCCCGTGATCTGGATGTATATGTCCATTGCATGCCTCTTCCTTTTGGCCTGGTAGCTGCCCAATTCCTGCACCAATCTGCTGGGCTGGGGACCCTTCTGCTTCTTGGCCACCGATTTCCTCTGGATGGTATCTGGCACCCTTGTGCGTTTGGGTGTTTCTGGAAGCTTGATTTTGGCAGATTCCTTGGGCGCTTCCTCCTTTTCCAAGGATCAAGCCTCCAGAGCAATGCTCCCCTTTTCAGTCTTTGTTGATGTGGTTTCTTCTCCACAAGCCATAAATACGTAGGAGTCTAAAAATAATTTATCTGCAGCCGCTGTCTTCTGATCCTTTTTATCTTGTAAATATTTTCTATTTAGAGCTATTTTTTCCTTGCATTCTTTTTCCATCTTGGCAACAAGAAAATTGTGAATATTAGTACATAGTGAGTTGGGGAGCATGTATGTATGGTGAGGAATAGCATTCATATCTCTAATTGAAACAAGTACAGAAAAATGTCCATAGTCTGGACGCTCCACCTCCTTGGCTAGAGGAGTAGAGCGCTTCAAAAACCCTTCTCACGCAGCTTCTCAGTGATCTCCTTGAGGAACTCGTTGTTCTTGTTCCCGTTCTCGATCTCTTCAAGCATCATGGCCCAATTGAAGAATGTGCACTTCCTTGGTTCTGGACAATTTTGCGCGATGTGCCCGGGCTGCTGACAGTTGTAGCAGATGATATTGTGGCCGCAGGCATGGGTGCAATCAATTTCCATTGGAACTGGTTTGTTAGCAGCGGGTCAGGCCAGAGTGGGTGCAGGCGTTGTTGGGGCAGCCTGAGGGTGGAATTAGGGAGGTGGTTGTGGCGTGGAGTGCCCATAAGATGCTTTGCGCAGCTGGTCGTGCAGAGCGTTTGCCTTGATGTTGATGCACCAGGCTTTAAAGGCACCATATGCCTTGGGCAGGGGGATACCAGTGTTGTAGAGGCGGCTGGCAATCTTGCTACAGAGCCCGCGCTCAAGGAATTTGATGAGGATGTTGTCTTGATCCCCCTTCTCGTATTCACCTTTGTTGTGGGTGGTGGTGATCATATTGTATCCTGCATCTGCCACCAACATTTCAAAGTTGGAGATATAATCCGCAAAGGATCGCTTGTTCTGGCGCGGGGCCATGAGTCAAGCAGCAGCAACTTGCTCCATGTTGGAGTCCCCAAAGGCCCTCTGAAGCTCCTTCAGAAAAGTTGTTGAGGTGATCCCTGCCTTCATTCCCTTCATGCCATCAAAGTTGTGCTGTTTCCAGTTCATCACCCATCTTGAGGCGGCACGACTTGTGCCAGCCTTGTTGCAGAGGTAGGAGAGGATGAAGAGGATTTTTGTCTCATCCAGCAAGAATTCTGACTGATAGGCACTGATGTAGGTGGTGCACAAGTCCACGAAACCCAGATACTTGGACTTGTCCCCATCAAAATAGTGGGGGTTGGTGGCAAGGGTAATGTGGTGATGTCCTGACATGGTATGAACAGGTGTGGTAGGTGGGGGTGAAGGTGGTTATTCAGAGGGTAATTTGTTGAGGTCAGGAATCCCGTCTTCAGGCGGCGGGAGGGCAAGGTAGGGATTAGAGGGCCTGGGTTGGTTTTGATGCGCCAGATTGGGCAACAATGGTATGATGGGGGGAGGAGACGGACTCCCAGACAACAAAGGGAATCGGTACGAAATGGTGGATTTGTGTGCTGTACAAGCACTTGAGGAGAGGTTCTTTTGCTAGCAAAAAGATCCCGGGCCTAGCTCTTCACATGCTTGGTGATCCCAAGGTACATTTTCCCAAAGGTCTCTGCAGCAATCCTTGTAGCTACCGTAAGGCTTGGGTCAGGCTCAACGTTACCTGTGGCCTGGCGCTGTTTGCTCGAGATGAACCTTTCACTGTGATTGCAGGGAACAACTAGATGATTTGGTAAAAGGGTGAGTTGGTTGATAAGGGTTAAGAGGATATAGTGGGCATAGCGGTGAGGGATGCAGAGGTAAGAGGTATGAGGTAGGAGGGTATGAGGGGAGTCTTTGAATTATGTGACCATCAACAAGAAATAATGTCGAAAAGAGAAGTGAATTCAAAGACTGGAGAATACAACCAAGTAGCTACAGTATTTATACCCAAATCCAGTCTGAGTCATATCTACAACAAATGAGTCATAAGGCTATGTACCGCATGGAGCACTGGTCATGGGTTGTAGTAGAACCTTCCGGAGCATATGTTGTGCAGCCTTGAATCAATAAAGATGATCTCCTGGACCCCTAGCCCGGACCGTCGGATGTCATGATCCGTGATAAGATAACCCACACCAGGATAAGATAAGATCATTGGTGATAAGATGAAAAAGTGGCCGAACTATGACACAAACTTGCTATCTCTAAACAGAAGATCAAGATTGTTCTGTTGGCCAGTGGCCATCTCAACGTTGGAGATCTCCTTGATACAACTGTGTTTGGCAGAAGGACCACCATCCAGAGTGTGATTCGAGCCGGAAGCAACCAGAGATGGAGAACGCATGATTGCATCCTCTTGGAGCATTCCTTTCTTATTGACAATCTTGTCAAGAGTCCAGAAGCGTTCTGTGGTCACCATCATGTCCATCTTCTTGGCAAGCTTGAAGACCTTGCAAGTAGGCTTCTGGAACTTGGTGTCAATGATCCCATTGTTATTAACAGGAGACTTTTCTTGAACCGCACAGATTTTGGGTCCGTTGCAAGAGATGTGCGTGACATACGAGATTGTTGGTGCAGGGATAGAAGGAGTGAGCAAGGCAATCAAACCAATAGTAAGGGAGCCAGTGATCTTGGAGACACCATGGACATGACCATGATCGGCCTTGCCCTTGTTGTCCTTGTTCTTCCCACTGTGCTTGCCTTGACAGTTCTTCTTCTTCCCATCAGCCTTACCACCCTTATTGGGTGCAGAGCCGGAGCTCTGTTGCTGATTGGTGAACAAAAGGGTCATTGTGCTTGCACTTGGTATTGAACTTGGCCACATGATTCTGGCTTTGAGACTGCTTCTGAGCAAAATGCTTCAAGAGAGAGTCGCGAACCACCAAGACCTTGATCTCGTCCTTGTTGTGAGTCTGCAGAACAGTCTCCGTGACAGAGGGAATCTGGGCTATATTGAGAATGATCATTGCCCTGAGGAACTCAGGAATGATTAAAGACTTGTTCTCCAGGCGAGTGAATGCCGTAGTGATCACCAGCAGCTGGGGATCTGGGTGCAGCCCCACGTTGTACTTGGCATTCAATGCGGATTGGAAGTACGCATACAGGTCGGCGCACTGAGCACCACCATATTGGGTCTTCAGATGCTCCCAGATCTTGGCAGCTGACACTATATTGGTGGAGGGAATGTTAGCAATGACACCTTCAGTCAGGTGCAACTTAATGCTGCCTTTAGCTCTGAGATCATCATGCTTTCATTGCTTGATCTCTGATGCATTGGTAACAATGCCATCCAGCTTGATTTGGGTTGGCACAGCTTCGGTTAGCACATATGAGATCCTCTGATGTTCCAGATAGGACTCCATAGTTCCGGACCAGACAAGCCAGTGCTTCCCATCAAAGGTGGAGACAGCATTGAAGATGTTGTTGGAGTGGGACAACATATCAATCTGTGTGAGTGATCAGAATCAATCTAATCTGATAGATGAAATACAAGATCAAGATGATCAGATCCTCATAGATCATACTGTACTATTATGACCGTAGCTTCAGCCAGGATGACCGATGACAGCTTAGCTTCATTGGAGCACAGCTTCACGGACTGGAATGACCGATGACAGTGGTCAAATAGCTTGATCATGGTGTTGTTGCCAGTTCCCAGCGCCCGTTGTTACCAGGCACCACCTCGCCACACAATTGCAACAAATAGTGATGAGATTCGCAATATAATCATAAGAAAGTGATGTCATTAGTAATGTGTCTCTGTATCCATGCTGTATTTGACAAGATTCCGGTCCTTTACACAAAATTAGCTTTCTTTGGGATGATATTCTTATCTTGCTCAATCCCAAAACCCGTGAACAACTGTAGAGCTATTTTTTGATGTAATAGACTCAAAAATCCCACTCAAAATGCCAAATTTTGATCTAAAAAAAAACCAAATGTCATCAGCTTCAAGGCCCTCAATAACCGATGACAACAGGCAATTAGCTTTGCTTCATGACTACCAATGACTGATGACATGAAGCTATGGTCGTAATAGTACAGTAATCTCCTTCAGAGATTGATGCATCTGGATCAAGTGATGTAATTGAAATCCAGCATAGTTTCACCAGTGCTATGCAGCAGCTGAAGTGAATACAGATAGGCTAAAGACGCTGCTCATTGTTGCAGCCAGTAACAGCACATACAATGAATGTTGCGGCCACTCAGGCGCAGACATAGCTCTTGGGGCCCATAACCTGTTGAGCACTGGGGAGAGCATCTAGCAGCTCACCTGTGTGAGTGAGAGCTTAGTGTGGGCACTATGCGGGAGTAGTCAAGAGACTTGTATTAAAGGGTAATAGAGCCCTCCTTATATATGATGCAGGGGCTGTTTGGGTCTATTTGGTATGAGTTGACATGACTCTAGATGACACGTGATGGAGTCATAGATGTGTATCACAACATTGCCTTGCTTGTCAAGGCTTCTCCACCCTCATAATTTGTTTGATCCGGTTGCACGTGGTTTGATCTGATCTTCCGTATCATTCCGCATGTAATTGTGCAGTTGCTTGTTTGAACCTCTTTTGTCTTTCATAATCAGTCGTCGCATATGCATGTAAACATGTTCACAAGCTCTTGTAACGTCCTGCATCTACGCTGAATCACATTAGAACAAAGCACATGCAAGACAAGGAGTGGGGTTCGACGCAGTACTGTTGTCAAGTACACCTTCTGTTCTAATCTGTGGCTCCAATCCCTTACACACTCAGCACGCTTTGCCCCTGCATTGACGTCTGCGAATTATTGTAATTGTGTCTTTTGTATCTGTATTGTGACATGTGACTGCTATTGAGTTTTATTAAAAAATGCAAGAGCAAGCAAGGCATCTGCTGGCGAAGGCGGCGCTCTAGTCCATCTGGCACATGACATTTGGTCAACAGTATAGCTGTCCTTGATTGTCCAAACATTGATCAAACACTGCTGAGCACTGTGTGATTACATCATTCTTTAACACCATTTGCGAACCTACAGGAAGTCATCTTGGGGTAGGTTGAGAATTATCTGACACTTTTTTATGCTTACAGCATTCAAGCCAATGGTTTCATAATGAATTGGGGACACAACTGCTGAAAATAGTTTGGCAAATTAATTGGATGGCGGCACCTGACTTTTGTGTGTTACCTGTCTGCATTTTAAAATTTACATCCTCGATGGCCATAAACTGCTTGGTCTTGGAATCTGTATTGAGTGCATATGACACATTGACAGATGCGAGCGGCACGGTGATTGATGACAAGTGCCCCGATCAAAAGCAACCCCCGGGATCAGGGTGTGTGGCACCACTCTTAGTGTGCTGAATGCAGAGGCTGTCTTGTGGAAATTAACCGACAGTGGTCTTCTACGGGCAGACTGCGGCCGATTGTTGTCCTTGCCGACTCTTCGTGACAAAAGAATTCGAGAACATCAAACATAAAGCGCATATTCTCCTCGGATTCTCTTCGTCGTGTCGCTTGGCAGCACGTCGCATACGAGATAGAAGCTTGGAAGGTTCGGAACGCGCGCTTTGCGCACAGGGGAGAATGGGGACTTTGGATCCGCTGACCGCACGCAAGCCCGCAGGCGCCGTCGAGGGACGACCGTTCAATACTTCAATACACTCTCTGGCACTGATCGGAGCGGCCTCTAGATCGGATTTGTCGGGCCTTGCTCGTTCTGCCGAGAGCATGACATCATCCAGGGAGGCCGGTCCGCTCGCACGATATCCTGATCCTTCGTGCAGTGCGCAAGCATATGCTCTGACCGGGAGATTATCGGCCAGCCCAAGCGAAACACCCGCCCGGAAATACCGCCGCTTATTGCACTGGGAGGGTAGTCGACGGCGAGTGTTACGCGATCGTTGAAGAGAGCGGACGTCGGGTGTCGAGCGCTTCTCGGGGGAGGTCAAACAACGGAAAATGTTTACAGTGGACTTTGGCTGTTGCTGTTTCCACCCTCGGCGTTCCATGCGGGTTTCGAATCTCGTTTCCCTCATATCTCCCCAACATTTGTTGGAACTGTCAAAGCAATCAGTTGCTATTTCGGTCATCGGCAACCGGACGAGGTGACTTCGGTGTGACAGTGACGCTCCTCCAATGGCCATTCGAGCGCGGAGTAACTTCCAGCCACAAGGCGCGCTAACTGGCATCTCGAGCACAAGTCGGGGCAAACGAGACGAAGCACAAGGAAGACATGGAATCAGCTCCGGTATGACCCGTCCAGGCCCCCACAGTTGATAAAGTTATGGCCTGCAGCTCGGGGATCTTTCGAACTGCTTCGAACAGAAAGGGAACCCGACAAATCGCGCTGACGGGTGATATGCGATCGGACGGACCAGCCGAGCACATGGACGAACCGGAGAGTTGCCGCTCATTTGCGATTTCACTGCGCAATTCACATCTTCTGCGAAGGAACGTCTGGGTTATAGCAACAGCAGTTGATGCATCACCACATCCGTTGTGTGATGGGCGCTGAAGCGAGTAGGCCGGATAACGCCCGGACGCTTCGGCATGACCGCTTTGGTAGTGTGCAATGGGGCGGGCGCGGGACGGAATATGTTTGCATAGAAATGACAGCATGGAAAGTCGTAAGGCGATCATTCGAGCCCTGCATGTCCACAAGAATAGCCGTTCCGGACGCATCAACGCTTTGCCGAGATGTTGATTCGTGTTTGGCAGCCGATACTGACCGATGGGAATAAAACCAAACAGGATTCCTTGTGGTGACTGATCCTTCAGCTCCCCTCCCCCCTCATCTTCTCCCATGTCCGACTCTGAAAAGGTCCCCGGCGGCGAGCCTTCGCCAGCCGAATCCGCGCCTGCCAAGCGAGAGTACAAGGAGTTCGGCCATGACGAAGTGAAGGCTACGCACGCCCTGGTAGACATGAGCACCATCGAGTTGAAGGCAGAGGATCTCTACGACAAGGAGAAGGTCGACCTGGAGACGATCGTCATTGACGACGTCTTCAAGCTGTTGCAGTGCGACGAGAATGGTCTGAGCCAGGACGAGGCTACCCGCCGTTTGGAGCTTTTCGGTCCCAACAAGCTCGAGTCGGAGGAGCAGAACCCTTTCCTGCAGGTGTGTCTTGTGCTTCGCTCACGCGGTCGTCAGGGTACTCATCTGGTGTCTTTTTCCCACCACAGTTCCTTTCTTTCATGTGGAACCCGCTCTCCTGGGTGATGGAAGCCGCCGCTTTGGTTGCCATCGCTCTGTCCAACGGTCAAGGCCAGCCTCCCGACTGGCAGGATTTCGTCGGTATCGTCCTGCTACTCCTCATCAACTCGTCCATCGGTTTCTACGAAGAGCGTGGTGCGGGTAACGCGGTCAAGGCTCTCATGGATTCGCTCGCCCCCAAGGCCAAGTGCAAGCGTGGAGGTTCTTGGTCCGAAATCGAGTCCGCCGACCTCGTCCCCGGTGACATGGTTTCATTCAAGATTGGTGACATCGTTCCCGCCGACTGCCGTCTCACCGAGGCCATCAACGTGTCCATCGACCAGGCCGCCTTGACTGGTGAATCCCTGCCCCAGTCCAAGAAGCTCGGAGATCAATGTTTCTCGTGAGTGGAATTCGCACGGGATGTTCGCTGTCGTTCTCAGTACCTTCAGGGGTTCCACTTGCAAGAACGGTGAAGCCGAGGGTGTGGTGATCTCCACCGGTGCCAACACTTTCTTCGGTCGCGCTGCCTCCCTTGTCGGACAGGACGACGACACCACTGGTCACTTGCAGAAGATTCTCGCCCAAATTGGATCGTTCTGTCTCGTTGTCATTGGTATCTTCGTCTTGGCGGAGATCCTGGTTCTCTATGCTGGATTCCGTTACTCTTACCGTCGTGGTATGTGCATTACTGCTGCCTTCCGGCAAGCGTACCGAAGCGTCACGTTTAGGTCTCAACAACATCCTTGTGTTGCTCATTGGTGGTATCCCTATCGCCATGCCTACCGTGTTGTCTGTCACCCTGGCCGTCGGTGCGCAACAGCTTGCCAGCTACAAGGCCATCGTCACCCGTATCACTGCCATCGAGGTCCGTTCATCTCGCGCGAGGTCTTATCACACGGTCTGACATCCTGCACAGGAACTTGCCGGCGTCACCATTCTGTGTTCTGACAAGACTGGTACTTTGACCACCAACAAGCTCACCATTGATCGCCAGACCCTGGTTACTTACTCGTCAGCTGGTTGCCGCTTTTCTTGAGCCCTGGCTGACGTCTTCCAGGTCTTTCTCTGCCGACGACGTTATCCTTCTGGCTGCCTACGCGTCTCGCACTGAGAACCAGGATGCCATCGACACCTGTGTTGTTGCCTCTGTCGGTACTGAGCGCGCTCGGGCTGGGATCAAGCTCTTGGACTTCAAGCCGTTCAACCCCGTTGACAAGCGTACCGAGATCACCTACCGTGAGGAAGCGACTGGTATGTTTCTGAAGGCTCGTTACGGTTGAAACGCAGTTGACGTGTGTGCTAGGCAAGCTGAAGCGTGTCACCAAGGGCATGACTGGCGCCATCATTGAGCTTTGCACCCGCAACAAGACTGAGGAGCTCGAGGCCAAGCTCGAGAAAGACGTCGAGGAGTTTGCTACCCGTGGACTGCGTTCTTTGGCTGTCGCCTTCGAGGAGCTTGAGAGCACCGACCACGAGGCTGAGGGTAACGGGTGCGCAGTTTGAGTCCGGCTCGCGCTGGCTTTTGCTCAACGATCTTAACAGTTTCGAACTCATCGGTCTTCTGGCCATCTTTGATCCTCCCCGTGATGATACCAAGCAGACCATCGACGATGCGATGGCTCTCGGTGTGAAGGTCAAGATGGTTACTGGTGATCAGGTACGGCAACCCCTAGGCTGCTGTCGATCATCGGCTTATTTGTGTGCAGCTCGCTATTGCTAAGGAAACTGGACGTCGTCTCGGTCTCGGTGATCACATGTACCCTGCCAAGGTTCTCAAGGACGGACCCACGCCCGGTGGCAAACACGCGACTCTGGATGAGATGATCATGGATGCGGACGGTTTCGCTGGGTGCGTTTGCAAGGGTCGCGTATTCCTGTTGGCGATGTTGACGACGTTGGCAGTGTCTTCCCCGAGCACAAGTACGAGATTGTGAAGCGTCTCCAGGGTCTCGGCCACCTTTGCGCCATGACCGGTGACGGTGCCAACGACGCTCCCGCTCTTTCCCGTGCCAACGTTGGTATCGCTGTCGAGGGTGCCACTGACGCTGCTCGTGGTGCTGCCGACATTGTGCTTACCGAGCCCGGTCTTTCCACCATCGTGCACGCCATCCGCGGCTCCCGTGTCATCTTCCAGCGTATGCGCAACTACTCGATCTATGCCTGCGCTGTGACGATCCGTATCGTGGTCTGCTTCGCCATTCTGGCCTTTGCGTACAAGTTCGACTTCCCGCCGTTCATGATTCTGATCATCGCGCTTCTCAACGACGGAACGATCATGACCCTGTCTGTTGACCGTGTGCTGCCGAGCAACACTCCGGACTCTTGGGACTTGACCGAGATTTTCTCGTACGCTGTGGCTTACGGATTGTACCTGACCATGTCCACGTGAGTTGTTGTCCCGCGTCTGTGGCGGTCCGCTGTGTTCTGACGGATACCTTTCCAGTGTTGCGTTTGTGATCATCATCCTCGAGACGACCTTCTTCCAGGACAAGTTCGGTGTCAGCCTTGAGACTTTCCCTGTGCAGCACAACGACCGTCAGCTGCACATGGTTGTCTACCTGCAGGTGGCCATCATCTCGCAGGCGCTCATCTTCGTCACTCGGTCGCACAGCTTCTTCTTCATGGAGCGTCCGTCGACGGCTCTGTTCTGCGCGTTCTGCATTGCCCAGCTGATCTCGAGTATCATTGCGGTGTACGCCAACTGGGGCTTCACTCAGATCCAGGGTGTCAGCGGTGGTTGGATCGGTATCGTGTGGATCTGGGTGAGTCGCGTGTCTGCCTGTGTGCGCGTTGGTCTTTTTTGCTGAACGATGTTTGCAGGACATCCTCTGGTTCGTGCCTCTGGACTGGATCAAGTTCGCGATGAAGGCGACCGTCATCAAGCACCTGCGGGAGCGCCGCGAGGCTGCTGCTGCTGTTGTTGCCGCCTCCACCGACGGTGTTCCGATGACGAGGACCCAGTCCCGTGCGGCGTCTCTCCACGAGAGCTTGTACTCCAACCGTGTCAGCTTCATCAAGCGTGCTGCCCGCAAGGTTGGCTTTGGCCAGAAGCTGTCGATCAAGCCCGAGGAGCTCCAGCGCTTCAGCTCGATCCAGGCGCAGCGCACGGGTGCCACGCTTGCGCGCAACCCGTCGCGGACCCCGGCATAGATCCCGCCGACGATCGTCCACAATACACTCTAGACCTGCCCGTGACTTGTACAACAGACGTCCGATATACGACTGCTACCCTTCGCTTGACGATGCGCTATCCTCCTGCACCCTATTTACCCAGCATACCATCAGCTTCAACCTCATCCTTATTCTGCCCATCTTCTTTGCGATGCCTCGCGCATCGCTACCGTAATAGTTTCTCATTAATATGGAGGCTTGGTGTCGATAGATAGCATGGTACGATACGACTGACGACTATGTTGACTCGCCATATTGCCTTTGAATACAAAATGAATGTGATGGATGTATTAAATTTACTGTGACACTAAAAGGAAGAAAATGTTCGTTCGATCACTGCATCCCGCATTCCTTGGTCGTCTGGGCGCTTGCTCAGTCTCGCGCACACCCCGCAGAAATGACGCGCAGCCCACCTGATGTCGCTTCAGCGCGTCCTTCCGCGAGAACGTCTTGCCGCATCCGTGGCACTCGAACGGGCGCTCGCCCGCATGCGTCATCTTGTGTCGCTTCAGATCGTGGTTGCGGTCGAACGACAGCGCGCACTCGTCGCACGGGAACGCCCGTGTCGGCGACGACGGATACTCTCCGCCGTGCATCGGTGGTGGTGGTGCGATGTACGATGATCCCGGGTAGCTCATTCCGCCGTACTGCTGCTGCTGTGGGTCTGACGAGGGCCAGTGCGAGCTCGCTGGAGGCCCGTACCCGTAGGGTGCTGCGTAGGGCGCCGGCGAGGTCGGGCTCGCCGGGTATCCCGCCACCGCTGCCGCCGCCTGGGGAGAGCTCGGTCCTGCCGAGCCATAGTAGCTCTGGTGCTGGTGCTGGTGCTGGTGCTGGTACGACGCTGCTGACGAGACCGGCCTCGGTTTCGGCTTCGGTTTCGCACTCGGGTCCGGTGGACAGAACGGGAATGTCGTCTGTGCGAGAAGCGATCTGATGTCAGTATGTATCTATGCAGCAGCAGCAGCAGCAGCGCGCGCGCGCCCACGCGCCTGGTGACGTTTCAGCGCGTCCTTGCGCGTGAACGACTTGCCGCAGCCCCGCTCGCACACGAACGGCCGCTCGCCGCTGTGCGTCTCGATGTGCCGCTTCAGATCGTGGTTCCGGTCGAACGACAGCGCGCAGAGGTGGCACGCGAACTCGCGGTCGGGGGACGCTGGATACTCGACGTAGTACGATTGCGACGCCATCGAGCGCAGCAGACCCTCCACGCCCTATATAAATCAGGAACCGTCGATGTATCTGCCAGCGCCTGCCATCCGGATCGAGCAGCCCATGGGGGTGCAGACCATACATAGCTCGTCCCTGAGCCCCGCCCCGGGGAAATACCCAGTCGAGCACCATCTTCTCTCGACATTGGCCCGGCAGATCCCATTTCATTTCGCCGATGGTCGTTAGACGATCTGCCGGAACAAGGACCGGGCCAGGTGACCGTCAAGATCTGAGCAAGCAGAGGAACAGACTGGGCGTCCTGGCGCAGATGCTATCACCGTTCGTTGCACAGTCAGACCCAGAACAGCCGGAATGGGAGCGACTAGACAACGGATGCTGATTGCAGAACGAGCCAGCGTGCCAGAGATGTCGATTCGCCCGGTGACTCCCACCAGCTGGCGTGCCTTGTAGTAGCACAAGGACGTCCGGTAACCCGTCTGATCAGCGCTGCGCTGCGCTTCCCAGATGCACGACACACTTGATGAAAGAAATCACACTGCGTCGTCATCTCCCCATCTCTTTCATCGCGCTCGACGTCAGATCGAAGGACAGAACGTACGTCGCGCGCGCGGTTGGTTGCTCTTCCAGATTCGGAGGATTGTCCTCTCGGTGCTATACGCGCATCGCTGCTTCGCGTGCAAACAACATTGATTGATGTGATACAATCCCCGTGTCGTCGAGTTCTCGGTATCCTGGCAGGCGAGGCTTCTGGTTACCAGCACGATTCAAGGTGTGACCACGGCTTCTGTTTCTCATCTGCTGCTCCTCCCGCGTCCCGATCGTAGAGCAATTACGGGCGTTACGCACTAGGTCGTAGATCAACAGGGCGATGCGGTCATCACTCCCGCGTAAAGTGTGTTAGAGGTTCGGACCAGGCTCCAAGAGCGAGATGGGACACATAGGTGCAGATACACATGGTAAGCATCACTGCGCGATCTCGACGTCTTGGTTGCTGTACAGAACGTCAGAACGCAACGCATCGTCCCTAGTGCGGGGAATGCCACGAATCGTGTTCGTGCTTATGACAACCGGCGTCGGAAGCTGTCGGCCGGTGTTCATCATGGTAGCCCCAAGACTGAATGAATGCGCAGATTTCCAGCTAGTTTGTGTCGGTGGAGAGTTACCTAGTTCAGTCTAGTAAAGTTCAGGGCAGCTTGAGATGCTGTCACGTGCTATTCGATCTGTGATAAGATAACCTACACTTGTTCTCGACGATCATGGCTGGATCGAGATTCGCTCATGTGCGGAACTTTGAGCTTCCTGATCCTCTGCTCCCTGGGACCTACATGGTCCTCAGACTCGACGGGCACTCTTTTCATCGGTATGGGAGTGCTCAGGACACCATTTCTACTCTCATCAGAGCCACGCCAGTTTCTCAGATGAACATGGTTTCACAAAGCCGAACGACCTACGAGCGCTCGAGCTCATGGATCATGCCGCTCGCGATCTCATGGATCAGCACGCCGACACAGTTCTCGCATTCGGTGAATCGGATGAGATGAGGTGCGCAGAAATACGCAATTGACATCCTAATCCTGACACTCCAGTGTTAGCTTCTTGCTCAGAAAGTCGGCTTCGCTGTACAATCGGAGACAAGCCAAGATACTCTCGACGCTCACCTCGTTCTTCACCTCATCCTACGTCTTCCATTGGACGACATACTTCCCGGACACACCGCTGAAGTACCCCCCGTCGTTCGATGGCAGAATCGTTCTGTATCCTAGCGAAGCCCAGATCAGGGACTACTTTTCGTGGCGGCAAACAGACAGTGAGTATCTTACGGTCGAGGCTACGGGGTGCGACGCACTCAGTGACCGGTCCGCAGCGCACATCAATAATCTGTACAATACTGCCTTCTGGGCGCTTGTCCAACAGGGCGGAGAGACTACAACCCAGGCCCACGCTACGCTGAAAGTCAGCCAGTCTCGTTCGCTGTATCGGGGATCGCGTCGTTGACGGTCTTTCGCAGGGGACGCTGTCGAAACAAAAGCACGAAATCTTGTTTTCTCGATTTCAGATCAACTACAACGCCCTCGATGCTCGATTCCGCAAGGGCAGTGTCCTTGTACGAGAAGAGGTTGGTGATCCACCACTGCTCTGGTCAGATCGGAGCCCAATCCTGATTCCCTGCCAGATCCCCAGTGCTGAGGCGGATACCTTGGGTAGAGTGAAGCCGGGAAAATCGAAGACTCGGACTAGGATTGTTACCTTGCATTGCGATATCATCCAGGACCAGTTTTGGAATGAAAGGCCACAGCTCCTCGGATGCTGAGTTGCGAGATTCCCAGATAGACTGTTCGGAAAGGAATCGGCCCTGCCCAGCCTCGCTATCCAGTTGCAAATCTTGGGAGGTGTTGATGATGAATGGTTTGGGATATAAGGCTACACAAGATTAAAAGAGCTACAAGTGAGGGAAGTCGATAGAGAGATAGTAGTGGTATGAGAAACATTGTATCCCAAGAAAGGGCTCAATAGCCATAAGCTAAAGACGGACTGTCCCAGATTGAGCCATAGTGTCCACCAAACATCGCTTGCGGCTGCTGGGACTGAGCCGACACTTCAATAGCCCCAGGATGTTCGAAGGCAAAACTCGCGTTCGAGGCGAACTGAATGCCGGTGAACTCGAACTCGACCTCCTCCGAATCACATGCCGTCTCGTGGATGTACTCGCTGAAATCGTACTCAGGGACAGCGTACGTCTCGTACGAGGATGGGGCGGGAAGGAGGGATGGCGATGGCGATGGTGATGCCATGCACGGCTGCATGTAGGGCGTCTTCCATGGCTCGAGGGAAGACCGCAGCTGCGTGTGGTGCTCATCAACGTGTATCAAGCTGACGAGCTGATCGCTCTCGATCCCAAAGTCGCATGGGCGGTCGTCGTAGGAAGCTGGTCGGAAAGAGCTCAGGGGCACCTGTTTTCAGAAAGTGCATCAGACCGGAGACCTGGTAGTAGCGCAGGAAGGAGCTCACATCGGTGGAGGCCCACGAACAAGCTGCATCCAGCAGATGACTGGAAGAGAGGGAGCCAGACACAGAATCTCCCTGCGCACCCGTCCCGAGTGAAGCGGTAGGAGAGGTACGATAGTGAGCCGACTCGTCGTCTGATGTAGGAGACGACGACGCCGGAGACGATCGCAAAGACGCCTGCCGAGCGGCCTGAGCGAGATTTTTCTTCATCCGCCGCGACAGACCAGCTGAGGTGCCCGGCGTGTAGCGGTAGTGCGGATACATCCGCGCGTGATCTTCCTTCTCCCTCTGCGCCTGCTCGGTGTACGGCCGGCGCTCCTCAACAGACATGCCGCGCCACACGTCTGCTGCGGAGCAGCTCATGCGGGTTTGAGCGAGCGACTTGGGCTGGAGCGAAGCCGCCTTCTGCTTGTGCACGAACTCGGAGCGGAAGCAGAAGAAGGCGTTGCGAGGACGAGGAATGTGCTGGGGCGGAGAGGAGTTGGGGGACTGGATGTGTTCTTCTGCTGTCGACGAATGAGTCCGATGTAGAAGCCGTCCAGTCATATCGAACGCACCGGTACAGTCTGTCGGATCGGAGTGTTGCAGTCTACGCGACTTGCGGTCGGGGTAAGCGATAGTACTGCGGACGACAGGCATGGGGACGCGTAGAGAAGCGAGATAGTTTTGAGCTGGAGTGCTTGCTGGAGTGAGAGACTCGACTGTATTCTGTGTGCATATTGGCCATCCCGAAGATCCTTTTGAATCGCGGCTGAGAAGGGTAACGCATCCATTTCTGGAGCCGTGGGACACTTAACCCTCGTTAATAGCACGTCGTGGCCTTTACTCTCTGATCTCTCACATCGATCATGATGTCTATACCTTATAAGGCAACTGCTGATCATAATGACATAGGTCCCTGCGCAGATTGTAGGTCTGATCCCTTTGTGCTATGGTCGATAAAGGGAACAATCAAAGCGCTCATACCTCGTTGAATATCTTCGCCAAGTTGACAAGCTGTACATGGAATCCCTGATAGGATCGGGCGCGCTTTGGCTCCCTGTATTATCTTATCGTTGCGTAAGTCAGCAGGGAGCAAGGCCCTTCAGTGGTTACTTTCATCCAGTGCATGTTTTAATGGCCAATATATAGTTCAGGAGATGCTTGAAGACTGCGCGGCATGCACAACATCGAACACTCAATTTTGCGCCTAATAGTGCTTCAATCAGGCCGTGTAAAACTGAGAGGACGGGCCGTGGAATACAATCTGCCTTGATAGATACATCCCTCCACAAACCTTGGCCAACTCTCATCCTTCGTGACGGACAGATTGTGCATCCACAACTGACAAGTTCAGGCTTGAGCACGTGAATTGAGCACGTGAAGGCAGGGTTGACTCGCCACCTGACACATTTCAGGTGTCATTCCATCGCGGTAATCAATATCAAACTTTGAATCAACTCCATCATTGCCTCACGATAATCCCTTACTGAGTGTGGGCACACCACAGATTCTCACAAGAACACTCCAAAGCTATGATGAATGATTGGCTACTGCTTGCTCTGCTCTGCGATGGACGCGAACGCCTGGGATCCCTCGAGCACCCCCGTGGTCTCTGATTTCGACTATTTCCGATGGCAGTTGTGGACTCCTCCCGTCAGTACTCAGCAGCCACCTTCCCTATCCTCAGCAGCAGAGCTAACATCCCAACGCTAGCCTTCGGACCAAAGCTCTCCCGGGCCCGTCGTTCAAGAGCAAAACTACGCGCAAATGACGGTATCCTCGACATTTGGGCCAGAAGCCGAGTTCTTGTCTCAGACACCAGACGGTGACTGCGCATCGGCTCCGGACATCGTCTTGCGAACATCTGACGGAGTCAATTTCTATGTCCACTCGGACAAGATCGACGTGGAGAGCCACCGCCTGTCCGGCCACATAACGAGCATCCATCACAGAGATGGGCCCAGCGTCGTCGACGTCCCCGAGACTTCCACGGTCCTGAACGTCATCCTGCATGCTCTTTATGGGATCTCCTGCGCGCAATACTCTCCGTCCGTGGACGTACTTGTTGAAGCTGTGGACTCGATGCTGAGCTATGGGATGGATCCGCAGTCGTTTGTATGTTTGTTCTCTGCGACGTCTTCAGGTATGGACTGACGCGACCCAAGATTCTCCCCTCCACTACGCTGTACTCCATGCTCCTCTCTCAAGCGCCGCTGTCTCCATTGCGCGTGTACACTCTGGCCGCACGATATGACATCATGGAGCTTGCTGTTCCCACCTCTTCACATCTGCTCAGCTTCCAGCTCTCGGCGCTGACAGATGCCGACGTGGAGGAGATGGGGCCCGTGTATCTCAAACGCCTCATGTTCATGCATAACGGAAGAATCGATGCCCTGCGGCGTGCTCTGATGCCACCGCCGTATCCCCACCCGCCCACGTCCGAATGCAGCTTTGCGAACCAGAAGAGTCTGACCAGGGCATGGACGATGGCGGCGGCATATCTGGCATGGGACATACGACCAGGTCAGTGGGCGGCTGCGTGTTTCTCGGTCGTGGCGGGAACAAAACTAATTATACCACGGGCAGATATGTCCACACATACCATCGAAGCATCGCTCCGCCCGCTCTCGAATCTTCTCCCGTGTAACTTGTGCAAACGGGCCCTGAATGATCGGATAAAGAGCGTTGTTATCCAGTGGTCGCTTGTCAAGGTGTGTTCCCCTGCAGTCTCGTTGAGCAGTGTCGCCGATGCGCGCTCCAGCCCACAATCTGAACCAAAATGAAGGAATGACGCGCGCAAATCCGGCGCATAATTCCGCTATAGAATAAATGTATACATCTGGGTAACACCTGTGCCCACTCTGTACTGATATGTTTGGACTGTGTAGTAGGTACCGGTATTATAGGTAGCTTTCGGGGAAACCTGAAACCGAAAGCCGGTTAGCTTCAGGGATGCCCAATGTGACTTGACGATAGTTCTTGAAGCTTGATCGCTCTCGACTTCTCGACTCGAACTTTGTAACCTCCATTGTGCCCTTCAGAGTGGATGACTCCGCCGCGGTTCGTAGCCGAATTTCGTAGCCGATTTCAACTCGCGTTGATCGTCGGTATCGATCGATTCGTGCAGTTCGCGGTGTCCCGTTAACTTTATGTGAGAGATCTGGTAGACTCATGGTAGGCCATGATCATCGCCTGTATCACGCCCAGTGTCTTCCCGTGGATCATGAATCTAGAAACCTCCCACCACCCACCTGGATCAACCATTTCTCTTGAGCCAACCCACAGCATATGTCCTCCACGTCAGCTGCAACACGCAAATGCATCGAAAGCTATAGCTACAGAACAGCTGGGAGCCTCCCGACCCTCCCACTCCACTGCAATAGAAGGATTCTCGTCCTATCTTCAGACGTCCTCGTGACCAAATGCACACCGTCCCTGTGAGCCCAGCCACTCCGGCACTGGATCATCGATTCCCCGCTGCCGTAGACGTCCGAGGCGCCTGGCTCTGGGCCCCGCCTGTGACTCAACGACTCGGAAGGTGTTTCGCCGGTGTTCCTCAGGGCAGACTCGGAGGGAAGCTGAAACGAAGCTCCATCACCGTGACAAATGTGGGTCTTCCCCTGTCAACCTTATTTCTTCTTTGCAGATCTACTTACCACACGTTGACTCGGAGGACGAACTGAGAACGTGGTCATCGAGGTCTGGCGGGATCATGGGTGCATATACGGGCTGTTCAGGACGCGAGCGTCGACCATGTCCATTCAAGTCAACAGGCTGCAGACTTGTGCACAGCGTGGTAGAACACCCCGGAGTGCTGAGGCACAAGAGCGTCTGCCAGCGTCACCACCGGCCCCGATTCCTTGCCAGGCAAGGCATGGTGTCGATCGGTGTCCCAGCGTGAGGGATGCCTCGCGCGGAGATAGCTGGAGCGACTGGGCTGAACGCTTCCAACGAGGATGACTGCCGATCGAATGAGAGCTGGAAGAGGATGGTGCCTTCGAACGTCAGTGATAGAGACGGAGAGGCTGGATAGTTCACTGCAAGAATATGCAGTCGACAATCGTCAATGATCATCGCATAGACCACGATGTTCGTCGGTTCGAGTGTCTTCTCGCCTGAAATTTTAACCGTGGATGCCTGATCTAGGGACCCTTGGCGGTTCTACTGAACAGCTGCTTCCGACAGCGGATCGTTCGGATTCCGGGACCAGCTGCGTGTGGGATTCAACTCCTGCGGCACACAGAACAAGATAAGTACGGAGATGTGACAGGGCTGTCCAAACTCACGGCCCTTGTCTGACAACAAGACCACTTGTCAAACGACACACTGTGACGGGTACCTGCCGTTGAAACAAGCAGAGATCGGCACGCCGACGGGAAAGACGGGCCTTTGTCAAGCGAGGAGGTGGAGGGCATTGAGAAGGGAGACAGCATGAGAATGCAGATACATCATAGTGAGAACAGGGGGATCATCAGTAGTAGTACAGTGTGATACAATGCGACAGCAACGAGTCCAGTCAAGTTTCGACGCCAGACTCCATCCAACAATTAGGCGCTGTGAAAGGTTTCATTCAGAAGGAAAAGATGGCAGAAAGACGAGCACGGCTCACCTCCCAGCGCCTTCCGGCCGACGAACTTATCGGCCCTCTCCCAAAGATCGGGAGCAGTCCCCAGCGCACCGTTGTACCATTGGTTCCAGTAGCACTGGTACAGACCCACAGCAAACCTGTCGTAGTCGGGCCGATGGGCCGGGGCATCCTCCGCAAATGCTCGGGCCTCAACTCGCAGCCGCGCCGGCCACAACATGAGGAGAACCTCGAGACCCACGCATTCGCCGAGCAAGGCATCGAGGAACGCCCACGTGCTGCGGTAGTGCACACTGAGGTGCGTCAGCGCAGGCAGCGTGCCGAGCTGCTGCGCCATCCGTCTCTCCATCGCGGGGGACTCAACGTGGTCGAACACGTCCAGGTGCGTGATCCGGCCGAACACCGCGTAGCGAGAGAGCTCGACCTGCGACAGGGCGCCGAACAGATCCTCGAACGAGATGGCCAGGCGGCGCAGGTGCGGCAGGGTGTCGAGGATCGGAAGCAGTGCGGGCGAGGTGTAGGGCAGCGTGGCGCCAAAGTTCTCCACGCCCGTGCACTGCCGCAGGAAGTCGTGTGCGTCGTGCTGCTTCCAGCAGCGCGCGGAGTCGAAGAGGACGTGGCGGACGGCAGAGTGGAAGAAGGACGCGGGGCGCTTCTGGTTGTGGAAGGACAGCAGGAGGGCATGGGAGGAGCGGTTGTTGGCGATGCGGAGAGCGCGGTAGGGTATGGGCTCGAGCCTGCGCGTACGATAAGCAAGGGTCGCCGTGACAGCGAGCGGGGAGCCTACCATTTCAACACTCGACGCGCGACGCATAACAGGTTTGGCAGCTCTTGTGGGTGGAGGAAAGCTGTCGTCTCGAAGATGTAGTATTCGAGCTCGGGAGGGAGGACCATGATTCAGGCGGAGGGTGAATTGAGGCTGACGTCCTGGAGAGCACCCGTTTTTGTTGGTGGATCTTCCTTCGAAGCAAGGATTGTCCGAGGGTCGGGCAACTGCTGGAATGGCCGGGTCTTGGCCAGGACTTCATTAGGGCTTGTTCGGGAAGCTGGAACTCACATGTCCCTGCCACGGACTTTCACACGGGTGAAGCGGACTCGATGTCGGACACCGGTGGATCATCTCATCAATCCCAGGCTATCAAACGCGATCAGCTGACTGGCTGGCTCTGACGGCAGCAGTAATGTCCTGTCAGCGGGTCTAGTAATTCTACGGTTGAGGCACACGGATAGGCAGCTATGAGAGCGGGACAAGGTTCACGGATATCGGATTCAACTATCCTCCGAACTGTCGGATAATTTCTTCAAATTTCACGCGCCACAGTTCAAGTATAGGCACTCTAACCCACGTTATAAATCGAGCAGACTGTCGGTGCCGGGATCTTGGGTAGTCCTTGCTTGAATTTGAGACGTGCGAGCACTCATTTGTATCCGGGGGAGACATTCCTAGCGTTTTTATCTGGCTGTGACCACCGTGGCTGAGCACAACGGCCAAGATTTAATCCACATCGGGAAGGTGCTTGGTCCGACTCCCTTGTGAGCCGGCGCACTGCAAGGAATTCGATGGGATAGTGTTTGATTGGATGATCCGTGTCCTGCCCTTCGCCTCGACCTTGCCGACGGAGAATCCAGAGACGCGTAGATGAACGATTTCGGTTGATCAACATGCGTCTCCCATGAGCTAGCTAGTATTCCTGTCAGTGTACTGATCCTGCTTCTTGGACTCACTGAATGTGCCGCGGGGTGCCGCTGTGGCACTCCTGCGGCACTCCAATTGATTCGGGTAGATCCGGGCCACCGATCCCAAGACCCGTTGACCACTAGGGCGCTGTCAGCGCTGCCAATGAGGTCTCGATGAGCGTGGGAGCCATCCCCAGCATCAGCCCGGCAACACTCGCCAGTCGACAATGCTAATGGACCCGGACATTGTCGAAGATAGCAGAGCCCTGCGGCACTCCGCGATAACTCCGTACGGTGTCTGCGGCACTTAATGCGGCTCCAGTCCTGTGAGCTGGAGCGCAATATTCAGTGTGTCCTGCCAGAATCCTGCCGGATCCATTCCTGCACTCAAGGGACACGGGGATGGATAGTTCGTCATAGATCCGTTTGGCATGTCGAACGCCAAAATACATAGATAAGCGAACTGTGTCCTGCAAATAACTGCCGCGCGCCTACATGACAGGTAGCAGCAGCGCGTAACGAGTCCTGTGGCTGCAGCGGCAATCCATGACAGGTCCATATCACTTTCAATAAGGGCTTTTATCTGGGGCAGCGAGGTGCGGGGGGAACTGCAGAGTCCGGGCACATTCGTCGAACAAGGCCGCACCGACTATGCTCTTGGCCACGTCCACGTAGCTAGGCGAGAAGAGACGGGGTCTCCTGAAATTCACGTCTCTGGCCATCGCGCGCACGAACCACGCCTCAAGCTTCGGGTCGGAGAACGGCTGCGGCAGCCAGAGCGCGTCGCGCGTCCCCGCCGCCCGCTCGATTCTGACGCCGCTGAGCGTGACGCAGTGAACCAGATTGTGGCCGACGTCGCCCCAGCGGCGGGCGAGTGCGAGCTCCTCGCTGAGGGTCGTCTCCGCAATCCAGCGAGGAATACGATAGACGGTGGTGACCTCGATCCCCTCCAGGCGAGGGAGAGCGCGGAGGACTTCGGGGATGCAGTCGAGGAAGATGGAGAACTGTCCGATCAGATCAGTCGAGGAGGAATCTGACAGTGCGCGGATGCACTGACAGCTGGACCGAGGGCAACTAGGGACACTTTCACGTCGTGAAGAACGAGGTAGACAAGGTCTGGCAAGAACCGAATAAGCGTCAACGGGACCCGCACGTCCCAACCCATCATGTCGTTGGTGACATCGCGAACAGTCGCTTTCGAAAGAGCGAGTCGGGACACTGCCTCAGTCGCAACTGGCTCGTCGCTTCCGTCCGTCCCACGGAAATCCTCTCTGAAGGAAAAGTCGGCCTCATTCCACACAATCGCAACCTTCGTCGTTTGGGAACCAGGCACGATCTTTGCAGCGAGACTGAGCGGTCCGTGCAGCGAACGAAGCTGGGGAAGCGGCACCGAGCCGGGAAATCCCGCTTCAGTAGATGCATCACTCTCCCCATGCATCGAACCCAATGAGGAAGTCGCATCTTCCGGGGGATCAACCCTCAAACTGGTGAGAGAGGGTGTGAGCTTTAGGAGATGAAAGAGCTTGTTCGCCTCGAACGGCACACGCAATTTGCTCAGCCGCACGAATGTTATGTTGGCTGCAGAGAGCGTCTGCACGAGATAGGGTAGTGCGATGATGGCGAGTTCCCGAAGGGTCTTGCGAGCAGCAACAAGAAGAGTGGTGATCAGTTCACATAGTTCGTTGGAATGGAACGGCCAGCCCTTGGAAGTACTGGTGGAAATCCCAGGTGGATGAGTATTTCACCACGTCAGAGAGCGGTTGGCACACACATGGAGAAACTCCGTATCGAGGAATGCAGCTTCCGCCGGCTGACCGTGTCGCAGAACTTGAAGAGAGATTCCATTCCGACGAGATCTACAGTTCTCACTATCTCATGGCGGAGCAACTCCGACAAGCTGCGTCGGGTGAGGCACAGCGCCGAGATCTCCTGCACAGTGCAACACCGTGCAATCATCAGGAGCAGCTCGGGCGGTAGCGTGGAGAGTAAGTCGGAGGTCATGGGGGCGTGCGTATGGGTGTCAAGTGCGCGTCCTGAACGTCCACAGCCGACTTTGTATCATCGGACTCGGCAAACAAGACTGTCCATTGTTCTCAAAACACCACCAAGCGCAGGGGCAGGATGTGGGTTTTGATCGAAATTCGGCATTGCTGGTGCAGCATTCTTGGATTTAAGAGAGTGCACCTCGCATATGCGGGCAAAGACTTGTGACGTCTACGTATACGCGCGCCGTCCTCTGCCAGTGAGAGATACTGATCCAAAGAGAGATGCTACCTGTGGGGTTAAGATCATTGATGTGACAGTGAGAGCCAGGCTTTCGGGAAATTCTCAAAGGTCCCTGCACCTCTTATATTCCGAGCCTCGTGACTGGGCTCGCAAGTTTTTCATGTCTGAGCTACGATGCACACCCTGCGACTCGAGGAGCAGCGAGCTTGATACATTTATATGATGGATCACGCTGCTTGTCTGTGCCGATAAGATTCCCACTAGGAAGCGCCGACTGCGTCGGCAGATGCCTTGCTCCCCAAAAGAACAAACCAAAAGTTGTACGGACGTTAGAGGCAGTAGACAAAAACACATCAGGCACCATAAACTGCGTGCTTCTTCTTAGTCAGACTTTGCTCCTCCTCATCTTCGCAGTCATGCAGTGCCAGCTTCCCATGCTTCAAGGGGCTCGGCGCAGTAGATTGGTTAGCTATTATGCGCATTTTGACAATGTCGGCAGATACCAAATCTTCCTTCTTTGATTGGAAGGTGATGTGAGATAGGTTCATTGTCAGCATCACAGTCGCACCCTGCAGTTTAGACATGTAGTCCTCTGGTGCCATGAGTCTGCCTTCTTAGTCGTCTCAGTCATACACTGGTACACCATGCACAATGTGCGTTCCCTCCTTGAGCATTGCACGAATGGTGTTCCGAGCTTCAGGTTGATGTGCGGGCCAAATTTCAAGATCGTGCACTGTTTAACCCCATTAAAAACAACACCGAGTTATAGCACAGTTCTCTCAGCCTTCCACCATTTGATCACCGGGCTTTATCTGTGGTTAAAGTATTATGTATACTGAGACTGGTCATCAACAATGACTTAGCATGAGTGCGGCGAGATACGAATGACATCATATAGCGACGGAAGAAGACGGAATGACAAACGGAGAGAGCCGGCATCTTTTTGATCGCGAATTATGGTGGTGGAGATGCCTTGACAAGCAAGGCAACGACAAGGCCTGGAGTCGACCATCACCGTTCCTCACTTTACAGCCATCATGATCCTCGCGCAATGACAAGCTATTTCTCACGGGATTCAGGGAAAATCTCAATGTCCAAGCGCACGCTTGGACCTTTCTTTATCCGGACCGTGCTGCCGTCGTCTTCTGCCATTATCGCAGACTTGACAAGAGCCATCCTGTGTTTGATTCTGAACGAGGGCTCCACGGTCCAGGCACGATACGGGACTGGAAGCGGTCTTCTACTCTGCGCAATCTAGTGGTGCGAGTAGGCCGGCTGGGACATATCTGCGCGCGTCCATGTGCATTGGTGCGAGGCCAGACACCGGCTGCCGTCTCTCACGCGCGAATAGATTTCCAGACACGAACACGTTCTGGGTCAAGAGGTTGTCTGCCAGTGTTCGCAATGCAGTCGGCGGACAAGGATAGTCTTGGCCATCATCTGCGTCTAGACAACAATTCTTCGCCTCATTCATCTCGCTATCTAGGCGCTGGCGCTCTAACTTCGCCGTCGGGGCCGTCCGATTCGTGTCGATTGGATTCCCCTTGCAGAGCACTTTGTATTGATCTCACGAGCAACCCGCTCATGGCATTCTAGATAGGCTGCCGTTCACGAAAACTCGGCTGCTCCTGCCGTCGTCGCTGGGATCAATAAGTTCTGGATTTGATTCGTATCGAGAAGACCCCCGCCTTTTGCGTGGTTCTCCATCGACTCTGGTTGCAGGTTTGTTCCATCATCCTTCTTCACTGGTTGCTGCTATACTGACACTCTTCTTCGCAGTCGCGCCGTTCAGCCTACCATCGATTTCTTGGCTCTCCTTCGGTTGCTCTATCTCTCAAGGATGTTTGATCTCCCATCGTCTTGTCTTGCGGAAGGTGCGGCGGTCCGCCGTTCATCGGTGGCCCGCATGAAGTCTGGACCATCGCTCTGACGTCGCAACGCCACCCTCCGTTCGTCTTGCCCATCGTCCATAAGTCCGATCGAAGAGGACATGAGCCAATACATCGCTCCGGCAACTCTTCTCTTTGCGCGGTACAGGACGCCTTGATATTCCGACACCGCCAGGCTTGGACATCCGCGGAGATTTTCGTCATCAAGAACTTTAAGGAGAGCGAGTCGCGCAGGAAGCTGCACCCAGAAAGAATCCGAAGCACAAGAAGCTCCATGACAAACGCATCTCAGTAGAAGAGAGCCACTATCATATCGCTAGGTCGATCCACGAAGGACATCACACAATACGGCTCTCGCTCCTTTCTTTGCCCTGACAAGTGTCTTACTCATCTTTTTCAGGAACCGCGACCGGTACATTTTGTCTCCGAATACTTGACAATCTAATCCGGTGGATCTTCCGTCCACTTGGTGGGTCTATCCCAGACATGAGGTCATTGTTGCCCCGAAGTCCTGTGCCGTGTCTCGGTCAGCGCGGATCACCAGGCACACCAAGGCGACTGGGGCTCCTCGTGTGGCGAAGATTCTCTTGGATGTGATCGACTTTTCTTCACCTGCAATATGTCTTCTTTGCCAGGTTCCGCGGACGTTCCAATGAACAACACCGGCCCGACCGGGAGACGTCTGAATGAGATGGCTTGCAGTCACTTCAGGTCGCAGTTCGTCTGTGCCCTCATCGTCCTTCTAATTGCTGGGAGTGACGGCCAGCCGGGTCCCCTTGGCGAGGTGCCGTCCTTGGGCGTCCATCTCGGGTTTGTCACGATCGATGCCACCATCTACATTCAAATCTCAATCTCTGAAGATTCAACGCAAGACCGCTTACCTTCTTCAAGCTTCAGGTCCGATTTGGTGTTTTCCAGACCTCTGCTCTCGGGATCGTTTCGCATGGAATATCCCCACGATCCATCCTCGCTCCTCTCCAGCCCTCCCACACCATCTTGTCGGTTTCTTTCCCCTTTGTGTGGTCTGGGCAAGATGCTTTCCGAGTCTCGTCAGCTTCTCGCCCGTGTTGTCTCCAGCCCCGTGATTTCCACTAACAGAAAGGCACCTGCTTCCTCCAAGCATGCACCACTCAATATGTCGTCCAGAACGACATTGCCTCGACTCAAAAATGTCCATTCAACCGACTACATTCAGATTGCTTGTACGCAAAAGGTTGCACAAGTCTATTACTCACGCAGACTGTCTAAAGGAGATCCTGGCGGAGCGGGTTCACTGGCCTGGATAGTCAGTTGATAGAACGCTGTCAACCAGGACAGGCAATTCACAAGGCAATTTATTCAACAAGGCAATTTATTCAATGTCCATATTCGGAAACCACATCACGCTGATGAAGTGTATGACTGTTCGATTTGCAGAGGAGAAGAGCAAAGTGAAACTGAATCAGGGTGAAGCAAACCATGCCTCACAAAGGTCGTGGTGATGCAAAAGCATTTGTGTGGGATTTATATGAAAAGCAGATACTGCAGGCTAACTAGTTCCGGGTCACCATCCTTCGCACACAGCGTCGGATTTGGCCGCGCTCGTGATGAACAGCGAGTTACGCCGACTCCGCCTAGCCGCTGTCGGGACAGCAGGTGCCGGTCCTTTGGAAAGGAACGGCACATCGACGTGTTCGACGACGAGCGGCACGTCCCGGACGAGGATCGAAGGATCGACCGGAGTCGGCCTCTAACACGACGACCTCCTACGGCGGGCAAAACGGGAAAGCATGTTTCGGAAGCGAGGAGATTTGGGTGGAGAGGGTGATTGTTTCACTGGATAGGAGGGCGTGGTGTCAGAATCAAGAAAAGGAGATTGACGAAGGCTGAACTCACAATCCTCCTCGGTCAGGATGACTTCCCTGCAGAAGCAGACGTTGGTGACAACGCTGCTCGGTGACGCAGGGGACTCGGCGTGCAAGGAATCAGCCGAGTGATCTAAGAGTGCGGCAGGAGGATTGTGGACTGAAGGGCAGTCAGCGCAAGCAGGGGAAGACTCGTGCATACTACTCACGTTGATCCTCCGTCAGCACTACTTCGCGCTCGAAGAAGGCCCTGGTTGCAACTGCGCTCGCTGTCGGCATCTCGACCTCGGATGACGCCTCAGATGAGGACGTGGACGAGGAGACACGCGAGTCCACAGATGAGATGGAAGCCTTCCGGATGGCGGAAGCCTTCTTCGAGGGGGTAGTGGAAATGTGCCTCGGCAACAAGAAGAGCGGGAAGGTCCTCGGGAGGGCCATCTCGGTCGCAGGCATGGATGCAAGTGCAGAGAACATTGTGGTTGGAGTGTGAGATTGGTATGGGCTTGACCATGGTTCAGGCCCGAAATTTATGTCGATGAGCAAGTCTCAGACACTGGGTGATGCGCGAGCCCCTAACCTTGCATGCGCGTCGATCTTCGTCTGCCCCCATGGGATGACGTCGTTGTTCAAGACCCCCACAACGTCATGTTCTAGTCCGACGAGGTGCAAGCTGAGCGCAAGTATATGCCGAAGACTAGTCTCACGTATCGCATGACAGTACGAAGGTAAGATGGCCAGAGGTTCGAGAGAGCGTCTATCTCATGCCAGGTGAGGACGGCGACAGGCTGTGAGGGCTGTTCTCCAACCCCCCTTCGTCAACCCCACCCCGGACACGTCACGTGACCAACCGCAAGGGACATGGGTTCGAGTCACGGCGGAAATTTCTTATGTCAACTATATTCTTTACTCAAAGCAATGATAAAAACAAATCGATTTTATTTTGAATTTCAATTGGTGTTCTCGCCCATCTGAGCACATTTTGAAGTGTCTGTTTCACTGCTGTTGTATTTTCTCTTCCTTTGCTTGTGCTCAGCCCTCCTTTGATTTGTCAAATTTTGTGACCGACAACAAGCACATATTTGGTATTGATGATCTGGAGGGAGAAATTTTTTGCATGTACAGGACGCGAGTCGGAGGTGGCAAAGGAGTCCAGTCCGTACTTGGCTCGGTTTCCAAAATCCAAGCAGAATCATATGAATGCACCGCGCGAGTCCCGAGCAAAAGTACCTGGAAAGTAGACGCAAGAGCGCTTCGAACCAATGACCACACAAGCGCACATGTAACCGTTCACGGCCTTTACCATTAGTCAATGATGCTTTAATGGAAACGTTCATATTATTCATTCTATTATTAATAGTGCTTGAGGGTCACGTCTTCGGACCCATTCTAATGATATTTCGAGTCAGAATAGATACTGCAGTCATTAATAATACAAAAAGACGCAGAAAAACTATTCACTTGTACAATACTATGTATGTACTCGAGATGAACTCTGTCAGGTGTTGCCGAAGGCAGGGCACGTGACGTGTCCGGGGTGGGGTTGACGTGGGTGGACTCTGTTCTCCCACGAGTGGGCCGCAAAAAGCCGATTTCGTTCATGAAGCTTGCGGATGCGCCCTTTGCTCGTTGCATGGAGAAAAGTCGGTGCTCAGTGGCGATATCCAATTGCGAAAAACGAAGCTGCTTGTTGACAGTAGCTCGTCTATCATTCGCAGCAGGGTGCAGAGAGGAGCGGGGATGCAGTTGAGCGATTTGGATCCCTTCACGCGGTCACGTGCCGTCACATCAATCAGCACACATCGGCCCAACTCTCACGTTGCAGGCATTTACACCTGAGCACTTTGAGTTTGGAATGTCAGATACCGTACGGGCACCAACGCAGACCAAGGTCACAGGAGCTGCGGGACAAACACTGCAAATTGTTGTTCGAATGCTCTCGCGGTGTACACAATTCTGCGACAGGTGTCAAGGGATTAATGGTGTTCTTCATGAACTAGATGCTGAGAACAACTCAGTATCAAGGTCACACGATCCAGGCCTCCACCTCAATGTACGGTCCGTAACGGAAAGCGGTCCAAAGCAATACGAAATGATCAGCCTCAGCAGGGGACCGGAACCGCAGATTCAGGTACGCTTCCTCCGCTGTATCGATCTCAACCGACAAAGGACGGACGAGTACGCTCCTGCCAAGTCCGCCAAGCATCATCTGCACCTGGCGCTGCGGGTCGGAGTCTAGATCAACCGGTCCAAAGTGCACGATGACATCTGGCTCCGAGGATGCAGAGTGCAATTCGCGCGCCTTCCCCTTCCCCTTCCGACCGAAGTAGATGTCGCCCGAATGTTTGAACCCCCGTTTCAGAGCTTCGACAATATCAGCTACTGCCGGTCGAGCCGCCGCATCGACATAGAAACACGACTCGACCAGATCCCACAGCGGCTCCGGCATCTCCACTCCTGACTTGTCGAGTGGCTTGTCAGGATATGGCGAGGTTTGCGAGGATTTAGTATCCGACAAGGCCAGGATCAGCGCGCCATCCGAGAAGTGGGCGAAAGGGACCTGCCCCTCCGTCCAGATCTGTGTCGCCAGTCAGCCATTCAACCCGACCCGAGACAGGAATCATTCTCACCTCACAGAACAAACAAGCAAGAGCCCAGACATCCGACGCTGTGGTCCGCTTGAACGACGCGTCTTCGCGGTAGACCGAGGGGTGGATCAGTTCCGGCGCCATCCAGCGCAGTGTTCCTCCGCGAGTAGATAACACCGTCGACTCGCTCTCGATGAATCCCGCCAGCCCAAAATCGGTCACCATCGCCCTCCCTTTGTCGACGAGCACGTTCCGCTGCGATGCAGTTCAGTCTGGGGCGTGCGAGCAGTTTTGGTCGCAGGCTTACAGCGCAGAGATCTCCGTGGATGACATTGGATGAATGCAGATATGCCAGGCCATCCGCGATGTCTGTAAGCTGGGAAATTCGTCAGCTCAATCACACGACGCGGAAGGTCACTTGCCAACGAGATCGCGTAGCCCGAAACAGGCGAGTTCTCCGCCATGTACTTGAGCACGCTTCCCTCGGGCATCCAGACAGAGACCATCGCAGGCCGGTTGGGGAACGTGGTCCCATCGACTCCGAGGAAAGGAACGATGTTGGGGTGGCGCAGGTAATGCCAGACCAGTGCCTCCTTGGCGAACTTCTTCAGCATGGCCCGGCGCTCGTCGTCCGACTGCGCCTCCGTGATTTTGAGCACTTTGAGCGCGACCTGCACCGGCGCACCCGCCGCATCGAGGCATTCGCCCTGGTACACGAACGCGAACCCGCCAGCTGTGATGGGATGGTCTTGGAGCAGGGTCATCCCGTGGACTGCGAGTTCCTCTGGGAGGATCCCCACGAAATCGGAGAGGATGCGAACCAGTCGCTGGGCACGACGATGGAAGACAATAGTCTCCTTAGTGTCTGCGCTGCCGTGGCCGGCGCTGGCGACCTGTTGACAGTGTTACAACAGCCTAGCCAGACAGTGTGAACGCTGCCCACCGAATGGACAAGGTTGAGCACGGCATATGCATCTGTCTCAGAGACGTCAGCTTTGAGCTTGAGCTTGTAGTCCGTGATGCCAAAGATCGCAGCCAAAGCAGGACGGAGACAAGCATTGTCCTCGCGGATAGATTCTTCGATGTTCCGGTCCGTGACAGACGGAAAGGTCGCCAGAAGCTGCACTCGTTTCGTGAGGAATGATCATCGACGTCGAGATGATCATAGCAACCTTTGTCAACAGCTTGCGCCCCCGGTACACTCGCGATAAAGCGTCATAGTTGTCCCCGAGAGAGTTGTCCCTGTTGACCAAGGTGATCTTGGATTGGGCGCTCGCACAGAATTCACCCAAATCTTCCCATATCCTGAGAACCGCGCAGTCAGAAGACGGGTCTTGTTTCCGTCATGTTTCGAGACGCACTGCTGAGTGAGCACATCATCCGCTCTCGGTGTGAATATCTCCTCTAACAGAACATTGAACAGGCCCTATTGTTGTATCAGCAATCAGGCAACGGGGACACAATCGTGAGCAACCTCAAGATACAACGGAGACACCGGTGGGTTTCCAGAGTACCGGACTTTGCCTGCATGAGAGACCGAAAGAAAGTACGCCATCGGAACGTAGACGTGCTCGGAAATCTCCTGGAACATCCCAGGAGTACCGAGAACGACGAAATCGAGCATGCGGTCTCGGTTCGCAAAGATGACCCGGATGTTTTCGCAAAGTTCTGCACCCTGATCGACGTCGTTCATACCATGAATGACTACAACAGCATGTTGTGCGCAGTCTCCGCTGTTTTCCCGTTGCCGTTTCTTCTTCCAAATCTCTTGCAATTGGTCCACAATCGATTGGTGGCCATCCTGCCTGGCAAGTCAGTGTGTTGACCCCTCGTCATCGCACACAAAGAAAGACCGACGAAATCGTACTCGAGCTCGTCGACAAACTCGGGACCAGTGCATTCGCTCAGCCGATGCTCCAGCGCAGCCGACACACCCATGGTCTTGCTCGCATCGATGCAGAGGACGGTGTGCACGGTTTCAATCTGATTCAGGATGTCCTGCAGCGCGGTCGCACAGAAACCGACGTCGTTGCTGGTGGGAACCGTAACCCACAATGCGCGCCCTGCCTCCGGCAGCATGTTCAGGGTGCACCAGTGCCTCACCGAATCCTCAAACCCGTCAGGCAGACTCCATTGCACACCAGGGAGGGCCGCCAGGGGCCGTTCGAGATCGCTTGGAAGGCGAATCGGCCTAGCGCGCATGCTGTGCACGAGTCGGGCGAAAAGGTGAGGTTTGCTGACCTGGTATATCGGCCAGGTGTCGTGCTCGAGGTTCTGATCGAGTAAACGCATGACTGAAAACTCTCGTGAAGTACCGTAGTCTGAGATCAAGAATGGGTCGCACCGGATACACGACGAAAGTACTTGATCCGCAGAGGCGTGAAAACGATCGCAAGCAAACAGGCGACGTTGTTGAAAACTAGGAATCTCTGGTACCACGAATCAGCGCGCGAAAATGGTGTGGGGCATAGAAAATGGTTCCGACCTGCACCCAAACTCTCGAGCGCGCATTGGCATCGACCCAGATGCTGATGCCAAGTACTGGCGTCCGGAATCGCAGCCAGAGTAGTATGGTTTCAACTACTCCGACACACTTTCTCGGGTGTTAGTCAAGATCAAGCTGAAAGAGACCATGGAGACGCACAAGGATCATATAGTTTGAGAGCTGGGCAACCACCTCCGAAGCCTCAGAGTAGGACCAGGGTGATAGAATCAATGTGAGCGTTCGGATTACGAAAATCATGGCTACAATAATGCTTTTCAGAGTGACTCTTAGAGAAAACAACGGTCCAAGCCTTACAAAGAAAGAGAATGGACACAATGCCGGCCCCATGATCGACCATCGACGTGACGAATGCATAAAGTCCCAAGACGGCAAGCAAGACTGCCAAAACGAATTGGCTGGCGTAGTAGAGACGACCCCACTTCCCGACCTGTGCACTGTTGGGGTCGAATTGCAGCATAGGTGTGTTGCTGCTCCGGTTAACCTTGGATGCGATCGTGTATGCATAGCCTTGCTGTCTGATACGCCCGCGGGCGCTTAACATATGCCCTGATTAAGGATAATGCGGCGAATCAACTCCAGCGCCAGCGCGATGCATGCGGTCTGGTGTGCTCACTGGGCTGGGTTTCCGCTCGTGAGTCCCGGCCAGATCACCCACGAGAAGTAACATGGCCAAGCGAGGGCGCGGAGGAATTCTGCATGACTTTCGGAGTGTGATCACTCCGTCACGGCGTGTCCCAAACGTCGGTCACACGACATCTCATTTTCCCACGCTCGTCAGGGCGCCCGCTTTGTCTCGACATCGCCTCGACTCGGAGGTGCTCATCCCAACTGGACTTCGTTCAGATTGCTCGCAAGCAAGTCGTAAGGCGCTGGGAAAGTCTAGCTTACTTACTGAGACTACGGAGAGCATAATCCTGGCGACGCAGGTCCGCTAGCCTAGTTAGACCGTTGAGAGGGCCAAGTCAGATAATTCACGAGGCTATCAACTTGGCCTTGATGTCGAGATCGGCGGAACGGGGGTTGCAGCAGACACTGATGCAGGGTATAACTGGTAAACTCAGGGAAAGAGAGTGGCGAGGAGAAACTGATTTAGGCGTAAAAGAGAATGTCTCATCATGTCGTACAACGAAATCTCACAGGCGTCGTGGAGATGGAATGATTTTTTTTTGGGATTTATGTGAAACAAAGTGGTGCGCTAGGTAATTCCGAGTCACCACCCTTTGCACACAGCGTCGGATTTGGCCGTGCTCCTGACGAGCAGCGAGCTACGCCGACTCCGTCTGACCGCTGCCGGGACAGCAGGTGTCGGTCCTTTGACAAGGAGCAACACACCGACGCGCTCGACGACGAGCGGCACGTCCCGGACGAGGATCGAAGGATCGAACGGAGTCGGCCTCTAACACGACGACCTCCTACGGCGGGCAAAACGGGAAAGCATGTTTCGGAAGCGAGGAGATTTGGGTGGAGAGGGTGATTGTTTCACTGGATAGGAGGAGGATGTGGTATCAGAATCAACAAGAGGAGATTGACAATGGCTGAGACTCACAATCCTCCTCGGTCAGGATGACTTCCCTGCAAAAGCAGGCGCCGATGGCAGCACTCTGCGACGCAGGTGACTTGATGTGCAAGGCAGCAGTCAAGTCATCTGTGAGTGCGGTAGGAGGATTGCGGACTGGAGGGCAATCAGCACAAGTAGAGGAAGGCTTGCGCACAGGACTCACGTTGATCCTCCGTCAGCACTGCTTCGCGCTCGAAGAAGGTCCTGGTTGCAACTGCGCTCGCTGTCGGCATCTCGACCTCGGATGACGCCTCAGATGAGGACGTGGACGAGGAGACATGCGAGTCCACAGATGAGATGGAAGCCTTCCGGATGGCGGAAGCCTTCTTCGAGGGGGTAGTGGAAATGTGCCTCGGCAACAAGAAGAGCGGGAAGGTCCTCGGGAGGGCCATCTCGGTCGCAGGCATGGATGCAAGTGCAGAGAACATTGTGGTTGGAGTGTGAGATTGGTATGGGCTTGACCATGGTTCAGGCTCGAAATTTATGTCGATGAGCAAGTCTCAGACACTGGGTGATGCGCGAGCCCCTAACCTTGCATCCGCGTCGATCTTCGTCTGCTCCCATGGGATGACGTCGTTGTTTTAGGCAAACGGAACGTGACATTCTCGTCCGACGATGTTTCAGCTGAATGCAAGTGCACAGGGCGGGATTCACACGAATGTGGGGAAGGCCCAGTCGGTGATTCTATCTGCGGAAGAGTTGGATGTGTGAGAGCGATGTTTGGGACCCATATACTGTCAGCTGCAAAGGGCGCGTTCCAATCCTCAAGTGGATCATGTGTCTTGACATCTTGTTGTGTGCGCGCGCCTGGGCGGAAAGATTGCAACGACATTCGAAAAGACTGCGGCATACATTGAAGACAGAGTCGGTAGAGCGGGGGGTCTGGAGGAAGGTTAGATCAACACCCACTCGATGCACGAAGAGTACAACTCTCACTAATACCTGGTGCACATCCGAATAAGAAGCTTGTCCGATTGACGATGAGCCCGGAACGAATGTAGGGGAAGTGCCCCAATGGAAACAGTCTCGTCGTCCAGACGCGCGTGAGTACTGTCTTCCAAGGATGACCCAGGTCGGTCTGCGCGTCATCTGCTCGAAGGCTTGCGGACACGGAGAACGCGGCCGGAATCGGACGTGTGCATGCATGTATAACAAGCGCACGAAGGCGGGCATGAGGGCATAGCATCTTCGCTGTCGATGAGCCATGGGTCTCGAAGGATGTCTTGTTCAGAGGGAGGGCTGGCGAGAGGCCGAGGACTGTACCATGCGTTGGCTGCGGAATGAAAGCTCATTTATGAGGCTCTCTTCGCACATGTCCTTTGTGCTCTGCAAGAAAAAAGAAGTCGTCGCTGACTCGAGTAGCGACACCCAGCTGCTGTGTCCAGCAGGACTGCCTGATGAGAGAGCGTGCGCGTGTCTTCATGAAGTTGCTAACGAGCGGTCGAACGAGACTGGAAAGCGGAATGGCTCTGGGCCACTCAGTCTTGGCGGCAACCGCTGTCGGGTCGGATCCCTTGACGCGGTCACGTGTCATTCAATGACTTTCTGGTTGTCTATCTCCTGCACCCTGACACGCTAATGAAAGCGTGGAAGAAAATTGGTAGAGAGCAATAACTCAGGGAACGGCAGGCAGGGCTGGAACATCGACGCGACGAAGGTCCCAAGGACTGCGACGCACCACAACTTATTGGTCAATTGCTGTCGTGGCGACGCGACTTCGATATGGCACGGAAAGAGTTACACCCGATTGATACATTGTCTCTGGTCGAGAAATCCTGAGAACGGGAAATGGATGCCAGATAGTCTCAAGGATATCACGATCCTGGCCTCCACCTCGATGTTTAGTCCGTAACGTAAAGAAGGCCATAGCAAAATGGGTTGATGATCCTCAACGTTAACGCATGACCGGAGCCGAGAATCAAGGTACGAAGCCTCTCCGCTCCTGCTGCTCGATAGGCCTGCTTGTTTAGGGCGATCCAAACAACAGGGACATCTAGGGTGAGGATAAGTGCTCTGTCGCTTCGCACTCATACAAGTGTTTCTTCCCAAGAAATCTCAGTCAGAGCGTTTCTTCCAGAGAAATTGTCTGAACTCGTGTCAGTGCAAATATGTTATGAGATTATTCGCGCCCAGCTCGGCAACAGCTGGTACTGAAGCCACCTTAATTAATCGACCCCATGTCGTCCCTTCGTTCAGCAAGCTCCGTTGCGGAGTGTCAACCTAGTTGTGGACAGTTGCCCCCCTCGAAACTTTCGACTGTCCTGCCAAGTCGGCTGGAATGTTCCCGAAGATCGACCCTTTCCCAATGCGATCACTGCAATCAATGCACGTCACGATCCTGCGTCTTTGGCTCTTTCTCCACAATGCGCTGTCTCAATGGAGGGCCCAGCAAGATGTCATGAACGAATTCAATCTGGCAACTACGGCAACGTTATGGGCTGCTAAACGGAGTTTCAATCAATATGAACGCGGTATAAAAGCAGAGCACGAAAGCCCATCTATCCTCAGCTCCTTCCTCCACTCGTTCTCTACTCAACTCATATCAGGCTAGCCCTGTTCAGCACTTCAATACCCTTCTTCTTGCGATCTACATCGGCCAGCCGCTCAACGTATCCTCTTTCCACTTATCAACAACACTTGCCATGTTCTCCCGCGCTCTCATCGTTTTCGTCACTCTCCTCCATGCCTGCACGTTGAACGTGTCGGCGCACGGAACGATCACCAAGATTCAAGGCGCTAACGGCGTGGCCGGCGCTGGATTCGGTCCGTCCATGGCTTTCGTCGGCCGGGGGAACATTGCTGATAGAACTTTGCAGGGATCATCGCCTCGACGCCCCGGGATGGCTCGCGGCCCAACCCTTTCGAGCAGGACACCAGTGTCATTCGGAACCAGGAAATCGACAGCGGCAGGACCGGTGCCTGCGGCCGCACCAAGGCTGGCGGTAACAACGACGTCACCGCTCAGCTGGCAGGTGTGTTCTCTCAAGCCGGGTCTGCGGTATCCTGTATGCTGAATCCCGTCGACCAGCTGCCTCTTCGGCCGGGCTTCCCTCAGCGGCAGCCGATGGATCGGTCACCATGACGTTGCACCAGGTACATCGGTTTTGAGCTCATGCAGCAGAGGACAATCTCTGAGCCGACATTTCTGCTTGCAGGTCAACGGAGACGGCGCTGGCCCGTACACTTGTGACGTCTCCGGTGACGGAGGAAACACCTTCCAGGCCGCGGTAGTGACCACCCAAGTCCCCGGTACCCGCAGCCGCTCCAAGGCCACCGCCACGGACTTCCCGCTCGTGGCCCAGATGCCAGCGTAAGTCGCTGCTTCGGTCCGCTCATCCATTCCACGATGCCGACCAACCATTCCAGGGGTATGGCCTGCACTGGAGGGCCTAACGGTGACGCCTGCATCATGCGGTGAGTCTTGTTCGAGTTGGCACTGGGACTTCCATACTCACTCATACATCGCAGATGCCGCAATTCGGCAGCGGCAGGTCCGTGCTAAGTTTCTGGCCCTTGGAAGCATCCTTGACTCAACTTTGTGTTCAGGTCCCTTCGGATCGTGTGTTGCTGTGACTGGTCCATCGAATGCCGCTGCTGCTGCTGCTCCCGCCGCCGCTGTTCCTGCTGCTGCTGCACCCGCCGCTGCTGTTCCTGCTGCTGCTGCACCCGCCGCTGCTGTTCCTGCTGCTGCTGCACCCGCCGCTGCTGTTCCTGCCGCCGCTGCACCCGCCGCTGCTGTTCCCGCCGCCGCCGTTCCTGCTGCTGCGGGGTGAGATCTCTCCTTCAGACCCGAGAACTGGGACTAACTCATGATCAGCGCGTCGACTCCCAAACGCTATGTCGACTCTCGCATCGTAGGAAAGCGCACTGGAGGATACTGGCTGGACGCGCAGTAGATTGCCACTCTTTTACCACGAATGTAGTCTTTCCCTTTTTCCCAATCTGAATTGTTGTTCAGTACGCCGCAAAGGGGTCAAACCAGAGAAAAGCATTGACGTTATAGAACAAGCAGCCAGAAAAACCACACATTCAGCGCTGTGCACAGCTTCGATGGGTTTTCGAAGGATGTGTCCCTTTCAGTGCGTCGATCGCAGTGTCACTCGGGTTGTATCTTCTTTGATTCGCTCTTGATGAAACCCGCAAGCCGAAAGTCGGTCACGAGAAACTCGCACTGGTATGCAAGTAAGAAGCCGCCAGCCGTGACGGAATGATTTTGGATCAAGAACGTCTCATGAATTGCCAGTCGCTCCGGGAGGCTTCCGACGAGGTCGGTAAGAATGCGGACTAGTCGACGTATGCACCGGTCAGAGCTGGAGTCTTCGCTGATGGCTTTGAGTGCATAGCCTGTCTCGATGACCTGTAAGATGTGTGCGAAAGCGAGGGCCCGTTGGGTGCGCTATGTCCAGAACCGGAGAGTGCATCTGCTCCAACTGCTTCATCCCTAAGCCCCTGCTTCCAGACGCGGATCTCCAAGGCAATTGCGAGAGCGTCTACAAATGTCATGCTATCTTGCATAATCTGCCCCCAGATCCGGCCAATTCGCTCGCTGACTCAAGGATCTGGCGTGAACAATCATAGGGATGGCCAGTCACCTCCCTAGCAATTAAATCAGGATGTCCAGATTCAGACGAGCTTTGCGGGCCCGACAAAGTTGCCACAACGCATCAAGTCGGCAGGCAAAGGGTTCTGGTGTGTGGCAAGAGGAACGACCTGCCCCGGGTCTGTGCACTTCTCGAGAATCCCGGGCCGGACTTTGTATCCGGTTGTGAGAATGCTATCCAGTATGAGCGAGCCGCTCAAGCACTCACCGCTTCAGAAGCAGATGTGTTCACCGCTGATTGAGACTCACTGTCCAACAGGGGACCGAACAAGTTCTGTCCATGCTTCAGGATTCAAGAGAGAATAAGACAGACAGCTTGACACGACCTTGAGATATAGAGGTTACGGGGCCTGCTTGGAATTTCTGACTATCCCATGTGGCCTGGTACAAAGAGAATGCCTTGGCCAGCGTGAGAACTTGACTTCGGTGAGTTTCAGGTTGCTGACGACATGCATTAAGCAAGGGGGTGGCGCACTGGGCTCGGAGAACTTACCTGAGCATCGTGCGATTCGTGAATCAGGGAGAAGTAATCTACGAGTAGAAGCACCTGAGAACAGCAGCAAGGTTGGTATCGCCTCCCCCTTTTCGTTTCGTTCACATCGACGGACAAACAGTATGCAGGGTGTTCAGAGAACCGAGAAGGGCGTGGACTTAGAAGGCCCAAGAGATGCAATCGGAAGACACCAGCTCAAAAAAGCACGCCGATTCTGGGTGGAAGGAGCCAGATATCCCCAGCGAAGCATAGGATCGTTGCATTAGAGAGACGGTTTCCGAGCCAGAATTGAATGATGAGAAAGATTAGCAAGGACATACGCTATAGGCTGTATAACCCCACAGAACATGCGGAGATGTCTGCGAGCCATAGAACCCACAATGGTTGCTTGCACCGATAGCCTGAGCGACCAAGAAGACAACATCAAAGACGATTGTTTGACACGAACTCTTCGCGATGCGTTCGAGCCATCCACGATTCCCTTGGTATTTCACGCAGGAGTAATATGTATCCCTGCTTGACAAGTTTTCATGCTGCACGTTAGAAGATGTTCATGGATTTTCGGAACAGCAAGCACGTCGTCATACGTATTCATGAAGAAGGGAAAGATGAATCAGTCCAATCAGAACTTCCATAGAGAGAGAGAGCATCGAAATTTGCTCGTGATCGTATTTGTTTCAGACGGTATCTCGGTCCGGAAAATCTTCGAGGGGAAGAGATGGGGGAGTTATCGAGAGGGTTTATCGTGATGGATGGTCGTTGCGTGTCGTGGGATCAGATTTGTCATCCATCACATATTGACCCATGTCGTCGTCGACCACTGCTTCCCAGGAGGAGCTCAAGGCCAACAAGGTACCGCTGCAATGGCGGGACGGGTGCTCTGCGTGCGTTTATGCTCCCAAGACGACTTTCTTCGACGCCTGACTTTCCGTTCTCATCTCACCATCGCTTTCACACCGCAAATGCACTCAACCCCTGCGTGAACGCACGAACCTTAGCCTCGTCATTCCCCTGAACATCTGCCGCAAGAAAACGCTTTATATGCCGTGGGAGTGCGATCATGAGAGGCACGCGTACGAAAAGTGCGTGCTCCGCGCCCTCGTCTGTGACGCTATAATTGACCCGACCGTCTCCGCTGGCCTTCCAGATGCCAATACGACGAGTGCGTCTTCTCCATCCTGGGGAGATCCCCGACTGACGTGGTGTTACAGCTACCTCCGGCGCATGAAGGCCGCAGCGAAGCTCAAGGCAGAGGCCGCAGAGTCCGCGTGATGATCCGTTTCGCACACCGTATCTACCTCGTCCTGTTCTTCCATGCCTCTGCCAATGCCAAAGAAGCGCCATATAGACGTTCTAGTTTGCTCTCCCCGGCTGCTTTCTTCGTGACAAGGAATGATTCTTCTCGGCGACGCATGTCTCTTTCCCCGCCTTCGCTATGCTCGGTCGTCGCGATGTTCAAATGCAAGCCACCTTACCAGGTCGCTTCTGGCGTCTTTTTCTCCCTCAGACTTCCGGCCCATCGCGACAGGGATGAACTTCAGTGTGCATGGAACTGTTCGGATGTGGCTCGATGGTTCGGCTCAAGCACTGTAGATGCTAAACTAAGGCGTGGTGGGCTTGCCATCTGGGAGACCGTCTGGCAAGTAGCTTGAGACCAATCACGATAGGTCTTGCATTTGACACTCTGAACGAGATGTTGGCACAGGCGGAAGAACACCTTTTCTCAGGTGGCTCTTCTGGCCTGGATCCAAAGCAAATGCAACCATGCCCCGGTAAACCGGTCATGCATCTTCCCGCTTTCTTTGATGTGTAAACTATTCTCGATTTCTGTACAATTCACATACTACACCAACTTGTTGCTGCTAGCTCTAAATTTGCCAATAACGGTCAATAAGCGGACCGTGACCTGTGACCGTGACAGCTATCGTTCTCGGCCACGCCGTTTTGGGCATTACGCGTTCTCCGCCTGCTACGAGATAATGCTGCAGATATGCAGGGCAGAGGACGGAAGCATTATCCAGGTACCTACTGTTCTCTATTTCCGTCGCTTACTGACACTGCTCCAGACCAATGCTGGGGTCCGGGACATTGAAAGGTGTGACGGCCTTAGGCACACCTGAGTACATTAGACTTATTGGCTTCCCCAGGATCGGCAGTGTCGAGCTTTTCATCCATCAGGAGACGGGAATTGATCAGGATGCTGTTATTGCGTATCTTCCGGACGGGAAGAGGCTGACGAATAGCAATCTTCGGGAGTTGAATGGGTCGCAGACCCAGGTCTGTTTAGCTTTCCTGCTCTGGGCGCAATCTTATCGTCCACAGTCTATCTTTGTCTTCAACAAGTACTATCTTGACTTGAATATGGACGAAGTGCTTCGTGAACTGTGTTACCAAGCCCCCATGGCACCTCCGATTGAAGGTGTGCGGGTCCGTATGCCTGCTAGTCGCCCGCTCACTCTTCCATTTCAGACGCCATCTCAGCTACGCCGCCGTTCAGGCCTTCGCAAGTCGCAGCGTCCTACCACCGAACGGCGACGACACACATGAATCATGTCACCCACATACTGGCCACGCTGCACTGCCAACACGATGCGTTGCGGGTCGCACTCACCAGTCTCGACATGCACGTTCTGGCCGTCACTGAAACATTCGAAGGCGTTTCCGCTAGTGCCCAGGTAGAGCTAAACAAGCAGACCGTACTGCTGGCCGGACTGGAGGCTGATCTAGATATCATCGGTCGTGTGCGAGTTCACACGGAATTTGTTTCCCTTGCTGTGAGGAAGGCGATTGAGGCGGGGGAGAAGCCGAGGACTTTGGGTGACTACGTGTCGGATAAGAGGATGAGGCAGGTCGGGAACACTTGCTTGAGAACACATGGTACGTCCTCTTCGATTCGGTGACTGTTCCCAGGTGACGTCCATGCAGAGGATCTCCAGGAAATGTTTCGCCAGACGAAACAGGCTGTATCGCATCTGCGGAAAGGCGCCGATGGTGTGCGTGTTCTAGTAATGGCTGTCAGGTATGTATGCCTCTCCGGATTGGGCCTCACGTGAACTCACATGAATCCACAGCCTTCTGGACGAATCCGAGTTATGTGCTCAGCGCTCTCAAGATCTCGTTGAAAAGATCTCCCGCGGCGCACTCGCACTAGAAGGTATGCAAATGAACCTTTCTCACTCCGTGTAATTAAGATTGTTCCAGGCCACGTTCCCGATCCGGATGGTGTTTTACAAGGTACTGCTTTCGCTTGTGCGAATACCTACGGGCTGCTCACTACGAGTAGAGCTCCGCCAACATGACTTTTCACTCCGCCAGGAACTGCAATACATGGCCAACATCAAGGTACGCAGCAACTCCTTCCGTGTCTTGTTTCTCAGCTCCAATTCACAGCGCAGAACTCGTACACTCAATACTGCATAGGTGCTCTGCGGACGATAAGCATGCTGAACAACGACATGGTGCAGATACCGCCCATGCTTGCCGCGCTACAGACAAGTTTCCGGGGGAGGAACAGCTTCTCGCATATCCAGCGATTGCACAGCATGCTGTATGCTTACGGCGCGACTGTGATTGAGATCGTAAGGAGGAAGGAGTTTGGTGACTAGACTTGCATGTTGATCACACATGGGCTGACCTGGGATGCAGCACGGTTCTTCTATCAGCGAGCACAGAGCATACTGGAGGTCATGGCCAAACTCTCTGCGACAGAGAAAAAACGGAGGCAGATGCATCGTGGCGAAGTGCATGGTCAATTGCCGTTCGAGACCAAGGGAATGAACGATCCGGTTCCCACGATCGACTTTTCACCTTCTGGTAGCTTGGATGCCACGTATTCTTTAGAGCGAGAAGACATTGACGGTCTGTCTGCTTTTCCAAGCGCCAGTCTCTCGGCACTCATATTTCCCATCCAGGTTTGTTTAATATCTTGGACGACATCGAGAATGCATGTTCGGACGATGCCGTTGCACTCGCTGCCGTACGTGAAAGCCGGGCCGGGCTACACAAGCTAGTGGTGAAGATGGACAGTTTGGAGGCCGGCTTCGATCGGATTGCGGAGCGATCATTGCTTTCAGCTTCGCGGCTGTCCTCATCGCGGCGTCGATGTGAGTTTCTTCCGGATGAATTCTATATCGTGTCCTGATCATTCATGCAGCAACCGAAGCGGATGAGCAAGCGTTTCAGGAAATGTCTCAACAGATTCGAGAAGCCCAAGAGTTCCGAATGCACCAGGAAGCGGTGCATCGAGAAGAACGGCTAGGTCTGCAGGGTCAGATCCATCAGCTCCACCAAGGACGAGAAAGTCTGGAACGTGAATTGACCGAGGAGAGGCTAGTTTCGGATAGTCTAAGGCATGAGTTGTCCACGGTATGTGTTCGTGTTGTGAGCAGCTGGAGCCCTGACAGACTTCGCAAGATTCGCGCCGATCTCGATGATGCCAAGGCTCTCGATGCGAGAAATTCGGAGAAAATGGCTGCTCTGCTGGCTGAACAGGCTGCCAACCTGCAAACACTCGAGGAAGCGCGATCTCGCGGGGAGGACCTCGAGGGGCAGATCCAAGCTGAGAGGGAGAAGGTTGAACAGGCTCTGAGCGAGGCGGGCCGAGAGAAAGACCGATTGCTGCGTGCGCAGGCCACAGAACACGACAGGATTATCCGCGACCATTTGGCTGAAGCGGATGGGGACCGGGCGGTCCTCGAGCGGCAATTCCATGAGCTCAAAGCTGTGCAGGAACGGACGCAACGAGAGCTCGACGCAGCGCGCGAAGAGATTAAGTTCAGTGAACGGGAAGCACGAGAAGCCAAACACGCTGAACGGATGCTGAGAGATGATCTGCGGGCCGGGCGGGCGTCGCAGTCGGACTACGAGCAGAGACTAGAGGACAGTGGCCGGCTGGTTGCTCAGATGCTCGACGTTGCTCTGGCCTTCCGAGACTCCCATCTCAAAGCACTGCACGCGACACACCTCATGGCGAGCCACCCTGGTCGGAGCAGTCTCGGCGAATCCATTAGCGTGTTTTCCACTCAGCCAATGCTGGACGAGCCGCCACCAATCGATCCGTCGGACCCATCGGCCGCTTTAGACGCGCTGCGGGCGTTTGATCACGACCATTTCGTGGAATCGGTCAGCAAAACGGGTGGGGTCATCCGCAAGTGGCAGAAACAATGCAAGGAGTATCGTGAACGGGCAAAGGGCAAGATCTCATTCCGGAACTTCGCGAAAGGTGATTTGGCGTTATTTTTGCCCACCAGGAACTCGGTTCTGAAGCCCTGGGCGGCGTTCAACGGTGCGTCCTCATGACCCCGTGAAGTTCCATAAGTTGACGGCTGGATCGCCAGTGTCATTTCCGCATTACTTCCTGCAGGCTACTGGGCATCTCTCAGATCAGCTCAAGACCAGGGAATGGATCGTGGCTAGGATCACATCGATAACGGAGCGAGTGGTCGATCATCATGTGCGTTTTTTTGTCTGCGGTGGTACGCATTCGCTGAATAGTCCTATCTAGGACCCAACCAGTAACCCTTATGGCTTGGGTGATGGGGTCAAGTACTACATGCTCGAGGTCGAAGACTGGACACAGCAGCAGCCTCAAAGGCGCAAAGGATCTTCCAGACGGGAATCTGCGGGACAGCCGACCTCGCTCTTGCTCTCCTCGGACGGATCGCCACCGGCTCGACTCACTGGGCTTCCGTCTGGACCGCCAGAAGCCCAAGTCGAGGACACGTTCACGCAGACGCACGTGTTTCCGCGGACGAGCTCGTCGCCCCCGGTGAGGCCGTCGTCGCTGTCGCGATTACTGGCACAGGCGCCCCCCTCGTCAACCTCGCCCCCTGATGCAGTGGAACCCGGAGATGGACCCAGTTCGCCACAGACCTCCCCGCCTCCACCTTCTTCGCCAAGTCTTCCGGGGAGCCATCCAAAGGCCACCATCCAGGCACAGAGCAGTGCTTCGCCGTTGCGACCCGCATCTCGACTATCGAACGCGTCTCGATTCTCTGTTGGCATCGTCGGATCCTCGGCCAAAGCTGCACCGACGACCGCACTGGCTGCGGAGGTCCTCTCGTCGTCCCCAGATGCTGCAGACACGAATGCGTTTACCACCCCGTCGCCTGTCGAGTCTGTGACGGACGGGATCGCAAATCTCGTGCGGGATCCTAGGCACAGAAAGATCTCGTATCAAGTGCCGCGGTCGTCTCCGCTGGCGCCGAGCACGTCTCATGAGATGACTGTCCGGTCGAGCAGCAGCAGCGCGTTCGCGAATCTCGCGAACAGCTGGGGCGTGGCATTCGGCCGCAAGAAGAAGATGGAGTCGGACGAAGACGCTGGGGAGCAACAGCCCATGAGTGCTGCTTCGGATCTGTTGAAGAGATTTTGAGGAGGTCTGAGGATGTAGACACGGGTCGGTCGGATGTACTGTGGATGTGAATGTAGCTCGTCGACACACGGATTCTGTCTACCGTCCCGCTGTTTTAGGATTCGGTTCTCACGTCAGGTCTCCGGTGTTGCTAAAACACGAGAATCCAGGTACGGTGCGGCGGCTTCCTTGTCAGATAGTGACAACCTGTGACAACCAGCTTCTCTGCTGGCAAGAACGCAGCTTCTCCCGAACATTTAGGTAGGTTCCGCAACGACAAAAGCTCTCCGCAAGATCTTGTACATAACGGTTTTAATTTTCGTGTGGCGGACTCAATTAACACCGGGGACCTACTCGGAGAAACACGAACTGACAACGGGCGAACTTCGGTGACTCTGGGACGTGGGCGATGGACCCATCTGATGGTGGTGGAGATTTGTTACATTTATTTCCCCGGGTTCGGCGATGCGGGGAAAAGAGTGGGGAACTGAACAAACAGAGTCTTCTTGTTCCCCAGTCATTTTGTCGGCGTTTCTCCTGATTTAGACCAGGAAGATCCGGACGGGGATTCGAAGCCTAGGCTGGACGGAGAGCAGGATGGCAACAGAATGGCATTGGCACGCGTCGGCTGACCTGCCCTGCGTGGGCATCACTTTTGCACCCTGAAGTAGCGCACTTAGCCGGCGGGGTACCTTTGGAAAAACCCAATGAGGAAACTGGCGCGATCCCAATCACGGTCCGTGGTAGCGCCTACATAAACTGCCACCACTAGTCATGGGAGTCCCAAGGTTCTCTCGGTTCCTTCCCTCAACATGGTTGGACCTGCTGCGACTTCATCCACTGGCGCCCACGCGTATGCTCATCTCATCGACCCCAGCAGGACGTGGCGCAGCAACCGCCGGCTCATCGTTCTCAATGCCTGGCTCGTCCTTCTGTGCGTTCTTTTCGCACTTAGTCGCGTCACGCTCTGATCGCGTATCGCTGCTATCTCAGCCTTATCACATCCTCGACCAACGGATACGATGGGAGCATGATGAACGGGCTCCAGACGCTGCCCCAGTGGAGAGACTACTTCAACAACCCGACCAAGGGAAAGCTCGGTTTGCTGAACGCCATCCAAGTGTGTCCTGTGCACGTTCCTTTGCTCCACTTCAGTCCTGATCAATGGACAGAACATCGGTTCTTTGGCTGCGTACCCGTTCGCCCCTTATTTGACTGACGGCATCGGACGTCGCCGGACGGTCTTCATTGGTGCGGTCATCATGTGTATCGCGACAGCGGTCCAGACTGCGTCGCAGTCGGTCGGCATGTTCATCGGAGCTCGGTCAGTTCCAAACAACAGCTTCAACTGGCATAATTGAGTACTCATCCCCCACGCAAGATTCATGATCGGCTTCGGAGTTACGATCGCGGTCAACTCGGCCCCGCTGCTGGTTTCTGAGCTGTCTTACCCGCCTTACCGCGCCCAGCTCACGTCGGTGTACAACTCGCTCTGGTACACCGGCGCGATCGTTGCGGCGTGGTCAACATTCGGAACGTTCAAGATGACACACAGCACCTGGTCGTGGCGAATCCCTTCCGTGCTCCAGGCTCTCCCGTCGGTCCTGCAGGTCGCGCTTGTGCTCTTTGCACCCGAGTCCCCACGTTGGCTGATGAGCAAGGGCCGCGAAGCGGAGGCTCTGGACACGCTCGCGTATTATCACGCTGACGGCAATCAGTGCGTCTGCTGCTTGATCGCGTGATCCCTTTCATCTCTGATATCTCCGCAGAGCAGACCCCCTGGTCAAGTACGAATTCGAAGAGATCAAGGCCGCACTGGAGTTCGATCGGACGGTCGCTGCGAACATCGGCTGGAAGTCGTTCTTCGCGAGCCCCGGCAACCGCAAGCGTGTCCGGATCATCGTCGCGATCGCCTTCTTCTCGCAATGGTCCGGCAACGGTCTCGTCTCGTACTACCTCACCAAGGTGCTTGACACAGTCGGCATCACCGACCCGACGATCCAGCTGCTCATCAACGGAGTGCTGCAAATCTGGAACTTGGGATGCGCATTGTCGGCTTCGTGGGCGGTGGAGCGGCTGGGTCGTCGGCTGATGTTCTTGACGAGTGTGCTCGGGATGCTGCTGTTCTTCACGCTGCAGACGATCTGCACGGCTCGCTTCCAGATCGCGCACACCAAGGGCGCCGGAAACGCGGTGATTGCGTTCATCTTCCTGTACTATGCCGCATACGAGTGCGTGTCTGGGCTCTTATCGTCGTGGAAGCTACTGACAGGGCCCCCCTCTCTCACAGCATCGCCTTCACGCCTCTCATTGTCACATACACGCTTGAGATTCTGCCCTCGCCCATCCGCGCCAAGGGCTACAACATCTTCAACTTCACGATTTCGCTCGCGCTGATCTTCAACCAATATGTCAACCCGATCGCCATGGACAGCATCGACTGGAAGTACTACATCGTGTACTGCGTGTGGTTGGTCGTCGAGGCCGTCTTCCTCTACTTCTGTGCGTGACGATACCCCGCGCCTACTCTATCGCAGCAGCTGACATGATCCCCGTGTAGACCTCATCGAGACCAAGAGCCGGACCCTCGAGGAGACCGCGGCGATCTTCGACGGCGCGGAGGACAAGATCATCGGGGCGGGCGAGCAGCACATCGACGACAAGATGGTGGACGAGAAGGTGTCGACCTCCTCCCAAGTCTGATTTGACGATAGGCCGAATCAACTCAATGTCATCTCATGATATCCCACTTTACGACTTCTGGGTTCCGTTCCTCTAATTGCACGGCGGCTACGTCTCTAGTTTTTGGGTTAGTTTGGTTGGCGCGCATATGTATTTTTACGACTAGGTACCACTCAAAAACGATATTTTTTGGCGTCAGAAATTTCCCTGGGAATGCCAAGGCGCGGGCGTGAGTGAATTTCCGGCCGTGCCGGATCCACTTGTGCCACCACTACTCTATGTGTGGGAAACTGCGCCACGCGCAGATGTCGTGGGACTGGCGTTTAGGACACGGAACGACATGTGGCCCCGAGATTTCTGCAGGATTCCTCCGCGCCCACACTTAGCCCGATGGCGCTGAATTGACTTACACACTGTGTGTATTGCGGGACTGACAAGACATCGATCTCCTTGGCCCACGCAGCATCGGATGCGGCTACAGTGGCTTGTTACGGAGCTGCGATGCGAGTCAGCCGGGAGCAGAGAATTGTGATGTCTTGTGCATACATTCTTGAGATTGAATCATCGAAGCTTGAAAGTGTGTGTTCCCAAACAGGTTCAATGTGCTCCGGCGCGTCCGGCCCGGAGAACCCAGTCCGTTACTGCAGATCAAATTGATCGTCACACTGGCTGAGGCGTCGTCACTCGTCACCCTGCTGTGTTGCAGCATCCTCCATGATGGCACATCTTTGGCGGCCAAGGCGCATCAGACAGCGAGGCTATGTATGCGATCGTGTCGACGGTTGACCAGAGCAATAACGGCTATGGTCCAATTCGACCCCGACAGTGTGCAAGTCGGGAAATGGGGTCCTCTATATTGCACCAGTCACCTCATTTCGGCAGTCTTGCTGCTGGTGTTCGCGCTCTACGCGCTCGTCACGTCGATCGCCGATCATGGGGCCGGCATGGTGTCTATCCTCTCGATTTGTAAGGCTTGCGCCGTGGTTTCTTCCAAGAGTCATTCTGACAAGCGGTAGTAATGATTATCGTATTCCGAACGCTGGCATTCATGATGTCCTCCTTGTCCTACTCTGATGTTTCGGAGATCGTTACCCAGCTCTCGAACTACATGAACCTGGTGCGTTTCTGTGGCCTTTTGGCTCGAGCTTGACTGAACTTGATTGAAACGTGACTGAGGGTATCGGAGTAGTTGAAATGGTGCAATTTCAAACTTCAGCCGACAATTCACCATTTGGAACCAACATCTGGGTCGATGCCAATGCGCACTCGAGAGTCTGGGTGCAGGTCCGAGTCATTTTCTACGCCGTCACTCTCCAGCATTGATTCCTGGTCGCAGAGATTCCTAGTTTTCAATAACGTCACCTGTTTGCTTGAGATCGTTTTCACACCGCTGCGGATCAAGTGCTTTCGTCGTGTATCCGGTGCGATACATTCTCGATCTCAGACTACGGTACTTGACGAGAGTTTTCAGTCATCCGTTTACTCGATCAGAACCTCGAGCACGACACCTGGCCGATGTACCCGGTCAGCAAACCTCACCTGTTCGCCCGACTTGTACGCAAGATGCGTCCTGGGCCGATTCGCCTTCCTAACGATCTCGAACGGCCTCTGACAGCCCTCCCGCATATGCGATGGAGTTCGCCTGACGGATTCGAGGATTCGGTGAGGCACTGGTGCACCCTGAACATTTTGCCGGAGGCAGGGCGCGCATTTTGGGTCACGGTTCCCAGCAACGACGACGTCGGTTTCTGTGCGACCGCGCTGCAGGGCATCCTGAATCAGATTGAAACCGTGCACACCGTCCTCTGCATCGACGCGAACAAGACCATGGGTGTGTCGGCTGCGTTGGAGCATCGGCTGAGCGAATGCACTGGCCCCGAATTCGTTGACGAGCTCGAGTACGATTTCGTCAGTCTTTCTTTTTGTGCGATGACGAGGGGTCAACACACTGACTTGCCAGGCAGGATGGCCACCAATCGATTGTGGACCGATTGCAAGAGATCTGGAAGAAGAAACGGCAACGGGAGGGCAGTGGGGACTGTGCACAACGTGCTGTTGTGGTCATTCATGGTATGAACAACGTCGATCAGGGTGCAGAACTTTGCGAAAACATCCGGGTCATCTTTGCGAACCGAGACCACATGCTCGATGTCATCGTTCTCGGCACTCCTGGGCTGTTCCAGGAGATATTCGATCACGTCCACGTTCCGATGGCGTACTTTCTTTCGGTCTCTCATGCAGGCAGAGTTCGGTACTCGGGAAATCCTCCTGTGTCTCCGTTGTATCTCGAGGTTGATCGTTACTGCATCGCCTTTACCTGTTTGCTGATACAACAATAGGGCCTGTTCAATGTTCTGTTAGAGGAGATATTCACACCGAGAGCGGATGATCTGCTCACTCAGCAGTGCGTCTCGAACCACGACGGGAACGAGATCCGTCTTCTGACTGATGCGCGGCTCCCAGGATATGGGAAGATCTGGGTTCATTCTGTGTGAGCCCCCAATCCATGATTCCCGTGGTCGACAGGGACAACTCTCTCGGGGACAACTACGACGCTTTATCGCGAGTGTACCGGGGGCGCAAGCTGTTGACAAAGGTTACTATGATCATTTCGACGTCGATGATCGTTCCTCACGAAACGAGAGCAGCTTCTGGCGACCTTCCCGTCTGTCACGGACCGGAACATCGGAGAATCTATCCGCGAGGACAATGCTTGTCTCAGTCCCGCTTTGGCTGCGATCTTTGGCATCACGGACTACAAGCTCAAGCTCAAAGCTGACGTCTCTGAGACAGATGCATATGCCGTGCTCAATCTTGTCCATTCGGTGGGCAGCGTTCACACTGTCTGGCTCAGCTGCTGTAACACTGTATACAGGTCGCCAGCGCTAGCCACGGGAGCGCAGACACCAAGGAGACTATTGTCTTCCATCGCTGTGCTCAGCGACTGGTCCGCATTCTGGCGGATTTCGTCGGGATCCTCCCAGAGGAACTCGCAGTCCACGGGATGACCCTGCTCCACGACCATCCCATCACAGCTGGCGGGTTTGCGTTCGTGTACCAGGGCGAATGCCTCGACGCGGCGGGTGCGCCGGTGCAGGTCGCGCTCAAGGTGCTCAAAATCACGGAAGCGCAGTCGGACGACGAGCGCCGGGCCATGCTGAAGAAGTTCGCCAAGGAGGCACTGGTCTGGCATTACCTGCGCCACCCCAACATCGTTCCTTTCCTCGGCGTCGATGGCACGACGTTCCCGAACCGGCCTGCGATGGTCTCTGTCTGGATGCCCGAGGGAAGCGTGCTCAAGTACATAGCGGAGAACTCGCCTGTCTCGGGCTACGCGATCTCGTTGGCAAGCGACCTTCCGTGTTGTGTGATTGAGCTGATGGATTGGGCAGCTTACAGACATTGCGGATGGCCTGGCATATCTGCATTCATCCAACGTTATCCACGGAGATCTCTGCGCTGTAAGCACGAGATCAATCTGCTCGCACGCTCGAGACTGAACTGCATCGCAGCGGAACGTGCTCGTCGACAAAGGGAGTGCGATGGTGACCGACTTTGGGCTGGCGGGATTCATCGAGAGCGAGTCGACGGTGTTATCCACTCGCGGAGGAACACTGCGCTGGATGGCGCCGGAACTGATCCACCCCTCGGTCTATCGCGAAGACGCGTCGTTCAAGCGGACCACAGCGTCGGATGTCTGGGCTCTTGGTTGCTTGTTCTGTGAGGTGAGAGTGATCCCTCTCTCGGGTCGGGTTGAATGGCTGACTGACGATGCAGATCTGGACGGAGGGACAGGTCCCCTTCGCCCACTTCTCGGATGGCGCGCTGATCCTGGCCTTGTCGGACTCCAAATCTGCGCAGACATCGCCATATCCTGACAAACCCCTCGACAAGTCAGAGGTAGAGATGCCAGAGCCACTCTGGGATCTGGTCGAGTTGTGTTTCTATGTCGATGCGGCGGCTCGACCGGCAGCAGCTGACATCCTCGAAGTCCTAAAACGGGGGTTCAAACACTCGGGCGAGATCCACTTGAGTCGGAAGGGGAAGGGCAAGGCGCGCGAATTGCACCCTGCATCCTCGGAGCCAGATGTCATCGTGCACTTTGGACCGGTTGATCTAGACTCCGACCCGCAGCGCCAGGTGCAGATGATGCTCGACGGACTTGGCAGGAGCGTACTCGTCCGTCCGTCGTCGGTTGACGTCGATAAAGCGGAGGAATCGTACTTGCATCTGCGGTTCCGGTCCCCCGCTGAGGCTGATCATTTCGTATTGCTTTGGACCGCTTTCCGTTACGGATCGTACATCGAGGTGGAGGCCTGTATTGCCTGTCCTTGAGACTGCGATTGTCGGCATTTCTTTGCTTGAGACTATCGATAGATGGGACTGATGTCGTATGGTACATTTGTGTTCACTGAGAGTCACGATTTGCGGTGGCTTGCGCTGCTACACTTCGATCTCGGCCCTCGCTGAAATTCTCGCGGCACTGCTCACAGCTCCGTTTTCCGCACTTGCGCCGACGTTTCAGGCTGAAAGTCCGTCGATTTACTTATCCGCAATGCATGGCGTTGATTCACCCGTGACCGCGTCAAGGGGACTTGGGCTCATTCAAGAGGTCGTCATCACTTCTACGGAAACAAACTTACTCTGTCAATAAGCAGCCCCGTCTCACGGGACTAGATCTCTCACCCCCCTCCTCCTACAGTCTTCGAGCAGACAAAGTTAAGAATCGGCTGAACTATTCTTGTGATCGGAGCAGGATCATCCGGGCGATTACCAGACACGGGCTCGCTGATGCATCTCTCAGTCCGATAACAGGCATTGCGACTTCCCAGACTTGGCGCTTGCGCTCAAGAAGTTTCAAAAGACGGACCGTCTGCGTCTGATTTTGAATGCGCATCTCACAGGACAACAGGAAACCGCTCAGAATCCAGAGAGGACCATCGCTGGCCTTGTGCTGTTTCGCCTTCGTGTACAGCCTGTCCCACGCACTGCGCTTGGCTTCCACCTCGGCGGAATAGAATGTCACGTTGTAGTGGTCTCAAACAGCGACGTCATCCCATGGGAGCAGATGAAGATCGACGCGGATGCAAGGACAGGGGATCGCGGATCACCCAGTGTCTGAGACATGCTCATCGATATAAATTTCGGGCCTGAGCCATGGTCAAGCCCATACCAACCCCACACTCTAACCACAATGTTCTCTGCACTCGCAACCATGCCCTCGACTGAGATGGCCCTCCCGAGGGCCTTCCCACTGTTCTTATTGCCGAAGCACATCTCCGCCACCCGCCCGAAGAAGGCTTCCGCTACCCGGAAGGCGTCCACCTCATCTGTGGACTCGGATGTCACATCGTCCTCGTCTTCATCTGAGGTCGAGACCCCGCCGTCGAGCCCAGTTGTGACCGGGACCTTCTGCGAGCGCGACGTAGTGCTAACGGAGGATGAACGTGAGTAGAGTGCACGAGTCTTCCTCTGCTTGCGCTGACTGCCCTCCAGTCCACAATCCTCCCGCCGCACTCACAAATGACTTGATTGCTGCCTCGCACATCGAGTCCCCTGCGTCACCGAGCAGCGCTGCCACCAGCGCCTGCTTCTGCAGGGAAGTCATCCTGACCGAGGAGGATTGTGAGTCTCAGCCATTGTCAATCTCCTCTTCTCGATTCTGACACCACGCCCCCCTATCCAGTGAAACAACCACCCTCTCCACCCAAATCCCCTCGCTTCCAGAACACCCTTTCGCGTTTCACCCGCCGCAGGAGGTTCTCGTTTGAGGCACCGACTCCGGTCGATCCTTCGACCCTCGTGCGGGATGTGCCGCTCGTCGTCGAGCACGTCGGCGCGCCGTTCTTTGTCAAGGGACCGGCACCCGTTGTCCCGGCAGCGGCTAGGCGGAGTCGGCGCAGCTCGCTGTTCACCACGAGCGCGGCCAAATCCGACGTTGTGTGCGAAGGATGGTGACCTGGAACTATTTAGCCTGCAGTACTCGCTTTTCATACAGTATAAACCCCCAAAAAATACTCTTGCATCCCCATGACGTTTGTGAGACATAGTTTCTTCACCCTGATTCAGCTTCTCTTTGCCATCCCTGGCATGTCCGATTCGAGAATTCATTTCAGTGCGGACACCATGTTCGGCTGGAATACTCGGATCCCATGTATGTTGGCCGAATCGCTGGCGAGCATCAGTTTCCTTCCTTGACTCAATTTGACAAGTCTGAAGACGCTGGGTATGCTTCCCAGGTCAGGCGCGTCTGTGTTTGAATTTGGATTGCTCCGGAACGATAAACGGTTGTCTGGGAACCATGTCGAAAGTGTTGCCCTCGTTTGCTCGTCTGAGAAGCATCGTCTTCTGCGGCTACAGCTGCCCTCAAATCCGTATCATCGACTTGGTTCTGTCCCAGGAGCTCCAACTGATCGTCGCATGGGGCGTGATCGCAGCTAAACTCACCTACTACTCCTTAATCACAAAAATCAACTTCCGGCGCTCTCTCGCCACGAGAGTTGCCACTGGGTCCTCGAAGACCCCGTAGAAATCGCCACTGAACAACAAGATGTTGACTTTGTGGTTCGAGCGAACGATGGTAAAAGTGATTCTTCCCTTGCGTGTCTCCCAGGCAAGATACGCTCGAAAGGCCTGGGGTATGGTCGGCGCAGATTGGTTGGAAGAATGTGTCAGGATCTGGAATCCCCTCAGTACCTCCAGCGAGGTTGATGTGTTAGACGGAAAGGTTGACAGGATCCATGTCTTAATGAAGAATTCAGGACCTCGTGTATAGTATTTGCTCGCCACGTGATCGCGTCGCAGTTTCACAAGGGCCAGACTCTCGAGAGTCTCACCCCGAACTCCGCTCTCCAGTCTACGGCCACTTGAGACTGGACGAGGACTTGACCTCTTTCCCCTGTGCACAGAGATTCCTTTGTATGCACTGCAAGACGATTGCCACTTCGGAATATCCGGCCAATCCATAGAAGAGGCCAAGTATACATTTCCGTGTGTCGATACGCGCGCTATGGGCGAGTAGAGTGCTCCACGTCCCTGGGCTCGAATCAAACACGTCTCGCTGGATCACATGGCCCGCCCAGTGTAGTTTCGAAAACGGCGGCAAGATGGACAGCCTCTTGTGCGCGTGCGCGACGCGACCACGAAACGGGCTGCCAACTCGTCTCTCAAAGATCGTGTTGCAGCTGCTTCTGTTGCCGGGGAATATGGGTCACTGTCCCGAGCAGGTTCTGCCTGGCCGCGGTACTGGGAGACAAAGACACCCGTCGCGATGATCCGACCTTCTTTCCTTCTTTATTCAGCGAGGAGATAACTCTCTTCTTTTGACGATAACGCGCCCTGCATCATCCGCCGCAGACTCGATGAGGGCTACACATGTCCCCAGCGCTGATTTCCTGCAGGCGTGGCTTTCGAGGCGTTCGAAATCCACCCAGAACTCCATCATCCCGAACATGACACATGGGCTGCAGTATATTTTTCTTCCCAATTTCGCCTCGAGTGACTACAGTCCGCGCGAGAGGAGGAGCGACCATTAAGCCGGTGGGAAAGTGCAATCTGGGCCGCTCATTCTCGCTGAGACTGGCCGAAAGCCTCCGGGTCCAAGCTATTCCTTGTAAGCGGCTGCCGCACCACCAGAGCGATATGAAGTGGAGACGTACATGGGTCATCTGAGCAACGCCATACGACAAGGCCTCGGTTCATCATTTCAGAAGCCCTCAATTGAGGTTGGACAGAGCAGAAGGCGAGAAACGAGGCCACGATGGTCCAGATAAGAGCGCACATGAATATTTCGACGGCAGAGTGCCAGTGGTCCTAGTTGATGGCTGCAGAGAGGTTCTCCGCGCGACGAGAAGCCGATCAGATTACTGAGTCATCGCAAGAGAGTACCCACAAGAGTCCTGCTTAGCTCCTGTACTGATTAGACGGCTAGCTTGACTCGAGTATGGACAGGGATGCCGGCGAGGGGCCGTAGGAATATTAGATTCCGTCTGCACTAGCTTGATCGACCAGCAACCTGTAGTTTGGCGTCAATAACGTTAGCGGGGCTCCGGTAGCGTGACTTCCCGTCTTCACCATACTCTTTGAAATGTCTCCGCCTGTTCATGCATCCACAAAATTGAGATACACTATCTCTTGAGTCGGGCCACCCACCCCATGACGAAGCTCGGGCTTTTCACAATCGTCGAAGACGGCCAAGGCAATTTGCTGGTAATGCAAGTCCAGTAACGAGCCATGCATAGTAATTCGGAAGAGGAGATACTTCCACGGGAAAGGGAGGCGAGCAGGGTACGTGTATGGGCCTAGCACAATAGTCGCAGAGAGCTGAATTGTCCCAGTGATCCTTGGCAGACAGGCCGGATAGTCTTCGGAATGCTTTGCTCATGAACTTTGCCCCAGCCGCGAGAAGTGGTAGGAACGCAGAACCTGTTCCTCTGATACACAGGTGCATCCGCGCTCCGGAATCATTTTCTGTGCACTCGACCGGACGATTGGCACGGCAGGACGAGTTCCGCGGTGCACGCGTAGCCAGCCGCAAATGACTTCTCCGTCGGGTCTTCTTGGTTTCCTCGACAAGCGTCGCGGAGACACTGCTCTGAGCAATCATCCGCTCAGTAAACATGAAGATGACCAAGGCGGATGCTCTCCTCGCTCGTGATGGCGCATGCTGCATCGAGGATCTTGGCGCTGGTGCAACTTTCGTCGTCATTCTTGCGGCCTGAAACTGGAGCACGTCGATTGCCGGATCAGGTCGGCGTATGGGCGCAACGCAGAATTTCCAGTCGATTGAGGCTACGCAAATTCTCCATTCCGTCATATGCGTCATTCCCTCAAGCTGCCGCACCGCCACGGGCAAAGATCGTACATGACATGGACGTCGCACGGCAAACGGTTGCGCAGAGTGCCGATTCTGAAGTCGTGTTGATTCGCGAAGCAAGGAACAATTACTTCGATATGGCAGCATACGACTAGGCGACTGGTGGTGGCAGTCACTTTCGAGCCGTCGGCGACGAGAGGTGCGTTCCGTGCGCCCATGATTCCCTGTATGGACGAGCCTGAGCATTTTCTTTCCCGCTCGCCAACAGGGGGAAGCATCGTGATCGATCCGGGGCTGGTGCGAGTGTGGGGTGCGGGGAAGTTTGTGGCGGTGAGACCAGGATCACCACCCGAGCGACTCCTGCGTAGCCGGCCCCAGCGTGAGCAATCCCCCGGCGAAGAAACCTTTAGGACGATAGATCAGGCCCATCGATGTGCTCAGTTGTCGGCATCATCGCGCGGTCAGGCTGATCTCTGTCAAGTGCGGATTGGCCTGCAACAATGAGCAACGGGCCGGGCGTCTCTTCCGATCCCAACAAGATCCATGTCGCTCTTGCAGGCCAGATTCATCAACTGCTTGGAGCGAGTTCTGGGAGGAGTAAGATCTCAGAGCAGCAGGGCGGCCTACAGTCGATTTTTAAGTTGATGGACGCCTATTCCGCACCCGGATCCGCCCTCTTGTTGAACGTGGGGCAAGCAAGCATCGTCAGCTGCTTGCTTGGATAGATTGTAAGAGGGCGCCCAACAGCAACGAGACGGCATGCAATTCATTCTGGAGTGGATGTGAGGGCAAACAGAAGAAACCAATTTCGAAGTCCGACAGGCCATATCCGACAATGCACCCCGGCGCAAGCCCTGTCCGCTCGTAACTTTCGTTCTGGGCGACTTTCAGTGCCCCGTCCTGCTCTCTCTCAAGCGTGGGGACGCGGCGCTTTCCTTCGGACATGCTCGTTCATGACGAGACTTTCTTTTTTCTAGCCCTCAGTGGATCTTTGTCTGTTTTCATCTTAGTGTGATCGCAGTATTCGACACCAGCAATCACGACTCGACACTCGCGAGCTTCCAGGGCTGTGATATTGGTGAGGATAACGTCTAGAAAGTGAGCGTCAGCTTCCACTCTTTCGCATTTCCCTCGCCATTCATGCATCCATCCCCCGGCCGTCGCCTGAGCTCCAGACTCTCCCACGGCTCACATCACTCACAGGACCAATAGCAGAGCCTCACTCTCATTCTACGGAAGACCTGTCGCGAGTAGACATATATCTTTGAATATCATCCAAATGGTCATATTCTACAATACGACTTGGTGCCTCGCACTGAGCATTGAACGATGGACAACGGGATGACACTCCTAGCGCAGTATCCAACGACTTTACATCCGCTGGTAGCAGTGCTGATCGTGCCGTATTTAGAGGCTTCATGCACCGTCTCGTCCGCGCGCCTGGAAGAGCGCCAATGACATCCTGTATATCGCCGATTCTATCCCATGCAGCCGCGGAAAGGGTGACGCATACACGCCCCAGAATTGAGCGCCGAACGATGTCAGCAATCGAAGTCGACGACTCAGGAGTAGATTGACCCAGGCCACACCACAGCGGGTGCAGTCAGGCTATCCTTGCTCCACAACCCGGCTGGACTCGGTGACTGGTCGACTTGTGGATGGGCTGATTCCAAGTACAGAAAACTGGTTCGAGAGATACAGGCAGTCTTTCAGCGAGACTCCTACGAACTTTTCGCTCACGTCGATGCACATAAGCGCTATGTACCGGCCGAGGAAGACAATGAGCGAGGATTGCACTAGACGGCGTGACTTGGGTCGATCTGAAAGTGCTGAATTTCAGCAGTTTGCCATCTACCTTTTGGAGAGCAAGTCATCTTCCCACCCTGGGATCGGAGAATCCAGGCCAAAGAAGGAGCATACACGTCCATTCAAGCGATTCAACTGGAACGGCGGACCTATCTGGCAAAGGGAGTCGGATGATGCACAGTATGACGATGAGGAACTCGGCCATAATGATAAGGTTCGCTCCAAAAGCAGTGTTGAGTTGACACTCACGATTTTGGACCGGTTCAGCACCCGACGAAACGATCCAACTCAGCTACAAAGGACCGCACGCTAAATTCACGGCCGAGACAGCCGTCACCGTGACACCAGGAGCGACTAGTGCCCCATGACTCTCCGCTGATCATAGCGTGCGGACGATCATTTCCAGTAAAAATCATCTACTGGGCAAAACAGCAGGACAGAAATTCGCGCATATATCCAGGTTGCGGTGTGCCGATCCACGTTCAAGTTATAAGCAGATCACACGCGAGAGTGGTCGACCTGCCGCAGCACGACTGATGAGAGTTCGGGGGATTTGGTAGGCGTAACCTGCTTCCTGAGTCCAAGCTATTTCGGTATACCAAGTGCGCCGTGAGCAGCTGAGTGGATATTTCTGAGCTGAGGAGATGTTTCTCAGCTGCCTGTCTAGTTTACACTGGGAGTTATCCCTGATTGCATCAGTGATTGTGTGTCAGGCTGTCACTTCGTGACGCTCATGGCTCTCCGAGTCGCCGCTACATAGCTGCTCATGATCATTCGTGCTCAAACCACACCTGCCCGCGCGTCACATGGAAAAACCATCGTTTCCATCTCTTCTTGAATTGATCCCTGTGTTCCTCTAGTCCTGAATGACACGTGATCGCGTTCCTGCCTTGCTCAGTCTGCATCACGTTACCGCGACTGGCCGGATCCGGTTTTGCGTTTATGGGCTTGAGCGTCGCTCTGAACACGGCGGCCACTCGAAATACTCGTCAATTCCTTGATAGCGGCCCGATACATCTGTGTCCACACAGCAACCATCGGAGCACGCACTTGGACGCGTTTCGTCAACTTGGAGTCAGACTCAGGTCATGGGTGGCCAAAGCCGAGAACCACCCAAACAGCTCTGCCGTATCGCTGAGATATACTACATCTTCCTGGAGCACCTGGCTCGGTCGAGCTTTGGAGCCGCATGCACACTGAGTAGGCTCATGTGTGTCCGCATTGCGACCGCGAAAGTGAAGCGGTGTCTCTCGAAGACCATGCCGCTGGGCCTCTGATCCCGCACGACTTTCACAAGTATGATGCTTCGAGATCACGACGCTCGCCGATGTAACTCGACCTTCCCTCGCGCGTGGACGGGAGCTTTCGTCCTCGGATAAATCTGCGAAACGGATCACCAGGGCTGGCGGTCTAGCCGGCACCTATCTGCCGCCCGCCCGTTTCCGGGGCGGTCAAAGAAGGCTGGAACTCGCCATCCCGAACCGGAGACATATGGTGTGGGGGGTGTTCTCCGGCACATGTGCCATGCCATCTCTTACGGCGTAGACCATCTCGGCGCCTTTCATCGACCATCTCGGCATCTTTCGTCGAATTCCGAACCGGGCCAAGCCTGCAGCCTCTTCCCATCCGGGAATGCTGTCCCCTCGCAGTTGTTCTTTTACCAATCTCCGTGGAAAAAGGGCTGGAACGCTACGATACGATTAACCTCGTGCAGCAAGGTGCCATCACGTATTTGGATTCTTAATCCTTTCTCCTCGAACTGTCCCGGCCGAGCTCGGGGTTCTGGTCGCCTCGTCGAATCATCTGAATGCCATGAATGCTCGGCTTGTCTGCACGATTTGTAGGCGGGAAATTTGGTACCACGCGCAGCTATCTTTGCCGCTCTTCTGGAAACTGAAGAACTATTCGTTTCCCGTGACTGCAGTTGTGTACCCTCCAGGACGCCAGCTCGGACTTGGAGTGCTCCGCGCCTTGACTCAGTTTCCTCGCGACATGCTGATGGATGCCGGCGACCCGATCTTTCTCTCCATCTCATTCTTGCGGCGACTGAAAATGATCATGACGATGCACCCAATCAGCCAGACCATGGCTCGGAGGCGTCTTGTATGCCTCTCTCTCATACGCAAGATCTGCTCCCGACGGGCTGTCTTCCGGTCCCAGGCATGCATCGCACGCTGGCCGCTCAGTATCTCACTTGCTCGCGATTTCACATAGGGCCTCCACCGCAAGCCTTGAGCCGAAAGCAACCTCCGCGTTTGAATAACAGTCTTCTACCGCATATACGCTATGCTACGTTCAAGCTGGAGGCTGTGCCTTTGCCAGCCCTTCATCGCGTAGAGCAGCCTCCATATGCGCAATTTGGGCGACGGTCCACGACGCTACCATCGGGCCGGGCTCGATCTTGGAGAACGAGGCGTTCTCCGGTTGTGGGAGCGGTATCATGGTATCCAGACCGTAAACGGCATTCGCATGGTTCACCACGAGAATGCACGCAAAGAAGACTGCTCCAAGACTGAGACCGCATAAGCCAAGAAATAGGATAACGTACGGGAGGCGATGATCAGCACGGGGAGGAAGACATACCCCACGAATGGGATGCAGGTAGCGGACCAGGCGAGAGCCGAGTATATTGTGCAGGACAGTGCGCCCGAGTCGGTCCCGTATTTATCCAAGCTGAGGATGACGTATACAGCTGTCACACCAGGCCATGAGATGACCTTATCCTTGCGCACACACTCACTCACTCACCGGGAAAGAACCACAGGACCATTACCAGCGCAATCGACAAAAAGTGCCTTTCCGCTCGTGACCAGGACGAGGAGGGGTCCGCTCTCACGGTGTAAGGCAGCCTAGAAGTCACGAGCTCGAGCAGACAAGAACCGCGGCGGACAGACGACTAACATTCGGGCGAGCCACACGAGTGTCGCGGCTGCGATCACAGCGCCCGCTGCCTCGGCGAAACCTAGACAGGCCGACCCGTGTGTGAGTGCATAAGCGAGCGAGGAGGTAGGCGTCTCACCACATTCCGCCAGCCCATACGACAGCACGCGCAAGAAGACGGAGAGCAGGTACACGAGGGCTAGCCACGCAGAGATCTCTACAGGGAGAATGAGTTGTGTTGTCTGCAACCTCAGGACGACTTGCGATATTGGGTTCGGACTCGGAAAGAGCGCAAGGCTGCCAGGTATATCATGAAGGGAGGGAGATCGAGAGGGTGTCGTGGGAGATTGTCTTGCTCGGCGCTCAAGCTTTGGTCGGAATAGTCGAGGCCGTGCGGGAGCGCCCGTCTATAAATAACACTGGTAATGAGCTTATCACACAATGATCATGCGCGAACGGCACAAGCAAGGTGAATCCAGTCCAGTCCCTACCACGACAGGACAGGTGGAGAGGGATGAATGTCCGTTTCCTCTTCGGCCGATGTCGATTGCGATCGTGTCGAGTCTTGCACGGCAGATTCTGATGCGCGGCGGCCTGCTTAAATTCTCCCAGTCTGCCCTCGGACATTGCGTCTCCAAATTCATCTCTTTGCGTTGCACTACCATCTATTGCTTTATGTTCCGTGTGACTCCTCGGAAGGACGTCAATCGACGACTTGATCATACCGCGCAGACGAGCGGAATGCAGGAAGACCCTGCAATCCCGCTGATAGTCTGACAGCCCCCACAATAAGCGCCCGTCCTGTACGAATGGCAATCTACACAACCGCCGCGTCTCCCCCGCTCCCGCCCTCGAACCTGCCCTCCGTATCAGCGATCTGCGCCATGGTCCACGACGCGATCATCGTCCCCGGCCGGTTTTTGAGGAGCGGCGCCTGCACGGGTCCGTCGGGGAGCAGCATGAGGTCGTCGATGCCGTAGATGGCGATCGCGTGGTGATACGTCAGATACGACGAGAATGCGACTGGTCGAAACGCTGATCAGACCATATCTCTGAGGTCTGTGGACAGGGCTGACGCACCGCAAAACAGGATCGGGAGCGGGAGGAAGCGGTAGACCGCCCAGGGCGTGCAGACGAGGATATCTAGCGGGTGGGCGATACACGACGGCACGGCCGAATCAGGCTCAGACTCGGATAAGACGAGCAGGACGGTCTTGAAGGCTGGAGGGGGTGTTGATTTATGGCAGGGTCAGAAACGCGGAATGCGAGGGCTCACCAGGGAAGAGCCAGAATCCCGTCAACATCCCGGCGAGCGAGAACTGCACGCCCACCCGGGAGAGGGACGACGAGGGGATCGACTCGACGGTGTGCGGGAGCCTGGCGCTGAGCGTGAGCACTGTATCGGAACATCCTCCACAAAAGAAAGAAAACCGACATTCGCCAGAGCATGACTACAGTCAGACAGGCAGTCGCAGCGGCCGCTCCTTCGAAGAGTTCTGGAGATCAGACGGGCGACGCGTCAATGGAGGATATATGCGGTACAGGGGACGCGACGTCACCGACTCCAGCCAGTCCGTACCACACTCCCCGGCAAAGAACGCAAACGAGATAGACAGCATCCAGATACAGGGCGATCTCTGCGACGGCAAAGACGAGTCAGCGGCAGCTTGCTCGTAGAATGAAGCCAGAACTTGCTGTATTGAGTGCGCACAGAGCGCAGAGTGAGTGCGAGTCGTGCCATCTTGAGCAGATAAGAGGAGAGCGCGCGTGTGTGCAGGATCAGGGGAGTTCCTCAGAATCCCCATGGCTAAGCGTCTGGAGCTTTTTCAAGCGGTTCTTTGCGGGACGACCACGGTTTTCAAGTCAGTATCAGTGTCACCCACATCGCATCAGGGATTCTATCTCAGGCTGCATCTTGGCCTTAGAGCAGATCTGATGGGGCATGTGACCACCACAAGGGAACTACTGATGGGCAGAGCTCGGGTACGTCGGCTAACGCTCGATCGTCGGCTAGTTTTTGGCACAGGCTTCGGCCGTGCACCGCCACGCTTGTCAACCGCCAATGCGTCTCGTTCGCCGGATCAGGCTCGGAAATGGGATTCGGAATGCAGCCAAGCCTTTCCGGGGGTATCCTCCCGGGATGCCAGAGTTTCTGGCCTGGCCTCCTCCACCTCGGCGCAGAGAACAGCCGGGCGCACTCGACAGATCCTTCACCCCCTGCTGGAGCTGTAGGCGGCTCAGAAATTGACATCCATGCAAGGCACGGTTGGGCTCGAGAGGGCGTCCAAGAACCCGTCCGGACGTCGTCGACATCTTCGGGATCCCCGCAGTTCGTACTAACAAAATATGACAGGTACATCATCACAACCGGGAAACGCTGATTGGCGGCGAAGACTTTCCGCCTGTGCCGTAATCTACCTGCAGCTATGTACTCTCATGGCAAGTACGAATTTCAAAAAGTGACGACACGTCTCCCAATTAGGCATTGATCGGCACCGCTACATTTGCAGCAAGGACCTGTGCAGATTTTTTGGGTTGAGTTGAACAGCACGGGCGTCCTGCTGGTCTCGTCTGCGAGCCTTCTCTGAATGCAAATCCCACGTGCATATCCAGAACTTCAAAAGCGCATGACTTCCGGAACAGATTCATTTTGTCTTGGCCCTCTCTCTCTCTCACCGGCCAGCTTCCCCATCGGACACATCCCCTCTCGTGTTCCCTTCCTCGCTGTCAGTCACCACCAGCTTTTAACTCCGCAGACAGCTCGCGTAGAACCACATGCCTGAGCCCCACTCTATGTGTGTTCGTCAGGGCGATTGGCATTTCTCCCTACCAACTAATATACATATTTACATGGCAGCGATCGCTTGATGGAGCGAGCGCCCCTGTCCTCAGTAAGCACAAAGCACTATTGGAAATATAGGAAACCGGCTCGCTGCAGGCGCTCGCTCGTGCGAGGTGGATTATTAACAGCCCAGATTCCACACTTGTCCAACTCAGGCGTGTGTCTCCCACACGTCTTTTTGAAACAAATGTACATAGGCGTCTGACGGACGCAGCTCGTATCCTCCAAGAAATCCCACCGCTGTTGGACCGTGGCTTCCCATCTCCTTTTGGGCCGGCCCCTTGTCTCCGGGGCGCGATCGCGCGTGGCGCACTGCGAGTGCCGCGGAGTGCGGCTCTCGTCCGCCGGATGCGCTTATCTTGCTTGCAGATTGCTTTGCATTGCACCGTGTGTCTTGCAAGCACATAATACAACTGATGTAAGATCTCGCAAGACCCCCGACCCCGACTTGGTCCCCGCAGCCTCGCTTCCCATTCCATTCGAAGCATCGGCGCGTCTTCTTTTGCTACCCAGACTTACTTGTGGTCTTTCCATCGACTCTGGATTGATGATGAGAAGCCCAAGAGTATCCTTTGTGGAGCCTGCCTTATGTCGCCTAGGCTGGGCCTGGGGGCGAAGCTGAGAAGAACGTAGATTCGACCAATGACGAGTTGCTCTGCGATTCATGGTACAGTATGGTCACTGTCCACCGGAGTCTGCTGTTCCCAGGCCGAAACTGGGCGCAGTGGCCAGAAAGTCTAGGGGCCAACTTGAATTCGAGCCCGAGGACCACATCAACTTGCGGTACAAACCAGAGCCGCAATGACCAATCTCCTCGGAGATGGGAAGTCGTACCCGAAGAGACGCGGCTATATTTCTGCTTTGATCCTTTTCGGAGTATCATGGACTGCAGGCCCATCTGGTATGTCCCAGGCCATCATCATCTTCAATCGGCTGGGGACTCTTGAACGACACCAAACGTGACCCGACACAGCTCTTCCCAGGAATCGGGCGGCCACTTCCCCTCCTGTCCCTCCTCCCCATCACAGTACCACACCCGGAGGACGCCCTGGGTCATCTGCCGCGGAAAGAACTGGGCCAGCATCTCCCGGCCTTCGTCGGCGAAGACCGCCGGGACGAGGATATCGAATCTCGCCAGCCGCTGGAACTGGGGCATGATCATCGTCGTCGAGAACACCGACAGATTGGTCGCAAAGTCGCAGGGACAGCTGAAGTCGGTGCGGTGCGGCCAGCGAGGGAAGGAGGTGATGATCGTTTGGCGTGGGCCAGCGGGGAGCGACGCAAGAGTCGTGCAGAGAGACATGGCGTCGTGTGATTCGAGTTTCAGCGTGCAGAGGTTTGTCAGAGGGCTGAGGTCGACTATATGCGTAGATGCCTGTCAGTAAGCGTGTTGGAGATGTATGCCAAAAGAGCACGAACGAGTGCCACCACTGGGCTGAAAGAGCCAATCCGCGGACAAGATTGGCGCGTGATCCTCGTACACCATTGCCAGCGTCATGTTCTGGATGTGCGCGCCGTCGTGGGCCAGAAAGTTGTTCAAGTTGTCCACCGGTCCCCACCCCGTGTGTTTGGCCTGAAACACCCACACATCGAGCGTCTCGAGGGAAGGCAACGAGCCTAACCATCCGAGAAATTCTTCCCCTTCCTTTGCGTACAGTCGATAGCGCAGCGTTCTCAGCTTGGCGAACGTCCCCGTTTCCAGCACGGGGAATGGCTTCATCCGGGTCAACGCGCTGGCTGCAGGCTCCTTGGACGACGAGTAGATCGACAGCGCGCGCAGCTCGGGTAGATCCACGGCGAGCTGCAGCAGATCCTCAGCGACTTGGTCCAGGGCATTGTACACCAGCTCGTTCAGCGCCGGGAACTTGAGCGCGATCCAGCCTATCTTGAACGGCTTCCGGAGCACGGCCGGTGTGTGATCCACAAACACGAGCTTGCGCACGGGTGCCTGATGCAGCGCATCCACGACATCGCGGAGCAGATTCGGCGTGAAATTGAAGTGCACCTGGATGTCGAGCAGCACCTCGTGCACCGCAGGGACGATCGTGCACAGCGGCGAGGCGCAGATGTCGATAAACTCCTGCACGTTGTCGACGAGCAGGCTCTGGCGCGGATGGGGCAGGTGGTGCAGCGCGATGCGGTGGAAGGCGTGGAAACGGGCGCTGGGGACCCATTTGCGCGCGACGAGGCTCGCGGAGAAGAGTGTCCGGTGATCGGCGTGCAGAAAGTCTAGGATGAGGTCAATGATTTCGGGCGGGGCGCTCGATGCCGGAGACGACATGGGGGAAGGAGGAACGTCGGTGACTGTGTGCTGACGAATCGGGCACTGCTTGCCGAGATGATTGTCGAAAGATCATCGGAATAGCATTGCACCCCGGAGCTTGCCGCGCTCCTAGCTTACTTGCTGAACTGTACTGGATGAGCCATGGTACAATCAGATGTAAGACTGCATATAAAAGAGGTTTCGCGCTTGTGAAAGGACGGGAGAAAACTTGGATTGGTGTTTCCTGGCACGTGGTGCTACACGTGATAGACGCGCACATGTGATCTTGACAAGCTTCAAATCTTATCCGTGAATACGTGGTTTCACCGATGTTCGAGTCGAATTGACCGCCGAGAACTCGGAGCTTTTTTGTGCCGGCAAGCTGAACTGGGCCAATGAGCTATGAGGGGTTGCACTTGTTCACGTGGCGTGAGCAAGAGCCAGTTGTCACCTGATGTGACGGCTTGCGACGACCACGAAGCTTGGTAACCGTGACGCAGACATAATGACCTTGCCCCTCAGACGTCATTTTGATAATCCTTCCTTTCTCCCCATCCTCCTGCACTGAGATCTTTACATACTCAATGATGACCATCTCCTCCAACGGAAACTACAAGCTGAAACACGCTGAAGAGCGATCCATTCCGCCAAGAAACGGGAATAACCGAGCAAGCGTAGTTTCAATACCACCGGAGACGATATCGCAACATACATAGATCTCTTGCACACGCGAAACTCCAGAAGGAATATATAAGGAAAAATTCAAGCACGATGCACAGAAATCTTTGGCATGACCGCTTCTTCGCTCTTGATTACCGGCTTTGGAGTCAGCTACCCGCCGCATCTGACTGCGACGGAGGACCTCGATAAGCTTGCGCACAAGTGGTATCCTTCGTCCCCAGCGTGCGTATGTTTTCTTCTTATATGCTTGGATTAGCTAAGGAGTTATCAATCGCAGGCTCGACAAAGTTCTTGCCATCAACCGTCGCACAGGGATTAAGGCCCGTTCAATCGTCTGCCCACTTGTCGATCTTCCCTGCCCATCTTCGGTTCGCGAATCATCCGAGATATTCAATCGCGAGGGCATCCCGTTGGCCAAATCCGCCGCCCAGGCCGCGCTCGCCGAAGCAGCCTTGTCCGCGGCCGATGTCACCCACCTCGTCGCCACGACCTGCACGAGTGCCTCTCATCCTGGCTTCGACTGCGTTCTATCCCAAGAATTGAACCTCCGGCCGACGATCGAGCGGGTCTTGCTGGGCGGTGTTGGGTGCGCAGGAGGTCTGGCAGCGCTCAGGCTCGCGGCTAGTCTCTGCCAGGCGGCGGCTTGGAGAGGCGAGCCCGCGCACGTCTTGGTCGTTGCGTGTGAGATCACTACGACCATGGGCAGAGACGAGCTGAGGCGCATCGCCGCCGAACAGCAGGTGCGCATCGGGATCACGTTGTTTGGAGATGGTGCTGCTGCTCTGGTTCTCTCGCTGGATCGTCCGTCTGCGAACGGCATATACGAGCTCGTCAACTGGACGCATATGATGGTGGCTGATACGCTGGGTGACTTGCGGTTCGATCCCGAGGGTACTGGTGTGTGGCCCTCGTGTGCAAGTGACTCCTCGATTCCTAACGAGTTGCAGGTTTCACGCCGACATTGTCCCATCGCGTCCCCGCTCTCACTAGCAAATGTGTGCCCCAGATATTCAGCACTCTACTCTCATCGAGCGCCGCTGCCGCAGACGCCTCCGCGACACTTGCCACTCCACGGTCTGATTTTCGACCGCGTGAATTCGACTGGGCGGTCCATCCGGGCGGAGCAGCCATTCTCACTGCGGTTCAGGAAACGATGGGCGTTGGGAGGGAGCACTTGAAGGCGAGCTGGGAGATCTACGAACAGCACGGGAATATGAGCTCAGTCACAGTTTTGTGCGTGCTCGATGCCTTGAGACGTCATCCAGGCCGGGAGGAGGTCGTCAGTATAGCATTCGGACCAGGTGTTGCAGCGGAGGGCGCTCTTCTGCGACGTATCACCAAATCATGCTGATCCTCGCACAAGTATGTGTGATCGATTGCATCGACGAGGAGATGGATATAGACCGTATCATCTTACATGATCATGATATGTTTGAGATGATCATGATATGTTTGAGATACTCGCCCGCTATTCTACGCACGTCAAACTTTGGCTTCCAAGCTGTACTTCATCGTGTATCTCGAGCAAGTGGAGGACAAGGATCATACGCGAAACATCAAAGGCTGATATTAATTTGGACTTGGGACCCATGTAAGAACACCAACATTACAAAGATAAGCCGTCCTTCGACGATATTCCGACCGGTCTGAAACCCCCCCCCCCATGTCGACAGCCCCCAGTCGTGGTAGACCGCGAACAGAAAATAAAACGACTCGATCCGCATCTAGCTCAGCCTCGATAACGTCCAATATTACGGGATAACCGTAGACACATCCACATAGATCCACTGCGAAATACCTTTTGAAACGATAGACGAAATTAGACAGACAGTACGAGCTCCCAGTCCGACGCTGGAGGATTGTTCAGTGTGTGTAATGTCAGGCAGATCTCGCGTGAGCGGGTGAGCTGGAATGCAGAAAGCGGCAGGGATAACCGGAACGCTCTCTCTGTCGTGAACCCGCCAGCTGGGAGGACACAAAATGAGCTCCCCGCATCGGCACCTGGGCCCGGCTGATCTGTTGATCGTCATGACCGGTTTCAGTCGCCGTAAGGATGAAAGCAACATAGATCGGTTGCCAGGCATCCATCTGCACCTCGGCCAAGCAGAGCGTCTTCGAGGTGATTGTCGTGAGCAAACTGAGTCGAGGCTTAGAGCACTTCGAGCCCGAGCTGCCGTACCGGGAGTGTAAGGAACCGCAGTGACGGGAATACCTTTAGACCTATCCGCAGACACGAAACATGCTAAACCGCTCGTCCTTCAGTAACCAGGTGAGCAGCGCAGGCAGCTGGGCGAGGTGTTGGAGAATCCCCGCCGACGAATGATGCATATATGCCCGTGCATGCGCAGCATTGAGAAGATTGGTCGACTCGGGAGGTGTCAGATTCGAGGTCGTGGATCTAGGTGTGGAATCGCGTCACGAGATTGACTGTGTCGAGACAATCCAGCTCGTTCTTCACGGAGATCGGGAGAAGAGACCCGAGGGCATCATCGAATGCAGAAAGTCGCAGGTTCGACGCACGAAGTTTGGCTGTACATGCAAGGAGATCGAAGAGGTTGGAAGGATCTACTCCTTCAGAGAGGGCACGCGACTCGTAAGTTTGTGGTTCTTGCGGTCTTCCAGCGCCTCAGTAAACGCGCATGTAGGGAACGACATGACAAGCTCTCGTCGAGTTTGAGACGGATGATCCGGGGCGCGTGAAGGCAAACCTCGTCCTGATGCTCCCTTGTACCAGATGAGGTCGCCCGGATCTCATCGTCTAGCTTGTGGTAAGCGCGCGTCGCAGCCTCCAAGACTTCAAAAACATCGTTCGATAACAGACGACGGTGCAGTGTCGTGATTTTTGCAGAGAAATTAGAGAGACGAAGTTCGAAGCCGTTTGTGCTGTCGCGACGTGCGCACAATCCCTTTCAACGCACGCGCGTTTTCGCAGTTCCGCAATGAAAATGGCTCTAGGAAGGCGTGCAGTGGCTCGACGAAACGTTTCGATGGGTGGACCAGTGCTTCGGGGCTGTGGCCTTCCATGAGTCTTCCGAGTCAGGATCACGAATTCGAGTGCGTACCAAGATAAATGGTGCGCGGAAACGGATACCTCGGCCGCTTTCACTCCTGGGTTTCACTATCTGGCTTCGCCCGTCCAAGATAGATCGAGGTTCCGGCCTTGTTCTCCGCGCCCAGTAGATGATTTCGATCGGATATATATGCATGCGGATGCTATGCTCAACGAAAGACCTGTTGGGATTGCAGGCCGAAATGCGACAGAGCAGGGTCACTGGCTCGTTCCAGCGCGACAGCTCACCCGGCCGTTGATTTCGAGCGTGGTCCGTTGACGCTGAGTTAAGAAGATCCGTCGCGCGATGAGGCGTATTAAGACAAAGATCTGCTCGAGAATGTCAGTGCGTGCCAATTCGAGGCCGCTTTCGTGCTGATAAGGCTGACATGACGTGATGCTGGAGCGTGGATCAGCTCTTTTAATGTGCTATCCCAGCAGAAGGAAAGAACTTCTCTCCGCCGAGACCACCCAGTGCTCTCTCTCATCGTCTTTCCCCGTCTGTTTACAGGCCGGCTTTACGAAACTTGATGTGATAGCTGTGTCGATTGCTTGTCCTATGACTCCTACATGCACGAGACGCCTGCCATGACCAGCCGTCCCCTGGTTGTCGCTGTATGCTGAGCCGACTTCTGCTTCTTGCTGTTTTCGGGCGCACTGCAGTGGAAGCACTGGGTCAGCTGACATTCCACCAGAACAATGCTACGGCGTTCATTCCGGCCGAGTCTGCGCATGTTGGAACGCAGGTTTGAGCGAAGATAAGGACTGGTTATGGACATCCCGACCAGCGGCTCGTCCATCTGGGTCGACTTTGGAGTGTGCTGATTGCACCCGCTTCGGTGAGGAAGGACTCGGATTGCCCGACTGTTCGTGGTCTGAGAGTCCGTTACCTCCACGGGTGATGCCATCTGACACTCGCTTGCTGAGTGTAGATGGGTCGTCATTGTCTGAGTCGAACAATGTGGAATGAACCATAGGAGGTCGTCGAATGCGACAGTAGAGTCGCCGGCCTGTTGTCTGACGTTCAATGGTTCAGCGTGAAGAACTCGGTCCAGCGGAGCCTCAATGGCAGAACATGTCCATTTGGATGGAATTCGAATACATGTGTGTGTACGTTGCAATAGTTCGTCCGTAGAATGGAGGTGGGGCAATAGTCCCGTGAATGATGTGTGCTGTAAGAGGATCTAGAACTGGGACGGCCCATACATGAACGCATGGATGACGGGATAATTGCGATATGTTAGAAGCCTATGCTCACTTCATGGAAGTTATGAACACTGAAATTGCGGCTCCGGGAACTCGAAGAGTGGCGATGGGCGAAGTCTAAGGATGTGCCTGCGACGGTGACAGATTCACTTGGAGTGTTGTGAAGAGAAGGGCGGGAGAGCCTGTCCGAGGAAAGATTCCGCGAGCCCAGGCTTGAGAGTGAGAGCGAAGGTGAGGTACACGAAGTCGGCCGAGGTGCGAGAACAACGTTTAATTCTTGACACCAACCCCGGATGGCGCCTGTCGGACTTCGAAATCGCTTTCTTCTGTTTGCTGCTGCATCGACCCTCAGAATAGGCTGTGTGCCGACTGCTCGCCTCCAGGCGCATACATCCTCTTGCAATCCTCTAAAGCAACCAATCGGTATAGCCCGCTTGGGCCTGATATATCACAAATAGGAGAGATCATGGTTCGGAAGAGCACTCCTCCGATTGTGAAATCAACACCGTGTGTGCCGTCCCGCTGCTCTGAGATCCTGCACCTTTTAACATTTGCTCCGAACAGTTGACGAAATTGGTCTTCAGAGAGCGAGCGATATGAATCGATGTCGGGATCGGAAGATGCGCCAGGGCCAAAGCTCATTGCCGCAGGCCAATCCGCACTTGGAGGGCTCAGCCTGAGCACCCGATGATGCTGACAACGGAGCTACTGAGCGCATCGATAGGTGGGATCCATTTCCTCGAGGTCGCATCGTCCCAGAGGTCGCATCGTCCCGGAGTTATCATCGCCCAACGGTCTCTTCGCCCCAGAGGTTCCTTACGCTTGCAGTTGGCTGCCCAGGGATCGCTCGGACTGCGGTCCTGGTCAGCCGCCGCAAATCTGCCCCAACCCCACACACGACCAAAACAGGATGGATCACGATCCTTCGCTCTGTTGGTCTATGAAGAAACTCCTTAGCATCGTGCACGCACACAAGATTGTGGCGTTACAGCACGTACCTCTTGCCGCTGACAACACGGGAAACCATCCTCACTACCAGTCGTCCAATCGTGTCCTGAAGTAAAGGAGTCCTTGTGCCTGCATTTGCTTGTCAACGCAACCTCGCAATCAGCACACTTGCCGCTCAACCTTTCACCGTTGGTCCTCACACGACGGACATTTCATGTGCAGTCGTTGCCCATTGCAGTCCGACGGGTCAAGAAGCTTGCTTGTGCGGGGGAATGGGGAATCTGCGCAACATCCCAATTGACTGGAGATGTCATGTCAGCCCCATCCGACCGAGGAACCGATGCTCTCGGATTCAGGCCGGAAGAGTGGCGATAACAGTCGGACCAGCACGAAGCTCCCCGATGCAGCTCGCGCCATCTTGAACGAGGAGACGGTCCATTTCCGGTCAAGTTCGCAAGTCTACTGAGCAGGCCATAGTCCAAAGCAGTGTCTCCGAGACCTTGGTTGAAGAATGAAGATGACCTTCACAAGGAAGTCGTCAGCGACTGGCGACGCGTCCAACGCGAAACTCGTCCGTGCGTGCCTATGGTCCAGTCGAATGCACAGGATTCACTTCGGGAGCCAGGATGTGCTTGTAGATTCATCCCGTTTTGCGCGACCAGGGAATACTTGAGCAAACGCCTCGAAGACTGTTCAGCCTGTCGGCCAATGATCAACGGGACACTTAGAGCTTCTGGAACTATTGTGCTAGGCCCATACACGCACCCTGCTCTCCTCTCCTTTCCGTGGAAGCTTCTGTCCTCTTCCGAATTACCGTGTGGATGACGCGCATTGGATTTGGATGACTAGCAGAGATTTCTTGATCCTCTCCGCTCGTGGAATGTGGAATGTCTGGGCTATGTCTTCGAGCAGAGGTCTGCAGTCAGAGATGGCTTATTCCACTTGTGTGGATGTATGGATAGGGCATGCACATTTCAGAGAGTAGAGTGAAGTCAGAAAGTCAAGATTCTGGTGCTCGCTAACGTTATTGACGCCAAATTCCAGGTTGCTGGCTGATCAAGCTGACACGGGAAGGAGCTATCATTGCATATGGGCTCGCCGGCATTCCAGTCCTCACTCAGCTTCAGCCAGCAGCGCACTCGGTGCAAGAGCCAGGCAAGACGGTGGTAGGCACCCTCTTGCGATGACCCAGGAATCAAATCGACTTCTCGTCACGCCGAGACCCTCTCTACAGCCACGAAGCAGGACCACTGGCACTCCGCCGTGGAAACATCGTATGTGTAGTCTTATCTGAGCAATCGTGGCCTCATTTCTCGTCCTTTGTCTTTGTTCAGCGCTCAGCCCTGAATTGGAGCCTTCTAGAATGATGAATCGAGGCCTTGTCGTGCGGAGCTTGTTCAGATGACCCACGTACGTCTCCGTCGAACATCCTCGGGGGCGGCAGCCGCTCACAAGGAATAGGTTGGACCCGCAGACTCTTGGCCAAGGGCAGCAAGGATGACTGCACTGAGCTGCACTATCCCATGCGCTCAGAGGCCTCTCTTTCTCTCGTGCATGCTACCATTTTCCATGGCATCCTCGAAAACTATTTTCTTGTGCTGCCAGGCTGTCCAGGTGGTTCTGTATCGCTCAAAATAATGTTGTCCCTTCCCACGCAATCTTGACCGAGCAATGGCAAATAAGGAGCTCGCACGCGCGACTGCCCGCGAGCGTGCGTACCAGACTATCAATGTCTGGGCCCGGCCGACCCTCGTGCACCATTAGAACCTTTCGTCTACATGCCCTGGGCGGCCAATCGGTATCTGTCATTCCTGATCTTGGTCTCTCACTCGGCGAGCTCCGTTCACGAGCGTCATGGAGTCATCGACAGATCTCGAGACCTCATCAGTCGACCGGGAGCTAACTACAGTGCCCCAACTCCTTTTGTATTCCATCAAGATGGTCAAATTCTTGGATAGCGTCACATCTGGTCTGCCGATCTACCCTTGGGAATATCGTCAACCTCTTGAAGCACCATGATCTTCGGGGTCGTCGGCAAGACAGGGATGAACGTGGCAGCTTCCTTGAGCAAACATGTACAGCCTTCAAAATCATGGTTCTCTCTACGATTTCTCATTCACAACAACGTCGACCCTATTTCATCGTTCAAACCTTGATATTATCCTCCGATGCCTAGCTCCGTGCGGCTACAGCGGCTCTAGCACGGCCCCTGCACTGGATGGACAGCTACAATCAATCGACACGGCGTGTCACAAATGTCACACCGTGTTATCGCGCCAATTCGTACACATCACACTTCATAGATTGCGGCTGCCCCATTCCCCCAATCGCTACCGAGTCATCCCGTCCACATTTCCACCATCATCCAACTCTACGGATTGGTCACCTCGTCTGGTTGTCAGAACTGGCGGACTTTTCTCCTCGGACCACTACCAAACGATATCCTTAAAAGTACTGTAGCAATGTCACTTTGAACAGGACGTTCTGCTTTTTTTCAGAGGCTCTCTGTGATCAACTACAAATGTGGAGGCGTGTTTTCTGCTTACATTGATCAAGGGTAAGCAGGTGCTAGCCCATCAGGGGTCCGTTCATGGACTATTTCCACTTGTAATGATTGTCTACGAGGTGAAAATACACGGGGAGCTGTGCTTGCGAATGAAGACATCGTCTCCAAAGCTACCTACTTGTAAAACTACAACATAAAAACACAGAGTCTCTAAATGTGCCTACATGCACCTTCATGCTCGAGAAAAGCGGTGCTTTGTCCACAATTATAAAGATCCAAGCATCGAGAGCCTATATTTGCAGGAGATAACGAAGCCGGATAGATTTCACCCAGCTTGAAGGCGCGCTGCGCGACGAAATGGCCACATATGACAGAAGACACCGCCGCAGAGAGAACACCGTGCAACTATATATCATTCAATCGCATCCACGACCCATCGATCGAGCTGGTCATACGATACAGTGTGTAAAAAGGCAGCCGACGTGTGACGCGCGGTTTCCATGATTGAGCAGTCCCGACCCCTTGGTGCCTTCTCCACAATCCAGTAGCGATAAGACGATACAGGGAAACTTGATGAGAGCGAAAGTTCCTGTTGTCTGATCAAGATACAGATGGAAATGCAAAACGAAGCTGATCATCAGGGCGTCGGTCCTGGGCGAAAAATGAGCTGCGCAGACGTAGCTGCATGGCCGTGCACCCGACAATCCGCAAAGTGAAGGTCGTCACGCCGTTGATCGCTGCATTATCGGCCTGGCTGTGGTGAGATTCAGGTGCGTTGAGCGCAAGCTGAAGTTTGATGGACGCGCTCCGCTCTCTGCCATGCCCAAGCACAGAGACGACAGTAAAGACTGGCATGTCACAACACGAGTTGCAGCAAGGACTGGAACCGGCAGATGGACCTTTTGATAGCCCCTTTCCGTAGAACGACGCCCCCGGGATGGAAGAGTTGACGGTGTGCTTGTGGCCGCGTCCCGGTGAACGGCCTATATCTCGCAGGACACGGGCAGGGGGATATTGGGCCGTCTGATGTATCTCCTCCCCAGCTGGCTTCATCGGGATCTAAGACGGGCTTATGAACATCGACATGAGCACGTAGTCCGCTAGGATCTCACCAGACCACTGCCTGTGTCTCATCTTCATCTCGCACTGGGCTTCTGGGCTGGGTCGGAGAGTCGGCTGATCTGAGCAAGATTGACGAGCCCTGTTGCAAGTCGGCCAATCTTCCAGCGCGAGGGACTCGGCCCGACAAAGACTACGGCGTAGAATGCGGCTGCTGAGATGATATCTGACTATATGCGTGTGCGTCGCAATAGGCCATTCATGGTACTGTTACAGGATGTAGAACCTGGGCGAATGAAGGATGAGTGTATGCAGGGCAAGAGAGACGGGAGAGATTGAAAGCCGAGGCTCACCTCCTAGGTAGTACCGTATCATCTTCACTGAATCTCAGTCCCGGGAGTTCAGCGAGTGGCGAACCGCGGAGTCTCGAGATGAGGCCCCACTGGCAATGATCACCTTGATGCATGGGGAGTCAAAGCCCATTACAACGGGAGAGACCATCTGAACAAGAGTCCTGGGAGAAAGTCCTGACAGCGAGAGCGAATGGTGGGATACTAATGTTTACATCTTTCGCACCCGTCCCGGGTAAGGCCTGTCGGACTTCGAAATCAGTTCCTTCTGTTTGCTGCTGCATCAACCCGAGAACAGACTGTATGCGTCTCCTCGCCTCCAGGTGCTTGTGTCCTCTTGGAATTCTCCCAAAAAAACCAAACGACAGAGCTCGCTTGCAACGTGGAGTATTTCCAATAAGAGGATATGGACCTAGATGAGGCGCTCTCTGGTTTTGAAAATCCACTATAGGCCCTCCTGTAGGCACGCTTCCATCCTTTATAGTAGTTTCAGCTGAGTTTCTTTCAAGCGTCCAGAGCCACCTACTATAGACGCTGCTTCGATAACTGAGGTCCTCAAATACTTGCTCCCAGCAATTGTCGAAACTGGCCTACAGGACGACATGGATCATTCGGGTCGACGCCGGAATCTGAAGAGGTCCCGAGCACAAACCTCGCTGCTTGCCAATCAGCACTCGGCTTCGACCCAGCCTTAGTGCATGACGATGCCGACGCATGGGATGCAGAACGCATTGTTGGGCCAGATACATTGTCCTCGAGGTCTCATCGCCACAGGGGCTTCTAGCGCTGGCAGTGGGCCCACCGAGGATCGCTCGGACTGCGATCCTGCCCTCGTCTCAGCAAATTTATCGGAATGATCTGGTTTACGATCGTGCGCTGTGCTCGCCTACAAGGCAGACAACTGCTGAGTATCGTACATGCATAGAAGATCGTGGCGGCACGGAACGCACCTTTTGTCTTCGATGGGCCCGGAATAGCGCACCCTTCCAGTTGTCCAGTTTCGTCGCCATAGTGGATTCTTGCACTCGCAATCGGCCCAGCAAGGATCGATCGGACTGTGATCCTGGTCCCACTCACCACAAATGAAGCGGAGTGGGATGGTTCGCGGTCGTGCGCTGTGCTAGCCTACGATACAGGCAAATGCTGAGTGCACTGCATGGAAAGAAGACGGCGGCAGCGCGGAGCACACCCTTTGTCCCCGACGGTCCTGGGGTAACTCGCGCTTCCAGTCGTCGAGTCGCATTCCTCCAATAACAAAGCGGTTTTCCTCCCTCCACCAGTACACACGACCTCTCAATCCGCATACTGATCAATCTCTCGCTCTTCGCCTCCTACGACGGGCTTGCCGCGTGTGATCGTCGTTCGTTGCAGTCTGTCGGCTCCAAGGGCTTGCACATACGGAAACCGGGGATCGCGCCTAGTTTCCAAACGAGCAGAGATCCTGTGTAATGCCCATTTGATGCGCCGTCCAATGCGCTCCGGATTGAGGCCGGAAGAGTGGCGATAACAGTCCGACAAGTACCAATATCCCAGATGCAGCTCGCGCCATCTTCCACGAATAGAGAGACCATTCCGGTCGTTCTGCATGTCCGCTGAGCGGGACATCGCCCAAAGAAACGTCCCCAAGAACCTGGTCCAGCAAATCAAGGTGGTTGTGCGGGGGCCCGTTTGGAGCTGGCGATGCGTTCGCAATCAGGGCGGCCTCACAGAGACTTGACGTGTGGCTGTCGACGCAGTGTCCGCGAAGCTCGACCTTGTATACCGATGGGCTAGCGGTCGAATGTGCAACAGCTGTTTCTGTTACCCAAATGTGTCTATGCTGAGAGCAGGTCCCGCGCTCCTAACGTTCTTCGCGACTCGGGAATCCTCGAGCGAAACATCCCGAAGTCTATCCAGCCTGTCCACCAGAAATCAGCGGCACACTGGGGCCTTCTGTAGACCCATGCACGTACCCCACTAGCCTCTATCCGCGGAAGTGGAACCTTCTCCCCTCTTCCGAATTACTGAGTATGACGCGTATTGGACTGGAATGGCCAGCGGAATTTCCTCGTCCTCCTCGCTCCTACAATCATTGAGCCGTGTTCCGGAGGCTGCTGGTTGGACTCAAGAGGTAGCGTATTTCACTTTTGTGGATGCATGAACACGGTGAACACATTTCCAAGAGTAGAGTGAAGGCGGCAAGTCAAGATCTAGGTGCTCCCTAACGTTATTGACGCCAAATTCCAGGTTACTGGCCGATCACGCTGGCAAGGGAGGGATCTATCATTTTGCATGGGCCCGTCGGCATTGCAGTCCCCACTCCAGTCAAGCTAGCCGCCCACCAGATACAACAGCCAAAGGCGACTGGCAGGCACTCCCTCCCGTGATGACTCAGAAACCTGATGGCCTTCTCATCGCACGGAGAACCTCTCTAGAGCCACGGAGTAGGACCGCTGGCACTCTGTCACCGAAATATCGTCTGTGTACTCTTATCTGAGCAATCGTGGCCTCATTTCTCGTCCTCCGTCTGTGTGTAACCCTCAATTGAAGCCTTCTGGAATGATGAATCGAGGCCTGGTCGCGTGAAGCTTCCTCAGATGTTTAATGTGAGTCTCCGTTCCACATCTCTGGTGCGGGAGTCACTCAAGAGGAACAGTCTGGACACGCAGGCTCTTGACCAGACTCGGCGAGCAATGCTATCCCGAGCCCCCCCCCTTTCCTATTTGCCTACAGCCCCCACCTCGCGGGGTGTCATCATTCCTGGCATCCTCTCACATTGATTTCACGAGCCGCGGGCTGTCCAGGAGGCTCAGCATCGCCCAGAATAGTGCTGTTCATCCGCGTCCGATCTTCACTGAGCGGTGGCAAATAATGAGTTCGCACGCGAAAGGGCCCCCGGGAGGTCTCGCTCGTCCGACGTCAATCAGCCATGCCCCTCCTGCAATGTGCACCCATTAGACACTGGATCCCAAGTCCCTATGCCCTAGGCCCATCGGTTCCTTCTACCCCTGATCTCGGTCCCTAGTGCAGTGGGTCCGTTCATGAGCATGAGCTTCCCACTCGTCGACTTATCTCGAGACTACATCAGCAATGCCAGGAGCCAGCCGCATTGCGTTCACTACCCTTGGCACCCGTCAAGCTGCTCAATTTGTGAGATAGTGTCCTAGCTGGCCTACCAATTTGTCGCCCCGGATTTTTCAGGTTCTTGAAGCACAATGATGGTGGCGGCCTGCGATACGGCCGAGAGTGCGCCAGCTTCCTTGAGCACACAGCCTACGAAATTATCGTTCCCCGTATGTTTTCTCATTACCACATGTTCACCCCAAGTTCATCGGTTTAACTTTGATATCATACTTCGATACGTTTACCAGTGTGGTTTACACAGCAATTCTAGCTCGGTCACTGTAGTGGGTAGAATACTATAATCAGATGACGTAACCCATCTGTCACGCAAGTCACAACCACTGTCGTTGCGATGCCGATCAGGACACATAGCGCTGCAGACATTGCGGCTGCTTCACCTGCGGCTGCCTCGTTCCTTCGATTCCGGCGCTCTGGCCGATAACCCGAATTTACTGATCGACTTTACGGATCTCCCCCGGACCTCTCTCACATGACATCCTTGAAATCGATCCAGAAATCTCATTATTGAAGAGAGACTACGTAATCTCTCCTTTCCATATAAGGCAGGCTCAAGATACGGTAACTCCTATGCCTTGGCCCCCCGTCTTCACAATGCTGCAGCTTGAGACCGTTCCAGCAGTACTCGAGTAGATCGAAAGAGCACTTTTTGTCGAATGAACATACTATACATACTATGACAGTGCGAAACGAAGTCGAAAGGTAGATAACTGTCTGCCATAGACAAGTAGAGAGAAGCTTGGGAGAGGCTGGCATAGCACGACGCGCACTAGAGCGATAACCGGTGGGTGGACCTGACAATGCCCCGTTCTCTGGGGCAGCAGGATCGTGTTTGGTGCTGGGCCGTTACAAACAACGGGGAACATCGCCCTCAGGTGTTGTCGCGAATCGGCCGAATGATGTTACCGCCATGCAAGACTTGTCAATGTGGTTATGACGGCGTCCAGAGATGACAGCTTGTTCCGATGACGGTGTGTATTTCTTAGGACGCAGGAGCGGCGAACCCAGGCGGTTTGGTGAATCTTCTGCCGCGCTGCATTCATCGGAGTCTACACGGTGCTCGTGATCATGAATATCGAGGTTAACGCGCGGTCCGTCAGAATCCTACTGGAGCATTGTCTATGTCTCTCGTCTTCATCTCGAACAAGTTTCATGGGCTTATCGACTGGAGAGTGGATTGATCTGAGCGCGATGAGTGAGCGCCGCGGCATTGTACATCTGTCTTTCCTTCTTGTTCAGCGCGCGACACGAGCGAGGAACGTGCTGATCTCGAACTCTCCACTTTCGAAGGCGATAACCTGCATCCGAGCGCCAGCCAGGATCGAAAGCAGTTTCAATGCACTTCCCAAGGCCGGCGGGACAGTCCACTCCTGTTGGTGATATCTCAGTCGTTTATGTTGTGTGGCAGGACATCGCTGGGGAGGCCGTGCTGGTGCATGTCGGGCGATTGTACGGTGCGAAGGACTTGGTCCTGCAATGACCGGCGTAGAACATGACCATTTGGATGGTTTTCGAATACGTGTGTGTACGTCGTAAAAAAGGTGTTCATAGTACTGTAGCAACGACCAGAACCTAGGTGACCGAGGGATGAATGCATGGACAGCAGGAGCGACACGAGACGTTGGAAGCTGAAGCTCACCTCCCGCCGAATTGCGCCCTATGAGGAGCACCTGCGAAGTGGAAGTCTGCCACAACGAGAGAGCCTGTCAAACGAGGAGTCCTGGGAGCCAAAGTTTGGGAGCGACCGCGAATGGTGGTGCACTAGAGGAATACCGTTTACACCTGTGCACGAACCCCGGTCGGACTTCTAAATCAATTTCCTCTGTTTGCTACTGCATCAACACTAGAATGATTTGGACACCGTCGCCCGGCCTTAGGCGTCGTACCTTCACGCAATTTGTCAAGAGACCAGTCGACACACCTCGCTTGCGGCATGGCATGATATATCGAAAATCGGAGGATCAAGATGTGGATGGGGCGTCCTCCGACCTTAAAAACATATTAAGCTCTGAGGTAGGCTCGCTTCCTTTCTCTGTTGTAGTATGAGCTGAGTCTCTTTCAAGTCTTCAAAGCCACCTACTATAGACGCTGCTCTGGGATCTGTTAATTTCGAATTATTGCTCCGAGCAATTCACGACAATGGCTCGCAAGAACGACATGGAACGACATGGATCGTTGGGAGCAACGCCTGGATCTGGAGAAGTCCAGGGCACAGTGCCCCCTCTGCTGGTCAATCAGCGCTCAGATTCGACTCGACCTTAGTGCAAGATGATGCTGACGCATGGGCTGCAGAGCGCATTGTTGGGCCAGATACACTGTCCTCGAGATTTCATTGCCACATGGCTTCCTCTCGTCGGCATTCGGCCCAGCGAGGATCGCTCGGACTGCGATCCTGCTCTCATCTCAACAAATGTATCGGAATGATCAGGCCCCCGATCGGGCGCTGTGCTGGCCGACAAGACAGACAACTGCTGAGCATCGTACATGCATAGACGATTGCGACGGCACGGAACGCACCTTTTGACCTCGATGACCCCGAAATAACGCGCCCTTCCTGTTGTCCAGTCTCGTCGCCATAGTGGATCCTTGCGCTCGCCATCGGCCCAGCAAGGATCGATCGGACTGCGATCCTGGTCCCAGTCACCACAAATGAAGCGGAGTGGAATGGATCACGATTATGTGCTGTGCTGGCCTACAGGACGAGCAAATGCTGAGTATCGTGCATGCGTAGAAGATTCTGGCGGCGCAGAACACACCCTTTGTCCTTGACGGTCCCGGGATAACCGGCGCTTCCAGTCGTCGAGTTGCAGTCCTCCAATAACGAAGAACGTTTTCCTCCCTCCGCCAGTACACACGACCTCTCAATCTCTCGCTTTTTGGCTCCTGCGACGGGCATGCCGCATAGAATCATTGTTCGTGACGGTCTGGCGGCTGCAAGGGCTTGGGCATATGGAAGCCTGGGGATTGCGTGTGAGCCCCGAGCGACCAGAGATACTGTGTAATGCCCATCTGAGGTGCAGTCCAACGTGCTCTGGATTCAAGCTGGGAGATGGCGATAACAGTCGGAGTCGGACAAGGACGAAGATCCCAGATGGAGTTCAAGCCATCGTCAACGAAGAGAGGGACCATTCCGGTCATCCTCCATGTCCGCCGAGCGGGGCATCGGCCAAAGGAACCTGTCCAGGGCCCTGTCCAGCAAATCCAGGCGGCCGCGCGGGGGAGTCGTTTGCAGCTAACGACTCGTCCGCCATGGGACTCATCCTCACATGCCGAGGCTCCAGTCACATGCGCAAAAGCCGCTTCCCGAGCCCGGATGTCCTGCGAGGAGTGTCCTGACGAGTCGACGATGTGCGATGGGAAGAATAGATCCTGCGTTTCTAACATTTTCTGTGACTCAGGAATGCCTGAGGGTCGCATCCCGAAGTCTGTCCAGCCTGTCCGCCAACGATCACCGGCACGTTTGGAGCTTCTGTGGACCCATACACGTACCCCGCTAGCCCCCCCTCCCCGCGGAAGCATCTCGTCTCTTCCGAATTACCGAGCACAGCTCGTATTGGCTGGAATGGCCGACAAAATTCTCTTGGTCCTTTTCGCTTCTACCAGGACCTAGCTGTGTTCTGGAGGACACTGGCTGGATTTTGGAAGTAGCGCCTGTGATTTTCGTTAATGCTTGAACAGGGCGAAAACATTTCCGAGAGTCGAGTGAAGGCGGCAAGTCAAGATCTCAGTGCTCGCTAACGTTATTGACGCCAAATTCCAGGTTGCTGGCCGATCATGCTGACGCGGGAGGGATCTATCATTTTACATCGGCTTGTCGCTATTCCACCTTCGACGCAAGGCAAACCAGTAGCGCCCTCTGTGCAACAGACTGGCATGACCGTGGCAGGCGCTTTCTCGCGATGTCTCACAAACATGATGGGTTGCTCATCGCGCGGAGAACCTCTCTACGGCCACGAAGTGGGACCACTGACACTCCGGGGTGGAGATATTCGTATGTGTGCTCTTATCTGACCCATCGTGGCCTCATTCCCCCTCCTTTGTCTATGTTCAGACCTCGATTAGAACCTTCTGGAATGATGAATCGGGGTCCTGTTGTGTGGAGTTTATTCAGATGATCTACGTAAGTCTCCTCTCTACATCTCTCGTGTGCAGCCGCTCACAAGGAATAGCTTGGAAACACATGTTCTTTGCCAGCCCGGGCGCTAACGACTTTCTCAGGATGCGCTTCCATGTCTATTGGGACATCTCCATCTCTGGAGTGGGTCGTCATTTCCCTTCGCATCCATGTCGGTTTCTCGCGCTGCGGGCTGTCCAGGAGATTCCATGTCACTCAGAATAGTGATGTTCTTTCACGCCCGATCTTCACCGTGGACTGCTAAATAAGGAGCTCGCACACGCAATGGCCCGCGACGGTCTGTTCAATGGATGGGTCCGGCTGACCCAGCGGTGCCCCCATGCATCGTATGCGCACCCATCAGACATTCTCATCTAGATGCCCGGGGCGGCCAATCGGTTTCTGCGTTCCAGATCTTGCTCTCTGACTTGCGGGCTCCATTCACGAGCGTCAGAGTGGTCGAAGAATCCGTAGACCTCATCAGTCAAACCTGGAGCCGACTGCAGTGCGTCGGCTCCTCTTGCCTCCCCTCAAAATGCTCACTGCGAGATAGTGTTGCATATGGAAAGGAGATTATCCGCTGGGAAACTTCTCGACCTTTCCAAGCCCAATGTTTGTGAGGGTCGGCAGGAGGCGTATGATTGTCGCAGTTTCCTTGGGCAAACAGCCTCCAAAATCATCGTTCTCTCTGTGATTCCCACAACGTCGCCTGAGACTTATCGTTTCGATTTTTATATCGTACTTCGATCCTCATGAATGTATAGTTACCATGGCTCTGGTTTGGTCGCTGTAGTGGGTGAATTGTCATATTCAATTCCACACATCTCACACGGTGTCGTCGCGCCACTTAGTGTACTTCACACTCTATAAAATACGGGTTCCGCATCCATGATACCGATTCATCCGGCATCGTCAACAATCATTCGACATGACGGATTGGCCTCTTCGTTGTAAGAGCATGCTACTTGTCAGCTGCGCACCACTTTCACATAATATCCTCAGATATCGTGCATAAACAATAAGCAATGGTTTTGAAGAGACCGTTATCTGGTTCACACCGGGATCACAGTGGGTCAATTGCTATCTTGGGGTTTGTGTGTCGTGTGCTTTCGCGAAACCGCCGAAACGCGAAGGCGGTTCTCCCTCATATGGATCAAGAGTAAATAGGTACAAAGCCATCAGAGATCAATCCGGCTCTATTTGGAAATTCGTCCAGGGCTGTGCACTCGTTTGCGAATGTGGGCTTCTCGTACTTACCTGCTCGCGGATGATTGGGTTTTTAGGGAAAACAGTCAAAACTTTAGCCGATTGACAAAAGAGGTTTGTTACAGGTCGCGTGACTCGGTCGTAGATCATCCCTATAGACAAGGTCGCATTTGTTGTATAGAATTACACTTGGTTAGACGTTGAGATCCATAGAATGGATGAGATCAAGAGACCTCTGAAGAACTTGCTAGGTGAATAATCGGTAGTACGGGAAAATCGGCGTACTCGCTGGAAGAATAATTCAAAAGTTTGGATCTCTCCACAATCTAGTACCGAAAAGACATTCTAGCAGATCTTGGCAAGATCAAGAATATCCCTCTTGTTTGATGAAGACACAGACGGAAGTGCGAAAGGAAGCTGATCATCAGGGGTAGCTCTGGGCAGTAACGAATGAGCTGCGCAGTGCGCACACATACCTGCATAGCCACGGGCGCGTCGATCTGCAGAGTCAAGGCCGTCACGTTGATGATTGTCCGCGTTGCCAGCCCGGCTTCGATGAGATCCCGCACGTCGAGCTCAAGGGAGGGGGCTTGGTAGACGTGCTCCGCGCTCTGTCACGGACAAGTGGTGAGAAGCTCAGCGAAGACCAGCATGACACGACAGGAGCTACAGCAAGGACCGGCGACTGGCGAGTGGACCTTCCAAGAGCCTACTCTCGATGCCACCGGGATCGTACAGTATATGATAGTGAACGCAGACGAGAAAGAGGAATGCCGCCCTCAGGGTGTTGCCGCGAATCGGTGGAATGCCACTCCCAGGATGGAAGACTTGACCGTGCGCTCGTGACAGCGTCCAGAAAAGATGTCTCACTCGGGGTGGAGGCGGATACTTCGCGAGACACAGGAGCGGGGATCTTGGGCGTTCTGGTGGATCTTTTGCCTGCCTGCTTTCATCGGAGTCTATACCATGCTCACGAAATCGACGTGAGCGCCCAGTCCGTCGGAATCTCACCAGAATACTGCCTCCGTGCCTCATCTACATCTCGAACGGATCTTCTGGAATTGGTCGGGGGTAGGCTGATCTGAACGAGATTGGTGGGCCCTTGTGGATGTCGGTCAATCGTCCGGCGCGAGGGACTCGGCCCTGGAAAAACTCCGACATATAACATGACTGCTGAGATGATACCCGGAACATGTGTGTACGTTGCAACCGGTCATTCGTGGTGCTGATGCAGGATGCAGAACCTGGGCGACCGACGGATGAGTGTATGCACGGCAAGAGAGATGCGAGATTGAAAGCAGAGGCTCACTTTCTGTGTTATCCGTACTGAATCACAGCCCCGGGAATCCAGCGAGGGGCGAGGAGCGAGGGAAACTGGCGAGATGAGTCCGCGACGGCAACAGATTCATTTCGGCCGCCTGTGAAGAAAACGCCCATCACAACGAGAGAGCCTGTCCAACGAAGAGTCTGCGAGCCACGGACGGCTTGGAAGCAAGAGCGGATGGTAGGGTACCAAGCGGACAACGTTTACACCTTTGCACCAACCCCGGTCGGACTTCGAAATCAATTTCTGTTTGCTACTGCATCGACACCAGAATGATTTGCATACCGCGCTCAGCCTCAGGCGTCGCACCCTCATGCAATTCTCTCAAGCGACCAGTTGGCATAGCTTGCTTGCAGCCTGAAGTGTCGAAAATCAGAGGATCGGGATCCGGATGGGCGTCCTCCGACTTTGAAAAACCACCGCAGGCTCTGAGGTAGGCTTCCATCCTCTGTTTTAGTATGAGCTGAATCTCTTCCGAGTCTTCAGAACCGCCTACTATAGGCGCTGCTCCGGGGTCCGATGTTTTTCAATCATTGCTTCAGGCAATTGACGACAATGGCCCCAACAACGAGATGGATCGTCGGGATCAAGGCCTGGATCAAAAGAGGTGCCGGACACTACGTCCCCTGCTACTTGCCAATCAGCACTCGGTCGGTTTTCGCTCAGCCTGATTGCACTTTGAGGTTGACACCTAGCCTGCAGAGCGCATTCTTCGACCAGATACATTATCTTCGACGTTTCATCGCCACAGGGGTTCCTTGCGCTTGCCTTTGGCCTAGTAAGGATCGCTCGGGCAGCGATCCTGGTTTCACTCCTACAAGACCTTGGAATGGGACGAATCACGATCATACGCTGTGGTGATCTACGAGAGAAAACGACTGAGCGTCGTGCATCCATAGAAGATTGTGGCAACATGGAACGCACCTTTTGTCCCCCCCCATGGCACCGGAATGCGCCCTTCCAGGCGTCCGGTTGTGTCCTCCGATAACGAAGAACGATCCCTGCATTCACCAGTTAACGCAGCCTCTCAAATAGCACACCGCTCAACTCCACGCATTTCACCCCTGCAATGAGCATCCTATATGTGATCGTTGTCCGTGGCGCTAGCGGCTCCCAGTGCTTGCGCATGCGGCGGACCGGGGACCACGCGTCGGTTCCAATCGACCACAAATCCTGCGTAATGCGCATTTGACGCACAAATCAACGCGGTCCGGATCCAAGCCGGAAGAGTGGCGATAACAGTCGGAGAAGTATAAAGATCCCCGAAGCAGCTTTGTTCTATCGTAGACGGGCAGGGGAATCATCTCGACCATTCCGGGTATCTCTTGAACAGGGCATGGCGCAAAGGAACGTCCTCGAGACCATCGCCCAGGAAATCAAGGCGGTCGCGAGGGGGCTCTTTGCGGCTGGCGAGGCGTTGGCAATGACAGTCGTCCTTGCATATCGATGGGCCGCTCGAGTGCGCCAAAGCCGCTTCTGAGTCCTGGACGTGCTTGTATATGAGAAGAACATACCATTCTCCGCGACCCGGAAATTCTTGAGCAGAAGATTCGGAAGTCTGTCCGGTCTGTCCACCAATGATCACAGGTACATTCGGAGATTCTTGGCACCCATGCATGAACCCCACCGGCCGCCCCTCTCCCCCAAAGCTTCTTCCCTCGTCCGAATTGCTGAACGTGGCGCGCGTTGGGCTCGAAGGGTCAGCCATTCTTCCTCTCCGCTTCTGAAACGACTAACAGGTGCTTTGCAGGCCGCCGGTTGAACTCAGGAGGTCGGGTATCTCACTTTTGTGAATGCATGACCAGGGCGAATACATTTCTGAGAGTCGAGTGGAGGCGGTAAGTCAAGATCTCTGTGCTCGCTAATGTTATTGACGCCGAATTCCAGGTTGCTGGCCAATCATGCTGACACAGGAGGGATCTATCATTTTACATGAGCCCGCCGGCATTTCAGCATCAGCTCGAGTCAAGCCGGCAGCGCCCTCTGTGCAACAGCCAAGCATGACCGTGGCAGGCACTCTCTCGCGATGATTCGGAGACCTGATGGACTGCTCATCGCGCGGAGAACCTCTCTTTGGCCACGAAGTGGGACCACTGGCACTCCACCATCGCAATATCCGTGTGTGTACTCTTATCTGAGCAATCGTCTCCTCATTCTCCTTCCTTTGTCCATGTCCAGCCCTCAATCGAAATCTTCGGCAACGATGAATCGGGTCTTGTCGCGTGGGGCTTATTCTGATGACCTATGTGAGTCTCCACACTTCTCATGTGTCAGCCGCTCACGAGGAACTTGGACACGCAAGCTCATTGCCTGTCCCAGCGCTCATGACTTCTCAGGTTGCGTTTTCCCATGTACTTACTGCTGGGAAGCCTTCCCTTCTGTGCGGGCCGCGATTAATACCCTTGGCACTCTCGTTGTTTTCTTATGCCATTGGCTGTCAGATTCTACATTGCTCAAAATAGTACGGTTCCTTCGTGCCCGATCTTCACCGAGCGACGGCAAATAAGGAGCTTGCACGCGCAAAGGCCCGCCAAAGTCCATTCCAGTTAATCAATGCCTGAGTCCAGGTAAACCATTCGAACCCTCATGCATCGTGCACTCAGTCGATACTTTTGTCTACACGCCTCGGCGGCCTTTTGGTTTCTGCCGTTCTCCATCTTGCTTTCTGGCGCGTCAGCATTTTCTACCAGCATCCGAATTGTGGAGTGATCTCGAATCTGCCCTCGTGAAAACGAGAGCGCATTGCAGTGCGTCAACGACTGCCCCCAACCAACCTTTCAAGTTTTTCGAATTGCGAGATGGTGCCACATTCGGCCTGCCGATCCCTCGCTGGGATGTCTTCGACCTTTTCTAGCATAATGATCATGGGGGCCAACAAGACGTATACGAGTGTGGCACCTTCCTTGCGCAATTCGCTGTTCTCTGTGTGTTATTTATCTTCCGCAACCCCGTCCCAAATTCATCGTTCCACTCGATATCATAATTTTTCTTCATAAACGTGCCGTTAAAATGGCTCCAGCCTGGTCACCCCAGTGGGTGAATTGTTATTACAAGTGAATTCCGCGCAAGAGCGCTGGATGCTCGCTTCAAAGCCTACATAGTCACATTTTCACACTAAACTCAAATTTATTAGGGATATCTACGTGCAAAAACAATTTTACGGTACTCCTGATTCGTACTGATCACAATATCCCACGTGACCGATTGGTGCCAACGCGGCAGCTTGGAGTTCCAGCCAGGACCAGCGGCAGACAGAGTGCTGAGCGCAAAACCTCTCAAAGTCTAGGATTGTATGTATACGACGCCCGGAATCTTACCATGCAACTCCCAGAGAAAACAGACTAGAATTCGCTGAGCACAGGCTAGTGCTCGGTGCACAGTCTGACTGGGCTCAATTCTTTAATTTTTTTGGATGAGACTTGAGGTTCTTTAGGATGCATAGTATTGAAACTTGTTTGCAAAGTCTCAGAGAGAAATATGGAAAACTGAATGAGTTTGAGAGCGTTCAGCTCGTCCCATCAGCTACGTGCGAGGAATTTGTACTTGTTCAGTGCTGAGCGGATGCCCTAAAGCCGATGATTGCTCGCTTCGCTCGCAATAATGAATTAGCAAGGCCAGTCACACATGTCACACCTTATGTCACTTGACAGATTGTGGTTGCCTTATCGCCTAATTATTTACTGGTTCATTCGGCATTACTGCCAAGCATTCAAGTGTATGATTTTTTCTATCAGCCTGGGTGCGAAAGCTTTTGGACTGGCCAAATCCGATCATTTCCTCCAAAAGTGATCCAGAATCGGCACTCTCGATTAAACCAATGACTGGTTTGTACTGAGCTTATCTCCGCTTTCCCTGGCAGAATGATATCATTTTTTTAAAAAAAAACAGAAGTAATCGTAGTACCAGACGATGTACATCTTATTGCGCGCTTTGGGTGGAATCCAATCCAGTCCTTCGAGTTGTGCTTTGTGCTGAACTTGTCCTTACTAGTTTTTGAAATTCCGCCCCACGATTTTTCACGTGATGCCCGGTGGGCGGTGATCTACTGATGGGCCTTGGCTTAAATGTATTTTAATCGTTTATTACTGTAAACACGACCAACAAGACAATGAGCGGGGACCATGCAACCGCGATTTGGTACTCTTGCTCCTCACCTCCCTGCTCCCAATGCCGACGGGCCTCTCCACGCGCCATTTACTGCCGCCTTCGCTGCCTATTCCCGATGTCAAACTTCGTGTTCCGTGGCCTTCCTGCCACCCCGCGGATAAGCTCTGCAACCGGATCTGCCTCAACTGAAGGCTAAACAAGGATCGTATGCGTTCGATATTGCGTCGGGTGAGTTCACACTCTCGTGGAACTCTGAAGCTGAGCTACGGGAGTGGATAATAAAGGAGCAGAGGGATAAGTCTATGATGTGCCTGTCGACAACGATCTTGCCACTGACAACGATCAGCCTGCCCGACCTGTCCTTTTGCCACCCGCCCAGCCAATTCCCCAGGTCTCAAACACTGCTCCAGCACCCGTACCTTATCAGCACTCTCCCGAGTCGGTGGCGGCTTTGTTAGATGTGATTGCATGCTGTAATGCAGTTTATGGACCACCTTAGGGCACTTCTTATTATCAGGGTACCGGCTCCTTGCCGTCTGCGGCCAGTTCTTACTATAAATCCCAATAAAACTCAATTTTCCTCTCGATATGGAATATGGAATATATAATGTACAAGATCAAAGAATTTGCGGTGTTCGCGGTGTTGGCATCACATCCGGTCGGAGCTTTCCTAAAACGGTCCATCCAAAAAAGGAAACCGTGGGGCGGAATTTTGCCAACTGTCCTTACTTGGTATGACACGTGATCGTCCACAACAGGCATTGGGGCCACGCGCAAGTCACGAGACCCATAACCCACTTTTCTAGACCTACTTAAGACCATCCCCATTTGCTACAATGGTCACGTGAAATGACATATCGGGTCAATTCAGAGTGACAAAGGAATAAGCCTCAGAATTGATGAATGGCCCATATATTGAGTGTGTAGGTTACTGAGCGATAGCAGGAGAAAGCACCATACATACCGGTAGAGCGGCTCAATCGCTTTGTATGTTCACGATGCAGCAACATGAGACATCCCATTGGAACTCGATTGTTGAAGAAGTCTCTCTCGTAGAAAGACGACACAGAAGTCGGTGAAAAGGAAGCTGAGGATCAGGCAGTCGGTGCCATATTGTGAGTTCGATACGAACACTTGTGTACATAGCAAAGTCCGCGAAGTCCCTGAGAGTCAATGCCGTCACGGTTGTTGATTGCTGCATTTCCACAATAAACCGAGCTCCGGACGTGTTGAGCGTAATCCCAAGACGTTGGTAGAAGCACTTGGGATGCTGAAGCGAAGACCGACGACGACGCTACCAACGGTTCGCTCGGGCCATAGTTCATACTTAACGGAAGACAGGAGTGGGGATCTACGCGGTCTGGCACATCCTCGTGCCACGTTGCATTCATCGGAGTCTACACCGTTCGCATGAGCATTGTCATGAGCACGTAGTCGATTGGCGTCTCACCAGTATGCCGCCTTTGTCTCATCTCTATCTCGAACGGATTTTCTGAGCGCAGTCGACTCGAGAGTGACGGAATAGCGAGCACATCCCTCATGGTCTTCTGTCCCACTTGTTCAGCTCGTGACGGGAGTCATGAGTGTGCTGATCTTCGGCCCTCTACTGTCGCGGTGACAACCTTCATCTGACCTCATTTCAAGACCACCAGTAGTACGACAGTTCCTGTCTCTATCATCTCAATTGCTGATGACGTTTGACATTCGCTTCTCGGCTGTTCACTCGTCAGTCTTGACCCGGTCGGATGATAGACAATGAACGGTACACAGCCGTCACATACTTCAATGGACGCGCCTTCACTGTGTTTATGCCTGATCAGCGCGAGGCACTTGGTACAAGAGAGATTGCAGCGCAGAAATCATCGAGATTTGCATGATATCGGAATTCATGAGTTCACGTCGTGATAGGACGTTCGCGCAATGGAAGCAGGGCCCTGGTCCTGCGAATGGTCTGCACTGTCGCAGGATGTAGAGCCTGAGTGACGAGTGTGAATGTATGCACGGGAAGAGATATACGAGAGATGAGAAGGTGACGCTCACACCTGGACTTTATCCGCACTAAAATCGCTGCTCCAGGAACTCAGCGAGGGGTGAAAGGCGATGTATCGAGGTGGACTGTTCGACTGGGCCTTTTGAAGAGATGATCTGCCGCCACGAGAGAGGTTGTCGAAGGGCAAGTCCTGCGAGCCAAGACCTGAGAGCGAGAGCAAAGGCAGAGTACGCGAAGTCGGCTGAGTTACGGAGAACAAGGTTTACACCTTGCACTTTGCACAAACCCCGGATAAAGCCTGTCGGAGTCGGACTTCGAAATCGGTGCCTTCTGTTTGCTGCTGCGTCCAACCCTGGAATGGACTGTATGTTGTCTCTCAGCCTCCAGGTACTTGCGCCCTCTCACAATCCTTTCAAGAAACCAGTCGACATCCTTGGCTGGTGGTCCGAAAGATCCCAAATGAGGGGATCATGGTTCGGATGCGGCGTCGTTCAAGCCAAAAATCGACTGTAGGCCATCCCGCTACTCTGAGATCTCACATCTTCCATCATTCGTCCTAAACAGTTCTCGCAACTGGCATCCAAGAGCGATGTGAATGGGTCCCAGGATCGTACGAGGCGCAGGGGCAACCCTCATTGCCGCCTGCCAATCCACACTTGACTATGGCCCAGTCGGAGCGCCCGATGATGTCGACGACTAAGGGCATCGATGGGGCTGATCCATCCTCCTAGATGTTTCTAGCCCTGGGGGTTTCATACGCTGGCTGGGGTCGGCTACCCAAGGGTCGCTCGGGCGGTGATCTCGGTCTCACCGCCACAAATTACCCCGGATCCCACACACGCAACAGCGCCCGATGGATTACGATGGTTCATTCTGCTGGTCTACGGGAGGGCAAGCTGATTAGTATCATGCAAGCACAGAACTTGTGTCCGTACGGAACGCACCTCTCGTGCCCGAGGGCACTGAAGTCACTCGCGCTACCAGCTGTCCAATCGCATTCCGAAATGACGGAGTTTCTGTTCCTGGGATTCGCTCGTCAACGCAACCTAGGAGTCAGGACAACGTCCAACCTGGTGCTCCTGGCCTCGTGCGACGGGTATGCCATATGTAATACTCGCCCGTGGTCGTTCGGCGGCTCAAGGGTTGACAGAATGGGGATCGTGCGGAACGCTTAATCGACTAGAGATCCTGCGTAATGTCCAGCTGACAGGGCGAACCGATGCGCTCCGGATACAGGCCGGAAGAGTGGCGATATCAGTCGGACATGTACCAAGATCCCAGATGCAGCTCGCGTCATCGTGAACGAGGAGAGGATCCACTACAGCGATTGACATGTCCCCTGAGCGGGACATAGCCCGAAGCGATTTATCCAAGACCATTGCCGAGGAAATCGAGACTGCCCAAACGAGAAGTCGTCTGCAGCTGGCTACGCGTCCACCGCGAAACTCGTCACGGCGTCCCAATGGTCCAGCCGAGGGCACAGAGGCCGGTTCCAGAGCGTATGTGCACGCGTGTACCAGAGCAACAGGGTTTGTGTCTTCACGATGCTCCGCGGCTGGGGCGGCCCTGAGCAGAACATCCCGAAGTCTATCCAGCCTGTCCGCGGAGGATCACCTGCACCATTCTCAAGCTTCTGCAACTCTTGTGCTAGACCATACACGTACCCACTAGCTTCTCCTTCCCGTGGAAGCGTCTCCCTCTCCCGAGTTTTTGTGTACGACTCGTGTTGAACTTGCACGGTCAGCAAAAGTTTCCTGACACTGATCACTTGTGAAATCTCGGAACGGTCCCCTGGAGGGGGACGGCTAGATCCTGAGGTCGCGTATTTTGCTTTTGTGAACTCATGGACAGAGCGGCCACTTTTCCGAGAGTATAGTGAGGGCGGCGAGTCGAGATTCTGGTGCTTGCTAACGTCATTGACGCCAAGTTCCAGGTTGCTGGCCGATCATGCTGATACGCAAGGGATCTATCATTTTACATGGGCTCACCGGCATTTCAGTATCGATTCACTCAAGCCAGCACCGCCGTCGATGCAAGGACCAGGCAGGACCGTGGCAGGCACTCTCTCGCGATAACTCGGAAACATGATGGCTTTGTCTTCGCGCGGAGAACCTCTCTACAGCCACAAAGTAGCTTTCTACTGCCACGGAGTGGGACCACTGGCACTCCGCCGTCCGAGTATCGTATGTGTACTCTTCTTATCTGAGTAATCGTCGCCTCATTCCTTCTCCTTTGTCTGTGCAGCCCTCATTCGGAGCCTTCTGGAATGATGAATCGGGGTCTTGTCGTGTGGCGTTTGTCCGGATGATCCATGTGAGTCTCCCGTTCCACACTGCTGGTGCGTCAGCCGCTCACGAAGAATAGACTGAACCTGCCCTCTCTTCGCCAGTGTCAACGAGAACGGCTCCGTAAGGTTGCAACTTCCCATCCGCTAAGAAACCTCTTTCCCTTTCGCGCGGGCTGCAAAAACATCTTCGAAAACCGGCTTCTCGTACTCCTCGCTATCCAGGAGATTCGGCCTCGCTCAAAACGTTGCTCTTTGTGCACGCCTGAAGTTCACCGAGCGATGGTAGATAAAGAGCTCGCACGCGAATCGGCCCGCGAGAGAGTCTGTCTAGTTAATCAGTCAATGCCTGGGTCCGGGTAACCCGTCCGTCCCCTCATGCATCGTGCACCTATTTGACACCTTCGTTTACATGCCACGGGCGGCCTATCGGTTCCTGCCGTTCCTGATCTTGCCTCCTGGCTTAGCTCACGAGCGTCAGAATCGTCGACTGATTTGGAGAACTCATCAGCAAAGCCTGGACCCAACTGCAGTGCGTCAATTCCCCTTCTATCCCGTCAAGATACTCAAACTCTGAGACAGCGTCACATCTAGCTTGCCGATCCGGCCCCTGAAATATCACAGACCTCTTGAAGCATAATGAACGACCCCGTCCGGCGGATATCCGTGGGGGGTCGTGGGGGGTCGTAGGGAATGCTAGGAAGGTCAGCGCTTAGGTGCAGTGTCTATTCGTGGACCCTCAGTGGTCGTATGCAGAGAGAGAAGTAAATGGGGAGCCATAGATTCACAATTTGAAACATGGCGGTCTACGAACCTAACTTACGCACTGTATCTTGTTACCAACTCAGGTGTGGTACCGAAGACATGTATTGCACAATATATGGGACGTGACAAATGATCTTCACAGACGACGTTCAGCGCGCGGAGGTGCCTTCTCTCATGAGAGATCGCTTTGCCGCGTGGCAAGCCTCTACGCTCGACAACTCTTCCAGCTCTGTTCCCCCATCCGTCAAACACGCTTCTCGCGCCTGGCTGTGATCATGAACAATTAGGCTTCAAGAATAATGGGCAAGGCATCGGACTTACAGATGGAGTAATTCGGAGGCCTTGGCGCTCTCTGCACAATCCAGCAGAATGAGAACGCTACGGCAAGCTTGAAAAGATCGAGAGATCCCTCTTGTCTGATCAGGCCACAGATGGAAGTGCGAAATGAAGCTGAGCATCAGGGGCGTCGTCAGTCCTGGGTAGTAAATGAGATGCGCACACATACCTGCACAGCCACGTGCGCGACGATCCGCAGAGGCAAGGCCGTAACGTTGTTGATTGCTGCACTGCCAGCCCGGCTGGGATGAAATCCGGGCATGTCGAGGGCAAGCGAAGCAGCTTAGTAGACGTGCTTCGCTATTGGCTGCAGACAAGTAAAGAGAAGCTCGGTGAAGCTGGCATGGTACGATAAGTATTGCAACGAAGACCGGGGACCGGCGGATGCAGAGGACGACGGGGCCAGGAACGGCAACCTTGGGTGCGCTGGTGCATCTTCTGCCTAGCTGTCTTCATTGGAACCTACACGGTGCTCATGAACATCGACAGGAGGACGCACTCCGTTGAGATCTCACCAGACCATTGCCTGTATTTCATCTCTATCTCGAACGTGTCTTCTGGGCTTGGTCGACTTGGGAGTTGGTCGATATGAGCCCGATTCTTTAGCACATTGGTCGTGCTGTCTGTTCCACTTGTCGAGCTTGTGACAAGAGCCCTGAGCGTGCAAGACCCCGGCCATCCACTGTCGGAAGTGACGACCTGCTTCTGGCCTCACGAACAGATCGAAAGCGACTTGAGTGCACTCGTCGGAGCCTGGAGGCCAACTTGCTCCGGTTTTTGACATCGCAATCGGCTGGTTTCGTTTGGCATTCGTTTTTTGTCTGTGCATTCGTCAGTCTTGTTGCAGTCAAATGATTTAGAATGAAAGGTACATAATCGTCACATAGACTGGAGGGGACATCGTCCTGGTGTATGCCGTTCAATTGTTCGGTGCGAGGAGCGGTCCTACAAACAGTCCTGGGTGAAACACGACCATTCGGAGGATATTCGGATACATGTGTGTAGGTCACATTAAAACATGCTGTAGTCAGACTCAGGGCGACTGAGTGATGATTGTATGCATGGCAAGAGAGATGCGAGACATAGAAAGTCGAGGCTCACCTCCGAGGCGGTATCCATGCTGAATCGCAGCTCTGGAAGTTCAGCGAAGGAGCAGTCGCGAGCTTTCGAGGCCGGCGGGAGCAAGTCATAGATCTACTACTTGGTTGGGCCCGCTGAAGAGAGAGCCCGTCACCACGAAAGAGCCTGCCCAAGGAGAAGTCCCGTGAGTCCAGGTATGAGACCGAGAGCGAAATGTCGGGTACCAAGTCACGAAAAGCCTTTACACCTTGGGACCAGTCCCGGATACGGCCTGTCGGACTTCGAAATCGGTGTTCTCTGTTTGCTGCTGCGTCAAACCCCAAAATGGACTGTATGCCGACTCTCTGCCTCCGGGCGCTTGTGCCTTCTTGCAATCCTTCCGAGCGAGCAAGCAGTATATCTTGCTTGTGGCCTAACGTATCACGATGAGGGGGGATCAGAGTTCGGAAGAGGGGTGGTCTGACTGAAGAATCGACTGCAGGCTGCCTCGCTGCTCAGGGATCCCACACCTTCCGACATCCACGATTCCACCGCAGGCGGTCGAAGGAAATAGCCTCAATGCCAGGATTGGACGAGGCGGTGGGTACAACGCTCATCGTCGCAAGCCAATCCGCACTGGGTCGTGCCTCAGCTCGAGTGTGATGATGTCGACAACTTAGCTGCTGGGCGCGTCGATGGACCAGATCCTTCTTCTAGAGGTCGCAGTTTCCGGGGAGCCGCATCGTTCTCGAAGTTTTAACGGCCTGGGAGTCGCCTGCGCTGGCAGTTGGCCCAGCAGGGAACGATCTCGCTGTGATCTTGCTGTCACCGCCGCAAATCTGCTCGATCCTCGCACCTGTACTACAACAGGATGGATGGTGTTCTTTCCCTCTGTCGGTATACGGAAGAGGAAACCGTTGGCTGTCATGCACGCACAGAAGATTGTGGCGTCACGGAACGCGCCTCTTGTCCCTGACGGCACGGAAGTCACTCCCGCTATCAGTCGCCCAGTCCCATCCGGAAATGAACATCTTGTTCCTGCGTCTGCTATTCAATGCGACCTCGTAATCGGCCCACGCTCGACCTTTTGCTCCTCGCCCGATACGACGAAATCGTCACGTGCTTTTTTGCCCAAAGCAGTCCAGCGGCTTCAGGGCCTCACGCGTATGGCGGGTTGGTGGACTTGCGTAGCTCGGATCGACCGGACGGTCTGCGTAGTGCCCGTCCGACTGGGGGAAGCGACTCGGTCGGATGCAGGCCGGAAGAGTGGCGATAACAGTTAGACCAGCACGAAGATCTTTGTTACAGCCAGCGCCATCGTGAGCAAGGAGCGGATTCACCCTGGCCAGGTTTTCATCCCTCCTGAGCATGCTTTAGTCCAAATTGCCGTCCCCGAGACCCTCGCCGAGGAAATCAAGATTCGTATAGAGAAGTCGTTCGCTGCTGGCGAGGCGTACGACGCGAAACCTATCCTTGGGTGCCGATTGTTCAGTCAATGTAAAGAAGCCACTTCCGGTGCCTGAGTGCATCTGTGTGCCAGAGACGGGGATTCTGTGTCCTGCCGTTTTCCATGGGCTGGGTACCTCCGGTCAAAATCTTGAAGACTGGCTAGTCTGTTCGCAGAAGCCCATCAGCACAATTGGACCTCGACAACTATCGTGTCAAGCACGTAGACGCACCTGACTCCCCTCTCATCCCCATGACAGCGTCTTCCCTCCTCCTAATCGTTGTCCATGGCTCGTATTCGACTTTCATGGCCAGGATCATCTTGTCGGTCCGCTTCATCTGTGCAGCGACCGAGTCGGGTTGTGCCGGCGGCTTGGTGCATTCAAAGGTAGCGTATCTTATGTGGATGCATGAGCGGGCGAAGATATCTTCAAGAGTGGAGGAGCAAGTCAGGATCCCGGTGCCCGCTAACGTTATTGACGCCAAATTCCAGGTTGCTGGCCGATCAAGCAAACACGGGAGGTATTCGATATTTTGCATGGGGACGCCAGCATTCCAGTCCCAACTCAACTCCAGCCAACAACGCACTCGATGCAACGGCCGAGCGGGGCTGTTGTGCGCACTCTCTCGCGCTGACTCAGGAACCTGATTAACTTTTTTGTCGCGTGGAGAATCTCTCCCAGCCACGAAGCGGGACCACTGGCACTCTGCCATCGAAATATTCGTATAAGTGCTCTTATCTGAGCCATCGTGCCCCCATTTTTCTTTCTTTCTCTGTGTGCAGACCTCAATTCAAGACGTCTAGAACGATGAATCGGGGGTACTATCGTGTGGCGTTTGTTCAGATGACCTATGTGAGTCTCCGTTCCACATTGCTGGTACAGCAGCCGCTCACGAGGATTAGCTTGGACCCGTAGGCTCCTATCCAGTGGGAGCGAGAATGTCGTTCCTAAGCTGCACTTTCCCATCCGCTAAGAAATTTCTCCCTCTCGAGCGAGCCGTCATTACCTCAGGGAAACCCCGGAAATCACTTTCCTGCGCTGCCGGCCGTCCAGGAGATTCTGCGTCGCTCAAGCATGATGCTTTTCGTTCACGCCTGATCACCACTCGGTGATGTCGAACGACGTTCCAGCACGCGATGACGAATAACGAACCAGCATGCGAAACGGCTCACGGCGGTCCGCACCAGTCAATCAACGCCTCATGGGTCCGCGAGCATCAGAACGGGTGGTGATTTTGCTTTGCGCAGCTTCTCATCCCAATCACGATCATGCGCTTTGTACGTGCGCTTTGTACTCGTACTCGATGTATCGAATGGTAGTACGTCCAGAATGCAATGAGAACGTCCAATCGTCCGGTTGGTCCCACTTTGAACGCTTCAATGAGCTGCATACTCGATGCCATCTGTTTCCTGTACATGTATATAAGCACAGTAAGATATTATGCGCAGCGCGCGCGCCCTACAAGCGGAGCTGTTGAGTGACAAAAAAAAATTGAGAATTGAGAGTTGGATTGTGTCTGAGATCCCAAAGCCGTGAATATCCTGTCCGGTTTTCCAACTCCATAGCCTGGCTTTGGAGATCACAATCCATGAGAAAATGATCAGCAAGTCCAGGCTGTGATGAATGTGAATTCCCAGACTGGAAATTTTGAGCAGTGGAGGTGATGCACAACAGATCCAAAAGTGCAGAGACCCACCTAGCCTTTATATGATCCTAGAGAAACTTCTTAAGACCCCAAACACTGTACCCGGAACACTCAAAGTGACGGGAAGGTTCATTTGTAGTGTTTCCGACACATAGGTGTCACACCTTGACCAAATATGGAACTGCTGCATGACATGGTGTGTATGTGGTGTTTTTAGCTACCTGTAGAGCCCTCGGACCTGTCCAATTCAACAATCAGAAGCACTGGCATTTGTTCTTGTAAGGGCCCAGGTCTCACTGACATGGGCAGCCGTCTCATCCTCATTGTCAGAGACCATGTCAATCATTCTTCGATGATCTCCATGCTGTCACTGCCCTTTTTGGTCCTATGCTTGTAAAGCTCATTCACCGCTCTCCACTCATCATTTGCGTTGGAAGTAATAGGTCCACTCCGTTTCGTCAGCATTCGTCGGCGTGCATACGGACAGCCCTTGAGTCGATGCACATAGTTGACCTTGCACGCGCGCACTACGCTCACCATCCTTGCCATGCAGCGCTAGATGATTCGTTCGCATCGACGCGCGCGGCAGTGCGCTCCGGACCCCTCCCTGGAACGACCTTCCAGCGTTATCGAGGCGTTCAATTGTCCTTCGATCCCCTCCACCTCCCCTCTTGCATCCCACGACTCGTTCATGCCTCGCGAGAGGAGCTTCAGCTACTCCGCCGGGCGCTCTCCGACACCCGAACTGGCCCTCACAAGCCAGCACGACGACGAAAACCACGCCCTCATCACGGTCCCACCTTTTTCAAAATCTCGTTCTGCCCCTGCGCGTTCCAGCCTGCCCATCTTCCAACGTTCACAACGCACTGCACGTCATGCGATCCAAGCCGCTACCGCCCACGAGGAGGGAGAATCCGTTCTGTACCCGGACATACGCTCCAGTGCTTTCAGCGCGTGCGCGTACGATCATCCTCGTCAATCGCGGAATGGGCCATCTACACCTGGGTGTGGGTGCCGAGCCAGGCTTCAATCCGCGTCAAAGGGACTCCGACGTTGAGTTCGCGCGGATTTGCGAGGACTGGGAGATCAAGATTGTCGACTACTCGCTTGTACGCGCGGGACGTTTTACAAGATGTCGAATGCTAAGCTTTTTGAGGGCTCATCCGCTAACAGCATAGAACTTCAGCAATGGTCAAGATCCGTTGGATTAACGTTGGAGGAGTGTGTTGGGATGTAATGAAAGCTCTTGCTATCAGACACAGTGAGTGACACGTCGTATCGTCTGGCGCAGACTCATCAAACTTCAGATCTGTACACTCTCGCAATCGAAGACATCCTCCACTCGCGACCGAGCGCACGATCCAAAGCCAATTAACTCACTCGGCATCTCTATCCCTTCGCAGTCTGTGCCGTAAACTGGTCGATGGAAGTTCTGCAAAAGCTTCAATCTCGCCTACATCGAAGCCCCGGCGACCTCGCATTCCTTTGTCGCAGGGAGCTTCGCCGGCACTGGCCGCGGCAATCGTCATCGGTGGAGAGAAGCGCGTGGAAGATGCTGGGCTCAAAGTCCTCGAAGGAGCTGACCGTGTTCTTGTGATATGATTCTCATGTTCATCTTCCTGCTCCTAGACGGTGCGCTCATTCGATTCGATATTTACACGTTCCTGAGGCTGAAAGCAGGATGTCTTCACCATCCACACCAGTTCTTCTCTCGTTGTAACTGAGCCGATCACCGGCCGTTCATGCCATTCGAGAACGAGCTCGCGAACATCGGCTGATGCGTCTTTTATGGTTCAAAGTCCGTTGTGCTTGGTGGCCGACAAAGTGTCCCGGGCCGTGAATGCATAGCAAGACAAGATCAGGTACTAGGGGACGAAACATCGTGGTGCAGTCGTCCATTGGCATTATGTGTAATCGTCACATCCTGTACGTCAGCCTGGTCCTCCACCGATGGACGCTTGCGCCCGTCGAAACGATCGTCGATGAGCTGCGGATATATGAGATGGAGACAGGGCGTAGCGCTGATTAGCGAGGAAGATCCAAGCGAGAGGATCATTAGTTTTATGAGTTGTGCCAGTCAGATTCACTTGGCAGGTAGACTTGGTTCTAGTTACTGGTGTCTCCGCTCATCAGTTTGTAGGCTCATGTCTACGATCATGTTGCATACTTGCTCAGCCATTTCGATATTCTTGCCAGTGTAGGCGAAACCCGGTCGGGTATGCATTCAATGTACGTTATACTCCTGCCCTCTTCAGATTGCTCACCCACTCATAGATGACCCCATGTCGAATGAACGACGCCATGTTCTTGCGTTCTCCTGCTGGTTTAGCCCGCTTGTCCACCTCAGGCGCCGACCAATGGTCGTGACCGTGACAGTCCTGCCTATAACCCTGCACATCGGGTACTTTGGAACAAACTTTGTGGACGTGTGGAGCATAAGACACAGTCACTGTGACAAGATGTAAATTAGGCTGCCGTGACGTCTTGTTGGGCGATTGATCATTCTCAGATTCTGGGTTGTTGCTATCCCGATCTTGGCCATCGTACTCCCCCCTTGTCGTGTCTGCGACATCCGGCACCTGATATGCATAGCCCCCACGCATCTAGATGTGTCGGAGATCATCAAGGTTCCGTTTCATCCGTCCTTCTTTCGGCGTCGCTCACCGTCAACATATAGAAATTAACTCGCCTGGCAGCCAGTGGCTACACTTTGTGATCGGAGTGCCATTCCCTCATATCTGATGGTGCGCAAGCCGTAATCCACGACGCGTGTCTAAATGTGTGCCTGTCACCGGGACAGTTATCTTCGATGCCGAACGAACTTTTCGCACCACTGCGATCGCCATCCGCAAATGTGCAGGGGACCCCGGACACCACCTCCGTCAGTCTGCACGCAACCACATTGCAACGCATTATCGATGATCTAACGCGAGTTATAAGTCGGCCGAGAGCGAGGATGTGTTGACCAGACATGTGGAATGGCTGAGTCGTCATCCTCTTCTGCTTCATCTTCGTCTCTCTCCGCCATTCAAACATCCGCATCGGCTGCCATCAACAGACCGGTGCACTGTGAGCATGGCCGCTTTGCAGGGCGCATCATCAGGGCCGAGTTGACTGAGATCCAGAGGCCCGAGTTCGGGCGGAGGTGGGCCGAGCGTGCTTCTGGAGGGTATTCGCGGCCGCTGACGGTGACAGGTTCGGGGCAGTAGATAGACGTGCACTGGACGACCCCCCAGGTCAGCGACTCGGCCGCCTTTGATAATCCATCTCAGCATGCCAACAGTGGTTCAACTCCGGTTTTTCGAGGTGTTCCGTCCGAGACCAGGCTACGAGTGGTCGGAGGAGGTCCGCAGCTACGAGTAGGTCTGATCAAGCGTAGGCCATGCCGTATTGAGTCTCACATCATCACAGAAGCATCCCGCTCTCTGGGCTCCTTTGTATGGCCGAGCTCTTCGAAGCACGAGGTGGACCCAGCACCTCGGAACCGCTCGTTCCACGGCAGACCGGGACACTCGAGTTGACGTCGCCGCGCATCGCGCAGCCGTCACGCGTTTACGATGTGTCAGACGATGCAGCTATCACCGAGGACAGTAACAGGACGTCCTTTCTCTTCGGCACGAAATTTGTCGAGCCATATCTGATTTCGACGTCTGATTCCGGCCGGAAGTATCTCGCATTTACGTTCGCAGTGCGTGATCATTGCGATGAGACTGCTGCTGCTCACTTTTCTCAGGATCTGGGTGTCAAGTTGGAGGGCCTCTTTCGTCTGCGGTAGGTCTCCAGATTATATGCCGCCAGACTCGTTCATTTCGCTCCCAGCTATCGCTTCTTCGATCTTTTTCCCGGACCGCCGGGCGTCGGAAAGAGCAGCGTCTTAGCTGAATGTTACGGGGGCACGTTCACAATGTACTCGACAAAGGAAGCTCCGGCGCTGAAAGAGTCGACACCGCTGACCAAAGTGAGTTACCGGCTCCAATTCATGTTGTTTTTAGACTGATGATTACACTTATTCAGACGCTCAGCAACCACGGTGTGCCTGTGAACATCCGCAAGAAGCCACGGCCCCCGCGAAGGAAGACATCACCGACTGGAACCTCGCCAACAGATAGCCAGCCGGCGTAGATTATGTTTGATTTGCCTCACCATCGCACAGTATATGAGTCCCCTGGTGTCATCGCCAGGGCATTTCTCAGTACTTAGTATTATCACCAGAACTTTGCGTACAAATTAATCTTCATTCATCCTCAGCGGCTATGGCGAGAGCGTGTCAAGCCTATCAGTTCCAGAGTTCTTGTAGACTCGGCGAGAACCTTTTACCGCCGTTACCGAAGTCTCGCGTCAGATACCGCCAGATGCGGTAAGCTGCAGCGGTAAAGATGACACAGAACCGCTGACCAAAGCCGAGTACCGCCGGCCCCTCAGCGCCCCACATCCGGGGTAACTAACGGCACTGGGGGTACTTGTGGGTCCTCTCAGCTGCCAGCGCAGTGGCGGCCCAGGTAATCTGGATGTTCTACCGCACAGTACTTTTTGTCCATCGGGCAAGGGCTCAGTGCGCTTCGGATCACCTTCCGTCTACTGGCCTCAACGCTCAGTGTTCATGCCGTTAACACTGATCGCATCCATGCAGAAGACGCTTCGTGGGAGGGTACGAGCCACGGATCTTAGTAAGGCGATGTCCGCTGTCAGTGACTCGTATCTTATCTTCTTTACTAACAGCTATGTACATATGTACTCGGTACTAGTGAGATAGCTGGAAGCCGATGCCGCAAATTATTAGTTTCTTCCATTCACCAGGTTCTTGCCCATTATGTCTATATTATGCCGTGGTCACGTGCATCAACAATCTAACACCTTGAGCGTTCTAAATTTAAGGCGGTTTAAGCGGTAAGCGGAGCACCAGCGAGCTGATATAATGTCTCCCTGTCGCCCGATTCATCCACTAGTGCTCTGAACTTCCCGTGTGGATTTTGAAGGAGCACAGCTGGAGCGTCAAATTCAACAATGCAACCGGAATCGAGAACCATCTGCAACAAAGTGAGACGGACGTTGCGTCAAGAGATAAGTGAGACACAGACAATTTTATCATAGTCCATGACTGTTTGCAGCCTATGCGCCACGACAAGCAGACTAACATCGGCCGAAAGCTCTTCGCGTAGAGTGTGTTGGATAATCGCATCAGTCTTGTAGTCTAGAACACAGCGTTAGATCGGAAAACGCTAAACGGTTCAACTCACCGATTGAAGAGGTGGCCTCGTCGAGAATCAACAGCTTGCTGTCACGCAGCATCGCCCGAGCCAACGCCAAAATCTGCCGTTGTCCGACACTGAGGTTAGCGCCGCCCGCCGCGATGTCGGTGTCCAGCGTTATCTTGTGCTCTTCGGAGTCCTGCAAAGCAGCCAGGCCCGCCGCACGCAGAGCCTGGTTCATTTCCAGGTCTCCGAATTGGTTGAAAGGGTCGAGGTTCGAGCGGAGCGAACCGGTGAGAAGCTCCGGCTGCGAAAAGTCAGAACGGTCCGTTCAAAAATGCCGTGAGAGCCCAGCCCCACGCACCACTTGCGGGATGATTGCAATGCTCGATCGGACCGCTTCGAGGTTCAGAGTAGAGGTGTCGATTCCGTCGTAGCTGATCGTCCCGGTGGTCGGAATGCATCGCAACAACGAGAGTGTGAGAGAGCTCTATGTGAGAGCTCATCATTAGCAAGACTGAACTTGCACCGATTTGAACCGAACCCACCTTTCCAGAGCCAGTTCGGCCGACGATACCGACCCTCTCGCCGGGCTTGACTTCGAACGAGACATCCTTCAGAACAAGCGGTCCATCGACGTCATACTTGGCTGACAAGTTCTCGACCCGCAACGCTCCACTCGCCGGCCAGTAGGCCGGCGCTCGGCCAGCTTCCGTGGGTGGCTTCTCGTGTTCGATATCGAGATATGCCTTGATTCGTTCGAGCGAGTTGGCTTCGACTTCGAGGGTGTTGAAAACCTGGATCTGAGGGGACTTGACTGAGTCACTGCAACGTAACCCGAGGGAACGGACGAACAAAACCCAATAGGATGCTCGTGGATCTGACCGCAAGCCCGATGAGCAGACCCGCTTCGCTGGCCTCGCTCCTCTTGACATAGATTAGATAAGTCGTCACCGTTGCAGCAAACACTGCGCCGAGGAGATCGATCCGGAACGAGACCCATCTGATGTGCTGGCGTCAGCTGGGTTTTCGGAGATGTCATCTGCGCGAACCGATTGAGGTTGAAAAAGTTCCTGTTGGCGCGCGAATAGCGATCAATCCGAGTGAGAGATTCGGAAATGAACTTGGCTTGGGCAGAGTAGGCGCGTATCGAGACTAACAGTCGAGATCAGCGGTCTGCTTTCTCTTGACATATGCGTAGACCCACTCAAGCCGGCCATTGCCGCGGATAAGCTACGGATTGTGAGTAACCCAGATAAGGACCAGACGGGACGCACTTCGCCAAAACTGGGGCCCGAGCATTCGACAGTATGCGCTTGACCGGCAATTGACTGTGGATGTACATTTGTGCGACCCACGTTCCGGCTCCAGCGACCAAGATCCCGGGCAGGAGGAAGACCGGGCTGTACAGCACGATCGTAACAAATTGGGTCTAAGGAGCCTAAGGTCTGTGTAGTAAAACCAATAATCATCACGTACCAGAATAGCCATCCCAATTATCGAAGCGGGGGGAGTGAGTGTTGCGATCTTATCGTCCACAGACGACATATCACCCGTCACCCGAGCGATTATGCGAGAAGTAGGGGTAGTATCAAGCCATCTCGATAATTGTTCAACCAAGGAACGGCCAAGAATGATAGGCGAGCAATACCTCAATGGGGCTGCAAGTATAGAGCCCATCAGGCGTTCGTGGATTGCCCGCGACGCTCGTAGCTGCCCGTTCACAATGTAGAGCGTTGCAAGAAAGAAAAGCAGGGTCGATATCGACACGATTGAAGCTGCCATACAAGTTCGGCTTCCGTGGAGCAAATAAAATAGCATCACGCACAGACATATACCAGATTCCTGTGGATTAATGAGTAATCAAACACCGGGGAGACAAGCATATTGCATGCCTGGCAACATCGACCTGTTTGGCTGGCTTGTGCTCGTACTCGGCAGCCCACCGGCCCATCATCCAGATCCGTCCGACGGCTAGCATCTGTTGCCAAAATGCAATAACGAGATAACCAGCGACGAAGAATGCGGGGTGGCACCAGCGAGGTGAGATCGCACTCAGATACATCTTCACTGGAGCAGAAAGTCAGAAATTACATGGAGAGCAGAGATGAGAAAAGACGTGCACGCCGACCAGCCGACATGTCCGGCGCTGACTTCCTCTGCGACGATGAGCTTGCCATCGGCGCTTTTGATAGCATCATCTGATCCATCCACGATTTCCTCTTTGGGGACAGGGGCGTCGGTGATTTCGGCCACCGTTAACGGAGTTAGGTTCCAATTTTCACCGATGGCACGTCCGTCGGCGCCAATGGAGACGATATAAGATGCCAGTGGTCGCACTAGAGGGAGATTGTGCGTCTGGCAGGCGGTATCAGTGCAATGAATTGACTAGCCATCCAACATTAGAAACGAACCACGAGGATGACAGTCCGATTCTCTGCGAGAGAGTTTCAGTATATCTGTCCAGGGTTGATTTCGATACGAACCGATCAGGCTCCCTCGCAAACACTTGTCGCAGATCCATTGTGCCGTATGAGCATCCAAGGCAGCAAGAATGTCATCCAGCAGGAGAATCTCGGCGTTCGAGTACTATTCGCCGTCTTGAGTGAGATTGCAAGTATAAATATGATTTTTTCACTATAGCTCTCGCCAGCGTCAGCCTGGCTTTTTGGCCCCCCGAAAGCGTGAGGCCTGCGCGGTGAATAGTCAAGCTGTGATCCGATCAGGGCATCCTCGACGAACCATTCTCTCCAACTTCAGTCGCATCCCCCGCTCGGAACATCTTCAAATCTGACTCAAGGGCGCACGCATACAAAACCTTCCTGTATCGCTCCTCGTCGATCTCGCTCGAGTTGAACAGGATGTTCGCGCGGATTGTGTCGTTGAGCACCCATGATTCCTGTGCAGCGTAGGCCACACCGCCGGCTCGGGGGAGGCTGGAACAGGCTGAGGCTGACGAGGGAAGCTGGTGCATCTCCCCGAGGAGAGCCATCAGGAGTGACGTTTTGCCTGCGCGAAATTAGGTCGCGCCTTTTCGTAGCAGTTAGAGAAAACGCACCGGAGCCCGTGGGGCCCACAACGGCGTTGATTTTCCCTCTCTTGAATAAAATCTCGTCTTCAATGCGGAGGATGAATTGTCTTTCGTGCCGAGCAAGATCCGAGGTAGCTGTCTCGGACCAAGCATAAGCGACATTCCGAAAACCGATCTCGTCCCCTTCAAGCTCGTCTACGTCGCCGTCGTCCAAGAGATCCGTCTGAATAATTGGTGACCAGATGAAGAATCAGAAAGAGAGCACAGACCTCATGCAAGAATGTGTCGATTCGGTCCAAAGACACTTTAGCTTGTACTGCGCTCTCTGCGTAGTAAGTCACTTGAGAGAGTGCAAAACTAATCGACCACAGGAACGATCAGTAGGGCCCTATCATGAAAGGAAAGCAGGCACCCAATGAGATCAAATAGATTGATGCTAGCAAAGACTTTCGACGCATTGAGAGGTTGTTTCATGATCAGAGTCTGCAACCATCAGCTCATCAGTGCTGCTGACCAGCTGCTGCAAGATCATATTACGCTAAGGTAAGGACAGTGAGACGAGTCGAAAGAAGCCACCTGCAATTTACTTACTATGTTCCGAAAGAAAGCACCATCGTGATCATCTATGACTGCTTGAAACCCCGTGAGAGAGACGGCGAGAAGCTGAACTAACCGGAATGGTCGCACTGGCAAGACATTGATATAGATATCCAGCTAACGAACCGCGACGCGAACTCACTTTGCCAACTGACTTCCAACCGCAAGGATGCGCAGCCTCTTCACCCAGCCCAGTTCGGCCTCTCTCTGAACGACGGATATTGAGAGGAGAATGGATGATACATCCAGCTAGACATACACACCTGAGCATTGATCCGCTGCGATATCCTCGACTCCCAGCCGAAGAGCTTGATCATCCGCAGTGCCTTAACCGCTGGACGGACAGTCTCGGCCCCACAATTCAGCTCAAGAGAAGATGAGCGCACCTTCAGTCACGCTCTGCACTCTCTCATCCATCTTGGCCATCCGCTGTTTCTGCGTCCCGCTGACGAGCTTCATGACTGCAATCACAACTTGGGTCAGTAGGCTGCAGCGGCTGCCGGTGCGCTGGAGACGCACGGTAGCCGGGAACCGGGCCGAGAGCCACCAAGGCGCCCACGCCGACGAACACAGCCCAACCCAGAAGGGAGTATAGAAAGATGGTCGACAGGATGATCTGCAGCGGAATGTAGATGATGAGATACGGAAAGTCAACGTTGTTCTCTGAAGTCTCGTCGATAAACTGAACACACAGTATCGAGAACGGGGACATACCAATCTCTCGCATGTCGGTTGTCATCAGGTTGTTGATCTTGCCGGTCAGATTCTGCGTCTGCGGCTTGAAGCTAGGAGAATCGCCGCTGGTCGTTGGCGGGCCATCCTCGTCTGCAACAGTCTCGCTCGAGTCCGAAGACGGAATGGCTGTTTCAGTGACGACGGGTGTAGCATCTTCCACGACGGAAGGACTAGTTTCTGCCTTGACTCGAATGCGCAGGCTGCGCGACATGTGAACGGCAGACTCGAGCGGCATGCAGAGTCTTCACCTGTGCTTGAAAATGATATGGGTAAGCAGCGCTTCGGCCCGGACGACAACGAGTCCCTATGTGCGATACCATCAGTCAGTGAACCGGTTCCATGAGCGATCCCCACATTTAGATAAAGGAATAGGGCTGCGAAGATAGTTGCTGTGCGGCAATGAGTTATTGAGGCCCTCAAAGCCACAGAACAAACGGCTTACAGGCGATTGGGCTGAGAAACATGACCACAATCCAGACCCAGGGTCGGATGACATGACCTGGCTGGTCTCGGGTCTCGAGATAGGAGAGAAGTCGATTCAGAGCCCAGGGCCTGAGCAAGTAAGCCAGCGGTAGTATGCAATGAAAGCGGAGCGTTCGACGCACTGGACCATGTTAACACCCACCCTCAACACGAGCAGCACTGCAACAAAGATGTACTGCCGCCAGAACACACGCAGAAGCCTGAAGAACAGATGCCTCCTACTTTGCGCACCGACCATGACAAACTACTGCCGATGAGTCCGTATCGGGCAAATGCTGACGGCAGAACATACCGGAAGACTCTTCTCAGTCACGAATTCTGCCCGATCGGCTTCACACAGCGGATCCAGATCCGCCTCCTCGAAGCTCTGGTCTCGATTGGCCCGGAAAACGATGCGGTCAAGGAATGACCACGAGAGGAACACGGCCAACGATGCAGTTTCCTCTGGATTGACGTTCTCTGTAGGGTTCTACGAGCGCGGTCAGCATCGTCCAATTGCAAGGGCGCTGGGTGGATGATTCTGACCTCCGATTCGGGGTGAAGAGGGAAGTACTCGCGTGGGGTGAATGCAGGAATCAAAGTGGCAGTGATAAAGAGGAGCGCTAGACGGATCCATAGAATCTGACCGTCAGTTCTATCCAATGGAGGTTCGGTGAACGTTCCCAGCGGAACGACGTCCCAGTAGAAGTAGACGACGAAAGCCGGGAAAAGGACGAGAGAAATGTGCCGCTGCAGCCGACCCGCCCAAGTACCTCTTCCCAAACTTGAAGCAACGGCGAGAATGGCGGCGTAGAGCTGTAAACAGATAGGCTCAACACACAAATCACCAATGAGCCAACTCACGTATGGCACGGTTTGTATCCCCACGCGCGAGATCTCCAGCGTGCCCTCCGATTTTGAGGGCAAGAAGGAAAGCGTGAGGAGCGCGATGCATCCTGCAAGGCGTGCGACGCGACACTGCGTGATTACAGGATTGAGTCGCCGTTGGTCCCGTTTTTCGATAGATCCAACGTCCTCTGCTCCGCATCCAGCGAGTCCTCCGCGTTTCCTGGCGATCTTCCAAAGGTACTCGAGCAGCAGAATGAGAACTGAGAATGTGGTGCAAACAACCGGGACCAGAAACGCGATCTTCGAAAGCGATTGTGTCTCCCAAGACAAACGAATCGGATGGCCCGATGGAAAGGACATCCTGGCCCTGGCGCGTCCCGTGGAGATGAGTCTTGTAAGCGCTCCCGATTGATATATATACGATTCGCGTAAACATCGACTTTGATTAGCCGGTTAGACTTACTAGGTCATCGATCCCCGTCATTCCTTGCGCACGTCGTCGCTCGCTCGTATTTGAAGCTTGTTCCAATCATTAGGTGTCGTTTCCTTTACCTTTCGCCCACATTTCGCTGGCTTTGGTAAACCTCGTTAGTCACCGAATGATGGCCAATTGATCGCGGATAGATCGCTATCAGAGTCCCGGGGCTGGTCAGTCGTTGAGAGCCTAGAGGGAGACGGCTTATATTCTGGTAACAGATCTCCCGCGGTCACTTGAAGTTAATGGCACGAGCTACCATCTCTCTAAGTCTCACCCGGTTCCTTGACTAACTCGACCACTCGCACGCCGATCCTATGGGACGGTACCATTCGAACAGTATCTAGCTACAAATCCACTGGGGGACTGCTCGAAGAATTTGATCACCTCTCAGGAGGTCTGGGAAGCGCTGACAACAGAATCGGCGACCGATTCCACCTTCCCAACCGCGCCGGTGACTGCAGTACCCAGCAAATTGAACAAAGTCTTAACCACCCCCAACGAGCCATCGGCATCTCCCCCCGCTTGTTTTGCCTCGCTCGCAGGATGCTTCGCGACTTTCAGATCCGCGGCTGCTTTGTTCGACTGTCGATCCTCGTCGCTGACAACCAGACTCAAAAGCTTCCCCAGCCCTTGTTTAGCGGCAGTGCTGGCCTTGTCACCGATGTCGGAAACTTCGTGTATGACTGGGTCAAGGAGGTCGGCCGCATCCAGTCCAAGATTTCTATCGATTCCAGACACTACCTGTTCGCTCTGGATGCGAGTGTGTTGTCCTTGAGGAGCTCGAGATGCGACGATTCCAAGGTTCAGCAGATCGCCATCAGAGTGCTGCTAGCAAAGGATATTAGATGGCTCGAGCATTGAAGGGCGCGTCAGACTCACTGCTTGCATGGGAATGACGGTCGATAGGGCGGATCCACTGAACAGGAGGGTGCCAAAGCCAATAGCAGCAAGATGCATGATGAGAAGACGAGCCTGACGAATGTGCGAGTGCTCTTGGCGCAATGCTCATCGACCCCTCGGTCCCTCTTATGCAGCTTTGGCATCCGGAAGAGGAAGAGGAACTCCCAATACGCTGCGGTGCCCAGTCGGCTCGCTTGCGAGAACGAGCGGTTTCAGACTCGCGGCGATCACGAGCTGAGGTGTACAGACTCCGTGGAGTATCTAATAGGAAGCCCGCTGACCAAGGAGAGACTGAGAGGGAGGAGCACCTGGCCTACTCAGCAGCAGATCTGCCTTTTATCAGCCGAGAACTCCAATTTCAGACGACAAGGGAGACTAACGGAGTGAGGACCAAGTATCGGTAATGTTGAGCTGTCGCCTTCTACCGTCCTCTGCTGATTTGTCATGTTTTGGACCTCGATCGTCCTTGGGTCCTCCGGGTGTTTCTGTTCTAGGTCGCGCCGCGCATTCTGGGGCTTTTCCACTGCGTATGTCGTTCCAGTCGGTGCTTCTCAGCTCGCTTTCCTCGCGTTTGCTGTGGCATTCTGTTGGGCAGCAGACAATGTTATCGCGAAGAAGATGCCGGGTGGTCAGATCGTGGGAAAAGTGGCACAAGACGAGGACGAACCACGTGAACAACATGTCTTCTGGTGTTTCCCATCCAGCTCACACGACACAAGAGAACGCGCGGAGGTCACAAGACCCGAACACATGGTGATCATCTTACGAGATGGTGGTGGGAAGGATTGGATTCTTACCATACACACACACCTTTTGGCTCGCACTCGATGCCGTACTCGTTTCCTACTCCCCCGGGTCTTGACTCTTGACTCATCAGTCCCTCAGACTGAATCTCGACTTTCGTTCAACGCCAATACATTCTTACAGACTGTCTGCACGATTCGATGTTACATTCACGGATGTCTAATTGCACAGGAATGCTCGATCAGTACGTTCCACCCGAGAGCTAGGAGGATGGAGCATGAGCGCGGCCCCAAACACATGGATGGAACACACCTTCGCTTTGTCGAGCGCCAGAGAGTGTCCTTTGCCACTGGATGTGATGTCGAGCCCGGAGAAGTCCCACGTTCCGCTGCAAGCACCGCAGTCAATGACAAGGCCGTAGGCGCTGCTGGTGGTCGAGACGGTGGTCGTTCCTCCGGTGAACTGTACGCCAGAGATGGGCCCGCCTGTGCCAGGGGTGCCGTTGTTGTCCGGGTAGCTCTGGGTGATCAGGACGCCGTATCCGGTGATCCCAGAGATCTTGTTGCTGCGGGCGGTTCAGTCGGACGGAGCCACGGTCGAGACAATGGGACACTCACGCCTCGTAGATGACACCAGAAACCTTGGCACCCGTTGCAGCGGCCTGGACTTTGATGCGGAGACCGTACATGCTGTTCGTGACCGTGTTGCGCGCAGCCTTGAAGTTGGTGACGGATTTCCCAGTCGCAATCGAGCCGATGGAGATGCCGTGGCCGCCGGAGCAGACCGTGTCTTCGATGAGAACGTTGTCACCCGAGTTGAGCGCGAGGCAGTCGTCCTGGTTCTTGACCGTGCAGGAAGAGATTGTCACATCGCTGGCGCTGACGTCAAAGGCGTCGGTGTTGTGGCCGCCCTTCGTGTCTCCGAGAGCTGCACCGAGACGTCAGACGGGATCCACACGTTCGAACGAGTGAGACTTGCAGTTGTCAACAGTCACTTTCTGAATCACAGCAGATCCGCCGGAAGTCCCAACGGAGACAGCTTGGGCAGGGGAATTGAGGACCGTGAACTGCGTGAAGGATCCGTAGCCCTTGAGTCTGCTATGCGTCAGAACACAGTACATGATATCCATAAGTACCACCCACTTGATGAAAGGGTGGGGTTTGAAGGAGCCGCCATTGGTACCCTGGCCGTCCCAGTAAGATGCGCCTTGTCCCTGTGCAAACCTCAGTCAAGTCCAAATAGATTCTTGTGCGACCGACATCAATTTTGTGGTTACCGCCGTTGAAGACGATGCCAGGAGTATTCAAGATGAAGAGCGGACCAGCGGCTAGGAAGAATAAGGCCAAGTCCAGCTTTTCGTCGGCATTCAAGCGTACTAGAGGTCTTAGCGAAAACGAGATCGCCAGTCATGGTCACGGTCGCGCCCTTTGCAGCCTGATACGTCCGTGGTTCAGTCGAGAGTTCCAGTAGCGGGGGAAAGCACAAACGGCAATAGTAAGAGTGTTGCCAGCCGGCACGGTGAAGCCCTGGATGACCACACTAGTGCAGCTGCCCAGACTCGATGCGCTGGAGACGCTGTTGACGGTACAGGTCGCCCGCTTTGCGGTCTCCGTGCGGGACACGGTGACGTTGCTGGGCAGAGCAAGAGCAGTTGCTACCAAAGCCGCCAGTTGCAGGAAAGAAGTGAGAGAAGGCATTGTATCGGTGAGAGCACTGGAAAGCCTTAGCAGTTCGTTGTCTATTTTATACTTGAGTAGGATGTCATTCCTTGAGGAATTGACCTCAAGTCGACATGTGCTGCGTGGATACCGCCTGATTCAGGATATGTGAGTACCGACTCAGCGCCGAAGTATTGACGGGATTGATTCGCCAAATCCATCCCCATCGAGTCCGCGACGAAAGGCAGAAGACACATGCAGTTCGCCAAGTTTGCGCCAAGACAGACGATAATCTCCCGTGCCCGACCGTGCCCAACTGCCTGATCAGTAGGTAGTATCACTGACGTCGTTTCGGCCCGTCCAGCCTCTAAAGCGAGAACGATACAAGAGAGAGACGGGGAACAGAGCCGGTGAAGAGGGTGTTTGTTGAAGCCGCCCAATTGACAACCTAAGTCCCGCCCCCTACTCGGGCTGGATCGATCTATAAACCTAGATTTTTTCCATGAGAAAGCTGCTATGGCACTGCGGTCCCGATGAGTCGGATTGCTTATCATTCGCGAAGCGCCTCCCAAGCATCGGGAAGAGCCGGTCATCAAACACACGCCAAAAAAGCTTCTGAGGGTACGGTCATTCTGCGATGGTCGTGGAAATCGATACTATTTTTAGAGCGTATCGGCGACGGATGAACCCCGGTCAGGTTCCGATATTAGGCAAAGACAGAATGAGCAAGTGGTCACGAACACACAGAAGGTCGCCCGCCGGGCCGCTATAAAGGTCCGCGAGCTGTCACTGGACGCACAGTTTCCGGCCCTACAACCACACTCGGCGGCCCGCACTGGCAGACTTGAATGACTGCACAACACATGTGCTGAGGATGTCGTCCCTGAACATTGAAGGGTCGCTCATATCCCAACAAACTCCGTGCAAAAGGGCATCGAAATGAATCATGTGGTCAAAGGGCTTGATAATGCCTAAATTTTTAGTCTGAAGGGATGCGCACAGGATGTGATTCAATTGCAGCACTGCTGCTGTTTCCCTAGCCCAGGTGGCTCAGTGTCCTGTCTATTATTTCGTGGATACTGATATCTCGAATGGTCAGTCTAAGTATGTGTTAATGAGACTGGTAGAGAGCAAGTAAGACCAATATATTAAGTATACAGAACAGGAATATAACCACAACATACCTCACCCCAGGGAGCTCCAATTCATTACATAAAAGTGCTTCCAGGCCCCCTCCGGAGGCCATCACTGGAGGCGCCTTCCTATTTGGTACCTAGCAGGCCATTTGTCCACTGCATGCAGGGTGCACTGGACATGGCTTTTGGTTGTTTTGATGTACTCTGGCAGTTATTATTTAGGCCTAGACAGTGTCTTAGCTCACAAAACCCTGTATATATTGCTTCTGGTTGATGCATCATCACTGCATAAAATCCTTGGTTTGTGCACCAGAGCACTCCACCTGTGTACAGAGAGGTAAGCTCGTGTATTTGAACAATTTAAGACACAAGTAGCTCGTGTACAGGCACCATAATGTAATTTAGCAGAAAAAGCAGTCTGCAGCCTCCATGGCCTCCAAGAACAGTGAAAATAGATGGAAATGAGGCCAGACCATCTCAGATAATGCTGAAACATCTCTACAGACTCTCAGAGTTGGTTTGGCAGACACTTGAGCTTGAAAAACACATACTGGAGCACCTAACATGACATACCTCCACTGCCTCCAGGGTGCAAGACAAAGAGCAGTATTTTGATTCAGCTGCGCATGGATTTATTTTGCCTGCTCTCCAACCCCAACATTTTTGGATGCTCAATCCGGCCTTCAGTTCTGTGTGAGACACTCTCTGTGGGGCTGCAGATAAATGTTAGCAGGAAGCACAGCTGGCCTCCAAAGCCTCCCAGTTTTACAACTGTAGGCCTTTGTTGTCAGGGGAGACGTGTCAGCAGGATGAGGTCATTGGTATTGATCCGGCGGTGTTCCGGCGGTGATCCGAGGGTTATCAGTCAGCGGTGTCATGCTCCTTACGTCATCTACTTGTATATAGATAGTTGCTGGGGATCTCTGATCCCCAGTCTTGTTATCGACTTGGCCCCTGGGCTCCACTCCCCTTACATTTGTTTGAATCTATTGCTTTCTAGTGTGTCTAAAACTTGAAAGGAAGCCTTAAAAATGCAAGGCTTCACTCCAATTTTATGCTGGCAACAGTGAATGAAAAGTAGCAGAGGTGGCCTCCATTGCCTCCAGGCCTCTAGCACCTCTCAATCGCACTTCAGTTTCACAATTTGATAAAGTACTGCTCTCTTAATCAAGGGTAGTTGAATCTCTGTTCCCCAGTCTGGTTATTGATGTTACAGAGCAAGTACATTAGAGGATGGCAGACCTTGGAAGTGCTGGAGGCACATGCAGGATCAAATCAATATCATCAATATCATCAATGCTATCAATGCCATCAATATCATCATGGATCATTGGTAGATTGATCAGCCAATCATATGATGAATAACCACCTAACATTGAGTATATTTATCCTTGAAAGGCACAGACTACATGTATGCTCATACTGAAACTGGATTACTGGTCCCAGGACATATCTTAACAACATATTACACTCTTGTCTCAAGGACATATGTTTTAAATTCGGAGTTTGCAAATGAGCTGAAAAACGTCTGGCATGCCTAGGGCCATATGGCTTCTTGGGGTGCCCACGTTGGACTCACTCGCCAAGACATACCAGTTGGCCAATCCAGCACGTCGTATTCCAAAAGTATGATGCAGTGGGTTGACCCACATCAAAAGTACCATATGGACAATGGGGCGGGGTCCTGATCAGTCAGGACCTGTCCGATCATTCAACTTTTTCATTACCATAAAAAGCAACCGATCTTAGATAGCGTAGCTACTATGCAGTTGTACAGGACTTTACTAAGCATCATTGTAGACAGTATAAGTAGCGCATCGTTTCTTTGTATTGGGGAGCTTCCCCCGGATTGTGAATCATACCCATATCAGATTGTTTTGTGCAATTTGCATGCCACGTGATTCCGCCCTAAGAAGTTCTGTTACCCCTGCCCGGTCGCGACGAGTTGCTCCCTGAGCACTTGTAGCTACTGTGATTTGAGTTTGAGTTGAGATATCAGAAAGCCGGATTCGCTGCTTCTGATTTTGTTGCGGCACTTAGTGTTGTCGCCTTTGAGCTTTGTTGAGATTGTTTCCACACCTCTAGCTTGGCAGTGCATTGACTAGTTGTGCTCGGGTAGTTTTGGTCAGTTGACAGTGCATCAGGGAAAAGGATCTGATGTGTATCCGGGTATCAAACACATGGTAGTTGTATCGTCAGCGCGTGATTCGTAGTGTGTCGTAACCTGATGTAGCCTCTGTAGCCGCCAGTCCTTGCTATAGGTGCTATGTGAATTGAGGGAGGCCAGAATCATCAAATTTCGCTTTCACAGCTTGTTTTTAGATGGAATCCAATATATATGTCTATCTTACAGCCCTAAGGAATACGAAATCGATGTGTCTAAGATAGCAATTCAGATAGAAGGAAGTACACTCATCGAGGGGATCGTCCATGGACAGAACTGAATCTACAGAAGTGATAGCAAAGTTTGGTATAAGGTGGCAACTACGAGCGATCCAAGTGACAGGTATGATAGAGGCATGGCGGACATGGGAGCGGCTGGCGGGGGTGATAACAAACATGCCCATATCTGTGTCAAACTTCCGGAGTGGCTTGAACCATTCGACGTAAGCTAACGGCTTTGGCAGAAGCCATATTCAACCGGTAGGCTGAATATGGCACGGACCCGTGCCGGTGTCAAGTCTGTGTAAGGTCAGAATGGTGTTCCCAACTCGACGTGCGTACATACCTGTCAGAACTTGACCTGCATGATCACCGGCAGGTTTCTTTTGATGTGCCAGGACGGTATCAAAGTGCAGGGGAATTGCCTTCTTGGTACCGATGGCGGGTTTTGGCGGTGTTGCACGCACAGGATCTTGAGTAACCTCATCAGTGACATGTTCGACAGGCAGGATGTGTATCATGACACGTTTGTAGACGGCAAATAGGGCTTCGATATCGTCGAAGTCGCGGGGGAGGATGTTGTTCTTCTCTAGAAACTCCTGGAGGTACCATTTGAAATCCGTTGTTCCGTACTCGTGCTCGAGCATGTCAATAGTTACGTTGCGTCGAGGGGCGGTCTTAGCAACAGCATAGTGAGTGGTCCGAGCTTGAAAGACAGGCAGGTCCTCGCCATCCTCGAGTTCATCCTGCTCTGCCACGTCACCATCTTCTTCATCCTCATCCGGGTCCTGATCATCACCTGTTCCGAAGTCCTCGGCTTCGTATCCCGGCACCACCCATTGGAGGTACGCAGTGAACCGGTCAAGTGCCTCACGCCGTGATAGCCAACGAGTCATCTGTTGAATGTAACCATTCTTGTTTGATGAGTTGTACCCCATCTTTGCGTAATTGATGTGCAACCGCTCCGAGAGCTCGGTATTGAATCCGTCAGCTGTCCCCTTTGAGCGGATCTGGTCAACGTAGTGCTTCATGGCATGAATCTTGGGGATATTGAAGTGTTCTCGGATACCCTTTGCGATGAAGACATCCTTGTGCGCATGGAAGAGAAGCCAAGCCTCCTCGAGTGCCTGGAGCGATGACGTAGTGTGCTTCTCAAAGTGAGCATAGTGGATGAAGTCAAGGACGCCGCGCACGGCGCAGATAACATTGGCATCAACAGCGCCGTGAATCACCCCAAGAAAGATCTTCTCCATGTGTTTGTACTCGTTGCCAGTCCACTGGGAGACCAGGGAGATGCCGGATTTGAAATGACGTAAACTTGGATGACTCAGCATTGCCCGAAAACGTGAGTCGACCTCCTGCTCGTTCTGCTTCTTGGTGTTGCCCAGGTCAACAGAAGCAGTTGCCCAGCTTACGGTATGATCCTTGAAAACACCCTTGTGTAGCTGGTGGAGGATATCAGGTGTGAAACATTGGAAGATGTCGCAATGGGGTAGATTGTGCCAGAACGGTTCTGTAAGACGGAGCCCGAGTGTCTCGAACTCGGCAGGCTCTTGTCCGTCCGCTTGTTTCCTCATCAGCTTGACAGTCTTGTCAGGATCCCGTAGTGTGGACGCGATTGGATCACCGCGTTCATCAGCATCAACGTCACATTGCGGACAGCGTGTCTCTTTGCAGCACGCAATGAGACACTGCTCCGGATAGTCTGCAATGTATGCAGCCAAAATGGGATACACAAGGCGCCATTCGCCATCTGCACAGAGCATCTCGACACCATTCTTCCCAGCTTCGACCAATGGCTCAAGGAGCATGCGCATACAGTTATGGAAGAACTGTTGGCCGGCAGCACCGCGAAGCTTCTGCGAGAAGCAGTGCATCTTTGTCACAGGGATGTATCCGATCAGAACCGTAGCCTGTGCAGATGGTTTTCGACGAAGGGCTTTCGGGATGTTGCCGATGGTGAGGTAGACTGGCCATGCTTGCTTATCCCCACTAAATCGAGACAACTGTGTCTTATCGGAAGCTAGGATGACAGGACTAATTGTAACGCCCTCGGGTAGCAGCTCCTGTGAGTTGTGTAAGCAGAGAATACAAGAGTCCATCAGTTGTCACGCACCTGCATTTTCCACCACCAATCGCCTGTCCACATCTCATTGATCTCACGCTCCTTTCCCTGTGCATCTCGGTACACCTTTGTAGGCTCGTAACGCAGGTGCTCCCGAAACCCCGGATTCTGCATAAGCTCCCTGATGCAGTCAAGCGGATTCCGACGCCAAAACTCGACCTCCTCTTTCATCTTGTTCTTCTTCTTGTCCTCCAAGTCACCCTCGATCTCCACCACCTCACAGATCCACTCTGGGCCCATAGGTAGCAAGTCCACCTTCTGATATAGCTTGCGAGCGTTGTGGAATGAGGGCTTTGCACCAACCTTTATCTGCGCACATTAGCAAGCTCCCGAATTGAAAATGACACATCCCACACCTTCTGTAAGTTGAGAAGCTCGTCTAAACGCCGTCTACTGACACCCGACGTCACCATCCACTTTGCCAACTCCCAATCCTCTTTGCTGTCGAACGGTGCCCACGGCGGAAGTTTCTTCGTCTGCTGCTTGCGTCGCAAGTTCTCGAACACAGTCTCCGCAGGTGACCATTGCTCAATCACGCATCCTGCTGGCAGCGGGAAATAATCGTAGTACGGCCCCGGCAAGTCCCCCTCGTCCTCGATCTCCTCGACTCTCGGAACTCGCAGGAGTGGTGCTGGCGGATTGTCAGCTGGAGGCTGGATGTCTGTGAACTGCGACATGGGAGGTGATTCATCGCGTAGAAGTGAATCTTCACGCTGCAAGGTGATCTCCGCACGCGTCTTCAAGAGCTGGGCATGGCAGGCCACACTCTGGGAGGTATGGGACTTGAGCCCACGGTTGCTGCCAAACTTCCGGCGGCAAAACTGGCATTGAAACACTTTCTTAGGCGATGATTTGGCCATGAGCAGAGCAGAACGTCTGAGCCGTGCGTACTAATATCACCAAACAAACTCCTTTTTCCTTCTTCCAGTGTGACCGACGTCGGGCCACAATGGTTGGCAGCCGCAGAGCTCAAAACACCATGCAGTCCGAGCCAGAGGACGATGAACCAGCCCTCAATACGGCACAGAGGGGCAAGAAAAAGTCGAAGTCCACTCTGATTACATCTTCTGCACCAGCGCAGCCTCGTCCCAAATGGACCAAGCAACCCACCGCCGCTCATTTACAGCAAGGTGCTTGTTTCTTTTTTCACATTACACATCCCTGACTGATGATTTCTCTAGCACAAATCGACAGCGCTGCGCAGGCGAAGCTCGTGGAAGACTTGCAGCGCAAGCTTGCCAAGGAGAAGCGCAAAAACGAGCGTATCGAGGGCAAGAGAACTTCCCTCTGCACATCTCATCATATACTAATCGCTTTCCAAGCTGAACTGAACGATCTGGACAACTCTCGTTTGCGAGCCGAGTCGGAAGAGCGAGATGAGCCCCAGGTCCAAATGTCATCATTTTCAGGCTCTGTAAGTCTCCCATGCCATGGAGAGACGTCTCTGACCATGTCTAGTTCCGCTCTAAAGGTATTGTGGGTGGGACCAAGTTGGTACCGGTCCCAGCGAAACATCTGTATCGGGCCGGCGAGAAGCCAGTCAGATGTGCGTGCCCTTCTTTGCACCCGCTTGACACTGACTTTTGGTATCAGACTCTCAAGCTCCTGCTGGTGAGGATTACAACAAGGAAGACGAAGATGATGAGCAAGACGAAGACGAAGACGAAGCACAGCAGGTTGGAAAGCACAGTGACGGTGGGCTGCAAGACGAGGACGAGGATCCATTCAACAATCACGACTCCCATTCCTCAGTGTCTCCCCCATCATGTGCGTCCCTTTTGCTTCCTCGATTCTCTCTCATTGACTGTCCTAGTTGTCATACACAGTGCCCAATCACTGACTCCAACACCACACACACCCACCAATTCGTCGTCAGCCATCCACACACCCAGCACAGCTGTGCCGCCATCTACACAAGTCCAGAAGCGCAAGAGCACCGGGAGCGTTTCCACATCTTCTGGGAGCCAGAAGCGCCGCAAGTTGGGCCCACCGGGAACAGCGGAGAAAGTTCCGGCCCTCAAGAAGGTTCAGTACGTCAATGGACACTCGCCGGCACGGGCTCGCACCAACGCTAGCGACTTTGTTCATGCTGTCGAGCTCAAGGTCAATGAGGCTCGCCACATCTTTGCTATCAAGGTCTACACTATCAACGGCTTTCCGACACCGGCGCAGGAGGACGAATGGGTGGACGAGTGCTGGTTCAAGGTCAATGAGAGGTCCGTGGAGAAGTATGAGCTCATTGACCGCGTGTCCAAAATGGTATGCGGCATCATGTCGTGCAGTGTCCGGTATTGACTCGGACTGACAGATATCCCAGTACACCACCAATGCTCGCACCGTCATGATTACCGCCATCCGTCCTCTCATTCCTGGTGCATTCAATCTCCGCTCCGGTCTTGATGCTGCTACCACCACTGCGAACGAGGAGACCGCTAAGCGATTGATTAGGAAGGCATCCTTTCACTACAAGGTGTGTCGTTGTCATGACTCCGGTTGCATTGCTGATCATATTTCAGGATACGGTCGCGGAAACGGGGTTCATTCAGGGCCCGATCATCCACGATGCGCTGAAGGCGGTCTGCTTCCCGCAAAAGAAGTGCCAGGGCGTTGAGTTTGCCTCTGAGTTCTCGCCCATCCGCGTCGAAACACTTGCTCTGCTCTTCACTATAGTGAGTGGTTATTCTATGATGACTGGGGCTACTACTTACTTTGTGTCCAGATCGAGTTCTTGCTTCGCGAGTGGGAGGACGGCACTTTCACGAAAGCCACCTTCGATGAGACCGAGGGTGCTAGATGGTACAAGACACACCTCGGCAACATCACGGACTGGAATGCGTTGCTTCCAGCGTCGTCCGAGAGGTTCCGCCAAGCCCTGCATGACACACTGCGGTGAGTAACTCCGCGTCCACATTGCTTCACTTCCTGATCTGTTGTTTAGACAAGGTGTTGGGGCCGCGCGTATCCAGTCTGCTGGATCTCTTGACGACGCTGCACGTGCTCGTGCACTTGCAGAGCTAGAGGCGATGAACGTCAATGAGCCGATCGTCATTGCTACGGATGCTAGTCGGGCCGCTGCTCAAATTGCCTCGGGATGGTAGCAGTACTGAATAGTTACCTGTTTTTTTTGAATTGAATGCGTCCATATTCTCACAAAATACCGTGCTATAATAAGTTTTGAGGCTTCACAAAGAGCTACGTGTGGGTTATAGAACATCTGCAGGCGTACACATCACACCACATCAGGATACATGACAGGTGGTGATTGATACATGATGCTACAGGTGGTTACAAGCGCCTTAGTGGCGGATACAGCGGCTACAAAACCTGGACTTTCCAATAGGAATACGAGTGATACATGGCCTTTATATCCCAACGTAGCGAGGGTCTTTTTTGCTGATGTGCGTCGACTTGAGAACTTTGGTTCCACACTTCTTGCTTGGCAGTGCATCGACAGGTTGTGCTCGGGTTTTGGACATTGGATATTGGCTGTTAGTTGGCAGTGCATTGACACGGCATTTTGGTTTTACTAGTTGGCAGTGCATCAACTCAGTACTTTGGTTGTGTCAGTTGGCAGTGCGTTGACTTGACATTTTGGTTCTACTAGTTGGCAGTGTGTCGACTCAGTATATTGGTTGTATTGGTTGGCAGTGCGTCGACTTGATATTTGGGCTTTGCGTCGCCATCTGAACGCTGTTGCTACAAGGGATCTTAATACTTTGTATTAAGCGCTGACTTGTGATATTGTTGGTTGTGGTTGGATTAGTGTTGGTTTTGGTTGTATAGAAGATATTGGTTGAGACACCACTGTTTGCTATATATAAATTCTTGTTGTCGACTTTGTCTTCTGCGACTATTGAATCTGCGTCTATTGAGAGTTGTGATACTGGTGTTCTGTTCACCCCAAAGCCCTTGCATCTTTCACACACTGAGAAGCTGATTACAAGGAGTGTAAACATGTTTATATTTGGGTTTACTTCATAGTAGATTCACCTGTGAGCACACGCTCAGCATTTCACCAGTGCAGAAGTTTGCAGAAGAAGCAGAGAAGGAGAAGGAGCAAATGACTGAAGGGAAAATTCCGGATCAATACCGGGAGTTTGTCAAGGTCTTTGCAAAGGAATTGTTTGACTTGCTGCCAGACCGACAGGCATGGGATCATGTGATCAAACTCAAACCTGGTTCCAAAGCAGTGGACTGCAAGGTGTACCCACTATCACAAAATGAGCAGGTCAAACTGGACGAATTCTTGCAAGAGAACCTAGCCAGCAGATGGATCAGGCCATCAAAGTCACTGATGGCATCCACGTTCTTCTTTGTCAAGAAAAAAGATGGCTCATTGAGACCCGTTCAAGACTACCTGAAGTTGAATGAGATGACGATCTGAAACTGATACCCACTACCACTGATCTCCGAGCTGGTCCACAAGCTGTGCAGTGCTAAATACTTCACAAAGCTGGACATCCGATGGGGATACAACAACTTCTGCATCAAAGAAGGCGACAAATGGAAGGCTGCTTTTCGGACAAACCGCGGCCTCTATGAACCATTGGTCATGTTCTTTGGCCTCACAAATTCCCCAGCAACCTTCCAGAGCATGATGAACAACATACTGTGGGAACTGATCAACAAGGGACACGTGGTAGTCTATCTGGATGATATATTGATCTTTACAGAGAACCTGGAGGAACACTGGCGGATCACAAAACAAGTACTTGAACTGCTCCAAAAGCACAAGTTGTACCTGAAGCCCAAAAAATGCGAGTTTGAATGCACGGAAATCGAATATCTAGATGTAATTATTGGACACAATTCGATGCGGATGGACCCAGTCAAGATCAAGGGCGTGATGGAATGGCCCGAACCAAAGAGTGTCAAACAGGTCCAAGCATTCCTGGGGCTCACCAATTTCTATCGACGCTTTGTCCGAGGATATGCAGAGGTTGCCAAGCCATTGACACGGCTGACAGGGAAGGCAGGATAGTCATGGGGTACGGATGAGCATGCGGCATTTGATGGATTGAAGAAGTGAATCGCGGAGGATGCAGTCCTGGCATTGCCAAATGACACTGGCCAATATTGTCTGGAAGCCAATGCTTTGGAAGGGGCAACAGGATCCGTTTTGAGCAAAAAACAAGATGGCATTTGGTGCCCAATCACGTTCATTTCACATGCATTGACTGAAACCGAGCGAAATTACGAGATCTACGACAAGGAAATGCTTGCAATCATGCTATCATTGGACAAGTGGAGGCAGCTACTACTGGGAGCCACGGAAACATTTGAGATCTTCACTGATCATCAAAATCTTGAGTATTTCTGGAAGCCACAAAAGCTCAACCGACGGCAAGCACGATGGATCACCGAGTTGGCAGAATTCGATTTCATCTTACAACACTGGCCTGGCGCACTCAACCGCAAGGCAGATCTCTTATCACGACAAGCAGATCACAATCAGGGCAAGAACAACAACAAGGACATCACGCTACTGAAGCCCGAGTTCTTCTGATCACAAGAAGTCACATTCGAAGGGCAAGATCAGCAGCTGATCAATGAGATCAAAGCCATTTGATCGATTGATGGAAGTGTCAAGGCGGCCCTAGAGAGGTCACTCGTTGGATGGAAAAAAAAGATAGACTCATCACATATCATGGAAAGCTCTATGTACCGAGGGACAAGGAGCTGCGAGACAAAATCATTGGGCTACACCACAACACGCCTTTGGTCAGACACGCTGGGATCAACCGAACGCAGGAGATGGTGGAAAGGAATTACTGGTGGCCTAGGATGGGGAACCAAATTCGGAAATATATCCAGACATGTGAGGCATGCCAACAGACCAAGACCAGGAGAGCAAGGACGGGGACTCTGCATCCGCATGCGATTCCAAACGCGCTGTGGAAAATCATCTCCATGGATCAAATCTGACCCTTACCGGTCAGTAATGGGCATGATGCAATTCATGTGTGGTGTGACACCTTCACCAAAATGATCCATGTCGAACCAATTAGTACTGACATCAGCAGCAAAGGAGTAGCACGGTTAACCAGTGTTGGATTTAAGTAGAATTCCTGGGATGCAGCTTGGCTGTCCCAGAATGCTCCAGATCATTAGATAATTGTATTTAGTCATATACTGGTCAATAGTAGAATATTCTAGATTACTTACATTACTAGTATATAACTAGGCTGGTATGTAGTCTAAAGGGCATCAGTTTGCCCTAAAGCAATCCAAGTTCAATTCTCATTGCTATTGCAAACCTACACTACAATTATCTAATCAACCCTTTGACCCATTTTTCTCAACAACCAGAGACCAAGTTTTCTGCTATCACGGGATCCCTCGCAAGATCATCACCGACAGGGACTCACAATACATCAAGGGCTTCATGAGGGAGACAAATTGGATGTTGGGCATGGAAATGAATCTGGGGACTGCATATCACCCAATCACGGATGGGCAAATGGAGCGCATGAATCAGGAGATCGAGCACTATCTCCGCATCTATGTCAATTACCATCAAACAGACTGGTTGGAGTGGCTGGGAATGGCGGAGTTTGCATATAACAACAAAATGAACACGTCAACCAAAATATCACCATTCTATGCAAATCACAGATATCACCCATGGAAGGGAGTGGAACAGTGGATGGAATCGAGGAACAAGTCGGTGGAGGAGTTTGTAAAAAGAATCAAAGAAATACAAGACAAAGCAAAAGCAGCACTAGAAAAAGCAAAAGACAAAATGAAAAAATACTACAATAAACAAAGAAAAGAAGTTCCGGAGTTGAAGGTTGGGATGAAGGTGTATATAGAAGGGGACAATATTGAGACGGATAGGCCATCAAAGAAGATGAGCGACAAGCGACTGGGACCATACGAGATACTGGAGAAGGTCGGAGCAGCCGCATGGAAACTGGATTTGCTGGATACGGACTGGAGACACCTGGTGTTCAATGAGTCACTACTGACGCCCTATCACGAACCACCCCCCCCATCACCAAGAGAAGAGACCCGTAGCCAAGATGATCAGAGGAGCAGAGGAGTGGGAAGTCGAAGAGATTGTGAAGGAATGAAAAGTCGGCCGAGGGAAGCAGTACTTGGTCAAATGGAAGGGATGGCCACATAGTAAAAATACCTGGGAGCCATCACGTCATCTTACCCACGCAAAGAAGGTCCTGAGAGATTGGCAGAGGAAACAATCCAACCCAGACACACGCATTCGCCTTCTGCCAACACTCAAAGCTGGACACTGGGACTATCTCATTCACCACTACAAACCCAGAGATGAACACCTTCCATATCCCCAACGACAACTCTTTGACCCTTACGAAAACGTCTTCACACCCATTGGCTCAGTCGATGAGGACATCAACCCTAGAGAGGGGGTAATGTCATAATTCAGCCCTTTTTCATCTTATCATTGATGATCTTATCTTATCTTGGCATGGATTATCTTATTGCGGATCATGGCATCTGACGGTCCGGGCTAGGGGTCTGGGGATTATCTTTATTGATCCAAGGCTGTGCGACATATGCTCTGGAAGGTTCTACTACAACCCATGACCAGTGCTCCATGTGGTACATAGCGTTATGACTCGTTAGTTGTAGATATGACTCAGACTGGATTTGGGTATAAATACTGTAGCTACTTGGTTGTATTCTCCAGTCTTCAAATTCACTTCTCTTTTCAACATTATGTCTTGTTGATTGTCACACAAAGTTCAGACCACAAATCAGGCACTCAATTCCATATTTGAAACACCCTATTACATGAACCAAAAGCAATATGTAATGACTTTTGTGAGCTAAGACATTGCATGGGCCTCAATAACAACTACCAGAGCACATCCAAACAACCAAAAGCCCTGGCCAGTGCACCGTGCATGCAGTCCACAAATTGCTTGCTAGGCAGGTGCCTCCACTGATCACCTCTAATCAGTGCTTCCAGGCGGTGGTTTGATGGCCTCCAGGGGGGCCTGGAAGCCCATTTACGTAATGAATTAGAGCTCCCCGGGAGGGCAGTGGTGCATGGTCAATCAAATCTCTTTGGAAACATCTGTGCTCCCATTACAGTAATCAGATTTGGACAGAACATTCATTCATTTTGTGATTATTCGTTTACTTTACAAAAATTAGTCTTCAGCGGATGAGCCAGTCCTCGGAATGAGCCGCTTCCTGAGCTTATTCTCATGGAGCAGAGAAACCCTCCGATCATGGATTACACACTAAACAGGGATGGACCGAGGAACCATTTCGTGACCTCTTGTTGCCTGCATGAATTTCAGCATGAAATTACGCATCCCAGATGCAAATTCATTCCCGGCAGCGTCCGCACAACATTTCACAATTGCCAGCAGCCTCACACACGTGCTCCACATGATGTCATCAGAGTGCCGCTCTTCGCCAGAAGCGCCAATAAGGCTCCTCTTGTATTGAACCCAATTCGGCTCCGTGACGGGTGGACGGACCCCAGCAGGTACTTAAAGCCGACGACGAGCCACCACCTGCCTTCCTCCGCTCGCTATTACCCCCGAATCACTCGCCCGATGCAACTTCCCTTGGTTACATACCTTTCAGCCCTCTGGCTTCTACCTATCGCTGTGTCTGCCACGCCGAGGATGGGCACCACCCAGATTGTGCTTGACGATGTCGTGGCGCTACCTGGGGACGACTCCTCTACTATGAAGACGATGCCAGAGACGACTGGTCTGCGCACGACCGCCGCCTGGGGATGGGAGGACTGCGGTACGCGTTCGCATCTCTCGCGTCTCAAATGCTCATCGCCGCCTCCTTCCGTGCCTATCTTTTCACCGAATCACGCATGCTGTCTATGAACGCAGGGTCGCCTTCGGATGGCATCATCGTCAAATCCCTGACCGTCTCGCCTGATCCCCCAGTCCCCGGTCAAGATCTCGTCGTGAAGGCTACAGGTGTTGCGAACTACGATATCGAGGTGTGCCTCCACGGCAGTTTTGATACGACGGGTACTGATTCCATAACCCCAGGACGGCGCGTGGGCGGATGTGGTCGTAAAACTCGGTCTAGTCAAGCTGCTGCATCGAAGGTTCGACGTATGCGAGGAAGCGTGCGTCTTATCCATTACTTGGCCGGTAGCTCGCTGAAATCGTGGTTCTCTTGCGTTTGCATTCCTGCAGTCGCAACGCAAACGCGTCCATCCAGTGTCCCATCAAAGAAGGGACCCATGAGGTGACACAGGTCGTTGCACTGCCGAAGGAGATTCCACGCGGTGCGGCAGCTTGCTTGTATTCGTCTGCAGGCCGTCTTACCCGTCTTTGCAGCTAAATTCACTGTCGACGTCAACGGGTATACTGCAGACGATGATGATCTGCTCTGTGTCAAGCTGAAGGTCGATTTCCTGCCCAACAGACGTTGGTTTGGACTGCTTTGAATCGTTGCACACGTAGTTTGTTAAAACCCGTCCGATGTATGCACTTCAATGCAATCAGAGTTCCTTGTCCAAGTCGAACGTACATCTTGCTCATAGGATTTACTGGGCACCGATCATCATGATTGATTGACGTCTGAGATCCGGGGATATTTTTATCTTTTACCTCTCCTATGCAAATTCGTTCATTCCTGAATCTCAACTCGCATCAACGTCCCGTTGTCTCACAAGTCAAATCCACGGGAGACCCGCAGCGGGAGAAGATCATGAGCACGGCGGGAGACCTGAACAGATGAATGAACTACAATCATGATCAGGCCAGGGCGTGTGGACTGAATGTCGGGCTACTGACGCCGTAACCGTTTCACGCCATAGCCGACGTTACTTCATCTCCTGTTTCTTCCCTCCTCCCTCCTCTTCCCTCCCATCCCCTCATTCTACTCCAGAATGTTCCCCTCCGTTGTCGCTATCTCCCTCGCGGCCCTGCTATCCACAGCACAGGCGCTCCCGGACGGCGTGATTGCCACTGGCACACAGGGAACGACCAACCCACCAGTGCCCACGATGCCCACCACGATTAACCAGAACTCTATGGCCCGTTTGCTGAGCGTGAACTCCATTGACGACTTCTGCATCTTCGCTCCTCCGAATCCCAACTCGGTCATCGGTAACACCGAGGTATGTTTTCGAAGCCGGCTGCATATGGTCGCTGATCCCGCAACGCAGACGGAAGAAGTCGCCTGGTGCACGCAGCCGCGCAACAACGCGCGTGTGATCCCCGACGGCGTCATAACAGGTCTCTCCTTCCTCAAGAACGACTTTTACGTGCAGATTTACGGGACGGGCGACTTCACGAAGCTGAACATTCAGCCGGGTGACTACGGTGGCGAGCTCGATCCGCATGGCGCCAGCGGTGCGGGCAACCCCGTCGGTGGCAACGTCAGTGTCCCCATCAACGGCGTCGAGCAGCCCATCGCGGAGTGGATGATGTACATCGACTTCAATCAATTCTGTCTGCGCGCATGCACGAATGCGAACTCGACGTACAGCTCGCAGTACATGTGCTGGCATGAGTTGGATGAGATGGGTTGTGAGTATGTCATGCCGGGAACATACCACCCGCCTGGTACCTTGTGCGTTTCGTCTCTGCCTCTGCTCACCTATTCTCATCCAACTCCTTTTTAGCGAAACCTGCGATGTGGACGTTGCGAACCCCCCCGGCTGGTACCCGACATCCTGGTCTAATGGCGTTCCTGTTTCCTTCTCCACATTTGCGCAGTACTTCGAGGGTGCTTACACTGGTGGTGATGGTCTCCCGACGTCCTACACGGTCGGCACGACTGTAACTCCGACAGCGCCGTTCTTCACACCCTCTTCTTCGAACTGTGTATCGCAGGCCACCGTTGGAAACGGACTTGCCGCCGACCTCGTCACTGCCGGTGCATCTGGCACGGCTCCCCCACCCGGCTTCTCGTCCCAGGCTAACGCCCCGCCGACGAGCGTTCCCATCTCTAGCTCCAGCTTAAGCTCTAGCGCCAGCGCCAGCGCACTGGCAGCTGTGACGCCTGCTGTCAGCACCAGCACCAGCGTCTCCACTGTCCTGAAAACCACATCGAAGAGCACCGCGAGTGTTGCCAGCCCGACCGTCGGCGGGAATGCCGGTGCTGCTGCTGGAGGTGCTGTCCCCGTTGTATCTTCGCCAGCCGCTCCTTCTGTCAGCGGAACCAGCAACGCCCGCCGTGCCGCTGGGGACAACCAGCTCATCGGTGCTGCGATCGTTAGCTTTGTTGCCTTGGTAGGATCGGTCCTGCTTCTCCATTGATTTTTAGGTGAACTGCTATCCTCTGGTACTTACTGATCTGACTCGCATGGACTTTGATAAACTTGCCTGTCTTGCCGCTCTTTACTTCACATTCTTTACTTGCTTACTCACTGATTTGGTTAATCGTCACAATTGAAAGGTGTTTGTTTGGGGAATCTTCACTCGGCCGCCTCGTCTTAATTGTCTTTATTGAGTGGGTGAAGACTTCGATAGCAGTGATCATGGGTGAATGTCGTCGTGTGCTGCGAAGCTTCCGGGCCCGGGAATCATACGGGAAACATCATTCAGCGGCGGCGGCCTGAGTAGACACAGCGCTGGACGCGCAGATCATTCGGGCCACGGGTACATCATGCGGACATTCCGTGTGCTTTCCCCCGCACAGAAAAGACCAGAAAACGTCAAGTTAAGGTCATCAGGCATTACAGAGCGTCGATGCTTGTCTCCCAGTCCGATAGGTCGTCCCCTCGTAAGAGCTGCCTTCTGGCTCAAAAGGGTCGTATAGAAGACGAAGATTTTCATCGTCGATCAGCTCGTTGTTTACGACAGCCATGGGGAGTGCTGAACGTGGCTTGGAGACGAGTGCAAAGACTATCAGTCCCATCAGCAATTTGACAGATGGCAGCTGCCGTAGCAGGCCCCCGGCTACTACACTAAAGGTCAGTCCGTCCCGGCACCTTGATTTGCACTAAAAATTTGGGCTCTTGCCACCTTGATTTGCACTATTCCGGACCGAGGTCACCAAATTAGGCAATTTTTGATGTACCGCTATTTTACATGTCTAAGCGTTTCTGAGCGTCCCTGGCGCCTTGCTGGCGCCGAGAGCACAACTTAGACCTCTTTACAGCATGCACGGAAACTTTCAAAGACTTTTTGGACGTCTTGGACGCTCTCGCGTTGGTCTTGGCCGTTGTAGCCTTGGATTGGGGTACTATACATAGATGTAGCGTAGATTGACAACAAAATCACAGATGCTGCTTTATTGCGGAAAGCCAGGAGAATTGGCTAAAATCTGGGCTTTGGAGACATATAATCTCAAAAAGATTCGCCGGCAAAGTCGGCGATTTGCACTATATACGCCTGGGGTCGGGGCCTCCGGCCCCGATTTGCACTGTATCTCCGCCTGAGATTTGCCCATTTTCGGGCCTTGATTTGCACTATTCCGGACTGATTTTATAGGGAGTAGCCGGGGGCCTGCCGTAGCCACGCAGCCGAATATTCTTCTGTATCTGCGAAACAACAAGCCATCAATCTAGAAGTAAACCGGACTCGAGGCTCATGATCACCGCGTCAACCCAGCCGTAACTTCGCTCTCCCCTCCCCATCCTCCGCTCGGCATCCATCTGTCTCGTTCCCGTCGATGCCCAGCAACATTGAGCGACCGTATAGCAGAGCTGAGACCACGCCCTTCCGTGCAGGTGCTGGGATCAGGACCAGGGTTGACTCGGGCAGTTCATTCAGGGAGCCCATCTATAGGGAGAGCGCTATCGCTCCCAGTTATGTCCCGAACACTTACGTCCCGAACTACTCTCGTGTCTCGAGCTTCAGGTGCGTCAACCTCCGTCTAGACAAGTGACAGATTCTGACACCTAGTGGCACCTCAGGTCCCCAGAGATGGAGGTGCTGCTCTACTCACCAGAAGTTTCGTCAATGGAAATCGCCGCCTGGCCGGGGAGGACACGCGTCGTGCCTGCGTACGCGGAGCAGGACATCGTCACGGGCAAGGTCCTCTTGAATCGCAGCTGTCGAGCGGGACGGCTCACACTCACGGTATGTTTCGGGCCCGTATGCGCGTCGTCATTGCCCTGCGCTGATCATTCCTGTGTTCGCCCAGCTCTCTGGTACCTTCACTTCCATCCCGGGGTAAAGAACGTGGACAAGCTGGTGTCGAATTCCGCTCCGGCCCAGAAGAAACGGCTCTTTTTCTCTACTTCCAAAGTCATCGACGTCATCTCAGAGTCGCGTGGAAGTACTCTTCTCCGACAGAGTCGAGCGGTGGAAGCGGAGACGCGCACATTCCCATTTGCATTCGACCTGGGAAAATGCCAGAAGCCGGGACACCTTTTACCCGCATCGTTCTGCTCGTCGCTGGCTGCGTCCATGGTGACCGAGGTGTCGTACGAGCTTTGTGTATATTGGGAGCCGTCCAAAGCGACGTTACCCATCGCTCAGTACGTCTATTTCTGTTTGCAATGCCATCCGCTGATCGCTTCATGACTCTAGGTTGAGCATTCCATTCCTTCTACAGCGAGAACCAGAATTTCAATCAGAAAATGCTCCGCCACCGAATTCTTGGATCGAAATCCCTCTCAAATCTCACCGACCCGTTCCGGTCAAGTGCGCGGTGAGTACGGAAGACCATCATCTTCGTTTTCCAGGCGACTTCTCGATCTGATGTATCTGTTTCATGGACAGGTTACCCTGCCAACCTCCTTGAACTTTTCCCGGTCGTCGAACATACCCTTCTTTGTGGTATTTACGACCTCTCCACGTTCATCTCATCTCGCACGTGAGATCGCTACGGATGCGACCGTGTCGGTGACGCTTACGAGCGAGTTCTTCTGCGCCGACGACCCTGGGCTGGCAGGACCTTCGATGGCCCCGACGCACGCCCGCGACTCCAGCTCGGGCACAGAGCCGGGGACCTTCCAGAGCGAGTCCAGCAGCATGATGTCCGGCGCCGACTCGCGCTCGTCGCGCTTCATCAAGCGAATCCGATCCTCCGCATCGTTGTTCTCGTCGTCCAACTCGTCGTACTCGACCGCAGAGTCGCAGACAAGCACCATGATGAGCACGAAAACTAAGACACGGTCGAGGATGGGCTCGGCGAAAGGACCTGTCAGGGTTTCGAAACCTCTTCCTCCGATACCCGACGGGCCGGACACGCAACCGACGACGATGTACAATGCGATCTCCATTGGATTCCCGAAGAGGCCGAGGCATCGGCTGAGTGAGGGAAAAGCCCACCCATCACTGGATGCGCAGCGGTCGTTGCCAGATGGGCTTTTCAAGGATAAAATCCCCCTCGCTGCGGATATGTTGCCGAGCTTCAACTGGGGCGGCGTGTCGCTCAAGGTTAGTTTCCTCTCTCGATTCCTCCATCCCTGCGTCCTGCTGACTTACTTGATTAGTATTTCTTCGAGGTATCAGTTTTGGTTGGCCAAGATGAGCTGCAGGCCAAAATTCTGTTGCGCATCACATAATGCCCGTTGACTGAGCATGATATGTATAATTTATTTATTTTCGTCTCGCCATGCCTATTTAATCATGTAGTAATCCGTTGTCTATCAAGTACACCCGGCTTGTTTGGGCCAGGAGGACTGGCTACATAGTAAACACTTTCGTTGCTGAAATCAAAACTTGGATAAGGGATGGATGGGCAACGGATCAGGACCTTGGATTTATTCTTCGCGTGGACAAACAACACGGCATCCGCAGATCGTGGTCTATCGTGGCTTTCAATGAGACCGAAAGTGAACGTCTGGTGGCTCAGATGCGGCCAAACATCATCTGATCTAAAAACGATGAGCACACTGTCTATCATACAACCGGAGCAGACCGGACATTCTTCGACGAAGGCATGGGGAGTGCTCAGCGAGCTGCCCCCCTCGACGGATTACCGTGTCGAATCTCCGTTGCTTGTTGTGTGTGCTGATTCCAAGTGAGGAGATCAGTGGTGATCGTTCGGCATCGCCCGAGATTTGCTCGTTCGGCCAAGAGATGGACAGTCGAGGAAAGCAATGCGGGGAAGTTGACACTAAGGCAAGTCTTTACAATTATAGATATCTTGGCCGGATTTGGAATGGGTATACTTAGTCTGACTAGGTACAGTCCGTTATGCATTAAAATATCATAATCCACATTTCCATGTGCTTTTGTTGTTGGACGACTCTGTTGATCATGACTTTGAAATCCAAACTGAGAATTTTCTGACAGCAGAGGACAAGACCGAAAAGACTCATTTCCGTGATTTTTTTTTTACTTTCTTGCGGCTGCAGAAAATCTCATTCGCAAAATGGGATTGCGCATCGTCAAATATTCACCAACTTGATCTCTGCTGCGGGTGCCAGTCGCTATTGAATCTGTGCGTGCACCGGTCGAGAAGGCCGCAAAAGGGAGGCACATAATCATCAGCCTAAAGATGCAGTTATTTCACCCAACCGAATATTAATATCAGAAAAATGCTGATGATATGTTACTTCACTGTGCTTCGTTCAGGCAACATCTGGGCAGTTTCAGACCTGATAACTTTTGTTCCGACTGACTGGAGAGTCGCTCAGAACGAGATACTTTCTACACATTTGACGCTGAACGCGGGGGAGTGGAAACCGCCGTCGTTTGAAATTACCGAGAGTGCTGGGCTTCTTCTGATTATACTATAATAGAGTTCTCGGCGGAAACTCCCATCTTTGTTATCGCGGATGTATCATGTGCGCTGTGCGATCGGCGTCGGGCCGCATCGCCACGTGAGTTTTCAATCTCGGTCCCTCGGACGCTTTAATCCTTTTATTGCTTCCTCTGGGACGCGGTTCTTCGCACGGGTCCGAAGCGGCGCTCTGAGCAGACCGGGCGAGTTCACCGACTGCGGTAGTTTCAGGCTCGGCACACGGCGGATTATTTGTCTCGTGTCGCTGCATTTTAGAGCGGTAGTCCAGACTCTGTTGTGAGTTACCCGACTGATGGCCGATTTTCAGGTGATCGTACCTCGAGGTACCACAGCGACGAGCTCGGCGGTGTCCGGTTACGCGAAGTTGCTCGCGTCCTTTTGAGGTTTTGGCGTTTTGGAAATCGCATGCGCTTCGCCCTTCCTCTTCTTCCACCCACGCCACCATGTCGTCGAATTTGAAGCCTGTCATCTTCCGAATCGTGTAATGCTCTTCCCTCGACAGGTCATTCGCGGTCGCTGATTGGGCTCGGGATCACAGTTCATTCAGTCTGGCCGGAGGCGACATCTTGCAGACGATCCCGCAAACACTGGCGCTTTACCACAAGCAATGGGTCAACCGGTCGCTCAGTATTGCTTGTGTTGCATACGCCACGGCGCGCTACATGACGCTCATTTCGCTCATCACAAACGGGATCGGTGCGAAACTCAGACTGTCAATGGCGACAGCGCGTGAACAAGCTCTGCAGGCTTCTTCAGTACCGACTTCACTCTCCAGACATGCAAGCCGTTCTACATGGTGCCCAATATCACAGCTAGTTCGTGGACGAGCTCTTTTGACGGGAGAAAAGATTTTTACTTGGCTCGCAGTGATTGCAGGGATGGCCGTGCAGATCTTGGTGTTTTTAAGGTGCGTGACCTGGCCTTCTCTTGTGTGCTCCGCTGTATCATCTTCAGAACATACGCCATCTCCGGACGGTCTCCGCTGATCCTCTACGGCCTGGGCGGGCTTCTCTTACTTGGTTTCCCAGTGCGTGTCTGCAATTGTCCTGCGAGCGCTGATTGACTGATGCTGTCATAGGTGCAAATGTTCGGAATAGTCTATCATCGGGTGGTAGGCCCTCGCTGTCTTCTCGTGCTTCCTCGCGCTCACCAGATCGTCTCTCCCTAGCCTGAAGTCACAGGGGTGAGTCTGCCATCTATACGTTCTCCGCCGCTGCTGATCTCGACTTCAAGGGCGAGTGCGTCCGCATGCTTTTAGGAAATCTCGCATTCGGACGCTAACCGTATCTTCAGATGTAAAGGCAAGGTGTTTAATGAGGTGCGCCCCTTGCTCAGCCTGTTGATGATGTCGTAAACTCACTGTCTTCTCCAGACCGACTGGAATATCGTGTTCGTGCACAAAACTCTTCATTATCGTTTTTCTGATCCCCTGCTCTCTACAGATATTACAGCGCGCACATGGTTTACGATGTAATTGCATGTGCAGTCGGAACTTACTACCTGATCGCTTCTTCGCGGATCAGTGGAAGCTTGTGAGTAGCAGTCCCAGGCTTTTTTCGAGCTCTAATTCTCGGCAGCAACATGTCTGCCTTCATCCGTCGCGTGCTAAGGAACGGTCTTCTATACACCATTGCCGTTTTCGTTGCCAACCTGTAAGTTCCCGAATTATTTCCGACCCAGCACTCATCGGCACCCAGATGGGTCGTTCTAGAACTGAGCGCGGTTCTGAGGACCGGTGTTGGTGCGACCCTGCCTCTGGCTGTCGTTCTCATCGGTGCGTCTCTCGCCAGTACAATTTTCCAGATCCCTTGCTAATTTCATCATCGTGTATCAGCCGCGCAGCACCTGATCCTCAGCACCCAACGTGGAACACGAGACATGACCAGCTCCCACGAGTACTCCGGCCCCAGCACCCGCCGCGGTGCCGCCTTGAATGCTCGCGCTCGACGTATGCCAGGCGAGCGCACGCTGGGCGAGGTCGAGATGCAGGCGACCAAAATATACGTGGTCTCCGAGACATACGACGACCGAGAGCCCGCTCCGGCCGATCGCAAGCGCGGACTGCACGAGACGGACTCCTCTGCGTCCGACCGCAGCGAGCGGGCCGGCATTAAAATGATGGCTCAGTAGACCCACTGCACACACGCTCGTTTCGTTCTCAGCTAGATAGATTGGTTATCGTTTTGCTCTAGTACTACCGGTGTGTACTATTTGTGTTTTTATTTACTGTATGGACCCCTTGTAATTGATGAGATGTCTTCGCAGAAGGTGCTGGACAAGCCTTCTGCGTCAAGTAGGGCATTCTGCATAAGTTTTCGGTGAATTGGATGCGAAAGGGCCCCTTAAAGTGACGACCATGGGGACAGAAAAGGCATGGACCATCAATGCAGTTTAAATTGGAGATCGTGATATCCTTGACAATTTCAAATTGAATCGGTCTGCGACGACTAGGAGTCTGAGGGCTACCAATGGCTATCCAGTTCTAGACTCGAATTCAGTCCCTATGGTGACAGGTCAAGATGATGATTGTGTGTTTCCCTTTTGGCTAGACAACTGGCTGAATATCTATTGCCAGTGTAATCGATCGACAGATGATCGATTGATTTCTCATCAATGCATCTTTTGTCTTCCCCAGCCCTTGTACTGTTCAGCAGGCAAGGAGAGTATACACAGCGGCGTGATTACTCTCGGAAAGACTGGGATAAGCACATTTCAGGTCCTTTCACATATTCCCTTTGCTTGTTCCATCCATCGAAAGTTTCTGAATACTTTCAAAGATGGCGGATCTTGGGGGGCCGAGTACATCCGTCTTACCCTCTTACTCCACGGCGGACCAAATCAATGAGCATGCCACCTCTGGGGCCGGAGACTTGGAATCATGGATTGCTATAGAACCCCTCGCACGAAGCTCTGGTGCGTCTCTTTCGTCACGATCGTTCGTGTTCTTCCGGCACCGTCTGATTTCCTTCTAGAGCCTCTTTCAATCCCAGTTACGGTGGACCTGGCATCACCTCACAACGGCATCGCTCCACCACCTACGTTTCGACAGTCCCAGTTCGACGTCGTTCTCCGCCGGCAAAGGATGCGTCTTACCCCCACGGGTGCACCGAGACTCAAAACTACCACGTCGCGCTTTCTTAACCTTTCGAGCGACTTCGAATTCGCTGGCTGGGGCTCGTTCTCGCGTGTCAAGCTGTCAGCGGACGACCATGCACAGGGGGAAGATCGCTTAGCGCGCACGAGGAGCGCGAAGGTTCTGGGCCGATGGACGGGCACGGCGCTACCGGGCAATGCAGTACTCGGGAGCGTGTTCTACGCGTTGCCCGCTGTGGTCGCGGTCTGTGGTGTCTAGTGTGTGCATCATCGGCTCCTTGTGGGTCATGGCTGACCAGTCCTCAGTGCACCGATATCCCTGTTCGCGGCAACACTGACGCCGTTCATCTGGCGACCAATCATGGAGGAGCTGGGCTCTGCGCTGCCGATCTGCGGCGCCCCATATGCCTACCTGTAGGTTTCGACCTCCCTTGCGTGAAAATCTTACTGATGTACTCGCCGGCAGCTTGAACGTGACGCGCAAGTCCATTGCTCTGTTGGGCGCGGCTCTGATGCTTCTCGACTTCGCGTCAACATCCGTCGTATCCGCAAGTACGGCTGCTTCTTACGTTGCGGGTGAAGTCGCGCTGCCGTTTCCCGATTTCGTCGGGGCAGCTGTCGTGTTGCTGGTGTTCGCAGTCGTCAGCTTCACCGGTCTGAAGGAGAGCGCGCGGATCTCCTTCGTCGTGCTTGCTTTCCATATGTCCACGATGGCGGTCTTGTCGGTCTGCGCAGTGGTGTGTTGGGGACGACAGGGAAACGAGCAACTGCGGACGAATTGGGTGCACGGGCAGGCGAAAGATGGCTGGACAGTGGCGAGACAACTGTTCAATGGGTTCTGTTTGGGCATGCTGGGTCTCACAGGAATCGAATGTACGAATTTCTCCTTGCTCTTCCGATGTGGAGCTTATTGCTCAACAGGCGCACCGTCCTACATCGGACGGATGCGGCCGGCCGCGTATCCAGCTGTGCTGCGCAACCTCCATCTCCCAGCGGTGGTCCTGAATTCTGCTATGATTCTCCTCGTTTTCGCGGTCGTTCCAATGAACACTGTGCTCAGTGGTGCAAACGTGCTCAGTGTGCTGGCAGAGAAGGTGCTCCGGCGCATCCCCTTCTTACCCATCGTCAAATGACTGACAACTCCATAGTCTGCTGGGGTCTGGCTGCGGAAGTGGATCGTCGTCGATGCAATAGTCGTGCTTTGCGGTGGAGTCCTCACAGGCAAGTTCTTTCCGAGCTCTCGTGCGCGTGCGCCAACCTGTCTGCAGGCATTCTCAGTGCATGTGAATTGTTCGAACAGCTCTCGCACGGCAGAATCCTTCCTCGAATCTTCCAGAACGCTCTCCCATTCACCGGCGCACCATACGTTTCTATCGTAGTCTTCACGGCGGTGAATGCGGCCTTGTATGCCTCATCGGGCGCCAGCCTTGCCATTGTCTCCAAGATGTATGTGGCTGCATGGTGCTTGTACGCTACTGACTGCTGGCACAGGTTCTCCCTTGTCTGGCTCACCGTGATGGGGCTGTTCCCTCTAGCCTTGTTGCTCCTGAGATTTAGCCGTGGAAGATTGGAGTGTGAACGTAGTGCCAAGCTTTGGATGATCATGCTCGCCTTCGCTGTGACGCTTGTCGTTTTCGCAGGCAACATCGCGATTGATCCTTCGATAGCCGGGTATGTAACTCCGCTCTCTTTGATTCTTCACTGAGATGTCCGTCGAAGCTACTTTGCGGCCTATCTGGTTGGCGTGCTGCTTGCATTTGGAGGCGCGCAGAACCACGTATCGATCCTTCGGGCATTGTATTGGCTATACGACCAGTATCCATGGTTGCACATGTGGCCGAGGACCCAGGCCTGGGGGCCCTCCGTGGTGCGATGGATCCAAGCACTGAAGAAACAGCCCGTCTGCGTGTTGGTCAAAACGGACGAGATCAATCGGCTGCTGCATCTGTTGCTGTACGTGAGGGAAAACGAGCAGACTTCGTGCGTGAAGCTCGTGCATTTCTGTGACGAAGAGACCGGGGTTCCTTCGGAGCTGGAAGCTAATGCGAAGAGTGAGTGGTGTCGACTGCGCACATGGGAAATGACTGACTTACCGATACAGTTCTCGACGAAGCGTTCCCGGAAATCACCATTGATCTTGTGAGTTTCCCGCCTCGTCCGCATGTGGAAGCCTCATTTCCCTGCAGATTCTTGTTTCTGGCGCTTTCTCTCCATCGAACGTCGGCGCTCTAGCCCATCGCCTGCAGATTCCGACTGCGCTCATGTTCATCAGCTGCCCCGGGCCCAAGTTTCCGTATTCTGTAGCTGATTTTGGCACGCGTATCATTTCTCTGTAGTGATTCCATTCAGCGAGATCAGAAAAGTGTTCGAACAGAGCAATCCACCTTTTATCGAGTGCATATCACGAGGTTGCTGAACTGAGCCGTCCTCAGCGTTTCTCAGCGCATACACAACATGTCGACCTCTCGGCATCGAGTTTTCACGAAGCCACTGAGCCCAATTCGATTGCGGTAGCCCAATCCCTGATTGTTCATGATGCTCTCGTGGTGAAGTCGCACCGACTGGCGGTCAGGAACGCAGGCCGCAAACTTGCGGTGAGGAGCAGGTTGAGACTCAGAGCATCGCACCAATGCCCTCTCGGTTAGGAAGCAGACGCTTTAATTCTGATTTGTCGACGGGCAAGGACGGCGAGTGACACTGCAGCCCTTCGAGCGATGCAGGACAGGAAGAGATGTGACAACACTGTCATCTTCAGTGTCACATCAGACGCGGTCACATGATAGCTTTATTCCCAAATGAGTCTAGCTCGGGCTTACAGCGCTTGCGTGAGATGGATTTCTATTCCTTTGGGTTTGGTTCATCATGCTCCGTCATCCGGAACAATTACTCGCGTGTCTCGATTGTAGTGATTGATCCCTGATATGACATCGAGGTCTGACAGCGCACTCACCGCGAGAAACTGATTTGATTGGAATGAGATAGCCATGAGTGATGCACAAGAAAGAGGATGGCGAAAGGGAGAGGTGGAGGAGGAAGCAGGCGTCTGCTGACCAGTTTTCATCTCGAAGAGGTCGAAGCACCGGCCAGTCTGGTCCCCTAATTCTTACTGTGATGCTTCGTTGACCCACGGAACTCACACGGAACTATAAGGACAGTCGGGGGCCGTTGACTAGCGAGAAAAAAACAATTATTACATGATGCTGCTCGCGGCACTTGGGAAACCCGAGCTCTTGGTACCCGGACTGTGTCATACCGCTCCCGTGAGCAGGCTCGGTACCGCGGCGTTCAAGGCTCTTCCAGGAATGTGAGCGCGAGTTTTGTCCCTCTTCTCGCGCAATATCAGCGCCGGCGATGATATCGGTCAGGAAGCAACTGCTGGCCAGACTCAGGCACTAAATGCGGAGTTGAATTTATCCGGGGCCATCTCTCTCGGAGGTTGGTGTTACGTGTGCACAACAAACATTCAGCCCGCGGAGCTGTGAGTAGTTGGGAATATTATACGCTATCGATGTTTTCAGTAGACTCACTGCTCAACTGGAACGATCTCCCACCCACTGCAAGAATGACCTACAGCTGAGTACTTGAACAGGTCAAAAGCACAGTTTCGACGTCGGCGAACGGATTGTAGATCTGGGCCCTCGATTGAGTGGCAGAACAGAAGTCAGCGCGGGGATCTTTTTGTGACCTACACCGCCCGAAGGTAGCCGTTGAATAAAAATACTTGACTCAGCGATTCTTGTTAGGAGCTGAGTGATACTGCGGGAGACAAGAGCTGGAACGACAGATTTCGGAAGGAGATACATGACCGTTCCCGACAATCGGGTTCCCAGCCAGCGGAGGTTTGATAAGCGGCGGAGTCAACACCGATTCTGGCAAAGGAAGCTCGCTGAAGTTGCTCACTTGACACGGATTCGCAGAAGAAGCTCATCCGGTCCATGTGCAAGCCGAAACAACAAACCTGGTCGTGTCCGTGGTCGCTCCTCGGCGAGATCAGAGGCAGTGCAGCAGTAATGACCGCTCATGTTTTGTCAATGTTTTGTTCACTATCATTAGCGAGTACTCGATGCAGCGGAAAATTTTCCTACGCGATTGAGACTACCCGTTGGAGCTTGGACCGGTCATTCCGGAGTTGAACTGTCGAACTTGGACGACGGAGGACCAAAAGAAATCATGTAAACTAAATCACGATCGATCGGTCTGCTATCACGCGGTCCAGACCTGCGGCTTAAATTGCGTCAGCACCGGCCACGCAAAGGCACGGTCGGTGTCCCTGCCTGTGCGCTGTGAATCTGTCATGTTTTTCTTGGCACCGGCTATGCAAGGTCGACGGTAACATCCGAATTTAGTGTGGGAAGAATGAACATTCTATAGACGGCCAGAATGAGTCGCATCAGCGCAAAAGGGACGATGTGCATCTCTCTTCGCTCTAACTTGGTAAGGATGCATCGGCGATGTTTCAGAGTCTGGGAATGTCAGATGTCGTTCGCTACCCATGGTTGACGTTTCTCCCTTCGGCGACCTCTGCTGTTTTGGGCGCTGTTCGAATCTGTACGCCAAAGCTTTCAGTCATCCTCACTTCCGTGCAGCCCCATGCAGATGTTGATTTTCATTCTCGACTTCTTGCAGGAGACGGATTTTCACGGGTTGATGGCTGCTTTGTCGAAGCAGTATAAATGTAGGCCACAAACTCACTGGGGAGCCCAACACCGATCCTGGTGTTTCTTCCGCCGTAAATCCCTCTCAAGATGTTCACTTCTTGGACCCTTCTCTCCCTGGCTGCGTCAGTTCGTCTGACCGCTGGGTTAGCGATTGGGCCCGTTGGTTCATTCGTCGTCGCCAACAAGACCATTGCTCCTGACGGTGTCCCTCGCGCTGCCGTCCTTGCTGGGGGAACATTCCCTGGTCCCCTCGTCAGGGGACACATCGGGGACAACTTCCGGCTCACGGTCATCGATCAGCAAAAGGACATTCGGATGCTCGAACCGACCTCCATTGTGAGCGGAGCAGACGTTTGTCGCGACTCGCATTGTTGATTGTGATTGTTCGCGCAGCATTGGCATGGATTGTTCCAGAATGGGACCAACTACATGGACGGGCCGTCGTTCATCAATCAGTGTCCGATCTCGCCCGGGAACTCGTTCACATATGATTTCACTTCCCAACAATCTGGGTGAGCATTTTCTTTTTACCGAAGTTTCGGTTCCATTCTGACTGCGTTCGATTCAGAACATTCTGGTATCACTCACACCTCGCCACTCAGTACTGCGATGGTCTGCGTGGCGCGATGGTCATCTACGATCCCAAGGACGCATACCTCCATGCTTACGACGTCGACGACGAGTCGACAGTGATCACCTTGGGCGACTGGTACAACGTCTTTGCAGAGACTGTGGTCGGTGTCGCGTGAGTGCAAGGATTGGCTCGAATTCCTCCATAATATTCTGATGCCTCCATTGGACAGGACCCCGTCATCTATGCTCATCAACGGCCTTGGACGTACCGCTGCCACAGTCTCCAACACGACTCTGGCTGTGATCACCGTCAAAAAGGGCTTGCGCTACCGCTTCCGTTTGGTCAACCTTGCTTGCGACTCCAACTACGTCTTCCAGATCGACGGACACAAGAACCTGACCATCATCGAAGCGGACGGGATCCTCCATCAGCCGTTGAGCGTTGATTCCATTCAAATTTACGCAGGTAAGGGCGATTCAGCAATTCCGTGCCTGCGAGCAGTCACCAAATGTCTCAAGCGCAACGTTATTCGTTCATCTTGACTGCCAATCAGCCCATCGGCAACTACTGGATTCGTGCGAACCCGAACAACGGCCCCACTGGTTTCGCCGGGGGTATCAACTCCGCGATTCTTCGCTGTATGTCTGCATCTCACGAGGGATCTGCGTGTCCCGTTCTGAGCATCATATTTCCAGATATCGGAGCGAACAATTCTGAACCAACAACTTCGCAAGACACGTCGGTCAATGGATTGGTCAATGAGGTAAACCTGCACCCGCTCGTTGACCCCGGTGCTCCCGGTGGTGCGTTCATTGGCGGTGCCGACGTACAGCTCAATCTAGCTTTGGCGTTTGATTTGGTGAGTTGAATGAGCTTTGATGCACCCACTTCGTCCTGAATGTCTGATAGACAACCTTCAAATTTACGATCAACGGCGTGGCATTCGTCCCACCTACTGTTCCCGTCCTGCTCCAAATTCTGTCAGGCGCACAGAACGCCCAGTCGCTGCTGCCAAACGGCTCAGTCTATACGCTCCCGCACTTTGCGTCGGTTGAGGTCACCTTAGCAGGAGGTGTGGTTGGTGGCGGCGTCAGTTTCTAGTTCATCATCCTCGTGGACTGAAAGCTGACCGAGTGAACAGCATCCCTTCCACTTGCACGGACACGCCTTCGATGTCATCCGGTCCGCCGGCAGCACCACATACAACTACGTCAACCCGGCTCGACGAGACGTCGTGAACATCGGAGGGGCAGGCGACAATGTTACCATCCGTTTCTTCACTGACAACCGCGGACGTGAGTCGACATTTGTGACTCATTGAACCACTAATGAATGATTCCACCAGCATGGTTCCTCCACTGCCACATCGACTGGCATCTGGAGGCTGGCTTTGCTATTGTGTTTGCTGAGGATGTGCCTGACTGGAAGTCGGAGCTGATCCCCACTGCCGAGTGGAACCAGCTGTGCCCCATCTACAACGCGCTTCCAGCCTCGATCACGTCCCTCGCGGCCTAATTATTTGAAATATGTAAAATATGTTTAACATTATCTCTTCATACTTGAATGATATCAGTTGGTTCGGTTAATTTTCTGTTTTTGAATCGATGGTACTCTTGACGATGATCCCGAGGCTGACTTGAATTCCAACTATGCATGTTGGGTGTGACGGGCACGTGGCTGGTTGAACATCTATGCACGTGATTTCGGGAGTACATCTGCACTGAATGGATGGAAATTTTCTTGTATTTGTATTCACTCACAAAATAGTGCTTGTAATAAGGCTTTCATTGCGAAGGCACTCACACAATTTCCCCACAAACACAATATTCAGGTTTTTAGGTCCTGTGAGCATGACTGTCCATGAAGAATCAAGGGATGTGTGGAAACTGGAGGGTAACAAGGATAGGTGGTAACTGCTCCTGCCCCTGTGTCAGCAGGGCATGTTCAAATGACAAATGGGGCAATCTGGATGATGAATTGCAGTGTAGTTGATTGCAAGACTGAAATGTGACATTCTGCTTGGTTCCATCTAAACAACTGCAGAAAGCAGCAAGTTCCAGAGCCATAAAAGACAACCTGGGGTGGGAGTTTCCGAAACATTTGATTTAGTGTCCCATGGTTGATCGAATTATTGATTGTCAGATCTGGACCCATCTGGACCCATCTGGACTGGGATGAGAGGGCATGGCCCATTATGGGTGCAAGTAGATCATAACTAGCGCTTATTTTTCAACGAGTGTGCACTTGTAGTATACATGCAGTGGACTGTTTCTTGGATTGATTTCACTGTTTCAATTGAATCCAGAGCATTTTGGCAGAGAGCCTAGAGGCATATATTGTGAGGAGCATGTGCTGGCATTAGTGCTGTCCAAAATTATATACGGAAACAATATATCATCTGATATATTGTTTCATACTGATATGATACGGGCTCCAGGTGGTGCGCTGGATACAATATTCCTTGATATAATATGATATGATACTAATACATTATAATACGTGCCCACCATATCGTGATATATCACGATATCTTATTGTTTAATCTTATCTGATCCTGCAGATCTTTTGGGGAGATCTGGATTTGTCAGTCATCCGTGATCTGAAGAAGTGTGAGCGTGACCTAAAAAATTGACAGAACCTGTCAATCTGTTGACACAACTTCTCCCGCTTTTCCCGCAGCCATGGAAGCCTCGCTTGTCAAGCTCGCCGAAGCTATCTCTAGACTGCCAGATGGCCGCTTAGCTGGTGCGCGGACAGGGCCACTCGGACAACATCTCTGGGCCTCCCTCGACAACACCGGCACACCACAATATCCCGAGGATGAAGAGGGTCCATACAAAGCCTTCAATATTGGATGGGAACGCGCGTTTCGCATTCCTCCAGGCCGTGATCGCTCATCACTCTTCCCTCTTGTTTGCCGAGGGAAGTATGGGTTGATTTTGGCTCATAACTGGGCCAAGCATTACGCATCGTTGGTCCAAGACATGGATGTGAAGATGATCCAGCTTCGCGTAGATCAGCTTCTTGATTTGATTAGTGCTGCGTGAGTGTCATACGGATCCGGATTTAATGTGCTCACTCACTGTGATTTCTAGTTTGAAAGCGCACATATCAGACGTCTCAGAGAACCACAATCTGGGACACAGCAAAGACAGCGTCTTGCAGGAAGATGGAGATGCGACCGAAGCTGAGGTGCGAGTGCCCTCAGATTTGTGCTCTTGATCGAGTCTGATCAAATCAGCTTCCAACCGGTGAAAGCAAGAAGCGCAAGAAGAAGGATTCCGGGCAGGAGACTCAAAAGGTCATTAATTTAGACGCACACGAACCCGCAACCGCTTCCCAAACCACCAAAAAACAGCGTAAAAAGCACTGCACCAAGGTGTGTGGATACGGCTGATATTATTCGGGGATCCTTATGGTGGGTTCTAGTCCCCGGACGCGTCAAATGATGACACATCGAACGAGACGACACAGGCGCCAGCTAAAAAAGCACCAGCTAAAAAGAAGGCAGCTAAAAAGAAGACGGTTGTGGTGGACTCCGTGAGTGCCTCATTGATCATTGCTGGCAGACCATTGATGTCCTCGAAGTCATCCTCCAGCTCCGAGGACGAGGATGACAACAGTCCAGCTCGGACAAGCGACAAACTTACTTGGGCACTGTCCCAATATCTCACTAAGGAAGCCAAGTCGGTGCAGAAGGGCGAGAAACGAGTGTGGAAGGTTTTCTGTCGGTATTGCAAGTGCGTCTTTAATCTTAGTCTCTATTCTTTGAAACTCACAACACTTTAGCAAGTATCGCACAACACTGCGCACCAAGGGTGTCCAGAGCTTTGCTGATGAGACCCTTCCGCTCTCAACTCCCAGCAACTGGATCTCACATGCTCTGGAATGCACGCGACACCCGATTAATCAATCCTTCGAGACTTTTCAGTCAATCGCTCGCAACAGCGGCACTATGCCAGCTTCGGATGTCACCGCAAGCGACCAGACAAACAAGATCATGACCGCGTTTCTTCAGCCAGGCCGTGAGCAGCCTGAAAGCCAGTCAAAGGCCAAGGTCACGAAGCCTGGCTATCGCGAGCGTGTTGTTGTTGCTGCTGTCACTGACGACATGGTCTATTCTTTCACCGAGAAGCCCGGCATGCAGCGCTTACTTGAATACATACTTCCTGAGAATATTCCGGCCACAATCTCTCATCAAACTATCAGCCGTGATGTTGAATCGCTTCATAAAGCCTTGGCGAAAAAATTACATCTCATGCTGCAGGTATAGGTTCTATTTTTTTTTGCTTCGTTACAAGTTCTAATTTATTCCTCAGGAAAACGATTCACAAATCAGCATTGCTTCCGACATCGTGACAACATGGGGAATGGTCCATTCATTTTGCGGTATTGTTGTGTCCTTCATCGATAAGGACTGGGTCCGCCACGAATATGTACTGGATCTGATCCCACTCAATGGCGATCATTCGGGGAAGACCATCGGCCGACTAATCTACAAACGCCTTCACCGTGCCGGGATTGTGACCAAAATGAGTGAGTCGAGTCAGCCTGGAGTTGTATCCTCACTTCACGGCTACTTACAGTTGCTTCCGCGGCCGACAATGCGTCAAGCAACGGTCCCATGAACGAGGAAGTTGTTCGTCGTTGCTGCAAGGCCCTTCCGGATTTTACCATGTCCTTGGAGACCCGTAATTTCCAGATCGGATGTGGGGGTCACGTAACAAACCTTGTTGCTCAGTATGTGTTTCCATGTCCACTGATTTTATCATTGATATCCTGACAGAAAAATCGACTCCGTTCTTGGACTCTGTGTGGCCCCCGAGGTCGAAGATCTCTATGATGAGATCCGTTCCGAACCACTCTTCTACGACATTGAACAGGATCCAGTAGCTCTTGAGGAACAGCGAGTGATGGAGCAGGAGACTATGGCAGGGGTTGATCCGGATGAGTGCAATAGCGAGGATGAGCAGATCGAGTTAGAGGATGAGTCTACATCTGAGCTCGAAAGCGAAGAGGAATGGGAGGATGAGGAGAACGGGACTGTCCGTGGAGCATCAAAGAAAGCAAAAAACAAGCGCGTTTTCACGCCAGTTGATAAGGTTTTATTATTCACACACCTCTCACTGTACTGCATTGCTGACAGTCTTCTAGATTCATTCAGCAGCCGTTTACATTCTCCGTTCGGAAATTCGACGCAAAAAAGCCCGTAGATTCATCCGTCGAAAGGTACAACGGAAGTACCGACACCTTGTATTTGTTCGAAGCATGTGGGTTCGCTGGAACACCCGTTTGGCTGAGCTCCGGCGGGCTTACCTGCTTCGAGCGGTGAGTCCTTGCTTGCACAAGCTATCCTGATCTTATTTTTTAGGCGTTTGATTATTTCGTGGAGCGCATGGGTGATGGCTTCACTGGAAAGGCACTTGCGGCAGCCCAACGCAAAATCAAGAAGTGGAGAATGGACTCCACCGACTGGGAGTTTGTTGAACAACTAATCAAAGCTCTTGAGGTATGTTATAGTTGTGCGAGAGCTCTGAGCTGACTTATACTCAGATTCTCGAGCTCATCACCAAAGAGTTCTCTCTCAAAACGGTCCCAACCCTCCCGAAAGTTCTTCCGTTTTATAAGCTGATGGAGACCGATCTTGAGGCAAAGTCGAAGGAACTTCGTTCTATTCCCAACCTCTCCGCTGCTCTCCTCGCTGGCTCAAAAATGGCGACGAAATACATCAACAAAGCTCTCGAAGGTGATTACCCAATGTTGGCAACCCGTAAGTGGGATACTGTCTCTGTTTCCGCCTCTGATTGCTTGTCAGTTTTGCACCCTGCGTTACGTCTCCGCTTCTTCCAAAACAGCAATTGGGACCCCAGTGTTGCCAACAGAGCGAAAAAGATCCTCGTCGAAATTGTACAGAGGTATCTGGCAGAGATTCCAACCTCTGATACGGCTTTGGTTGCAGAGGCTGCTCCTACCCGCAGTGTCTTCGGTCTGGCAGCAACCATGGGCTCCAGGACTGGAGGTGTCGCTTCACTTGATGCCAGTGCAGAGATAGAGCTTTATTTCGGAGGCATCTCACCTGTCGCGGACATGTTTGATGATCCACTCGGATGGTGGAAGGTAATTGAGCTCATCATCAGTTGCCCTGGATGTCATCTCTGACCAGTTTTCAGGACCAGGCCGTTACACTCAAAGGTCTTGCGCCTGCTGCGCGTGATATCCTCGGCATTCCCGGAGTCAGTATCTCTGTTGAACGCCTCTTTTCGAGCCTCCGTCACACTCTGAAGGAGTCTCGGATGTCTATGACTCCCGAGAAGATTGCCATGAGTGTCAGTACAAAGGAATGGATCAAGTCTGGGCTGAATGAGGGTCTCCATTACACTGATTTTATTCGTATGCACAGTAAATAAACTGACAGTAAAGATATCGTGATATATCATAGATATAATCTGATACACCGCGATAAATACAATATGATACATTACAGATATAATATGTCCTGAGAACCCTTAAAACAATACAATAAAAATACGATATGGCAAATTTGTATCGTATCTGTATCTGGACAGCACTAGCTGGCATGATGGATTGGGATCAAAATAACGTCCAAATACCTCATATCTGAAAGCTCTCTCTGATCTGAATCGCGAAGTCAATGACGTGCTTGCAGCGACCGGGCACCAATAGTTGTCCACCTAAGGAACATCCGCCGCGGAGGGTACCCCCCCTCCTAGGGGGGTAAAATCGAAGGTTGACTTTCCAATATTTTGTTCCTGAGAGGGCTATGATGCTGCGATCCTGCTCAGAATTTGTTCAGATGCTATTCAGATATGCCCCATCTCGAATATGAAATCGATTCAGCTCTCTGAAGGAACTTTTTTTGTCATGTATAAAAGTGCCATGACCTGAACAGAGTTTCCTATGGTAGTACCAAGCTATCCTTGCTCATTGACCAAAATCGAAAATATTTTTGGTCCAAGCAACTTCTTTGAGCTTGAAACATTGGATAGTGTGCTTTACAGTTGTGGTCCTTGAATTTTAAGGCATGTATGAATGTGTAGAGCTTGAAATATGACCCATGCTCAATCCACTTTTTTTTTATTGTACAGATAGGCTCTTTCTAGGTCAGGTATCTACTAGCTTCTTACTTATCTCTAATATGTTTTGACTCCTTGGTGGGACAGATGAGCCTATCCAAACTGTGTATAAGCAACAATTATGGTGCAAAGAATATAAAATCCTACCTAGGACCTATAAATTTCCTAGTGTTGATAGCACTATGGGTGAGCAGGTAGCAAATGAGATGTCTTAGATCCATGCTGCAGAGACAGAGGACCCCCATTGAGGCCATATTGAGCAGCTGTATCTCTGAAAATATCTGCGGATGCATCTGCAACCATCTTATTAGCTGCTGCGGATGCTTGTGCGGATGGTTCAAATACCATTGATGCCCTGATCCGACCTAGAGAAGCAGGCTGCGGATGCATCTGCGCTGCATGCTTTCAAGCTGCTGACAATGCAGGAAGGGCCATTGTGCATGCACCGACCATGGCAGGCAACAGTGTACAGGTTGAACAGTCTGCATAACCTATGCTGAGCAGGACCTGCCCCAATGCCCTAATCTGATCCTGGAAAGCAGGTGGCAGATGCCTCTGCATTGCACGCTTTTTAGCTGCTGCACATGCAGGAGGAGCCTGGCTGTGTGTACTAATGATAGTAGGCAATATTGTATGAGTTGAACAGTGCAAAGAGCTCATGCTAAGCAGGGCCTGCCCCAATCTAGCCCAGAACAGCATGCAGCAGATGCATCCACACTGCACACTTTCAAGCTGCTGTGGACACAGGGGGTGCCTGGATGGATGCACTGACCATTGCAGGCAATGCTGTGCAGGTTGAGCAGTCCACAGACCCCGTGCTCAGCAGGACCTGCCCAAAACTGGCCCAGGACAGCATGCAGCAGAGGCATCCGCACTGCATGCTTTTAAGCTGCTGTGTACACAGGAGAGACCTATCTGTGTTCTAAGGAGCCTGGAAGCCTTTTAGAAGCTCGTTTTACATAAATAAGCTTTTGAGCAACCATTTCAGCAATCCAGAATCAATGCAGAGCATCTGCACAGCTGCAGCACTGAATTGATTCAATTGCCATTCATTGTTTGCTGCACACAGAGGAGCTTGGAGGAGCTGGGATCATCAGGGAGCACATACATCTGCTACAGAAGGCTTAAGTCTACAGTGGAGCAATGCATAGAGGCTAGAAATGAAATAATGAAAGAACAAAAAATGCGGAGGGCTCCTCGCTGGATCAGAGTCACATGATACAGCCTGCACACAACCAGTGTGATGGCATCACAATGATCACGGGGAGAGCTGGGTGCAGATGGATCCACAGCTTGTTTAGGGCAAGTTGCAGAGGGATCTGCAGCTGCTTATAGGGCAAGATGCGGATGGTTGGCACCCATTTGCGGAGCTTTGGTGCGGAGGATGGCCAAAAGTGCGGAGGGTACCCCCCCCTACTAGGGGGTCAAAATGGGTCGATTTTACCCCCCTAGGAGGGGGGGTACCCTCCGCGGCGGATGTTCCTTAGGTGTAGTTGTCTCAGTCGCGTCTAAAACACCCGAACTTGGCTCATTGGGTAGTAAGAACGAGATCGTAGAGTTGTTGCCAACCGACCAACTCAACACTGGCTTTGTCCGGTGAGCGCTCAATCAAACTGTATGGCGCGGCGCGGCGCATCTGGGCCGGCAGTTTTTTTAAATCGTTGATAGCCCATGTGCCAGCTGCAAACCAGAGACACAATCAGACACCGGCGGAGATTACCACCACCGGTGCTCTTTGAGCACCCGAAACCCTCGCCACAATTGATTGTTCAACTTTCAGCTGGGGGACTTCCCCTGCAAATGTCTGTTACCGATCAGCAGCTCCGGTACCGAGTCGCGGGCCGTGAGATAGCCGGCCCAATAGCAGTGAGATCCGCGCCACTTCTGATGCTGCGGTTCTCGGAACCACGGAGTTGCTGGAGAATTGCCGCGAGCGGTTTTAGCGTGCTGCGGCGGTATAGGATCTTCCTTGATGATCAGCCTCATGATCTTTCTCAGCCGTCTCTCGCGACACTGACACGCACAGTGATGTAAGTTTTGCAGGCGAGCGATTGGTCGACTTACGCACCCCGCGCGGGTATGCGTTGTTGTGACTCGTGGGCTCACACCGCAGCAGCCACTCTCTGCAACTTCATAAACTTTACCGTACAGTCTAAACTTGGAACATGCTCCGAAAGACGTGTTCGGACAACGATGATCGGGGTTTGCACCCATCGACTTGAGTGAGTCGCGGAACTGAAGACGCTGAGATGATGAGTGTATCAGAATTCCGTCTTCGAGAACATCCTCCGCAGCACCCATGAAACAAGAGTATCTGATCCTGCACCGGTCGCTGTTAAGCCGACAACGAGAATAGGCTCGTGGCGGATGATCTTATGAGCTCGTTCAGTAGAACCGACGTTCATTGCACCACAATCAGGAAGACGAGAAGCTCTCGAGTGTATTTTCGTTCGCTCCCTCGGCACCGACAATCGCGTCCCGTCTTTCCAGGCGGTAGAATGAAACCCGGAGGACAAGGAAGCTCGTGAAATTGCTCTTTGGACAGGGACTCACACAAGAAGCTGATCGAGTCCATGTGGAATTCATCAAGAGGCTTGGCGGTCCTCTTCGCCGCAGCTCCCCGGTCACTCAGATATCTGTCCCTCCGCGGCCCGACTCAGGTTTACGCCAAGTTTTGTGCAACGACACTGACTTTGCTCCGTTTTCGGAGGGGGATAATACATTTTTGGGGGCAGGATTAGGGTTCGGTGGGCCCAGATATATGTCTAGATACCCTCATAATCAGTTTTAATGAGCGATTCAGCGAAATTCTCGTCTTTGAGACCCGAGGGGCACTTCTGAATGGAAGCCGGCCTGGAAAGTTCGACATTATCAGATTCTCCAGCGTTCCGGAGGTATTCCACACAAGGATTGCTGGCCCGAAAGCGAATTTACTCTATTTTCGGAGGGCCTGAAAAAGCCCGAACCAGCTTTTCTCTATTCTGCGGAGTGGAGAATGACGTTTTTGGACCAAGTGTTACTCTATTCCGGAGGGACATATGCCTCTGTGACCGGGGACATTTCGCAGCTCGCTTCACACAACAGGTCAGAGATTAGACACGCAGCAATGTCGGTTTCAATTTCATGACTATCGTTGATTTACAAGGCTCAACTCAAGAAGAGTTCTGAAACCATCGACAACTCGGCACGAATTCTACACACTTTGATTTCACTCTCCTGGAAAACATAATTTCGGCTGAGATCGATTGTGAAAATCTACAAGCTGATGAATCCGATAGCTCGGCTAGATGACGTCTCTTGCTGCGGGGTTGGTGGCTGCCAAGTTCTCAGAACTGATTGGTGACGTTAATCATCAGAATCTTCATGCGCTCAAACCAATCCGTATGGCTCTGTGCCCTCCCCGTTCTCCATTTTCGACTCGGCCTCCAAGAGAAGATGGATGGGAACCTTGAGATCAGAAGGAGAGAAATAAATGTATCTAAATGGCCAGGTTGCGCGAGCAAGCCAGTTTCATTGCCCTTCGACGGTAACAATGTAGGTTTTATTCTTTTTCGAACTGATTCTGATCCGCTCAGTTTCAGACCGTCAATCGCACATGAGCCTTGCTTCGCAATTGAAATTGCCTCCTTCGAAATGTCCTGTTCGTTCTGCCCTTCCTCGAATCAGGATCACTTCCCTCTCAGTCATCATCACTGTTCAGGCAGCCGTGTGCAAGGTTGTCAAGACCGGTCCCGGGTTTGCAGCAAAGGACGGATTCCATCTCACGGTGTGATGATTGCACTGTCTAGAGACGGTATAAATGCTGCACTCAAACTGACTGGAGACAACCAACACCAGTCCCCTGTGTTACTTGGCTAAAAATCTCTCTTACTCTCATGTTCTCCTTCCAAAGGTTCGTTTTTCTTGCTGTGGCAGCGAGAATCTATGGAGGCCGGGAACTATATGCTGATAAACGGAGGACGTATCACTGATACGCGATAGTTTGCCGACATAGGATCAATTTCATGATGCGCTCCATGTCATGATGCGCCTATCTGGACGGCTGAAAACGTTATACTAATAACCGATGTCTGAATCGTGGATGGCCGCTCGGCAGATATTGATCAGATGATTGACGCAATGATCAAGACCCCAGGTAGCCGACTATCGCAATATCGCAACATCGTAATATTCGAAAAGCGCAACATTCGAGATAGGATCAGCGGCCGGGTCGCCGGCGCGAGCAGGCTCGTCGCAAGTCCGGACTCCCAGGCGACATTCCAGGGCAGCGGTTCGTACGTCGTGTTCGACTGGGGAAGGAGGTGCGCGGCCTCCCTGATACAGCGCCGTCGAGGGTCAATTCACACACCCATACTGTAGCTTGGGGGGATCCTGTCGCTGACGATCAACAACGCGACGGCCCAGTCGCAGTTCTCACTGTCGTTCACCGAGTCCGCGGAGTTCATCAGCCCGCTCAAGTTGGACGACTCGTGCCAGCCCGCACGGCTGCAGAACTGGGACAGAATCCAGACGTTCCACGTGCCGCGAGCCACGGGGCTGCTGACGCAGACCGTGGGACAGCAGCGCGGCGGGTTCCGCTTCCTGACGATTGTGAGTGCGAGCGCGGACCCGCTGACGATCTCGAACATCTCGCTGGCGATCACGTTCATGCCCCACTGGGATGATCTCAGGGCGTACCCGGGCTACTTCTTTGCACCTGACCCCGGGTTCCACGACATCGACTTCCTCACGAAGATCTGGTACGCCGGTGCGTCATCGCCTGTTTGCTGGCTGATGTGGCAGAGCGTGGCGTGGGTGGGGGCTGACCGCTAGCAGGCACTATAGGGTGCAGACCAACACAATCCCTCCCCACACGGCGCGACAGGAGCCGTGCCCAGCAGGAGGTTCGTGTCGGCGTGGATCTGAATTTTGGACTCAAACTGTGCGATCACATTTGTAGGTGGCTGGTCCAACGATGCCTTGGGAGGAGCTGCCACTGGGCCTATCCTCGTCGATGGTGCAAAACGCGACAGGTGAGGAATGGTCGGTCGCGATCTGTGTGTGCAATCCCTGCTGATGACATTGGTACTGTCAGGAACATCTGGCCAGGTAACCCCTCATGCTCATGGACGCGATCTAACCCTCGGACTCATGCGACGGATCAGGCGACTGCGGCATCTCCACACACACGGAGCTCGTCGCGCTGAGCGACATGGAGCCGACCAAGAACTCGTTGATGGTGATGTTCCGCACGCAAAACCTGACGACTGGCGCGCTGCAGTACTCCGGGCCGCCGCTGAACAACCAGGGAAGCGACACGTACATCTCGTGGTCGCTCATTGGGACGCACAACTACTTCCTGTACACGGGCGACCTCGATTTCATCAAGTCTGTCTGGGCGAACTACACCAAGGCGGTTGGCTTCCTTGAGGGCCAGGTGGACTTGACCGGCCTGATGAACGTCTCGTCTGCGCTCTCGAACGACTGGGGCAGGGCCAGCGGCGCCGGACACAACTCTGCGGCAAACGCGTTGCTTTATCGCGTGAGGATTGATTTCTGTCTCTCGCATCATGTATCCGCGCTCATCAAGCTCGTAGACGCTCGTCACCACGGCGGACCTGGCGACGCATCTCGGCAATGTCTCCCTCCCCGCCACATACCTCGCCAACGCGACCAAGATCAAAACTGCGTTCAACAGCCTGCTGTGGGACGCCGCGGCGGGCCGGTTCCGCAGCAACGACCTGCCGAGGAGCATCCACCCGCAGGACGGCAACGCGCTCGCGGTCCTGTACAACCTCACGACATCGGACGCACAGAACAAGGCCGTGAGCGCCGGGCTGATGAAGTTCTGGACGCCCATCAGGCCGTGGCTTCGAGGTGCGTGTTGCGCTGGTGGTTTGTGGTTTGCGTGTCACCTGCGCGACAGATCCAAGCGCATTTTGTGGCCGGCAAGGGCGAGCGGGCAATTGATCTGATCGAGCGCGAGTGGGGGTACATGCTGGAAACCAACTTGAGTGTCAAGTCGCCGCTGCTAGAGGGCTTCTCGGCCAACGGATCGCTCGGGTGCGTGTCGTATCAATCAGCTGCGGCAAGCTGTTGGTCCTGATCTGTACGCATGGTTCTCGGATGAGGAAGACTCCCGCGAAAATGATTAGTGAATTACAGTAATTACATGCTCACTACGCTATCTCGAATATTACACTATCTTGAATGTTGCGCTTTTCGAATATTACGATGTTGCGATATTGCGATAGTCGGCTACCTGGGGTCTTGATCATTGCGTCAATCATCTGATCAATATCTGCCGAGCGGCCATCCACGATTCAGACATCGGTCATTAGTATAACGTTTTCAGCCGTCCAGATAGAGCGCATCATGACATGGAGCGCATCATGAAATTGATCCTATGTCGGCAAACTATCGCGTATCAGTGATACGTCCTCCGTTTATCAGCATATAGTTCCCGGCCTCCATAAGAATCGCCTCCGCTGTTACGGTCGGGCCTATTGGCTCCTTCGTAGTGGCCAACAAAACCATCGCTCCCGACGGTATACCCCGCGCCGCTGTGCTCGCTGGAGGAACTTTCCCTGGCCCGCTCGTCACAGGAAACATTGGCGACAACTTCCAGCTCACGGTCGTCGATCAGCAGCAGGACAACCGCATGCTCGAGCCCACGTCAATTGTGAGCTTGACCGCTGGACTCATGTTCGTCTAATCGGCCCGCTTGCTGACCGTGTCTTGCTCAGCACTGGCATGGACTGTTTCAAAACGGAACCAACTACATGGACGGGCCGTCTTTCATCAATCAGTGTCCTATCTCGCCCGGGAACTCGTTCACATATGATTTCACTTCCCAACAATCTGGGTGAGCATTTTCTTGCGCGAGTTTGGGCTCTATTCTGACTGTGTTCGATTCAGAACGTTCTGGTATCACTCGCACCTTGCTACTCAATACTGCGATGGTCTGCGTGGCGCGATGGTCATCTACGATCCCAACGACGCATACCTTTCAGAGTACGACGTCGACGACGAGTCCACGGTCATCAACCTCGCCGACTGGTACAACGTTTTCGCTGAGACCGTGACGGGTGCTGCGTGAGTGGTAGCTGTTCCGAATGATGCGATGAGATCATGACAGTCCAACTGTGCAGAACGCCATCTTCCATGCTCATCAACGGTCTTGGACGCACTGCTGCTACACTATCGAACACGACCCTGGCTGTGATCAACGTCAAGCAAGGCTTGCGCTACCGCTTCCGTCTGGTGAACACCGCTTGCGACTCGAACTACGTATTCCAAATCGACGGCCACAAGAATCTCACCATCATCGAGGCAGACGGTATCCTCCACGAGCCATTGAGCGTCGACTCGATTCAGATCTATGCGGGTGGGTGGTCACTGAGCTCAAGCAAACGATGACTGACATGCCCTCAAGCCCAACGGTATTCGTTCATCATGACTGCTGACCAAGCTGTCAACAACTACTGGATTCGCGCGAACCCGAACAACGGTCCCACTGGTTTCATCGGGGGTATCAACTCTGCGATTCTCCGCTGTATGTCCGTGTCTTACAAGGGATGCGATGCCCATATTCTCCCTACTGAGCATCAAACTTCCAGACGAAGGCGCGAGCACGTCTGAGCCCACGACTTCGCAAGACACCTCGGTCAACGGGTTGATCAACGAGGTCAATTTGCATCCCTTAGTCAACCCTGGTGCTCCCGGTGGCGCATTCATTGGTGGCGCTGATGTCCAGTTGAATTTGGTTTTGGCACGTAATGCGGTACGCATTATGACGAAGATTCTAATCTTTCAGGTTCGATCGCTTACCATCCATTTCCCAGGCAACAGGGAAATTCACGATCAACGGCGTAGCATTCGTTCCGCCCACTGTCCCTGTCCTGCTCCAGATTTTGTCTGGCGCACAAAACGCACAGTCGCTGCTACCCACTGGCTCGGTCTACGCGCTCCCACACTTTGCGACGGTGGAAATCACCCTCGCAGGAGGCGCGCCTGGTGGTGGTGTCAGTTTGTTCCGCCGAGGCTCAGAGTCTTGAAGCTCACAGAATATACAGCATCCGTTCCATTTGCACGGACACGCTTTTGACGTCATCCGCGCTGCTGGAAGCACCACGTACAACTACGTCAACCCTGCCCGCCGTGATGTCGTGAACATCGGAGTCGCGGGTGACAATGTCACGATCCGGTTCTTCACGGACAACCGCGGACGTGAGTCTCACTCAATTGACCACGTGTTCGGACGGCTGATCATTGATTCAACCAGCGTGGTTCCTCCACTGCCACATCGACTGGCACTTGGAAGCCGGTTTCGCAGTCGTGATGGCCGAGGACGTTGCCGACTGGCAGTCGCAGCTGATCCCGACTTCGGAGTGGAACCAATTGTGTCCTATCTACAACGCGCTTCCGGCCTCGATCACCTCTCATGCTGCTTGAACACTTCTCATATGTTTATCTTGAAATTGGTCAAATGTCGTTGAATTTTTGTCATGATCTCCGGGGATATGCTTTTATTTAAATGTAATCGAATTAGCTGTGTTGAATCAATGCAATTCTCACCATTTATCCACAGGCAGTGGTGAGATTGGACTTTATTGGAGTTGGACAGTCCATCACGATACACCTCAAATTTTCTGTGATTGATCTGATGAATACATAATCCCTGTCCGACCAACTTCAAACTCTCTCGACTCCGTTTCATCAGTGGATATGAGAGCTATTCCGGCAGCCCTGAGATGCACCCAAACTTTTTTTGCAAGCTAGGCCTGGGCTCAAGCCCGAGGACAGCCTGGGTTACGACCCTGTTCTTGGGCTCGGGTATGGGCGGACTCTAAGGTCTACAAAGTTCCAGGTAAACCGGATAGCCCCCGATGATTTTGGCCCGACCTTGGTCCGCACAACACTACACGTGCGCGGTTATACGGTACCACTGTGATCAAGACTCTTCGGAGATCGTGAGTAGGATTGTTCTTCCTCTGATAATGCAAATGTTGGAGCGGGCAACGATGTTTGTCATTCCGCAAGTGCTGGCCTGATTTAGGCCGGATTTTCAATTAGCCTACACGTGGTTTCTCTGAGCTGGACAGAGAACATTCAAGCGCGGAGCCGCGGGTATTTCCTCAAAGTCAGCAGATTGTATGGCTTTCAGCATGAGACGGACAGTATTCAGGAGACCTTCGTTTTTCAACCCGGTAATCCCTCAGTATTCGACGAGGACAAATAGACACTTTCGATATAGGCGAGCGTATTCTAGATCTACCTTTTCGAGCCGGTGGGAGAACAAAACACGCTTTGTTCGCCTGTGTCTGCGAACGTTGAAGCTGCGGGCGGCAAATACCGCCCTCAGGTGCTCGTAAAATCGATGTCCATGACCCCGCAGCTCCTGCCGAACTGCGAGAATGGACTCCGTTGAATGACATGGCCAAGTTCAAAGAGTGGAGACAACGTTCTATCCACTCATTTGGAGCAGCGCTGGCCGACAATGTATAGTTGGGGTCCGAGAATCGTGTTCTGAGCGGGCACCCGAGTTGCAAGCGGCGGAATCGAACCCACTTCGGAAAAAGAAACCTCCCAGAAGTCGCTTAATTGACAGTTATTCACGAAAGAAGCCCAAACATGGCATGTGCTTCACCCAAACAATAATTTCTTCGGTCTTCATGCCCGCTGGACCTAAACAGGAACAAGTGGCAGTGCAGGGAGTGGTGATTGCCATCGTCTTCAGGATCCTGCCGGGCCACGATTCTGCCATGCACTTGCAACCTCGAGCCAGATGCGATCCCCAGTAATTCTCGATCAGATTGGGAATTCGTAACGTCAGAGCGCCCCACAAAGCCATGTCCTGTCAGCCGAGCGCTATCCTGCTACCACGTCTGGTTGACCCGCACGGCCCACATTGCGTCAGCGCCGGCGGCGCAAACGTAACGGGCGGCGTTCCTGCCTCTGGGCTGGAAATTTTACGATGTCGGCTCAGCGCCGAATAACAGCGGTCCATGATAGTTCTCGGATATCAGTGCGGAGGAAATGAAGGGCTGCGAACAGGCGGAATGGGGAACCAGGTCATGTCCATGACCACGAGACGGCGAGTGTTGTGTCATTTGCGAAGTTTCAAAGTCTGCCAGGAGCAGATGGACTGCTCTCCTAGGGCTGAAGTTACCCCCTTCGGCAGTCTCAGTTGTTCCTAGCGCTGCTCTGATATTTACGACAGCTCTCCTTCGTCATCATTTCCCATGAAGCGGAATCCAGGCGACATCCAGGTGGTGGTTTGATTTCCGACTTCCTACGGGGAAACGTATGTATAGATTTTGATGGCCTCACTGTCGAAACCGTATAAATGCGATCCATAGAGAGACTGGGGAAACTCGAACCAGTGTTTCGCTGCTTAGAAATACATCGTGCGATGTTCTCCTCCCGAGCGCTTCTTTCTCTGGTGGCGGTCGCTCGAATGGCCTCTGGTCTCACGATTGGACCTATTGGTCTACTGGTGGTGGCCAATGCGACCATCGCCCCGGACGGTATCCCTCGTGCCGCCGTGCTGGCCGGGGGGACGTTCCCCGGCCCACTCGTCACAGGCTTCGTCGGGGACAACTTCCTGCTCACAGTCATCGATCAGCAGCAGGATAACCGCATGCTCGAGCCGACGTCTATCGTGAGCTGGCCCGGCGATTTGCTCGACCCGGCGGTTTAATATCATTTTCCGCATAGCATTGGCACGGATTGTTCCAGAACGGGACCAACTACATGGACGGGCCCTCGTTCATCAATCAGTGTCCGATCTCTCCTGGAAACTCCTTCACCTATGACTTTACGTCCCAGCAGTCGGGGTGGGATACTTCAGATCCACATTTTTGTCGCATCTGATCTTTTCTGTTCCAGGACGTTTTGGTATCACTCCCACCTTGCTACACAGTACTGTGATGGCTTGCGTGGAGCAATGGTCATCTACGATCTCCTGGACCCTTACCGTGGCCTATACGATATCGACGACGAGACCACGGTCATCACTCTGGCTGACTGGTACAGCGCCTTTGCTGAGACCGTAGTCGGTGTGGGGTAAGTGCACCAGCATACTCCAATCACACAGTGGGTTCTGATGCCTCGAATGGTTAGTACCCCGTCTTCCGTGCTGATCAACGGGCTTGGACGTACCGCTGCCACAGTCTCAAACACGACTCTGGCTGTCATCAATGTCATACAGGGCTTACGTTACCGATTTCGTTTGGTCAATACAGCCTGTGACTCCAACTATGTGTTCCAAATCGACGGCCATAAGAATCTCACCATCATCGAGGCTGACGGGATCCTCCACCAGCCGTTGACCGTCGACTCCATCCAAATCTACGCAGGTCAGCTTCGCTTCAACCTTGTGCGCCGGCGAACAGTCCCTGAACGTCTTCAGCTCAACGGTATTCGTTCATCCTGTCCGCCAACCAGCCCATCGGCAACTACTGGATTCGTGCGAACCCGAACACCGGTCCCACGGGTTTTGCCGGGGGAATCAACTCTGCGATCCTTCGCTGTGAGTTCGCATGTTTGGATTCTCCCGCTGCATTCTTATTAAACTTTCTTCCTAGACGTTGGAGCGAGCTTTTCAGAGCCCAGGACCTCGCAGGACAAGTCGGTCAACGGACTGGTTAACGAAGTCAATCTCCACCCCCTCGTGAACCCCGGTGCGCCTGGTCGCCCATTCATCGGTGGTGCGGATGTGCAGCTCAATCTGGCATTGGCATTCGATTTTGTGCGCTGCCTCGACGTATGATATGTCAGCTTGATTGCTGATGATCACACAGACGACGTTCAGATTCAAGATCAACGGCGCCTCCTTTGTTCCGCCGACGGTTCCAGTGCTGCTCCAGATTCTGTCTGGCGCACAGAGCGCCCAGCACTGCTCCCCAAGGGCTCGGTGTACACACTTCCGCACTTTGCGTCCGTGGAAATCACGCTTGCGGGGGGCGTGGTAGGCGGTGGCGTGAGTGGGCCTCTCTTCGCTTAACTGTGGAGACTCATGCCATGAACGATGATGTGAATCTCTAGCACCCGTTCCATTTGCACGGTCATGCCTTCGATGTGATCCGCTCGGCCGGAAGCAGCACGTACAACTACGTCAACCCCGCCCGCCGTGACGTCGTCAACATCGGAACCACAGGCGACAATGTGACGATCCGTTTCTTCACGGACAACCGCGGACGTGGGTCTCAATTTACACCTCATTCGAACTGATGACGAATTTAACACAGCGTGGTTTCTCCACTGCCACATCGACTGGCACCTGGAAGCTGGTTTTGCCGTCGTGATGGCCGAGGACGTGGCCGACTGGAAGTCGGAGCTGATCCCGCCGTCTGCATGGAACCAGCTGTGCCCTATCTATAACGCGCTTCCGGCCTCGATTACTTCTCACGCGGCCTGAACACCCGATACATGTCGCCTGACTTATTCGAGAATTAATTCATATTTTGCTTCTGCAATCCTTTTATTCGCTGCGAGATAAACGTCACTGTTCAATCTTGCTCCACATGCTATCGTTGAATTTGCAAAATTGAACATCGAGGCACGTGTCCCTGGGAAAGGCTTCATGATGGGAGTCACGTGTCCTCAGAATCATCCTTTAAAGACCCCATCCACTGCTGCCAGCCACGTATTGGCTCCTCCCATTACTGAACCCCATCCCAAACTTGAGATCGAAGGACATCACCATTAATGCCTTCCTGTCCAATTCTGCCTCGACAATAGCGAACGTCCGACTGCCTGGCGTTTTCCATAAGCCTGCCATGCGACCGATGAAGCGAAGCTCAGTGCTGGGGATATCATTTGAGGCCACTGCACGATGTTCCCCTTGAAACAACTCTTTTGACCAGCTCTATGTGGGGAGTGAGGGCCGAGGGAGGCCTGTCGTGTCTGACAACAAGAGTGCGGCTAGCTTCGATTTCAGATAGAGGTTCGTCGCGAAAAACGCATCCGTCATTCGACCGGCTGATTCCAGGAGTGCAGGCAATCAAGCCCTCGCTATTAGCTGTGAACCTCGACTCGACGTGTCAAGGACGTGTTGACGTCAGTTCACAGCATCAGGGGTCCAGTGCACTGCCTTCCCCGAGACACGATATAAACAGACTCATGTTCTTGGCAACGGGTTGGACATCTTCAATCTCTCACCAAAACGATGAACTCTGCCCAGATGCAAGACCGCGCCATGGGAGCCATCTTTGGTTCTGCATTGGGAGATGCTATCGGGATATACACCGGTGCGCGAGATCGGCACAGATCCTTCCCCTCGAACTGACCAGTATTGTAGAATTCATGACACCAGCCATGGCAGTCGCTGCATACGGCTCTGAACGGCCTGCTTTCACCCTCGTGGAGCCAGAAACACCACTGCATCAAGACAGCCATAGATGTATGCTCTACGTGTGCAGATGGAAAGGACAACAGTCTCTTATGTGTCACAGGTCGATTCGAAAGCGCAAGTCCGGGCAGATGGGCGAGGGCAAACGACTGATCAGCAGCACAGCGCGCGTGGACGGATGATACGGACCACGCGATACTCATCATCCTGTCGTATCTGCGCACTCGCGAGCTCGCTCCTGGGGACTTTGCGACAAGACTGCACTCGTGGTAAGTTGGATGCTTTCGCCATACGACGAAACGGAGCTCATTGAGTGGCAGGTGCAACCAAGGCCTGCGTGTGCTGAACCGGCTTCCCATGGGTCTCGGACGTGAGTTGCCGCTTCCTTCCTCCGTCCTTCCTCCAGCTAACTATCGAGCGCAGGCACCGTCGGAAGCGTCGTTCACGCGCCCTCTTTCCTCTCCGACCCAGTGGGCACAGCGCTCTCGCACTGGGAAAAGTCGGGCCGCAGCGTCGCCCCCAACGGATCGCTCATGCGCACCGCGCCGGTTGGCGTCATCTGCATTAACGCGTCCGAGCCGGAGACATTCGCCACAGCGATACGGATGGGCGAGGTCACCCATGCCGATCCTCGCTGCGCTGTCTCCGTCGCCATCGTTTGCGGACTCATCCGTGGCCTCTGCCGTGGCGAGATAACGGCACTGGAGCACATCGACCAGCTCATCGAGCGGGCGTGGACCCACGTCTCTGCGATCTTCGTCGATCCCCTGGACCGCACCGAGTTTGACCGATACGTGTACTACCCTTCGGATCCTACTTCCTCGCTGTCCGGCATGGTGCTGTGCGACCGGACGATGGGATACGTGTCCAAATGCCTCGGTTCCGCGCTGTGGTGTCTGCGGCGCGTGATGACGCGGCAGGACACATTCCGCTCGGCGATGACAACGCTCGTCATGCACGGCGGGGATGCGGACACCAATGGTGCCGTTGCGGGCGCGCTGATGGGCGCGCTGTGCGGCTACGCGTATTTGCCACTGGAATGGAGGGACGGCATGCGCCACGGCGAGTGGTACCGCGGGAAGATCGACGCGTTTTTCGTCGTGGCGGGGATAAAGGACGGCAGCTACGAGTCGTCGGCGGACAGAGACACGGAGATGGACGGCGGGCAGGGTGTGCTGAGTGAGGCGGAGATGAAGCAACGGGAGATGGAAATCATGGAGAGGATCTTGTTGGCCGATGCGGAGCGCAGACAGGCCGTCAACCGCAAGGTGCAACGCAGCAAGAAGTCGAGATGGATGTCTTGGTTGTCGAGCTGAACTCAGTCAAGCCTCTTGATGATAGGCATCCTCGCTATTCCGGGCTTGGAGTGTACAAGTCTAATTCCGGTCTGAATGGAGACAACTCTGCCGCTGCCGAGGAGGAGTGGATAGGGCCAGTTGTGACCTGAAACCATGTGGTGTGACTGATGGCTTCAAGCTCAGACTCGGAGGACCAACTTTCCAATCAACAGTCCTGTAACCTACGTTTCGCCAGCTAGTGCTGTGTAAAAATCAAATCAGAGGCTGTTGTCAACAACGGAGGGCAAAGCCCTCCGGGTTATATAACTTTAGCCTGTTAAAATACATTATTTAACATTACGTCACCGCGCGTAGCGCGAGATTTTTTTTTGATTGTAACATGTTAAATATGTGTGAAATACATGTTAAAAATGTCAGAGAAGACATGTGAAAAACTGCTATATAGTTCGCTACAGGATATTGAAGTCATCCACCTCCCAGTCATTGGGATGAACCGCTGCTGAAGGCCAAGCAAGGTTTCATACTGCTCGCTCGTAGCCATGTCTCGCAGAGAGAGAAAAGTACGTAGTGGCTGCGGCACGGCAACGGCCCGAATGGATCTCCAATGATGATGTCAATGAATAATTGCCGATTTCACTTTGGACTTTCCTGAGACTCTGAGAGCTACTTTGAAAAGATGACAGCACATTTCTCACATTCAGGGTTTCTAACATGGATTTAACATCCAAATTTCAGGCCTCCATGTTAAATGTGTTAAATACAATGTAAATAACATGTGAAAATCGAATCGTTATTTAACAATCTGAATCTTACACAGCACTATCGCCAGCGAAGCGATGAGTCATCCGAATGTGCTCTAAACCTCCTACCCATAATCGGGGTTCCCATCGTCCTCCACTGGGGCATCCATCCGAGGTTATCTCGATTGTCACAAACTCGATTGTGTTGCACCTGCGCTTAGTTTCCCCTCTCCTTTGGAGTCAAAATCGCTGATGAGACAGCGTATGGCGCCTAGGCACGGCGGCGTTCGTCGTACGACATGACTCGCCAGTAGGGGGGCATAAGGATGGGGAGAATGCGCGACTATACGTACATATTAGCGATTTCTTGACGCATATCGGACAGCGGGTTGGTTCCGAGCGAGATGAGATCTGGTCATGGATACGATCGGGACGCACGAAGGTCAACGAGAGTCGGACTAGGCTGGGTGTTTGGGTCACTGCCGTCCACTAGGCAGCAAGCTTGCGAGTATAAATATACACTCGCAGCGAGATAGGGAGAGGGGCTGTGCCGAGAAGTGGCTATGACTTTCTAGCATGACAGCATGGACAGCGCCATATTGCCCAATACCTCGCGCTCATCTCGCAAGAATGTTTATAAGCCTGATCGCTTCGCGCTCGCTTTCGTCCACTTTCCTCGAAGATGACTTTTGAGACGATCCCTCTCAACGACGGCAAGGAGGTCGGTTACTCTTTCTCTGGCCCCTGCGACGTCTGACAAGCATGTCCGCACGCCTAGATACCGGCCATCGCTTTCGGTGAGTGCTCGTGGGAGAAGCTGGGCGGGCTGGGATGACACGTGCGTCGTAGGCACGGGCAGCGTGTACAAGTTCACGGACGTGACGCGTCTCGTCGCGCAGGCCCTCGAGGCGGGCTTCTGGCATGTGGACACCGCTCAGTGTGCGTTACAATCCTCTCAAGCCCCAACAGCCCGCTGACGTGCCATTGGTTCAAATTAGACTACGGCACCGAAGGTACCGTCCACCTCAGCTGCATGCGGTCCGAGTCTGACGGGGGACACAGAGTTCGTCGGTGATGTTATCCGAGAGAGCGGCCTGGCACGGTCTGAGCTGTACATCACCACCAAGTACAGCTGGCTGGGGAACGTCGCGGACGCGCTTCCACAAAGTCTTCAGAACGTGTGTGGTCTTTTGCCGTTGGCTGTACGCGGACCGATTGCTGATGAGGTGTTCGTCATCATCACAGCTGGGCCTGAAGTTCGTCGACTTGTATCTGATCCATTCCCCGCGCCCCGGGTATGAGGAGGTATGGAAGACGGTGGAATCGTTCCAGAAGCAGGGATTCACCAAGTGCGTTCGCTAGTTCCCTCTGCTTCTGCTCGCGCTGCCCTCGTTGATATATCCATTGTGCTCCTCCAGGAGCATCGGCGTGAGCAACTTCCACCTGGAACAGCTCCAGAATCTGCTGCAAACCGCGACTGTCTGGCCCGCCGTGAACCAAATCGAGCTACATCCGTACACGTACGCCGACTACAAGGATACGATCGATTGGGCCCAGGAGCACGGGATCGTCATCGAAGCGTTCAGCAGTCTGAGGTATGGGTTCGGAACCTTCCACCGCTTCGACTTGCTCACCGCCTCCCGCTATAGCCCGATCACCAAGTACCCTGGGGGGCCCGTCGACGTGCCCGTTGCGGCGGCGGCTGCCCGGTTGGGAATCACGCCGACCCAGGTTCTGCTGTCGTGGGTGCGCGCCAAGGGTGCCGTCATCGTCACGACGACGTCCAAGAAGGAGCGACTGCGGGAGTACCTTGCCGTCGGAGACCTACGTGCGTTGCTGTCCACTTCCCCGCACTCTGTTCTCGCGCTCACCTCAGCCGGCAGCGCCTTTGTCCGATGAAGATGTCGCCGCGATCGACGCGGCGGGTGCGAAGGGTCCGCCGAGTAGCATGCGCCTGCGGCTGAAGCGGATGTCGCGGTCACGACATTTCCGGGTGCTCGTTGCAGTGCTGCAGGTCGCGTTGTTCGTATGGATGTCGCTTTATGTCGTACATCGGTTCTTCCTGTGAACCGAAGCGGGCGTGCTTTCTAGTTTGACGTGTTGACTGGTTCGGCGATCTGTGCGAACGATCGGAGCCATGCTTGTACAACCTCGTCTGACTGCACATTGGCTAGCTTTGAATCGCATTGACCGAATAGCTGGAGTTTTTAACACTTGATCAACAACTCCTAGGCCGCTGAAGCTTGTGTCCCTACGCAAATGCTCAACCAGTATTGCCCTCTAACCTACGTGTACTCTATTTTGGAAGGGACAAATCTTGAAATTTGCCACTGCAGAATGAATACTGAATCAGCTGAGATGTGTGAATCAAGACAACCCGGTAACTGAATCAGTGAGCTGAAGGCCAAGATTACTTTGGCTACAGTTGCGTGAGCGATCTACAGGTCCGGGTACCCTCATCTCTTCCATGTCGATGGCAGGAAAATGGTCGCTTCAGGACTAAACTTGCCTTGAATCTTGTGGTAAGAAGGCACGCCTCAATGATACCTTTGTTGCCAAAACAAACAACTGCCTTGCTCTCTGCAGAGGCAAGGCCTCTGACCAGCAGAAACCGGCATGCACATCCGTTTGAGCACTCAGTCTTATGTACGGAACCACGGTAGGAATTTAATGGCTTGAATTGAACGGCTTTGGCTACAGGGTGGTACGGAGAAAAAAAGGGACGAGCACAAGTAGAACGAGATGGGAGACTGTCTATCTATGCGACACCCTTGGAGGCTTGGCCAGCGGCCTTGGTGTCAAGTGCGATGTTGTTGCTCAGCTTCTTCCTGCGGTGGGGAGTCAACAAGGCAACCAGACAGTTCACGATCGGAGACACGTACTGCTCAGTGGCGAGGGAGGTCTGGATGGACGAGGTGCTGGAGCCCTTGGCCTGGGCCTGGGCGAGCTTGATCTTGAGACCCTGGACCTCAGCGGTGAGCTTGAGGACCTTGTTCTTGATCTTGCCGTTCTGGAGGGCAGTGGCTAGCAAGATACATCAGTACGACTAGGCACACGGCGCAGTAGGTATTTCGACTTACCAGCAGCGCCGGAGGCAGCAGCGATCTGGGGGTTGAACTTGCCGGTCTCCGCGGCCTCAGCAGCGAGACGCATGGTGTTCAGGTTGGCGAGAGCCGACGCGCTGACGGTGGTGAGGTCGGCGGGGAAGGGGGCGACGAAGATAGCGTCAGCCTGGGCCTGGGCAGTGCCGGCCTTGCCGTCGGAGATCTGGAACGACGAGTATCTGCGAAGAGATGAGCTGGGATAAACAGGCATCATGGCCCGAGGCGACGCACTGCTGGACAGCGAAGTCGAAAGTTCCGGCGGCGCTTCCACCGGTGGCAGCGAGGGTGGCACCAGTGGCGGCGGGGGCGGCAGCGGCGGCGGTGCCAGTGGCCTTGGCGGCCTTGGTCTTCGCAGCTTTGGTCTTCGCGGCCTTAGCAGCCTTGGTCGTGGCGGCAGGGGCAGCAGCGGCGGCGGCAGTTCCAGCGGCGGCAGCGCTTCCGCCGGTGACTCCCTGAGCGGCTTTGCCGGCGGCGGCGGTGTCGAGGGCAATGTTGTGGGTCAGCTTGGTCCTGTGCGTACAGTTAGCGCGTTCGAACGGCAAGGAATTTTGGGTGCGACGCACTGCTCGGCGGTGAGGGAGGACTGCAGGCTGGCAGTGCTCTTTCCGGCTGCCTGGGCCTGGGCCATCTTGATCTTGATGCCTTGGACCTCAGCGGTGAGCTTCAAGACCTTGTTCTTGATCTTGCCGACTTGGAGAGCGGCGGCTGCCCGTAGGTAAGCAACATGATACAGGAAAGGCTGGTATGAAAGCGGACGTACCAGTGGCACCGGAAGCAGCCGAGATGGCAGGGTCGAATTGCTGAGTCTCCGCGTTCTCCGCGGCGGTGTGCATCGCCTCGACGTTCGCAAGGGAGGTGGCGTCGACCGTGCTCAGATCGGCGGGGAACGGCGTGACGAAGATCGCGTCAGCCTGGGCTTTGGCGTTACCGCCAACGCCATCAGAGATCTGGAAGCTGTCGTAGCTAGAAGCAAAGTGGATCAGCGTCAGAATCTTTCTCATAACGAACAAGCCTACCTCTGGAGAGCAAACGAGAAACGCTTGCTCTTGAGCGGCGCAGCGCTCACAAGGGCGGGGACAAGGAGAGCGAGGAGAGCGAAACGAGCCATTGAGGACAACAAGTACGTGACAATCGAGGGTAGTGCTGGACTGAAATGCGGCAAGCCGAGGAAAGAATGAAAGAATGAAAGTTTTCGCCTTCAAGACGGGGAAACAGAAAAGAAGGTGTTGGGTGAGTAGGCCAAAGGGATCAAGCTGGGGAACTACGGTGTCCCCCGTTCGCTTTTATATCATATCGGTGCGCGGAAACACAACAAAAGCAAGCATCAGGATTCCCCCGTCTGCCGGGGGGCCTTGACGACACCGATTGTTCCTGTCACGCAAGATGCACCGGGGATTTACGCTGCCCCTGCTAGCGTGCGCGACCCACCGAAGGGACACCGACTTGATTATGTTGATGATACGCACTCCCTCCCGAGCGCGTCCAAGCAAAGCCAAGGAATCAGGTCTGGGGTAGGCTTGGGTCTTGGGAGTCTCGACAGCAGCCGGGCCGCAGGGGACCGCCACGCTGTTCCCATGCAGCAAAAAAAGAAGATAAAACCTCCGAAGCCCACATCATCTCCGAAGTGAAATCCAATCAAACTTCGTCGGGTCTGAATGTCCGCGCAGTCTCCGTGCCCTGCCGAGTCCTTGCGAGCGGTCTATCTCTCCCAACAGCTCTACGTAAATGGCAATTTTCCATAGGCTCTCCTCTTACCCGTCGATTTTTTGGAGAAAACTGAGCCAGGGGCCAGTGAATTTCGAAATGAAAAAGTCGTGACTCGGGAGCGGTCACGGCTATAAATAGCACGCTTCGATTCCTTGGCAATGTACCACGCGTTTGACGCGCTGCCGGTCCTCATCATCATCAATCACCCTCGGTTGCTTGACAGCCACGCACTGATCAATTGGGTGGTTGTTCCTGTTGTCGTTTCTGCCCATTTTGGCTATGAATGGTGTAGAGTGTTCGACAGGAGGGGGGTGGCCGCCGGCGACCAGGACGACGGCGGCCTGCCGCTCTTTGAGCGAGTGCGGTATATTCCGCGATGCCATTATCCATAGAAACCTCGGGGTAACCCTCCCTCGGTGCAGCTTTGGAAATCATTAACGATGTCGATCGGCGGAAGCATCAGATCTCGAGAGTGTTCGTGACCTCGCTCGTCTACTCGTGTAAGTATGGTAGAATTATTCCATTTCGCAGGCTGGCTGATTTCCTGCTGTCCGCCAGTGGGATTTTACATTTAGACAGTGGATGTATTTGCATCGGGAGCGAACATCGGAAATGCGGTCGCTTGGAGACGTTGAGTAGCGCGGCGATGAATGTATTGAGCTAATTTCTGTAATACGAGCGAGAACGGACTTGAGACTGCTACGAGTCGAGGTCAAATCAAGCACTTGATTCCATTGACGGAGATACACCATCGATCGAAGTAATCGGAGAAACGAAGTAGGTCAGGTGATGGATAGTGATGCTCTGCTGAGCAAGGTCACGCTCGGGTTAAAAATTGCCTAATACGATCACTTTTGCGGCCACACCACGTTTCTGGCCCAGTTGTCAATGTCGATCACCGTCAACGGCCATGGCCAACGGAAATTCATCTCGCAGGTAGACGACGACATGGCCGGTCTTGTGGCAAGTAGTCCGTCCGCCCAGCATCCCGAGACCCTCGGGTTGAGACGGACTTACGGTCGCGCAGGCCAGGGTGTGAAACTGATTCTCGCTTGCGAGCTCTCATAGTGGAAAAACTTCTTTAAAACAAGGCGCACCGATTGATCCCTCCCGGAGAGAACGATGCGAAAGCTCCCGCACAAGTCAGATGCGAAAGCAGTTCGCTTCGTGCGGCGAGCGTTCCACTTCGAACATCGACTGCCAGCGAATATTTTTGACGAACGGATGCGTGTCTATTCGCAGCTAGATATCCACCCATCAGTTGGCAGTGCTCCTTGATGTAAGTTTCCCCAGCAGCATGTCTTGCTCGTCGAGGCTATCCCCATCAAGCTTGTTGTCGATTCCGTACAACAAGGTCTGATCCGGACCGATGTACCGATGCGCTAGCCAGGCAAAGTGCATGAATGAACGTTTCTCGCACGTTTTCCTCTCCGAAAATGAAGACCAAGCAGTACATCAGCTGCCGGTTCCCTTCTTCGGCGCGCTGATGCGTTTTTGACCGAGCTTGGTGGCGAAGATTGGTCAGGTGTGGGTAGGCAGCGGGAGAGGAAGCAGGGTGCACTCCCCGGTCGGCGAGCAGCCCTGAGACTGAAGAGAAATGCAAAGCGATGTGAAGTATTCCGCGATCACCGTCCGAAAACAAGAGTGGGATCGATCCTCTGTATTACGTTCTAGCTTGTAGGTCAATACCGGCTGAGTGCACTTGTCATTCCCCTGCCAATCATCGTCGGTGCTATCATTAGGACGAATATTTGGAACAAAGGTTTGCGTCGTCGCAACGCTTTGCAGGGATTTATTTTGATCAAGAGATGCTCCCACATCCTATCCACAAGGGCATTTCCAGCCTTAGCCGCGCATGATGCCAGTCCTTGACAAAATAGGGGCAAGTTCGATTTAACCAACCTCTTGGGAAGAAATATTCTCAGAGGAACTGCATAGCAAGTTGAAAATATTCCTTGCTCACCAACCCTATTCCGATGCGGAGTCCATTGGAAGCAAGTGAATAAGGAATATCGTATCAGATTCTTGCACTCACCCTTCCGCCTGACTGCTGGTGCTGTTCCCATGCTCCCTAAGATTGGGAAAGATGTTGGCTAGTCGCCATTGAGGTAAGATAAGAAGCGCCAACCTGTTGGGAGCTTGAGTCTCTGTCCGCCCGGTTCACGAGCTGCTCTATGTGAGATCATCATCAATGACTTGTTATCAAATTGTCAAGTGGCGGGCATGTCCATTTGTGACCGCACTTCTAAGCAGCTGGTGTGGATGCTGACTGCTGGACTCAAACCAGAGAAACCTACGGAATTTACGATTCTCGATCGTATCCCGAGCTCGAATCAACGCAATGTAGTGAGTAGTCCGCAATAATTGTGTTTTGCACGAGCCGGGTGTCGAGCGACCTGTTACAATCTGCCAGAGATGTCAACTGGCAATGATCGATGTCGCACTTGCAATTGAATTCGGCGGGCAGATTTGAACCTAATTGGGTTGAGGAATTCGAATGCCTCCTGGGTTGTCAACGGTTTTGCCGCTTCTCCTCCGCTACCACCATGCCCGAAGAAACTCTGAGATGGGCGAATATTGCCAGGCTTCCTGCTCGTCTTCAGGCAAGCTCACCGTTGCCTCAATCGTGGGCTAAGGACTCAAATTTGATGATAGAACATTGCCAAGACTGCATTAAGCTGTAAGCCGGAAGAGTTGGAAGAAATCCTCGCCATACCGAAACTGCCACCCTGCGACCAGGCGGCCCTCCTTCCGTTGCTGTTTCGGCTGCTTGAACCACCGCAGACCATCGACCACGGAGACGATGCCATACCGCCGGCCGATTACATCCTGAAGACATACCCCGTGCTACAATCAATCGAACTTTTGCTCAGGGAATCGCTCATCCCAGAGATGTCTATAGTGAGCCTATGGCCCCGGATCTGGCAATGCTTGTGCATGCATCAGATGCTGGACGATCGGGATGTAGTATCGCTTGAAGGGACCGACGTTCGGAAGCTTGCACTCTCCGTTCTGCGTCAGCTGTGTGTATCCGACAGATGGCTCTCAGGCGCCTCCCCGCAACCGCCGGTGCCCTTTGGCATCGTGCACGTGACACCCGGACTGATTCGGCACCTGGTTCATCTGTGGCGCCGCGCTGTATTTGATCTGTCTTGGGCACTGCCGTATACTTCGGATCTCGGGCGGTTGCTGTGCTCTCTTCTGATCTTCAATCATGCAGCGCCGCACGTCCAAGGGGAGATCTTTGAGGCGTGCGGGGGAACGTGTGTGGACTATGCGATGTTCGTCATTCAACACATCCGCATAACGCGACGCGAGAAGGAGTGGCATGAGGCTACTATGCTGCCCTGGACCGTCCAGTCGCTGACGGCGCTATTGGAGATCACAGTAGCGTATTCGGACGTGCTGATCGACGTCCTCATGGACATGGGCCTTGCCGCTGGATTGGTCAAGCTCTCGCTGTGTCTCGACCGTATCGGGAGAATCGCCCTGCCTGTGACTAATGGAGCGGGCGTGATGCTGACTTTGCAGGGCCCGATTTTCACGCTGCTCACCCGGGCAAAGCCAAATCCTTCCTGGGTCCGACAGGCCTTGTGCTCCGGGCTGCTTCCCGCTATCGCCAAGACAAATCTCGGCATTCTCGCATCTCCGGGGACAACATCCATGAACGCAGACACGCTCTTCCCAAACCAGATGAAACTGCTCAGCGACGTGCTCCCCGGGCAGCTGACGTCGTATTCTGTTTTGGCGTATCTCGAACGTGCTCTTGTCTCACTTGAGGAGACACAGTTGAAGTTCCCGATCGGGCCGCTAGTCACACCGTGGTCTCGGATGCTGCCATTGTTGAAAGCCCGTTTTTCCATCAAGAAAGATTTCGACTCGCGCGGGCGGGTGGGGGTCATATTATGTGATGGGCCTCAGGTGCGATTGAAGCAATTAGATGAGAGAATATGAGCTGACCAGAATGAATAAATCAGTGCCCCCAAGATTCCTCGAAGAAACAATTCAAACGGTGCTCACAGTGCCGACAAGTGTTCTACTGCAACAAGCATTGCCAGACGAGAGACTGGAAGCAGGGCACACACCGGTCGCTTTGCGGCAAGCTTGGTCTGTGACGGTTGCGTATTGCTCTGATTCAAGACAGCTCTGAATAATTCCTCACAGGATCCAGCCCGCCTCCTGCATTTCTTATGTTTCTCACACAGACCGATGCAAAGCGCCTGCCGAGCCCCGATCCGCTTGCCACATTCACAATCATGGACTACGCGGCCGGAGCGGTCGATCTACGCATCTGCCCGTTTTCCGAGCTCCCGCTTTTGGCGCGCGAGCATGACTGGAAGCATTACAAGACTTGTGTGGAGCTTGCAGGTGGGACGAGAGAGCTGCGTGTTGTTGTGCTCCCAGAAAGGTCTTGGATGCTCTTGGCACCGAGCCGGAAGTGCTCTGTGTGACCCGATTGAGGTTTGAGCCTTGAGGCAACGACTTTGCTCATCTGTATTTTATGCTTTCTTGTTGTTTTTAAATGATCTGTAATAATTCTGGATAAGTATACCAGCAAAATTTGAATTCCTATCACACTGCGGGGGGACTTATTTTTTCTCCGTGGAAAACGCATGACAATCTAGAAGTCCGATTTTCACTGTTCTGTTTTCAGACGAAAAATATATATTGAAAATAAACGTCGATTTACAGCTCAATTTTTACCATGAATAGACATATATTCCTGCCGAAAACAGAACTGTAAATAGATCATCTTTTTTTAATCGAGTCTCACTGGGAATAGACGTCGATTTTCACTGAAAATAGAAATAAAAAAAAGATAATATTTTTTCACTGAAAACAGATTAAAACCACTAGGAGAATCTGTTGATTCCGGCAATTTGCATTCCTGACCTTGCAAAAGACTACTGAATGTTACTCACAAAATAGAACAGTGAAAATCGGATTTCTAGATTGTCACATGTTTTCCACGGAAAAAAATAAGTCCCCTGCAGTCTTAGCGGACTGCACACACTAGAGCATATTGGAATTTGTAAAAAGTAACCTTCTACATAAAATATATCAAATGTCGCTTAAATCTGGGCCACTTTCTATAGCAAAAGGAACTCCACATACAATCACATTACTTGTCACACCACCAACTCTCGCCAATTCCACCGTCTCCTGCCTCCCACACTCCCAGTTGTGCTGAAAAGAGCAACCTCTAGTGCAGAGGAGGTGCAAGACAACACGTGTGTGTGTCATGATTCGATCATTTTTCACAATCATTCCATTGATCACCTTATCTTATCATTGACATGGGACTATCTTATCACGGATCACGGCACCACACGGTCCGGGTTGAGGGTTCAAGAGGGTTATCTACACAAGAGGTCGCGCAGCGTGTGCTCCAGAAGTCTATACTACAACCCATGACCAAAGCTCCATACGGTACATAGTCAGATGACTCGTTTGATGTAGATAAGGCTCAGACTGGACTTAGTATAAATACAGTAGCTATTGTGTTGTATTCTCCAGTCTTGGAATTGACTTGTCTTTTCGATCATATTCTGTGTTGATTGTCACATAATTCCAAGACTCCCCTCATACCTCTTACCGCTGCATTCTTCACCGCTACGCCCGCTATATCCTCTTCATCCTTATCAACTCACTTATCTTTCTACTGAATCATCTAGTTGTTCTCTGTGATTGCAGAGAAGGGTTCATATCAAGCAAACTGCACCGGGCTACGGGTAACGTTGAGCCCAACCCAAGCCCTACGGTAGCTACAAGGAGTGCTGCGGAGACCTTCGGGAAAACGCACCTCGGGATCATCGGGCACGTGAAGAGCTAGGCCCGGGATTTTTTTGCTAGCAAAAGAACCCTCCCTCGAGTGCTTGTACAGCACATGAATCCACCATTTCATTCCGATTCCCATCGTCGTCTGGGAGTCCGTCTCCTCCTCCCATCCTACCATTGTTGCCCGATCTGGCGCATCAAAACCAACCCGGACCCTCCAACCCCTACCTTGCCCTCCCACCTCCTGAAGACGAGATCCCCGACCTTGGCGAGTTACCCTCCGAACAACCACCCTCGCCCCCACCTACCACACCTGCTCCTACCATGTCAGGACATCACCGCATCACCCTCGCCGCCAATCCCCCCTACTTCGATGGTGACCAGTCCAAGTACCTGGGCTTTGTGGACGCATGCACCACCTACATCGGTGCCTACCGGTCAGAGTTCTCGCTGGACGAGACAAAAATCCTCTTTGTCCTTTCCTACCTCCGTAATGAAACCGGCACAAGCTGCGCCGCCTCGAGATGGGCGATGAACTGGAAGCAGCACAATTTTGAGGGCTTCCAAGGACTGAAGGCGGGAGTCACCGCGACAAGCTTCTTGGAGGAGCTCCAGAGGGCCTTTGGGCATTCTAACGCAGGACAAGTTGCTGCCGCCCAACTCATGACCCTTCGCCAGGGCAGACGGTCCTTCGCGGATTATATCTCTGACTTTGAGATGCTGGCTGCAGACGCGGGGTACAATGTGGTCACCACCACCGACAGCAAGGGCGAGTACAAAAAGGGGGATCAGGACAATATCCTCATCGAGTTCCTGGAGCGCGGACTCAGCAGCGAAATTGCAAGCCGCCTCTACAACACCGGTGTTCCCCTGCCCAAGGCATATGGTGCCTTCAAGAACTGGTGTGTCAACATTGAGGCCAATGCTTTGCGTGATCAGCTGCGTAAGGCATCCTATGCGCACTCGACTCCGCGGCCTCCCCCCCAATTCCGCCCTCAGGCTGCGCCAGCGGCACCTACACCTGCTCCGACCCGACCAACGACCAATGAACCGGTTCCAATGGAGATTGATTGCACCCACACCCGCGGCCGTAATATCATCTGCTATAATTGTCAGCAACCCGGGCACATTGCGCGGAACTGTCCGGAGCCCAAGAAGAAGCGCACGTTCTTCAATCGGGCCACAATGCTAGAAGAGATCAAGAACGGGGACAAGGACAACGAGTTCCTCAAGGAGATCGCTGAGAAGCTGCGCGAGAAGGGTTTTTGAAACGCTCCACTCCTCTAGCCAAGGAGGTGGAGCGTCCGGACTATGGACGTTTTTCTATACTTGTTTCTATTAAAGATACGGACAATATCTCACCTACATACACGATCTCCGACTCACTACGCAGGAATATTCATGATTTTCTGATTGCTGATATGGAAAAAGAATGACAAATAACAATAGCTTCAAATAAAAAGTATATACAAGACAAAAAGGATCAAAAGACTGTGGACAAATCATTGGACTCTTACGTATTTATGGCTCGTGGAGAAGGAACCACGTCAACAAAGACCGAAAAGGGGAGCACCGCTCCGAAGGCTCAATCCTTGGAAAAGGAGGAAGCGCCTAGAGAATCGATGGAAATCACAGTTCCAGAAGCACCCAGGCGCACAAGGGTGCCAGATGCTGTTCAGAGATCAGCAGCCGAGAAACAGAAAGGCCCTCAGCCCAGTAGGTTGGCGCAGGAGTTGCGCAACTACCAGGCAGAAAGGAAGAGGCATTTGATGGACGTATATGTCCAGATCACAGGCCTAGACTCCGGGAGGACGCGCGGGGTTAAGGCACTGCTTGACAGCGGTTGCAGTACCTGTTGCATCGACACCGAGTACGCGCGGGCAGAAAGATTGGATATCCAGGAACTCCCCCAACCCATCATGGCCCTGTAACGCCGACAACACCGAGAACATCAGTGGCGGGATCACCCACTATGTTGATTTAAGGATGAGAATGGGCCCTAATGTGGAAACACGCACGTTCCTCCTGACGTGCTTGGGAAAAGCGCGGATCTTCATCGGCCTTGATTGGCTGACAGAGCATAACCCCGAGGTGGACCACCTTGGTCACCCCCCAAATCCTACCAGTTAGGTAGGTTTTTCCGGCGCCCAAAACCTACCTGAGTGGTAGCGGGCGGATGGGCGGCGGGCGTTCATTTCGCGAATTGCGATCCGTGGGCGGCCCATTGTTCACGGTTCCAGGCGCCCGTGGGCGGCAGCCCGGGCAGACCCAACCCCGCCCGGGGTCCTAGCGTGCGCAGCGCTAGAAATTTTTGGCCATTTTACGTCCCGTTTAGGAAGTTAAAGTCGATTTCTATTGCCTTCGTTGCACACAAAATACATTTGTTGTTTCCTACTTATCACCCGTGTGTACACGATGCCAATTGAATATCCATGTAGCTTTTTTGCGTTCAATCAATCATTGATGCTGAAAATCTCTGCATCAGGGGGCGGCGGCCTGCGTCGCGATTCTCGCTGCGTCTGCGCCCACTCGTCCACATCTATGACTTCGCCCAGACGTTCTGCTTTTTCAAGCTTTTCCTGTGCAATTCTTCTCTCTTCTTAATCCAATAATTTTGTCATTGAGACTACGCGTTCATACGGCAAGCCTACCTTTTGCAAACGCCTTCTTCCGTTCGACTGAACAAGCTTTTTCCAGGTGTTTAAGTAATCCCATTTGTTTATTTTGAACCTGGCAAGCCTACCTCGGGCACGACGTTCTGCGAGATGGTGCTCAAATTTGTCCTCCGGCTCTCGCTCGCTCTCGCTCTCACTTTCCTCGCTGTCCTCCGTCTCCGGTTCCTCGTCGTCGTCAGATCGGATGATTGCTCCGCCCCACCCATGGCGGATTCTCCGCACTCGGCGCCGAGCCCTACGAGCGGCCAAACAGACCGTATTTCGGTATCTCTCCTCAGGCAAAACGCGCTGTTGACTCGCGGCCCTGAATGGCATTGCATCAGAGCACTCAAATTCTGGACTGGGGGGACGGACTCACTGCATGCGAGGAGGGGGAGAGGGAGTGCGTAACACCCAGCAGGTACGTTTCTTTTCAAGCTGCTTGGGTGTCAGGGGTTTGGGTCTGCAAATGTGAGCAATGGCAGTGGAGCGCGTTTGGTACAAGACGGACCTGTAAGCAATGCGCCGCATCGTCCGTGGTTGAAGGCAAAGTTGAACAGTCACGGTCACCGTGACAAGGGTCATATAGAGGGTCGCTGCCGGTTATGGGCACGGCATAAGGAGGTGCCGATTGATCCTTCGTTGGTCGGCCAGTGCGTGGGGGCCCGTGAAGAGATGTGGGCGCCCGTGTCGTAAGTCTGGGTGCCCGTAGTTGGCTGTGGGCGCCCGTGATCAGGTGTGGGCGCCCTTGAATTGTTGTGGGTGCCCGTAGTTTGCTGTGGGCGCCCGTGATGGGATCTGGGCGCCCGTAGTTTGGTGTGGGCGCCCGTCACTGGTGTCAGGGCAAACAACACAAGACAGTGATACAGTACGGGGAGCATTCAGTTACATAGTACGTAGCATTAGAACATGGAATAAGCATTATCTAGCCCGGCACTGGATGCATTTGGAACGAGAAATCTGGTGGCAGTGCTACACAACAAGTCCCAGCCCAAATCACACTGGACCAATTGTACTCAATCACAGACATGTCCTGCTCTGCTCCGCGTACCAACGACACCAGTGCCGCTGTGGATGGCATTGCCACGGGGCGGACTTGATTAACGCGCGACACATCGGACAAGAGAACACGTCGGCCTCTTGGATCCACATACGTATGCATCCGTAACAGAATTCGTGCCCACAAGTGACCCTGGGTGAAGGCCAATCAGCAACCCATCCGGAACATCCTATATGCCAAGAGCCAATGCAAACACTTACTTCACTGGATGAGACAGTATGCCATAGCAGACTGAGCACTGCAGATCTGCAGGTGGATTTGCGAATGCAGGCGGTCGAGCGTCGGTCAGATACATCTCTTCACAAGTACGGTACCTCTGCGCAGTCCCCATGTTGCCATGTGGAGAAAGCATCAGGGACAAGCCCACGTCGTCCCCACCCAATGCCTTGACCGCCGCACTGACACCTTCGGGGCCAATGCCTTGCAAGTGGAACACAGCCAATTGCTCTGGGTCGGCCCTTTCTTCCAGAACAGCGTCATCGAATGAGCGGTCAAAATAGCCTGACCGTGTAATATCAGAACACATTGCGAGGTGATATCAACCATTGACCGTACCAATGTCCTCTGATGGAACGGGCAGACCCTGAGGCCGTAGTGGCACTGACATCTTCGATTAACCAGCTGCTGGACTACTGGCCCGGTATGCGGCACTCACATACTCATCGTTCCCAGCGATCTTTGGCAAACCCCAAGCCTTCTCTCCAGTATGCAGGAGGATCCCCACGGACTCGGACCGCTTCATCCTGCATATCGAGCATTCTGCTGAGTGCGTGGTGATAACGCAGGCCAACCAAGCAGTGTTCAAAGGCAGTGACACCTTCTGGGTCGCACATCTTTTCCCGTTGGATCCAATTGATTGCTCCGTTGTCCAATATGTGCTTTACTTGAAGACAATCTTCCGATTCCAGGAGCATGTTGGTGACAGAAGTCATGAATAAAAAAACCAAGAAGTGAAGGAAATGTGACTCAGCTGTGACATGCGCTCTGTCGGCTTCTTACACCCTGGAACACAAGACCAAGACGTTGCGCTGTTATCTTCTTACCCCTGAAGCACAAGGCCAAGACGTTATATTTGTTGCATTCGTGCTGGTGATAATAATTACTCCGTCGCTTCTATGAATGTATGGAAAAACAGCATGTCAGCGTCAGCCAAGCCATCGGTACCAATTGTTCACCAAATCTAAGCGACGTACTAAGCGACTGACTCGGTGTCGCTGACTTCAGCTGTCCCATAACAGAGTGTCTCAATCAGGTGCTCATAGATGTTGGCATGGTGTATGCAATGACGGTCAGCAATGACAGGGATGTGTGAAGGAGACAGAGAGTGCCACCTTCCCTCCCTTTGGTACTCCACACCGGTGCTGATGTAGTCATTCTCCTCAGGTTCATCATTGAGGTCTCGGGGACGATACCCAGAAGCCACAAAGACTGAAGATTTGGTGTCTCCAAAATGGTAGCGCAGGATGTGTTCTCCGGGTCTGGGCTGGCGGTCCAGCTGCGCCCGCAACTTCTCTGCGTTGATTCGTGCGCGTGTTTCCGTCGCAAGACTGACTCGCTCATCGCCGACGTCGTCCAATGCTGCTGACGGAGTTGGGTTTAGTCGAGAACGTTTCGCTGGTGGGGATGCGGGGCCCTCTTCGTCACTGGATTCCACTGGGGTCGGGGCTGCGCTCGTGTCAGTTTGTATACGTGTGCCAAGAAGTTGTTGCCACCTAGCTCCATGGCGGTTGACATCTCTCTGGATACACCGAGGGTTGCAGAACGAGGTGGAGGTGAACGAGCAGAAGCCGGTCTTTTCCCGGCCACCTTGCTATCCACCTGCACAATCTCCTTCTTGTAAGAGGCGCAGTCCCGCACCCACGCCAGCTCGACACCATCGTTGACGCAGGTTGCTAGCACGATATCACCCTCATGCCTAACGTTGTCCGCGGCGTCGACTTCTTCTGTCATGTTTATGAGAACGCAGGTGCTCCCCTGAGTAGCGAAAATTGACCTTGCGACCACTTCACAAAATGTGGAGCTTTAGATGCAAGGGCTTCCTTGTCCTCTTTCAGCGCGACGGTTTCCTGATCGTCATTTGGGTCCACGGCGTATTGTTCAGGATGTGCTTGCAACTCGAGACCGGGCAGAATTACTTGCACAAGCTCTGCGGATGATTTCCAATTCGAATGCGGCAGAGAAAAGCCCTGCGGCCAATTCACCAGCCGGACCTGGTGCTTCCGACACAGGGCAGTCAAGTCCCAAGTCATCCTCTTCAGAACTACGGACCCCGTGGACTCTAATGCAAAGAGAAACCTTTGGTGAGTGCGTCTTGTTGTCAGAAAGACCAGGAATCGTACCCAGGCTTCTCCACAGCAGTTCACCGACTCGCGCCCGTTCAAAACTCCTCTTGTTGGCATAGCTTCTCCCTCCATCTGTCACGAGCCGTTGCTCGCTACTTTGTCCTTGCGGTCTTGGACCACTGGCTTGTGCACCTTGCATCGGCGCGGTCGCAGGTTGTGCCACCAGCAATGGGTCTACGCGAGAGGAGCGCTTGTTGAGCACTGGGGAGAGCGTCTAGCAACCCACCTGTGTGAGTTGAGAGCTTAGTGTGGGCACTATGCGGGAGTAGTCAAGAGACTTGTATTATAGGGTAATAGAGCCCTCCTTATATACAATACAGGGGGCTATTTGTGTCTATTTAGGACAAGTCGACATGACTCTAGATGACACGTGATGGAGTCATAAGATGTGTATCACGACATCCATCTGGCAGATGATAAGATCATCATTTGATCAACACTCCCCCACGCTGAAAACCACAGGATAGTGTTTGAAAGCGAAATCTTCATCGGCCATTCCTTCAGGACGAGTTGAACTCAAGTCCTAGTTGGGACCTGAACTTCTCGAACTTGACGCGTCCTAGGTTCTTGGTGAACATATCTGCAGGATTCTCACTGCCCGGAATAAAGAACAGTTCAACCTCTTCTTCCTCGACTCGCTCACGAATGTAGTGATAGCGGATGTCTATGTGTTTCATCCTGCGGTCTCGGTAGGCATTGCTGCCACTGAAGAGTGCACCCTGATTGTCACCGCAAATGGGTACTGGGATGGTGAGTTTGAACTGGAGTTCCGAAAGGACGCTCTTCAGCCACATCACCTGGCGACTACAATCTGAAATCGCCATGTACTCTGCTTCGGTCGAAGACTGCGCGACTGTGCGCTGAAGTCTAGACTGCCAGCAAATAATCCCATCTGCCAATTTCGTGAAGAAACCAGTGGTAGACCTCCTCTTGATCGGATCAGCAGCCCAGTCTGAATCGCTAAATGCAATGAGCCCTCTATCCGTCGCACCATTGAAAATGAGCGAATAATTCCTAGTACCAGACAAATAGCGGCAGATATACAGCGCTTTATGGAGGTGGTCTTGGGACGGATTGGCGGCAAATTGTGACAATTTGGTCACAGCAAATGCAATGTCAGGACGTGTGCCTAGCATGATGAAGAGAAGAGATCCAATGACTGATTGGAATTTCTTCCTGAGCTCTGGATCGACTTCATCCTCATTTGGCATTGGAACATATCCAGCCGGTAGAGGGGTCGCTGCGAACTTGGCGTTCTGCATCCCAAAGCGCTCTAGCACCTTGTCGAGATAAGGAATCTGATCAATCTTGATCGAAGATCCTACTCTACTGAGGCGCACGCGCAAGAACTCTGGAGTATCTTCAGAATTGCGGCATTCCCATCACTTGTTGAACTCAGCCTTGAGAAGGGCAAAGAGCTTCTTGTTCTTGGAGAAGAACAGTGCATCATCTACATAGACTATTTTGACGGCTATGCTGCCATCAGAGTCCTTGTAGAAGAACACGCCGGCATCCGATGTTAGTCGGATCCAGCCCATGGCTTTCGTGGACTTGGTCAGCGCTTTCCACCATGCTAAAGCTGCTTGTTTGAGTCCATAGATTGCCTTGTGCAAGCGCATGACTTTGCGCTCTTGGCCTCTCGCCACAAAGCCTTCGGGTTGTTCCATGTAGACCTCTTCGTCAAGCTCTCCGTAGAGAAAAGCCTTACTGACATCGAGTCCAGACCAATGCCAATCATTGAGCGCTGCAAGCGCCATGACCAACCGGAACGTCTCATACCTGACAACAGGAGAGAATATCTTGTCATAGTCAACACCTTCGACTTGACTGAAACCCTTGGCAACTAGGCGGGCACGTTTTCGGCCATCAGATTTTTGGTCAAAGACCCAGCGACATCTGATAACCTTCCGTCCTTTCGGGCGGTCCACAAGGGAATAGACCTTGCGCTGACGAAGTGCCTCTAACTCGTCGCGACAAGCATCAATCCAACCTTTCTGTTGTTCAGAAGGCAACCGCTTGATATCGCGGAACGTCCAATCGCGAATTTTGGACGTATCAGGTAGGTTCTCATTTGGAACTGCTTTTGACAGCAGCGCCGTGATGAGCTCTACTCCCCCTTCCCGGCATAGCTTCTCCATGCGTGCATCCTCGTCTAGATCATCAGAAGCACCCGCGTTTGAGGAATCTGGTTGCGAGCTAGGGCCGGGAACCCCTGCATCAGCACCGGTTGATGGTTGAGATTGGGAGCTACCCTTATCTTCACCAACATACCGCTTCCATCCTCTGCTGTTCTGAATGTCACGGACTATATCCGTAGGGGTACGCTTTTCCCCATAGACGTTTCCTGGACGTGTAGGCACATTCCGCTGGCGTGAAGACCTTCGAGGCTCAGGAGCTGGTGAAGCTTCCCAACTTGGTCGTGGAATTCTACTTCTACGAGTCCTCTGAGGTTCATCCCGACGCTCTGGCGGTGGGTCCTGACGATTATGACCGTCGTCACCATCATCATTTCCCTGTACGGGAGGTGGTGGAGCCGGATCAGATGGCATGGGAAATGGAAAAGGATTATCTCCATATAGCCAATCTTCTCCGTCTACCTGTGGTGGATCTTGTGGATTCACTGGGTCATCACGTTCTGGAAATTCCTCTCCAACAGGAACGTGGGGTGGTCGATTGCTGTCAGGACAGCAGGGGAACAACTCCTCGTCGAACAATGCCTTGGTGGCGACGAACGTGGAATTGTTTGTGCGCATGAACAAAAATCCTTTCACACCATCAGGAATGCCCAAGTAGGTCATCAGCTCCGATTTGGGCGATAACTTGTTGGCGCGCTTCTCATCAGGGATAAAGACATATGCAGCGCAACCAAAGACTCGGAGTTCTGAAACATCCGGTTTTTCCTTGTGAAGAGCTTCAAATGGAGTTTTCCATTTTAGACGCCTGATAGGTGTCAAATTGTAGATCCGTGTCGCATGTTTAATAGCGAATTCCCAATAAGAATTAGGAAGACAGGCAGTGAAGCGCATGGCTTCTGCCTTATCCATGATCGTACGATTGAAGCGCTCGGCATGCCCATTCTGCTGGTGAGCATATGGAGCACCCTTCTCCACTAGAATTCCTTGTTCCGCGAGGAATTCTTCCATTCCCATCCCCATGAATTCTCCCCCATTGTCAATATGCCACTTTTTGATGGTGACATTGAACTGGTTCTTGACCATCGCAATGAAATTGCGCATAGCCTGTTTGGCATCGGATTTCTGCGCAAGGCATACTGTCCAGCCATAGGAGAGTGCTTCGTCGAAGAAGCTCATGAAGTAACGGTACTTGTGATAAGACACCGTGGGAAATTGTTTGAGATCCGAGTGGATCAAATCAAACGGATTCTCCGCTCGCTTTTCGGAAGGCGGGAAGGCACGTTGGTGCATTTTCCCTTGCGCGCATCCTTTACACGGTCGGGTTTCCTCGGGAAATACTAGGTCTTCTGGAAAGCCCTTGGTATTCTTCTTTGCCTGACGTAAAACGTCTTTCGACGGATGTGCAAATCGCCGGTGCATGATCTCATAATCCACCTTGTATACAGTGGACATGGACCGCACTGTCTCAGCCGTGCTAGGCTTTGACATCAGGAAGTACAAGGCAATGTCCTTCCCTAGAGTTCTAAACTCCATGATCGAGAGTGGGGACTTCCCTCGATGTAAGCTGATCCGCGATTCGTCTCCACAAACGCGAGATCCTCCTTTGAGTAAGGAGCCCAAAGACATGAGACGACCATGTAATCCTGGCACTAGGTACACTGGATATATCTGGGAAGTCACCATTGTCTTTTCTCCATGCCTTGTGACGTAATGATCGATGAAGGCTGTTCCTCGACCAATAAGGGCAACACGTGTGTTCTTATCAGCGGTCTGAGCAACAATAGGATCTGAGAGCTTCTCATATCCGACCAGATCACTAATCTCCGATGTCACATGGAGAGATGCACCTGAATCAAGAAGCCATAGAGGCCCTAATTCATGATGATGATGTTTCCCCTTACACTTAGAGCAGGCAGCAAAATCGGAGTGCACACAGAATAGATTGGTACAAAAATCATGCGAACGAATCATCAACGAATTAAGTACAGAACCCGGGGCGGCGGTGATTACGCGCTCTGGCTGTGAGCAACAATCAGAATTGTGCATATGCCCAAGAAGGCAGGGTACTTGCCTTTCGGCGGAAGGAGCGTCCATCTCCTCCAGAAGGGTGTTGAAGTCGACGACCTCATCCCAATTGACCGGTTCAGCCTGGGCGAACTCGCTATCTCCAAACAGAAGATCAAGATCGTTCTGTTGGCCGGTGGCCATCTCGACGTCGGGGATCTCCTCGATACGACTGCGTTTGGCAGGAGGACCACCATCCAGAGTGTGATTCGAGCCGGAAGCAACCGGAGATGGAGAACGCATGATTGCGTCCTCGCGGAGCATTCCTTTCTCATTGACGATCTTGTCGAGAGTCCGGAAGCGTTCTGCGGTCACCGTCACATCCATCTTCTTGGCCAGCTCGAAGACCTTACGAGTAGGCTTCTGGAACTCGGTGTCAATCATCCCATTGTTGTTAACGGGAGACTTC